AGCTACTGATACAGGAGCTTCTGATACGGAGCAACATATACGAAGCTACTAATATTAAGCTACAGCTACAGACGTACTAATTACAAGATACTAAGAAGGAACTACTAATATAGAGTTACTTATACAAGCTACTGATGCAGGAGCTTCTGATATAGAACTACTGATACGGTGCAACTTATACCAACCTACTAATATGGAGCTATTGCTACAAAGCTACTTTTTCCAGGCTACTAATACGGAGCTAATTATGCGGAGCTAATGATATGGAGCTTATAATACAGGTGCTACTGATACGGAGCACATGATAAGTAGTTACTGATACAAAGTAACTAATATGAAGCTACTGATTTGAAGCGACTGATACAGAAGCTATTAATAGGTATTAAGTAATAGGGGAGCCCCTTAAATGGAGTTACTGATAACAAGCTCAAATATGGAGTTAGTGATACAGAGCGTCCGATTCAAAGCTACTGATATGGAGCTACTCTTTTGGAGATACTTTTATGGAGTGACTGATAGAGACTACTAATACGCAGCCACTAATACGGAGTTACTAGAACGGAGCTACTGATAATGACCTACTAATACAGAGCTACTGAAACAGAGCCACTAACATGGACTTACAGATTAGAAGCTACTGATATGGGGTAACTGATACGAAGTAACTGATGCAGAGCTGCTCATACGGAACTTCTAATATAGAGTTACTCGAACATGATAATAATAGCGGAGCTACTGAAACGGAGCAAATGATAAGGAGCTCCTGGTGCGGAGCTTGTAATACGGAGCTTCGCTAGAGAGCTAGCGATACGGAGCTACTAATACAACACCTACTAATACTGAGCAACTAATAAGGAGCCACTGATACGGGGCAAATATTGTATAGATACTAATGTAGGAGCTGCTGATAAGGAGCTTCTGATGTGGAGCAACTGATACTAAACTACTGAGCTAATGATAGGAGCTACTAATACGGAGGTACTGGTAAGGAGCTAACGATACTCTGCAAGGAAAAGGAGCTACTAATACGGAGGTACTGATAAGGAGCTACTGATACTCTGCAAGGAAAAGGAGCTACTAAAACGGAGCTTCTGATAGGGAGCTAAAGATAGAGAGGCAACTAATAAGGAGTTACTGAAAAGGAGCTTTTAAAAAATTGGCTAAGGACACAAAGTTACTGATAAATTAGCTAGGGATCGAGAAGCTACTAATAAATTAGCTAAGGATACGAACCGACTGATATATTGGCTAAGGATTTTGAAGCTACTAGTAAGTTAGCTATGGATACGGACTAATATGGAGCTACTAATACAGGGACTTCTGATACCGAGCTAATAATTACGAGCTATCGATACCAAGATATGAATAAGGGATCTAGTCAAACAGAGCTACAAACACAGAACTACTGATACTGAGCTACTGTTACAGGGGCCCTGAGACATTAGGTAGTGATACTAAGCTACTGATGCATAGTTACTGATGTGGATCTAGTAATATGGAGCTTCTGACACTAATACGGAGCTAGAGAGCTAATGATACAGAGCTACTGATATGGAACTTCTAGTACAGAACATACTTATACAGAGCCACGGATACAGAGCTATTAATGCTGAGCTACTAAAAAAAGAGCTACAAGGCATCGTTGACGCAAGTTTCTCGTAAAATGCAGAGAGAAAGAGATTGTTAAGGGTGACTGCTTACTTATTGGAGCTGACTGTCTCAGCTCTCAGTTGCAGCAAATCGTAGCATATTTTTCTCGCCTAGTGGCAACAATAAAGAAACACGGCTCTTTGGCCTGTATTGCTCAGCTGGAAATAAGAAGAAAAAGTTTTGAATGAAGAACAGACAAAGGAACTCGAGTGTGACGTTTCATGTAAAAAAGAAGCGGTATTCAGCAACCTACAGCTACGACATCTGATCACATACATGTCATACAACTTGTGCCAGCTAACTTCGGATGGAAAATTAAGCACGAAATTTAGCATTACGGAACTGAAAAGCATTTGTGACTTTTTGGACATTGAAAAGGAACATTTCAAGCGACGTAAAACTCCTTGTAATGAGGCTTGGATAATTTTCATGAAGAATTGCTGATGCATTGCAAAGTAAAGTGTTTAGGGTGTGTGTTCTATTTTACTGCCCTGAGGCACTTTCTCGATTACGCGTCTATGTTTTTGGGATTTTTTTGCTTCATATTTATGCCGTTAACAATTCCTGTTGCTTTTGGATTACTTGCAATGTAACTTTAATCACTTTTTTTTAATCACAGAGCGCTGCACCGGTATCGCAGAGGTCATGGGTTCAAATCCCATACAGGCCTGAATTTTTTTCAGGCCTTATTTTCACTACTGCCTAAGTAGTGCATATCACTGCGAGGATCACTTTCATTCATGTCTTTATCCGCAGTTCAAATATATGACTTTCATATATTCTTAACCGTTTAATCACTTTCTGAGGTTTTAGACAGGCAACAACTTTGACATTTACACTGTCCCCATTCAATCTATGCCGAAAGGAAAATTCCTTCATGCTGGAGAAAAAAATGCAACAGTGCAGCAGTTTATAAGTCACGAAGAAAATAAAAAATCCCGTTTAAAAACTTAGATGCAAGTATTTTCACATCACTTCCAATGCTGCAAAGCAGGTGGCAAAAACTCTGCAATCTTGCTATGACACCTTGATTATTCTCTCTGGCTTCCATGATGGGTAGTTAGCCCCTGAAGTACGAACGTTTTAGTAAGCTTCATCAGCTTGAAAACAATTAAGGAAAAAGAAGGTGGAAATCTAAACTCTCCGCTATAAAAATTAAAAAAAAAACAACAAAAAAAAACCAGAAAACAAAACAAAGGAACCAGGCGAAAGCTTAATCATACGTGTTACGAAATTTTGTCATGGTACGTTGAATCGGTTCCGCGATGTACAATGATAAACTTCTATTACAAATATTTATGTATTACACCCTACAAGTAAAGCGTTAAGCGAGTATTGAGTAAGAGAGTAGAATAAATAGCCTCAGAAGAATAAAATTTAAAGCACTCATAAGAAAGCTTTTACATAATTATTAATTATACATGTAAATGTATAATGTACATGTACAGGTGAACGCTGAAAAAACATCAGAAATGTACTGTGTAAACATATTCACTTATTTACTGTGATCATAAGAGCTACATACAGTACGATGGGCGGATTGTTGATGTCGGCTTATCTTTAAAAAACTTGACTTTTTGGGAAATTAGCCTTCTTAGGGTTCAGAAGGCTGAATTACGAATTCTTTTGAATCGACAAACTTTACGTGATATTAGATGACGTCGAGTAATAGAATGATTTACAAAAATATGTATAGGCGTTCTTAATACCGACTCACAGATGTTTTCAAATGACCAAAGTTTATTGTGTTCTCAACAGAAGGCGAATCCTGATTCACAATGGATCTTTCAGTATGCGTTTTCAGTTTTCATGAAGGCTGATCTTATTAACATGGATGTAACCCCAAAGCTCAAGCACAGCTCTATCATCATGCGATAGTTGATTCGGTGATTCTCTTTCTTCCAATATAAAGCCAAGGGTAAATACGACTTTTCAGATTTCACAGTAGTCTAGTCTCTCGCCAAAATCCTCATCTGCACAAAATGTCGATATGTTTGATTGAGATTCTCCGCTGGTCGCGTATCAGGTCTTGTGTTCGTCAAGCGACTGTTGCCGAATGACGGCTTTCCAATTCTGACCGACGCTTTCCTCATCTTTTCATATGATTGTTGTCCTCGTATCCTCACGCCAGTGATAATTTCGTAAATTAACGACAGATAAAGAAGCACAACAAGGACTTCAGGCTGTATTCCGTCCATTTCAAGTCAGACCTCACTGTTCAAGAAAAGTGAAAGTTGATTGCTCTTCTCAAAATACACATGTAAGTCTGCCATTTAGCAGTCGACAATCGACGACACCGGATGCAGAACACATGTACGGAACTAAAGATAATTTTGATATGCAAATTACTCACGTCAGTCGAATTCAACTTAAATATATTATAACAATTAAAGAAGAATGACAATGTTGCTAAGTGATCGCTGCTAGTCACTTTAAACGTAAACAGCATGTTTAAGAAGGTATTGAGAATACAATTTCTTAAATCATTAGGCGTATTTACTTTACTTAAAGAAAAACATAAGTTACTACCTGACATGTTTATGTTACACCATGTCATACATTCATTACCTGAATGGACTTGACACTTTACGGTTTATATCAGCAGGTGACAAGGTTTACTCAGATATCAGACTTATCCTATACTACTGCATACATATTAATAGGGCAGGAGAGGTTTTATCTTCAACATATCATGAATTGTTTCACACTTTTTTTTTTCAATCCAATAAATTTCTAAAAGAAGTTCAAAGCAATTTTTTTAATTATTCTGAGCCTCAGGTTTGCCCTTGGTGACCATTGCTGTTCTTGTCGTTAAATTGTGTTCTTGTGAAGGTGAACTTCCCACCTTCAAGAAGCGTCTCTACGCTCAAAATTGACATCTTTCTTTTGTTATTTATTTGATCGTTTATTAAGCAAGTTGTCATTTCGCTGCCGTTGAAGCAGATGCGAAGAATGTTACAGAAAGCGTTGCGGCATGGAATAATTGAACTAGTTCTGCGTACAGTGATGTATCTGATCAGGTATTTTCAGGGTGTTTAGCGCGTAGATTGTCAGACAAATGACAAGAGAAAGAAGTCAATTTTGAGCGAAGGGACGCTTCTTGAAAGTGGGAAGTTATTTAAGAAAAATTTCCAAAGCCGAAGTTCAGACACATGTGCTGCGAACTCAACTCAATGTCCGAACTTTCAGGGTTTGTTTACATCAAAAGTCACGTGATACTACACGTGAAATCTAAAGCCCAAAAGGTGAATTGGAGAACCTTAAAATAACAACACTCGCAAAGTGAAAGGTCTGGTTTTCAGAAAGTTGCTTCATCTATATTTTTCAACATATATAATTTTTCAGTTGATCTACACAGCATCCTCAAGAGACCTTTCACTATTACCACCGCTATTTCTATCAGACGACCCAATGCTTTCGGCTGCTCCAGTGTTGGTTGCAGGGCCTAGGAAAAGATTACGTGCTGCTTTGCGCATGTCTCGGCTCCTCCAAAAGTAGATGAGTGGGTTTGCAGAAGAGTTTATCAGAAGAGCTGAAATGGCTAAGTTCAATTCAGTTTTACTCTGATTGCTACTGGTGAATCCCAGAACAATTTGCACAACAACAGCGGGAAGGAGGAAAACCAGGAGAGCTAAGAAAATGTAAACAATGGTTAACGCAACTCTTGCTTCTCTTTTATAGGCGATATTGGCGGTGTTTTCCTCTGAATGCAGGGCATGAATACTGTTTCGCTTGATGCTGATAATCAAGGCTATCTGAGCAGCAAGAAGATACAGCACCAGAGTGCCGGCGATGACCGAGGTAATGGTTTGATTGGTTTCTTCGTCAATACCCGAGTAGCGGAGCACAACGATACCAATCCATACAACCCACAGTATGATCATATTACGCGCGGCCTGTGTTGTAGTAACTTTAGCGCGATAATGCAAAGGCTTGGATACCGCCAGGAAACGGTCGGTACTGAGGTATGCGAGACATAGGAAAGAGCCACCCGTGCACAAATGAAGGAAAGCTTCATACAGAGAATGAACAACTTCGGAGTTACAGATGGTTGATGGGTAGTGCAACATCAAGCGCCATGTAACAAACAGAGGCTGAGTAATCAAGCCAACTAGTAGATCTGTTACGGCCAAACTAGAGAGAAGAATGTTGGCAGGGACTCGAAGTTCCTGAGACTTACAGATTGTGCTTATCACCAAAAGATTGCTAAGGACTGCAAATATGGCAAACGGTGTGTTTATCACGATAATTGAGATGTTTAGATCATAGTGATAGGACTCGTCTTCCAGTATTTCTTGACCGCAGCTCAATTGACTTGTGCGATTTGAAATCATAGTTGAGTTATCTGCCATCTTCTGCAAGAAAAACCAACGCAATGTATTTTGTTTCAATAGCTCTCGCTATCTATGAAGAAGCACAATTTAATTGAAATAAATAGGCAATAACTCTGATAAATGTCACAAGTCACTGGAAGTAACTTGCCTGAACGTTGCATTTATAGTTCAGCCTATAAAATTCTTCAGAATTACAGACTGTACAGGTTCCACAGAGTTGGGAAGAAATTTAGGAAGATTTTACTGTACAAAGATAGCTCTGTGCTATTCCACGAGGTTACTCTAATTCATTTATATTCATTCAAACCATGGCATTGTCTGCACGATATTGAAAGCTATCTTACACCTCTTTCAGATAAATTTAAATCTCACCATTTAACATGTTTCTGTATATTGGATAAAATAATTCTTCATGACCGGTAGACCTCCTTAAAAGTTTTTACAAACACGATATTTTCTAAAAAATTACTTTAACACGTCTCGGATCTATAAAAGGCTAAAAGTGAAATTTACTTTCACCAAAAAACTCAATATTACTAAGGGCCCAAATCTCACAGTCTTTCATGGTTTGATTATTTCTTCAAAGCCTTCATCATTGTCAAGATGTATTAAGAATGAAAACCTGAAAAGTTTGCACGTCATATTTCGCAATGTTTCCATATCTGCCATTAGCTCTTATTGAAATGTCACAGTTTGTTTTCCCCTTGTGCTACTATCAAGAAAAAGCTTTCAGGATTTACTCAACCACAAGCTGGATGTCGGCGACGCCTTTTTTGTACAATTTCCACTTTGATGTAAATGTCAAGATAAAAAACCTAGTCGTGAAACAAGAGCATTCTCTTCATGAAATGTTCTGTCAAAATAAAATCTGAAATTATTCAGGACTTGGAATTTTCACCGATCAACCAGCCTTTTAATAACATTTTCTTTCTAGATCTCAAATTGCTTCATAAAACCTTACACAGAGTTGAGTCAGCCAAAAGAAGAGGCAACACTGAGTAAATTTCGAGAAAAACAAGAGAAATGATATCGAGGTTTATACTCTATGATTCAATGACTCGAAACCCATCTGAAATACTTGTATACAAGAGAATTCTCAAGATCTCCTTATTTTAAGTGACAATTTTCCTTGGTCTAAAAGCGTATTTGCATCTGTCATTTAAGGCTCCATAAGTCTATAGTACTATTCGATTAATTTTTTTTTTTTTTGGGGGGGGGAGGACAACTGAAATGACTCCAGAGAGCATTTGAAATCGTGTACGCAGGCAAATTTCAACAAGAACAGAAAACATCCTCCTTACCTTCTGTAGCTTTTAAGACTTTTCTATTTTCGAATGCAACTAATTCGTAACAATTGTTCAGTGGTCAACATTTCCTTTAATTTTTCTCTAGATTATCACTTCCGTCAATTAAAAATTTTCCATTAACCTCAAAACACTAGAAAAACCTCAAAGCCATCTTGTCTCAATAAACAGCTGCGACTTTGTCAAACCAAATTTATTGAAATGAATAATTAGTTCCATCGTTTTTTACTATATACACAGCTACAAACGTCTTTCTTCGACATCTGAGTTTTATAGTAGGTGTCATCCCATGATCTAAGAACACGATATGAAAACTGAAAAACGAATCCAAACTTTGATAATAACTTGCAATGCGTGTCTTTTAGTATTATTAACATGCATACAAAAGTCTTCATCTATAATGGATCCGTTGGGACTCATTTCACCTTTTCGTTTTTGTCTTCTCATCAGATATATAATCGAAAATTTGCGTGTGACCTTTTCTCAAGAGGTGTGTGTTTATATGTTTTCGAAGATATGTTTTTTCAAATCGTTTTTCACACCATATTTAAAAAACATCGAAAAATGATTCCAAAAAAATAATAACTTCAGTTTTCCAGACTCCACCATTTCGAGAGTTTAAATCCATACACGTTCGCGTGTCAGATGTCAGATGACCGAATTCACACTGCTGAAATAAGCTTTACGTACCCATACATTACTTATTTGGGTAGACACACAGCCTTATGAAAAGTATTCTTTTCATTTTGGCTAAAAAACAGATTTTGTAAGGCGGGTATCAACCCGCGAAGGTGGGAAAGAAGGAATACATTGAGGTAAAAGCTATAATCTATATGTAGTAACTTAATTCTCCGTCAAACGTTCGTTAAGAATATCGTATTCCCAACTGCAGAAGCTTCCGAGCTTAAGGTTAATGAGGTGCATCGACCTTGGATCGCGAACCTTCATATTAAAATATAGAGTTTTTATTTTTTTCCCATTTATTTATGTTCTTATTTATCTAATAATTTGCATGTAGGTTTATTAAAATTCAATAAAAATTTGTGTACTTCATTTCATGGTTCTTTTGTAATAAACATTTAAACTAAAAAAGGTATGATAAAAGGGAAATATAAGACAAATATTCTTTCTCTCTCGCCTGACTATTAATATTAGACAAAACCTTTTAACAAAAGTGCGTCAAAATCATGCAATGACTACAATTACAGTATGACTGAGAGATCAACTTATCCCTCGAAAATAAGGATACGAATGATATCAAAAAATGATTACCAAAATTTTTATTTTTATCTCTGTCACTTTTGTTCACGAATCTTCGATGAGTCCTGACAAATTTGATGAGTGAACAAATTAAACGCGGTGGTTATTTTGTGAGTGATACTGCTTTAAATCAGTAGTTCTTTAGCAAAAACATTTTAATTCTTTTTTTCCTCTAGCTGCTGTTACTGAATCAACAAAACAGAGCACAGTCAGGGCTTCTCTATTTGTTTCATAACAAAGAATCCGTTAAATTCCCCATGTATTACTTTCAATTTTAAACAAACTTTAATTTTAAAGCGAACAACAGTGTCGTCAGCATGCTCTATACTCTCATAGAGCTCTATACTCTCATAGAGCACGCTACAATAAGCCAATCAGAAATCTTGTTAAAATAGTTAAAATAATCTGATTAGTTGAACAAGACACTGAAGTGTATACCGCACAGATACCAGATTTTCTTTTATTACACCTAAACATGGTCGAAAATTAAACTTGTGACACGCGATTTTGACTCTTTGGCTACTCGGGGGTGAATATTCTCAGCTTAACAATCCAGAATTAAAAGAGGAGATGGGATCACCCCAGAGAGGGCATGAAAAAATTCTAAGTTCCATTTATTGCGAATAACTACTAATTTTAAGAGGAATGACTTATCTACCCGAGGACATTACGTTATAAAGCAAAAACAGATCTTGAGGGTGTTCTGTATTCTGAAACAATTTTAAAAACCACTGATGAAAACTTCTTGTTGGTGTGATATTTAAACGCACACAAACTTGCTCATTGGCGGACATTATTTGCACGAACTTCGGCACGTCTTTCCTATTTTTAATGAAACGTAATCTTGTTGCTTCCCGTACAACAAGTTGGGATATAATTGCTTAAATATAAAATTGCGAATGAGCTAATAATCAGGATTCCGAAAAAACGTTCCTGCGGAGAACAAAAAATGATAATTTCTTTAAAAGTCTGCGAACTTATATAATTCGGCAGAAACGCCAAGCATCAAGGCTGTGGATTTTGATGTTACACTAGGAAAAGAAACCGAATAAAAGACATTTTAAAATCACCAGGAGGCAGCCAAGTTATTTCAAGGATTTAGTTATATTTCATTGAAAACATCAATTTATTAACTTAGCCTAGTTGAAGTGCTTGAATAACAGTGTTGTTTCTCTCCGAGGTAATGGGAATGAAATGTATATCTGAAAATCAACGGACAATCCTTGATGTATTATTAATGAATGGTGTCTTTTTCAATGCGGTAAACTTACCAGCTCCATTACACTTTCTTTTTTATTCTTTCTGGCGTATTTTTTTCCAAGGGCGACCCAACTCTGGTGTCAGCTGTTCAAATGCAGAGGCTTTGTTCTACTCACCAATATACCAATGATCGAGGAAGCCAAAGTGCGCTTGAACCCAAAACCAAATCAAAATTCTTATCACCCTGGTTTTGCAGCTGAATATTCAGTGCTGACCAATGTTTATCTTTCACCTTTCACGACTACTTCCCTTGATGTCAATTTTTTTTGAACTACACAAATACCATTTTTGTGTTGTATTTCGAATTTGTTTGGTGAGGCGGTTTGACTTTACCGGCCAACCTGCTCAAAGGGCCTGCCTTTCATTTTTCAGATCATTATATGGAAAAACTTTTGCTGATTTGATTAGAGAGTTTATCTGATTTAGAATATGCCAGCTTGTGGGAGTTTAAACAAATGAAAACAATTTACTTCAATTCTGAATTTAGCGCAGAGGTTTTTTTCGTTTCTTACTACACGAAATTCTTTCAGAACGCGTACGTTTCTGAAATGTTTGTCTAGGAAACTAATCACTATACTGACAAGTTTACCGCCTGCGTTCTTTACACATGAATGGCATTATACTTGACACCAGATGTTCTGCTGCTGACTAAATTTTAATCCCTACTGAAAGTCACACGCGCTAAAATCAAAGCGAAGAAAATACCAGAAGAATGCGTTCAGATTTTTCCTTCCTTTACCAATTCTCATTCTTCATGGTTAATCATGTGCATTGCAAAGTTTCTGAAAGCTTCGATCAAGAATGATATGTTCCTTTACAAAAAAACATGTGCTCCCCATCTGCCAATCTATCATTCATTTTGATCTGCGTAACACGGGTTAATTTTTTAAGCTATTCTTAGTGCAAGAGATATCGATCATACGTGAAATTGGTATAATGGATGAAATGAGTGATAAATAAATTTCACGGGAGAGATGAATATTTTATTAGAACAAACGGAGAAAGTAACAATAAATATGCGTTACTGACCAAGAGTGGGTCAAGATGGCTAATATCAAGCCGTCCTTAACCTAGAGGCTCGGTCAACAATGGATTTCTTAGGGCAAAGAGATTTTGCTCTAATGAGGATCGAGAATGACTATGTTTGTAGGACATGAAACCCACGAGAGTCTTTTTTCTCTATTGTTTTTACTGTCTTCAACCATATTTTGCGACTTCATCGCCGACATTTTTCAAAACTTACGAACTCTGTGAGTCCTCTCTATACACTTTTTTTCCTTTCGCGTTGAATCGTTACAAAAACAAACAAAGGGCGTAACTTTTAATTCAAAGTTATTGACTTTTTCTTTACCGACAGAAGGAATCTTTTCAGTTACACGGCCAAATTGGCCTGTGGCAGATCTTCGAGTTGTCTATTTTCGTACTCAGCCACGAGAAATGCCATTACCAAAGCCGCTGAGAAAGTAACTTTCGTTTTTTTTTATTTTTTTTGGGTTTTTTATTTCCTCCCCCTCCTAGAAAATTTCTCTCTCTGTAAGCGATACAAATTGCGTTTTAGCATCCATAATCCGAAAAAATTTCGACAAATGACCTTGAATTGAGAATGGTGAAGGCTTTGCCATTCATTCATCAACAAAAGAGAGTGGAGGAAAAGGGGAATGACGTGTAGCAGCTGATTGGGTTTGTCAAACACACGAAAAATTATCGTATTTTTTCATGGGTATTGGTACGGCTTTTCTCATAGCTGGGAATCCTTGTAGAACACCGTAGTTTATATGATAAATAACAATGCGACATACGGCTTTGATGCGTTTCACTTCAGTGTTAACAGATCATGCGTCGTACCTCTTAACCACAATCACATAACTAAAAAGCTGGGGAGACGTCTTCATTTTAGTGCGTTACTAATTCCCGCATCAGGAAAAGCTTTTGATTTGAGGTCATATTTTTCCGTAATGGACAAATTACCAGTGTGGTGAGCAAAGCATTACAATCCTCTGTTATAATAAGAAGCCGTCAGTACGGAGCCATCGCTTAACAGTATTATGATGAACGAAATTAACACGGATTCCCACTTACCTAAGATGCTGAATACCAATTTATAAAGCTAATACTTTAGACTACACATTTGATGGCAATCTCGAGTAATGTTAAGCTCGTTTAATTTCTTTTGATTTAGCTTTATAAAATAATTCAAATAGTACGCGCGCTCTGATTGACCATAAAACCATTTTACATGAGCGTATGTAAACACGGTTTTCGTTCCTCTTTCATTAGTTATTTTATAAAAAAAATGTAAAATGGTTTCCGTGTTTACATAGCCTGATGTAAACACTTGGGAGGTTGGGAGAACACTCGATAAGCTGGAAACCAGTTTGCTTCGCGTCGTGGTTTCCTACGCTTATCTCGTGTTCTCCCAACCTCCCGCGTGTTTACATCAGGCTATGTAAACACGGAACCATTTTACATTTCTTCAGTATATTTCACACCAATATAGAATATGTAAATAAAAGATTAGAGAAAGTTTTTTTGCAGTATTTCAGCCTGTAACACCTATGGGAAGTAGTTTTAAAAAGTTTTAAAGCTTACTTATTTCCATACCTAACTATAATTGAGATTTGCACGTCCAACCATTTTCAGCAGCTAGCGTTGTTTAAAATTTCACAAATGCTTCTGTTAAGTATGACAAAATACTGGTGCCCTAGTACACGCAGTAGGTCAATGAGCCATTTCAACCAAGTGCTATTTTACCCGCTAGCATGTCATTATACACGGGTGTCCTCCCTGAAAAACTTCGTGTGGTTCCTTTCAAAACGCTTCTGTGTTCTTGTCGTCCCTTATAAACAAGAGCGAGGCTGCAGTGTCATTTCCCTCACTTCCCATGATTAAGCCTGCCAGATTGTCTTTACATTCACTTTATCACATGTTTCTCGTGACGAGTCGCACATTTTATTCTTCAAGGAAATCAAAAAGCAAAAGGTATCGTTCGTTAAAGTTTGACATTCTTAATCTACAACAGTAAACCGTAGTACACCTTGATACGTCGAGTAGGCAGTTTCAGAATGACGAAAATACACGTGGAAATCATTTAATAACGATGGGTGAAACCGGATATATTTTTCTAAACCATGTGAGTGTACCTGTCTTCAGTTGAGGTCGTTTAAGGTTCCTCGTTTTCTTTGTGGGATTTTGGCAATGGAGTGTCTTCGTCGACATTTATTCACAACGGAGTAACGTGTGGCCTTGTTGTTGACTCCGAATACAAGCTGTACAGATATTCCGATTAGATAATTGCCTTCTGTTAGTTTCATCCAGGTAAGTGAAATTTTGTACAATTTTTACCTTTTATTTGCAAATAAAGTCGACATGGTCGGTAAATATTTAATAACCTTAAAGTAACGAAAAAGTCAATTAACCTCTCAGAAACTATGACAAGCACTCAAAAATAGTGAATAACCAAAAACCAAGAAAAGCGAGTGATTCAACTTCTTATGAGATCATTATGAAACGCCCATCAATATTTTTCCTATCCATGCATTTTCTCATTTTAGGGCAGTAGATGCGATACATTAAGCTTTTATACTTTAATTATTTTCTCCTGTCGGCCTCGTCAGTGAAATGTTGTACATCTTTTAAGTTGAAAAGGAGTTAACTTAACAAAGACCAAAACCACGGTGTTCTCGTTATGTTTCGTGAATTAAAGATTAATTCTTTTGTGAATATTTTTCGTCGTTATTTTTACTTTGGTAGCCTTCTTTTAACAGACGGTTGGTAACAAGAATTACAGTTTCGTCAGTACAAAATAATGAAAAGAGCGTATGAAAGGTTGGATGAGGCACGTCATTCTTTCTTGTTCTAATTTGTGATGGTATTATTTGAAAACATTCTTACAGTTCTCTTTTGAATTGTTGCCTTTTTAGTACTTAGTAATTTCATCGTTCATGTTTTTTCAAGATATCAACGACGGAGAATAAATTAAGTTTTTCTCGCGAACCCAATATTTGCTTTCTCTACGTCGTTTTGCGCAAGTTTCGTTTGGACTTCTGGTCATGGACTTTTTCAGTTGTTCAATTTGTTTACTCAAGGCATTCCAAAATGTAGCCAAGGAAGCACAAAGATGTACTGTGAAGTTCCCTTCATCTACAAAGGTCACTAACTTCCTGCACAGTCATTTTCATTCGCTGAGATTCATTTACGTCCCACTTTCACTTGCACAATTGCTTTAACTCTGACATCTGGGCCAGTCAGAAACTGACATTCCAATACAAGTAGGACAGGTGTTAGCTAAAGTGCCACCAAGTCATATAATCATACCAAACTCCATGTGGACATCGGTTTGTTTTGTTCATGGGCAAAAGAGTGAAGTCAACGTGAAGCACCAAAAGATAAGACAATTAAGTGAACAAAACAAGCAAGCGAGAATCATGAACGCTCAACTGCAAGCCACCACTATAGTAGTTTAACATTCAGCCATAGTTTTCATTTCTTGGTATAATATCCCATTTTGGTACAAGGCAAAGACAACTAAAAGCAGACTCTAGCCCTTTTCACTATGCAAGATCAAAGAAAAATAACTTTTGAAGACTGAATAATGACTTGTATTCGAGAATTTCGTTACCATTATTCTGCCCAGGTTTCCCTGCCAATCACTGCAGTAAATTATTATAAACTTTAATTTTTGCATAGGGGCATTTACTCGTCCCTATATTCGGTTAACCTTATCGCCCATTATTTTTATGAAATGGTGGAGATTTTGTAGAAGAAGGTGTTGTCTACGCGAGCCCATGTTGTCTTGATTCATGTATTTGTGTGCCAATTAATCAATGATACTTAGTGTTAGAGAGGTGGAAGGACATTTATATATATGGACATTTATATATATGTTATGAGAATTGGAAGGGACGGTACGGTTTAAAGTGATTTAGAAATCGAACGCCGGAAACCAGACCGATATATGATATGGAGATCATTGACCGTCGTATTCTGATGAAAAGCTTCAAATATGAAAACTCAAAAAACCGAGAAATTTGCGTTCGACGTTGATAGAGTATTGAATAGCCTTGTCTTTAGCGAGCCAATTATGATAAAACATATCCAACAGGTTAATCACCAGTCGCCATTAATGGGAAGTTGGGTGAGTTCATCGTAAATGAATTGTGGGACATGCGCTGGCATTTTGATGGGCGTGACTTCACTGTGTCAATTATTTATAATGTCGAGTATCTTTAAGCTAAGTCTCTTGACTTGAAGACACAAAAGAAAATTCGCTTTCAACGGAACTGTTCTAGACAAACCGCTTGAGATGAGTTTACTTACCTCAGTTTTACACTATTTGATTATCACAACTGTTTTCCAGACCTACACTCGTGCCAAAACGACAACAAGTCTCCATAACATCCAGATTAAAGGTGAGAATTAATGTTTACTTTTATTGATATATTGAGGAAGTTACTTCTATATGACAATACAAATAAATCTCTCACTGCGGGGATCAGATCGGCTCAACATTATGGCTTGCAATCTGGGCTTTGTCTGTTTAGGAGCTCAAATTGTAAAGGGCATCATCATTGATTGTTGGTCGCTGTATTCTCTACGTTGGTGCTTTAAGAATTAAGTTTCGGTTTTCGTAACTTAACAGAAAGATTTAAATTATTCCCTACGACTCTGATGCCTTGGCAACTAGCGGGCCTCTCCGGGTCTCTCCACTAGCGATGAGATTCTGTTTAGAAAGACAGCTCAGAATGACGCAGATCCGAAATTGAGTTAAATGAACGGCGGTTAGGGGATTTGTAAATCGATATTAATCTCGTCCTCTCTTTCCCCCAACCATTCTTTATTCCAATTTTAAAAAGAGGCAGCACATTTGCTATGATGAAAAATCCAGAATAAGTTGAAACAAGTTTGGTTTATTTGACATTCTGACAGCGGTGACATTCACATTCTAGCCAAGGATGATTTTGAACTATCTTTTATCGTCCATTTTTAAATCAGTGATAACAGCCATTATCATTCCACCACTGTCATTTTATCGAATAAGGTCATGAGAAAATATGCTACAGTATTAAATTGTAGAGCAGGGGAAAATTACGGACGGAAAGCGAAGCAACAAAATGACTGTAATGAAAGATCAAAACTTTGGTTTATTCCAATTTTTTAGGCTTGACTTTCAAAGCAACGAACTTTTAAACACATCAGAGTTCTTTGTAAGTCATAAAGAAACACTTCAACGGTTTCGCTCGTATTGTTTCCGTCTTTCATGCAGACCATAAATAATTTGATCGATACTACACTCATATGGACCTTAGGATGTATATTTCACAAACTAGAAGCCAAAAGACTACGAAACGAAATAGTAGTGGAATGTTAAATCCCTTATTCAAAAGTTTAACATGTTATACAAGCGGACATTTTGTTCATTGGTCGTACGGGGCTCGGAAAAAAACTACACAACTCGCAAAATATCCGCCCGTATCATATGTTAAACTATTGATTACGTGTATATCTCTTATTATTACATTATATCAATTTTTTTTCACCTTTTTTTAGCCTCAGAATGTTCTAGGTAAATAATGTCATCAAGATGTTACGAGTTTCTTGTTTATATTCAGTGCAGTTTCCCACTGCAAACAGAGATAAGTAGTTAGAAATTCTAATTTTTATAGCTTAGAGAGTTAAAGTTAGAAAGCTAAGAGATCCTTAATACTCCTGTTCGATTTACCTCATTCCGATAGCTTTTTATCTGTTTTTTTATGCAATTAGATTTTTTAGTTTGTTAAATAAATTGTCTAAACAATGTTGATATCTCTCAAAAAGATGGCTGGGATTGGAGCAAGGAAGCGGCTGGAGACATTCATAACGAGCATCAGCTGATAAGACGTCGAAGGTCTAAGGTTTCTGGAAAGATCGAAACTTGCTATAAAACCTTTTTTGCCAGCAGCCTACCTCCGTCAGGATTTCGCAAAGACCACACAAACATCAGATACATATGTCAGCAGGTTCCTGGAAAACCTGCTTACTTTTATTCAACCATGTTTGATCTCAAGTATGGAATCCCGATCTACTCAGCGTACGTCGTGAAGCAAGCACAGGCGAGCCAGTTCGGTACTGCCCATAGAACTAGAGACGAATGGCGGCAGGAACAACCAGGTGAGCAAAGTAATGGATTCTCTGAGGTAATGTTCTCTTGAGTTAATACGTAAGTTTCCACTATTTACTCCAGTATTTTATTGGAAAAGTAAAACGACATTACGCACGCCATTTCAAAGCTAACAATTTCTATCAAATTACATGGAATCATGCGCGATACTTATAGATCCAATACTATGACTCGTGAAGTAAAAAGCCACACATGCATTCCACATCATCAGACATTTACAGATATTTCCTTTTTTCTGTTTTTTTTTTTTTTTGCGCTGGCATGCACTGGGTTCTGAAGTCAGTTATCATGATTCAGGGTTACTCTTTCGCCTTTGATATTTTTACCTCAGTGTCATTTTAAAAAGTCATGCTTTGGTTTGTCTAGGGATGCATGGACTCGCGCAGATACCTTGATCGAAATGTAGGTGGAATGCATCAGAAGTTTCTCGCTGCACGATGGGAATCATAAATTTGTCGTTGATTAATTTTCCCTTCTCACGAGAATTAGGAGAATGACCACAATTTTTCCGTAGTGCAAACAAAAATTTACCACTAACAATGACAAGACCGGCAGGTCCAACAGCTTAAAAATATGTATCTCATATTTTCTCCAGAATCGTGCGAAAAAAAAACATGGAGTTATAGATTAAAACTCTCAAATCAGCTTTGCCAACGATTTACAAACCGAATGAAGACACTTTTCATGCCGTCAAGAGTGACTTCTTACTCCGGACTAGAGAAGAACTCAGAGATGGGCTTTTCAATCATCATGCCCGTGTGGGAGCTATGTCTTTTTTTTCGATGAACAAATAATGTTTTTTGTTTGTTTATTTTCAAAAAGAACACTTTTCTGAATTCTAATGTAAAATGCATGACCCGTAGAATAAGTTTTTCTCTGATTTTTTAACTTTCCAGCTGTGATCACTCATCAAGCCAGCGACAAAGCGTATAAAGACCAATCCACCTATGCTAAGGGCCACCTTCTTCCCGCAGAAACATATTCCTTTACTGACGATCACCTTGCTTCAACCTTCACGTACACAAATGCTGTCCCTCAGAAAACGAAATTTAACAGCGGAGCATGGTTACAGTATGAAAAGGAAATAAGAAATTACGCTAGCCACACGTGTAGCATAAAGGGCGGGGACTTGTTCCTGATCACAGGCATCTCGGAAGCTCACATCGAAAAGGAAGCTCTGAGCGCAACCCAGAAGGATCTTGAATTCATGAAACCGTCCGGCGACAACATTGCTATCCCGAGATCCATGTGGACAGCCGGATGTTGCATCGTTCCCTCGACGGGTGTAGTGGGAGCCTTTGCTGTGATAGGAAATAACCTTTTCAGTAAAACAGCACCCAACATGTTTCAAGTGACAGTTCCACAGCTTAAAGGCTTTCTTCTTACTGGTGTCCAAGGCTTTGGTGGATCGGCAATCGCCTTGTTTCCAGGAAATCCTGAATGCTCTAACCCCGGAAATAATGTCAATTTTCGGAAACGGCCATTGCCTCCTTAATAAAGATGCCAATAAAGGGAAGTTTAAGGAAGGTCGAGAATGAAATAATGAAATGTAATTCATAAACAATTAAAACGAATAAAAGAATAGTTTGGATAGGCTGTGTTTTTATTAATTCTTTATTTCATTTATTCATCCAATAATTCTGCCACTTATTCGCCATCTTACTCATCTTTGATAAAATGCTACATTGCATTAACTGTGCACTCATCGAAATTTGTGGCACTTGGGAGTTTTCGGAGGGCTCTCAAGAAGCTAGCTTACGCAACGTTCTTGCTCTCTATATTTTCTGTCTTCATATCGCGATGAAGCCACGCTTACCTATCTTTATACATAATTAATACTATTTTCATTTTGCTTATGGTCGTGGTAATAATCATAATAATCGTTATGGCGATAATAGTAACCATCCGTATAATTGTTCCGCTGAGATTCGCGCTCCCTGATTGGTGGGGATGGCTTCATATCTCGCTATAATCACCTTGCGCGAGGTGATTATAGCAGGAGCGAAACATAATGGTTTCAACATCAAAACGATAATTTTCAACTTAGTTCTAAAGCTCCTAAGCAATTATACTAAAAAAAATATTCAGTGAGCCTGAACCGATTATTGAACACCATTGTACAAATGGTGCATCTTCCACCTGAAACTCTATCAATATTAAAAATTAGTTTTAAGTTCGTTTATTTTCTTGGTAAGGTACAGTGTCAAGATAGTTATGAGGTTGTTAAACCCAACACAACAAATACCGCGCCCTAGCAAGTAAGTTTGTTACTCTATTGAAATCAAGGTTTAATCGTAATAAATTTGATTGTAAAATCATCGGCCAGTCGAGCGAACAGGTAACCCATCTATTGTTTCCTAAGGCGTATGTCCTACAAATTTCACTATGTATGTATTTTTTAACTTATTCTGATTGGTTTCATATGTAAAGTGCTTCATATGCCACACAGGTTAACGGTGGCAGATACTGGTTCAAACACCCCGTTTGTTGTTACGCAAGCCCAAGACCTTACTCGGAAAGAAATAATTGTATCTTGTGAAATCACTTGGTTGATTTCTGTTGAAAAATTCGCCTCAGCATTGTAGATGCGAAATTTATACTCTATAATGATATTTGATAAGAATAATGATATTTGTTGATTTGTATTTCGCAAATATCAATCCAGGAAAAGAAATTTTCATCTGCGCATGTCTACCCTGTCCAAAAGAAAGAGCTCAATAGATAGTTCATAGTAATTACATAAACGAGAATATTAAAAATAAAAATCTTCTTAATTTCTGTGTCCAGTAAAGATGTTATGTGAGCCACATTCAAAATCGATGGGAAATTCAAATCAAAAGTCGCACAATAGAGTCCATAGGGCTTAGCCTCCACGAACCCGGATCTCTTTTTTCATGATACAAAACTTTATCAGAAATCTTGCTCATGAATAAGACATGTCCTTGATCCAACACAGCCAGCAAAGAAAAAATTCCAGTATGATTTTCATTCACTCGTATTGCCAGCTTTGCTCTTCAGTGTCTCTGAAAGAGTGTTAAATTGACTCAACAGATCTACTCAATTCCCTTCTTGTTGCCGACCGATATTTCATCAGTAATATACTTAATTAGTCATCTATAGCCATCAAATATTCACCTGGAAATAATCTAGATCTTCTTCTTCTTCTCTCCGCCACGACTCATAGTAGATTAAGCGGAAAGGAAATTTAACACTTCTATGGTGGCCGAGGGCTACCACTCAAAATTTTACAGTTATTCTAAGATTGAATAAAAAATAAAAGAAAAAGTAAATCAAAACTGAAAATAAGATGGAACGTAAATGCAAAAGAAAGGAAAAATAACGATTGAAAGTAAAATGAAGTAGAAATCAAATTTACGGTGTGAACCAGGTCCATGCCACAACGTCCTGCATACTGCGAGGATAGGAATTTCGAAAGTTAATGCCCATGTGCAATGATGATCTAAGTAAAGTCATGCGTGTTGATTCAAGCTAAGGAAGATTTTATTTAGTAAATGACAGAGGCATACTCGGATAAAAAAGAAAACTCCAGTAGGATACGAACCTACGATCATTTGATTAGTATTTCGTTCTTTATTAATAAGGGGCGCGTGTTAACTGGGTCGATTGTAACAATCGTCAAATCAAATCATGAGTTATTTTGTAAAGGATACCTAAAAGGAAACGTCAGAGGTTTCCTCATTGACGACCGAGTAATAAAAACATTTACTCTACCGAATGAATGGATAGTTGGACCCTGTTTTGTTATAACAATGAAATTCAAAATAATCACCACAGTTACGGCCAGTTTATGCCAGCATAATAATAAGTTCAATGATAATAATAAGTGCAAGCTATGCAGCAGATTCTATTTATTGCATAATTTGTACTTATTGCAACTGAAAAGTTAGACTTTGGTGAAATAGGAAGACGTCTGGGTGACCGATTCCGATAACACCTTCGCGACGTCTAAAGAAATGACAAGGACGCATCCAGACCAGTCGCTTGATCTCTCTAATCACTTCAAGAAGCTTATGGTAGTTTACGGCCTTTCCCTACATCTAGGCAGTTCGGAAAGCCGCAAAATTTTATCAGAAAAATTTATCTTTCAAATAGGCACTCTTAATCCCCACGGTCAGGTATCAGTAAGGTGAGTTCATAGATGGCAAAGGGAAAGCGTTCACTAACGCCCTTCGGTGTATCAAGAGCGTCAATGTTCTTTAGAAATAGGGTGATCAGAAAGGGAAATTGCAAAATGGGTATAACCAGAGCATTGTTCAGACCAACACAACAGCCCGCTTCCTTCAAAATTTAGGACGCTTTACAAATTTTGCGTTTAATTTTCTACGCTTTATAAAGACCTTTAGTAGCCCACCTTTGAAGTCGGTTCGAGTAGCCATACTATCGGTTTCTTCCGTTCGTTGCTGCACGGCAAAACATTTGAAAATGTGCACAACGCTTCAGTATAAGCTTGAGGTTTGATGAGTTTATGTTTTACTCCTAAATACAATTAAAAAATTGCGAAGTGGTCAACAGAGAGCAGCTAATTATCAGCATGGTTCCATGGCCTTGAGGCAAAATTAAAAGTTGCAAAAGCGTTAATAGTGAGTCTGTTTTATGATTCTGAGAGGAGTTTTGCAAGCTTGCGACTGTGTCAATGAAATCCTTCCTTAATACTTCACTATTCTTCTTCTATTCTTCGTCCTAATTATGGCCAGGAGGGTTCTTTGCTTTTCTTTTTCATGAAAATAAAAGCCAGAGCGGAAAGAATGAACACGAAAAAGTGAGAGATATTTAAGGGACGTCCATGCAAGAGCTAAATCCCTTAAGCTTTAAAATAAAAAGCCATTTAATTAATAATAATAATACAGACTACTCTATTTACGCAATGTTCCCATCAGAAAAACCACTACAAAAGAAATAAAAGAAGCTAGTATCAAGCTTGGTTGTTTAACTACGTCCAGGGTGACAATCATCCTGCATACGGCGAGAATTTATAGGAATGGTGACAGACCTCCTCCATACGGCAAGGATGGAATGTCGATATGTCATGCGATGCTTATGCGCAATGATGACGTTATTGAGGGTGGTATACTATGGATCAGAAAGGTAGAAAGTCCGAAGTAAAAGTCGGAAGGTCGTAGGTTCGGCTTTTATTGAGAGCACTTTGAGTGTTCTTTTTTTTTCGAGTACGCGTTTGTCATTTATACATTAACACCTTTCTTCACACAAATGCTCACGCCTAAAATTTACCATCTTTATTTCTATCGTCATTACGCATAAGCATCACATATCAACATAGGTATCCTCGAAGAATGCAGGAAGTTTGCCAAAATGAACCATGTGGTAGAGAGTCCTAGCTACCAGCTTGATTATCGTAGTTCCTACTCCTATTGTGAGCACTCGGGGTGTTCTTTTCTATCAGGCTTGTGCATTGAATTTATGTCAATTACTTCAAAACCCATACATTATACAAAAGCTTTTCTATGTTCCCAGCCGAATGTTACATCGTTCCTATTAAGGGTGTATCCAAAAGAACTTGGATGCTGACCTGACCTCATATATCAGGTCAGTTCAGGAAACGGCTTGCAACCAGTGAATATAGATGCCGATGAAGAAAAGAGAGATAAAGAGGGACAAAAAAGTCGAGATGGAATGCCACTCATGCAAATGATTAGGGACCTTTAGCAATCAGGAGGAAACGCCGAGGAAGACGGTGATTAAGAATAGGTATATATTTTTAGTTAGAATTTTGCAAATGGCTGGATGTGTTTACCGTCTCTAACGCAGCCACACCTCAACCTCAACACAAAGTTTATGAGCACTGTGAGTTGTACATAAATACTTAAATAATTTGTCGTTCTAAGACCACGCAAATTCCGGGATTTCACGTCGTGGTTTTGCAGGGAACGGCTTAGAATGAACAAACTTTTAAACACACGTGATAAGCTATTGTTCTTTTGCTTTTCTACGTCCTCGTTGCCATCGCCTTCGTGGTTTGCTTAACTTCCCTAATAAACGGTTGACAATGATGGACAAACGCTCTATCTATTCATTCGTTTATTAAATCATTAATCTGTTCATTTAACCAGTCATTCCCTACTTTATCACTCTAAATTCATGTTCAAGACGAAACTCGGAAAGTAAGTGAGCCAATAAGTTCAAAGGTGAAAGAATCAATAATCATTACTAAAAACCTAAAAGAGACGTACTATTAAACTGGATTCCTGAAATATCTATTTTTTTACATAAATTTTCATAGATTTGGTAGCCTGCGGTGCCACCCGAAAAAAGCCAGTTTTCTTCAGTAGAAACGAACAATCATTTTTTCGGTCATTTAGATGTAATTTATGTGGAAGACGGTACATTAAAAATTACATTAAAAAAAAAAAACTGTGTCGATGAAAGCCATGGCCAATGTTCTTCTGTTCTTCATACATTCTTCATCTTCGTCCTAATTATTAGCAGGAGAGTACTTTACATTTGTTTTAATGAGAACAAAACCCTGTTGACAAAGAAAGTACATTATGAGGTAAATTGTGGTTGATTTTTATGTGCATTAAGCATTAAAATGCCTTTAACAAAAAGAAAAATCAAACTCAATTTCAATTTAAATATAACTGATTCTATCTACACAACGTTCCACTTTAAACTTAATAGTTGAAGTTTGAAGATTAAACTGAAATTTGAGAAAGGAATCATGTCAGTTTCTCTCGTTCAACGCCAATGATTGGTCTTTTTTCGGAAAGAGTCCGTCACTAGTCTTGCATTTTCAACTTCCTTTAGAAAAATGTCCTTAGTTTCTATTTCTTTTTGTTTTTACTAATCGTTTCATTAAACTTGAAATACATGTGTTGAATAGCAGAACGTGTCCAAGGAAATGATGAAATCGCTGCAAGAAATTGGGATGTAATCATTCTCAATTTCACAAATTCCTACACCATTTATTTGCGCTCATTTTGATCAGTGCTCGATGAGCCTCTTAACAAACAAAAGAATTCAAACTGTAAAAGAATAGTGAGAGCGACCTAATCAAAGTAAAAAAACTGGCCACCCATAACGGGCTGAAGCGAGATTAACCCTCCCCCCTCCCCCTTCAACTCGAATTGGGCCTGAGTTCCCCACTATTTTAAAGAAAGTACTAAATGTACCTTTGGATGTTATTTCGGATGAGACTGAATTTTTTATTAATCTATTTGAGACCAACAATTTGCCACCGGCCCAATCAAGCATTGTCCGTTCGTTACATTTCGTTGTTTTCCTGGACAGTTTATGTCGATTGATGAAATAGCTGCTTTACCGAACCCCTTAGCGACCCTTGGCGTAACCCTCTGCAATGTCACGACAATGCTTGAATCATTTTGTTAACATTATTCGATTCTACAGATCTCATTGCTTGAGAAAACAAGACATATTTGACTTATCGAGCTAACTGCAGCAAACTGACTACACCGCAATGTTGTAGTGTAGTGAATTTGAAAATGAGCTTACGTAATCAGAAAGCTTAGGATAATTCAATGGTTACCTGTCCTGTAGTTACTTCGGTGTCCTCCCACTTCAGTTTGCGAAGCATGGGCAAGGGAAACCCTCTTTCCCCAATTACTAGGGAAAAACAGTGCATGAGACGATTGACGAGTGGGTAATAAGTCTCCATCAGCTTACTGGCAAATTTTGATTATCTTACGACAAACGTTTTACTTTTGCCAGCTTAACATAACTACATTTACTATACGTTTAAGTTCAAGAGTTATTTTGTAGCATTGCCAAGTTCCATAAATTCGCTATCTTATAAGTTAAAAAATCACCCCCATTCGATAAAAGATAAATTCGTACTTTAGCTAAGATAATTACTTAAAAATTTTGGTGAAGGAGCTAAGTTATGCTATTATGAGATTAGAAACGAAGACTATTTCTTTCACCTAAAGCTTTTAAACGGGTGTCTAGCACCATAGGCGAACCGTAAACCAAATGGAGACGAGGCTGGTTGATGTTAGCAAAGGTTTACACTCAACGTTACACAACTAAGTTTAACAACAGACGTAGCCGGTATAATGCATACCATTAAGCTTTTTCACAACTTTTCCAGACTCTACACCGTTCAGAAACCATTGGAGCAATCCAACGTTTGTCTGTTAAAAAAAATGTGAACTGAATTATCACCCATCATTTTCTGGCGCGCGATTAACTAAGCGCATCACATTACCGAGCTAGCCCCAACTGTGGAAAATCGACATCACCCGCGCTGTAAATGATCATAGCCAAAATGACCAAATTTAAAAACTCATACCTCAATATCACCAATAGCAGAGTGGACAACATGTAATTTGGTTCTAGTTAAAGAGAAAACCATAAAAAAAAATGAGAAGAAAATACAGTAAGTGTTACGAAATTTGTGTTCACTTTTTTTTGGACGATAAAAAGTGTATGAAATATAGCCGATTGAAGTATCTTACCCGAATGAATTGGTGTGAAACGTCAAGTTGCCTTGTTTTACACCCACAGATCCATGAACATTAACTTTCTATGATGCAGAAGTAAAGATTAATAAAATTTAGTATCCAACAAAAGAACCAGTACTTCCGAGTGAAGGCATCAGTACCGTCATTAGCAAAGCGTCGTGATGGCTGTTAAACTTTCATAATGCAAGCTAATCTATGTGTCACAAACAACAAAGAAAGGTCGTATCTGTTTCCAAGCTAAAAAATAGACCAGCAACGTGAGTGCAAAGGGCGGGGAGACCACTTTCGATAATGTTTTTTACGTTGTTCAAGTTATGAATTAAAACTAGAGCCTTCATTTAGACTAAATGATTATATTGATCACATTACTTACCACACCTAGCGTCAGGGCATATATATTTGTCCCATTTTTAGAAATGACGTACACTTCAATATTACCGGCCACCGTCACATTGACGTTGTTAGGACTTGACACGAAAACAGGAGCCTTGCTTGTGTAGGCCTTAAGAAACACCGGTCGATCGGGGTAAAGTTTATACAGCTTCAAAAAAAATCAAACAGAAAAAAAACCGTAATTAGCGGCAGTGTAAGTGAGAAGTAGAGTACAATGAGTACAATGGGGTCAACTGACTAGCGACAATAAGCGAAAAATTTAACTAACTACTATTAATACTAAACGACAACTGACAAGGTCCGACATTATCGATATTTGTGTTCAGAAAGGACAGCATTATTGCTCAGGAAATAGACACTTTAAATTAAAATATTCAATTAATTAAAGCATTTCCTTACTTTATGGCTGGTTAAGAGCGTGGGCTCATTTCTAGAAGCGCCTAGTGTTCGAGCCCCCGAATAACTTAACGAATATTAATAATCAATTTGCATTTTTTATCATTAGCTGAGATTTTACCGACAACCGATAAAGATCAGAAATCTTAACAAACTATCGACACAGTAATGAAATTCTAACCGACAACCGACAACCGACAACCGACAACCGACACGAGGATCCCCATATTCAGACCCTTTAAAATCAGATGATATTATACATGTATCATTACACACCTGGTATAGAAAGTTCTTGAAAAACTTTGTGTTCAACTGATACCTGGCAGAAGGAGGTAACTTCGCATCGAGACGATTGAGGAGAAACAGAGGTTAAGAATAAATATATTGATAATAATATCTTTAGGTCATTGTTTGCTGCTCATGTCATCTATCACTTAACTATGTTTCTATATCACTTAAATCATGGTAATAAATGTTTACCGTAAAAGTACACAACTTAAAAAAAATCGACAAACAACGGCCGTTTATTTGTAAGCAAGGTTCTTAACTTACATCCCTGGGTCTAATAGTGGTACGTAGTTTTCCTTCTTGGTGAAAAACAAGGCTCGCCGTGTTGAAAACATAATCCGTAAGCCATATGTAAACCATTTTATCAACTTCCGCGAAGTCTGGGATTGTTTTGGGAACTAACATTGCTGTGGCATGAGGGTATCTGCGGGATTTAAATTCACCCTGCAAAAAGCAATAAAAGATATTTGCCGCTGAGGGGTTTCGTGAATCATTTACATCTGAATGCAAAGCTTAGCTAGGATCAGGTGACCTTCGTTATAGTGTGATAATAGTATAATAATACTCGTAAATTGAAAATGCCAGAATTGTCCGACTTTTTGGAGCAAAGCAGAAGCATGGCAAGGCTGAGACTGGAAATGATGGCAGATATAAGGCTCAGCTAATATATGCGCCTGTAATGAAGAAAGATGTTTCAATATCCTTTCCATAGTCAAGATAATCTTTTAGATAGAGCAAGTACCATAAATCTTCTATGCAGGAAACCCACTCACATCAATAAACCACGACTTCAATCATCTCAGAATGGCTGCGTGGGTAAAATGATTTTTTGTCAGGGAGTTAGATTTTGTATTAGCACCTTCTAATTGCGTGGAGTGGATTTCCTCAGGGTAATTTGAGACGATGCTCACACAAACCACTATATGCAGAAATTGAATGGTTCATTTAATGATAATTTCAACCCAGGTTTGTTGCTCCAACAAACATCGAGTACCTCTGTGACAGAAAGCCATTGTTTTTATGGTTAACAAGTATTGAATGTTCCGATTTCGTAACCATTTTTCTCGATCCCAATAATCTACTTTATACCTACTGCGGGTGAACCAAAGTAGAAGGTTTGTTACCTTGGTTTACAAACAACATATTTTCTACACTTAAGACACCTTCTAACCCAAATGCTTGGAGGTCTGAGTTTAAAACAACCAGACTTATTCTAATAGCACCTTTCCTCAGTTCTGTACCACGCCTATTTGTTTAAATACTACACGGTTCTCAATTACATTCTCAAATACATGATCATGACTCAGGAAGAATCGATATATATTGCATTTTTTAAGTGGGTTACACTGAATTAGCTGTCAAGGATTTCAATTCAACCCCCGTCTGCTTTCATACAATGGAAGGAGAAGTGGAAAACAGCAAAACTACTCATTCACCATAGCTTTGCTCGAGATATTCGTCCTTTTTCTGGGTGATGAGTAAATTTTTTGCGACGGAGATAATAGACCAACCCAGTCAAGCGTTTCACAAGAAAAAACATTTATAACATACTTAGTCCAAAGAGAGTCTTATTGACATCCTTTCGTTAGAGCTTTCGTCGAGCTTTTTAATCATATCATAAATGTAGTTTATCTTTTCTACGATATCTGTAACAGAGCTCATAACAGTACACTAGACAGAATGTGTCAGTAGTGATAGGACATGGTAAATGCTGAGTGGGTGTAGTCTGTGGTGATGAGCTGCCTTACATCAACATGTCTCGTGCACTTTAGAAAAAACACATAAAATTGCTCACCTTAAGTGGTACATCCATATATTGTGATGTAAATGTAGGGTTTGCGACAAGGGTATAGTCAATCTGCGCCACATCACCAACTTTCCGAAGAACTGTGAAAAAAAGTAACATTTCGTAAAAGTATATTAATTGACATTTTTCAAACGTGCCCGCACGGCAAATCCTCTAAACCAATGGGGGCAAGGAACCCTTTGGCCTATGACAGCACTGCTTTAACATCCTGCTATGACTGGGACACAATCACGAGGCTTATCGACAAAACGAAAGCGCCTCATCACTTGAGTAATACAATACACATTCTCTATTTCAAATGATAATAACAGACTTTCTCTCTGAGACTTCTGACAGCATTTAAACAACCAGCAGCCTTCCATCTACTTCACCATGGAGACAGAGAAAGACAACAAACTCGCCTTCCTAGACACCGCAGTTTTAAGAGAACCTGACGGCCGACTCACCACAAGCGTATACAGAAAGCCCACGCACACCGATCAATACTTAGCATATGATTCACACCACCCTCAATCAGTAAAACGCGGTATTGCTAAGTGCCTTTCCGAGCGCGCCAAACATCTCGTAACAAAACCCTCAGTCATCTCCGAAGAGAAAAAGCATCTGTCGTCTGTTCTGGTTTCTAATGGTTATCCTTTTTCTTTCTTGCAGAAAATTATCAAGACCGGAAAACCAAACAACAGTGCTGAACCCACCAACGAGTTTAAAGCTACTGCGGTTCTACCTTATGTCAAAGGTCTGTCGGAACAGCTTCGCCGTTGTCTACAACAACAAGGCGTACGCGCTGTTTTCAAGTCGGAGATTACGCTAAAATCTCAGTTAGTACGACCTAAAGACGCTGTCGACCAGGATCGAAATGCACCAATCAGAGCTGTTGAAAAACAACAAATCACAGCAGAGCATCATGCTTTGTAAGATCACGTATGACCAGTCGACCTCATCGCCTGAAGAAGACTAGCAGTATACAGCCGAAACGTCGCGATCTACATCACATGTGACTACTTCGTGAGACAAATGAAAAAACTTAGCTTTTATTGTTATTGTTAGACTTTCTAACAATAAGACTTTTTATTATTATTGTTAGACTTTCTCTCTTTAATAACTTCTCCTATTTGAGAAACAATAGCCTTCCTCGCCCCGTAGCTCCTATGACTAATCAACCCCTAACTTCATTCTTTCGCTCTTTATGTGTACAATTGGACTGGTTATGTAAGCAAGTAATGAAGTTGTTTTAGTTTAACACGATGAGAAAGGGAGCATTATAAGCTTAGGCATTAGATATCACGTGCATTACGTGCTTAGGCCTTGGATGTTTTCCTTTATTCGTTGGAGTTCTCAGTTGACGCATAGGCGAGTAACAAAAACTATGGGAAAAGGTGGAAAAAGGGAAATATATGCTTCTAGATAAACGTATTACCTGGATATGTTGCCAAGTACTTTGCTGCGTCTCTGTTTATGGCCTCTTCAGCTTCCTTGCAGATCTTGCGAAAAGGAAAGTCAAGAATTATCTACAAAAGCTATGATAATCCATTAAAATTACCTATTCAGTGACTAGTTAAAGAATATAAACCACAATAAGAGTGTTCCAACCGTTTCTCTTTCTGTTCATACACCAGACACTTGAAATACGAAAAAAATGATTTGAAAGCAAACCATTGATCAAGTGAAGTCTTATTTACAGCTCAGTTTCAAAAATAATGATCAGGAATAGCCACTAAATTCAATTTACCTTTTTTTTGAGAGCATCCTTAATTTTATCTGCAATCCTCCTTTTAAACAAGTTGTATATTTTCCTACACGAGTAAAAGTCCAGTTGTAAGAGAGAAAATAGAGTTTTGATAAATTGAAAAAAATACGGGTAAGTTGTTAAGATAAGAGTCAGCTTTCACTGGTGAAATTAAAGTAAGACTAGAGGGACAGTTACTTTGCACGACTGCCACTGAAATGAACATCAACTGATCGGACTTGCGAGGAGCAGTCCTGCTCGTGCGTGGAAATGGTGGGATGACCAGTGGAGTCGACACCTAGAATTAACAAGCACCATCACCGTGAGTCAGATAAGAACAGAGCCACACCCAAAGCCTCGAATGAGAAACTAAAGCAATAACCTATAATTATTCATAGATAATGATCGTGCTTTGTCCATGTGAGTCAGATGTACATAACATAATGTTCCAGCAGAGTCTGTCTCCTCTTTTTTGGCGATGCATTTGGATGAAAATTGAAGAAAATCAAGACAATGATATTTGATGATTATTCAGTTGATCGGTGTTATCTGTTAACTCTAACTGCTAATAGCAAGTGCCCTTGAACAAGAAACTTTTCGATCAAACATGTCTGTGGAGAAATTGAAATTGTTATGTATAAGTCTCACCAATCCGTGTTTTCAGGTTAAAGGCTACTCCTCGAACTTTCAACTCCACATTGACCTTGTCCTTTACGTGAAACCTGTAATAATTGAATATAATTAACTCCACAGGAGGACAATGACACCAAATCTTTTAAATCTGTGAGGACCCCGCCAACTAAAGCTACATCCCCAAGATGTTCGTAGCAGGAGCTCCTGAGTCCGGCTACCAAAAGGTAGGTGTTGAACGCAATTTCCTTTATATACGTGTGTTAAAATCAATAAGTTTTTGATGAAGTAAATGGAGTGAATTCTTTTCTGTACATTATGCGGTTATAATACGTACCACAGGACTTTCTTTTTATAACGTAAGAGCAATGCGATATCAAGGTCAATCCCAGTTGCTTGTAAACGAAGACCCTCTCCTGAAGCAGTCGAAAGCGAAGATGAAGCGATCAAACACTTTTTAATCTTGATGCTGGAACCGAAAGTTGTACGTGTTCAAGATGTTAGTAGCAGAAACCACAAGATTTGGGATCTTGCCAAGTAGAAATAAAGCCAAACCTGGCAAACTTGTGGATTATTAAGAACGACATATAATGATAGCAGAAACCCATTCGTTTGTGGTTGCATTTGTAAAGAGTCAAGACTACTTAGGGCTAAGGTAGGGTTAGGTGTGTCGCAGTTTATGTGGAAAAGCAACGTAGTAAAGTTTTCGACTAATGTGCGTTACAAACCATCTTAATATAAAAACAACTTACTCAGACAAAGTGTATTCAAGGCCCCTCTCTTTGCGACTGATGTCTCTTATTTTATCTTTCTGGAGTTTTTCCAACAACGTTGGGATTCCCACATCGTTGTCAGCTAAGAAAGGATTCAGAAAAACAAACGGCATATGAATTGATACTATTTGCGAGGGACTGATAAGCATTAAATTCTATAAATTGACACTTAATATAGTGAGCCCAACTAATAAAGAAAGCCTTTCAAAATTTATACTGAGCAGTAAGATGCTGAGCTTTTTATACCCAGAGACTAAAAGTACATGTACAATGGGGTAAGTTTTCATAGAAATTGTGGTGCTACGTTGGTGGGAGAGTATAACAAGGTAATTTGATATTATCCACTGAGTTGATAACGGAAATTGGCCACTGTTGAGAGTTTCCAAGCTGACGGTTCGTGTGTTAGCCCTTCGTCAGGGCGAACGGGAATTTATGGGTTGTGTATGTGTGTGTTTACATGCAGAAAATGGAGCTACGCTATAACTGGGACCAGGTTAACGAGGAAAACAAGAATTAGTCAGGTTGAATGAAAAGCGTTCGTTTTTGCCGTGGGGATTAGTAGTGCCAATTTGAAAGACAAATTTTTGCTCTAAAGGTTTGCAGATTCACAGTTACTTGTTTAATTAATCTTCACATCCATCACAAGTCAAGAATTCCATTCCTTTTTCGCAGTTTCTCAGTTTTCGTCGTTTAAGAAGTGCGACTCTGATTTTTCCGACAAATCAGGGGAAATATGCCAGTTTTTGGATAAACGTGGTTATCCTATTTCTGTCACCAACAAATTGATCGACAGTCAGCACTACAAACGACACAGAAGGAAAATACCAATCGCGTTCCATTCAATCTCACATTTTACCCTCACAACCACGCACTTAAACGAGTCGCAATATAAAAAAAATTATATCCGGCTCGTAATACAAAAAAAAATTATATCCGGCTGTTATGAATTAAAACTTTCGCAAGCCACCGAGATAAATTTTTTTTCGAAATCTGGCTTGTGGTGGTATGAGTACGAGCTGTTTTCTAGAAATACCACAGTGATGGATCTCAAATTGGAAGCCTGCCGAAATACTTACATTGTAATCCGCTAATAAGGGTGTTAAGCTCATTAACTGCCTTTGACTTGTCAAGGATGTACAGTAAATTTGTAGGAGATTAAGCAGCTTTAACTATTAGGAAGCCGAACGACACTCAATAAACAGCATCCAGCCAGCGGATTAGAGTTAAGTTTGAGTGCGGAAGATCTAATGTAAGTTGCTCAATGAAAGCTTTGAGCAGTAATAAATTCAAACTCTGCTTATGCATTACGATCTCGCTGAAAACTAGAGAACAAAACCAGACAGCCATATTACAAAAATACGATCCCTCTCGATCATAATAAGATACTGATTGAAAATAGACCCTCGTTAAGTATTGTTTTCCCTGAATTTCTTCATTTCCTGTTGTTATTTTCATCTTTTTTTAAACCTCTCTACTTGGATTTTTCAGCAGACTTAAAAGGTATTATTATGATTTCAAAATAACATCACTTGACAGAACCAAAATCATCTCTTTTAGCACAAGAATTTAGATCACGAGTTTAATAAAAATTGAAATAATCCGAAAAGGAAAATGCATCAAAAAGGGAGACACCTCCGGCAAAGAAAAACTCGACAAGAATTAGCTAAGTTGGAATTCGAGAGAACATGCCGCGCAGAAAAGGATCCTTCCCCAAATGGTGCTTTTCTATTCCATGTTGAGCAACCCTCCACAAATGTCTTGACTACAAACATCTTTAAATAAACGGTACATCGTAGTGCCTACCATATTGAAGTCCTTTGTTTGTCACTCGCACGCGGATTCCAGGATGAACAGTTTGGCCTTGAATGTCATAGAACTCGCAGATAAGAATGATTATGGCCGACGTTAACAGTGTGTCAGGCATCAGCTTCATAGCGCTTGATGATGCAGTCTTGCACAGGATTCTCCCTCGATGGAGTTCTTTTCGATCACTTCACTTCACGTTTGTTTAATCTCGGTTGATAACTCTCAGTTGATATGTCAGGCGATAATTAATGATTACCTCAAGTATCAAATTAGATCTGTTTACTCATTGGCATATTTGATACAATGCATATTAGAAGCTATCCTTAAAAGGTCATCCATAACGGATCGTACTTTCGACCGTGTCTTTCAAGAGAAAGCTCGGAAGAAGCGTAAAAGACAAAGATGAAGAGGTTTTGGAAAATCAATATATTTACTGGGTTTCTAGCCTTGTTCTCTGGTTTGTTAACTACTAATGCAAACCCAGGGATACGCCTTCGCTTTACTGACAAAGGTCTCCAGTTGGGTGAGTGTCTACTCGTTAGTTTTAAATTGTTTTCTTTACATTCTTCTACCGGTCACGGTAGGCGCTCAAACTCACTCTATCAACAATTCTGTGGCTTCCGTAAGTTCTATCGTTGAACAGAAGGGTTTACGTTTTTATATATTTTTCATTATTACGTTCAGAATCACTCAATCGTGGGTTTAGTTTAGAAATCAGAGCAATGCGTCAGCAAATTTCAGTTTCACATGTAATGCACGAGTTTGCGGGAATTGCTTACGGGAGCAGAACAGCATGAAACGGAAAACATTTATTACCGAATTCATGACACCTCCAACCTCAAAAATGTCACTTTTATTTTTCTGGTGTGCATGATGATTAATTTCCTCCTGATTAGTAAAAAATACAGCTGTTTTCACAGGCCATTCATAACGTGTGTTGCGTTACTCGATTCTATATGGTTTTGCAATAGGCTTTTATAGGTTCATGCTTGACCGAGCAGGTATGGAGTACCTGAATGAATAATATGTTAATGAATATAAAAGGAACTAATGCCCCATTCACACCAAAGCTTAAACATGTTTAAAAGTTGTTTTGTTAAACACAGTTTAATTTTTTTTTTCTTCATAGAAACTATTTAACCGAATATTTTTGACTTGAATGTAGCACATTGGAAATGCAAGTTAGCAAGTACTTGAATCCAATGGAAAATCAAGTTTTTCAGTTCTCTATTTATAATTTTCATTCAATGAAAACCAGTTTAACAAAACATGTTTTGCTGGTGTGAATGGGGTATAAGTTATCGTAGAAGACAGTTTAGTTCCTTCTGAGTTGAATGCATAAGAAAGTAAGAAAGATGAAAATTTCTAAAATTGAAAAGACACGACCGGACGGGTAGTTTCTGAAGCCACAACAACTCGGATCACCTCGAAATCTGCAGATTATTAACATGTCTAGGCAAGTCTTTGTCATCAACACTTTCTGTTAGGACGTTTCAGTTTCAAGACTCTTGTGAGTAGAGAAAAATGCTTCCAGGTGCAAACTGGTACGGATCGGAAGTTAAGTTTCGAAAAGTTAAATTTCAAAGGCAAAGATTAAGTTTCGATGGCTTTTATCTGAATGTTTTCACATTCTTCTTCGTTAATTTATTTCAGAATTACTTTCAAACAACTAATTAGGTTGTTTATTATGAGCGAATATAAAGTGAAAATTTTCGTCGTTCTGGATTTTGCTGTTAGCCGTGTTATTTTTGAATTTATAAATGACCCATTGTTTAAGAGGCAGTGTTGAACTGGTAAATGAAGGCTTAATTATTTCAGGTCTCATATGGATTCAAATCCTTGCACGGATTATATCACAGACTCTAATAAAAGGGAAACTAATACTTTTAACACTGGTAGTCTAAGGTCTCATTCAAATTCCAGTATTGTTATCCAACTGCTGCTGAAGAATATTGTGTACAAACAGATAAGGGATAAAAGAAGTTTTGATTACTAAGAAATAAGTGGGTAACTTGTTATATGTACATCATCGTATCATTAGAGCCGCATTTAGATCAACTTCCCGAAACAAATACCAACCGATACTCAAGTTGACCAATTAAAGGGAAAACATTTATTGGAAAGAATCGATAAAACTGATAATAATATACAACAATCAATGAAAATCTATCGCAATCGATCATGTCAGCTGTCACCATTTGTGATCTTACTGTCTACGTATGCCACCCCATTAGTAGATAAACAGCGATCGATTGTAAATTCCCTAAATCCAGTCTAATCGATTGTTCATTACGATAAATTTCACCAGGAGAAAACTCAGCAGAACGATTCCTATCAATTATAAGCAGTCGTTAGTTTCTGATTTTCCTTAAGTGATCTTTCTTGTCTGCTCTCCCTCGTTATGACGAGGTGCCATAAAACTGCCGTAGAAAAATGGGCAGTCCTTCTCTCACAGCGTAAGCTGTTGCGCGAGTCAGAAGAGATAGACAGAATAGAAAGAAAAGCTGCATCCCGTGAACTGTATTGACTCACATTAGGGATTTTATGGGAAAAAAGCGACTGGTCAAAGCCAAGTTCCAACGTCCATATTCTTGTGAAGATTGTGCCTCAAGTAAACATGTACACGATACTAACATAGTGGAGTGAAGCTCTCTTGAGGCCCCGTATATCAATGGTGAGGCGGGAGTCGATGTCATTGCTACTTGACCACTAGCGTTTGTGGGAGAAAAAAATTGCAATGGAAACTCAAGCCTCTTATTTTAATTTGACCATAAGAATAAATTAGAATACTGAATCCTATCTTTCGTTATTTGAAAGTGGACACAGTAGCGATCCAACTTCTGAATGAGAAAGTCAAGACAGCAACGATCCCTGACATATCTGGAGATGCTGATACACCGGTCGGCCATATCTCTTACTCTCTGTCAAGGTATGTTCAGTATGACGCAACAAATAACGGGTGTAACCTGAGATGATGGTGGACTGAGACCTATGCTTGTACTGCTAGCATTTTGTGTGATTAATGAAAGAGTGTAATAGGTTAAAATTAGTAAAAATAATTATTGATCATTCCCCTGAGCTCTACGAGCGCTTGGTAATCGGATGACCATCACCTATCCATCACCTATCAATTTTTTTCTCTTTAAACAAAGACTCTCTTTTTGTAATTTATGACGTCTGTCCTCTCTCCATCCCTTTCTTATTTCTGAGATAGTTGTTAACTGCCAGACGATAGCTTACGTGAATTTTCTCTCCATCATTTTAAGCGTGCACTTCAATTCTCTCTCAATTCCTTCGTCGACTTTCAAGACGAATCCAGGCGTGGGACTCACCCTCCAGATCTCAAACGCACAAGTGTCCTTGAGCGGGAACTGGCACTATCGCAAAGATCACTGGTGAGAACTATCGTAGTGAGGCAGTTATTCTTCCAAAATTGCGACGGATCACTCATTTTTAAGGGCGTCAGCTCAGTAACGAGTCAACACATTCTTGATGCAATCATGTGGTTGGTTCTTCTAAGAATACCCTTTTGCGATAAATTCATGTACTTTTTCTCATTATCGGAAACATTTCATTCCTTTATCTATAAATTTCATACATGTCTATTCATGTGCTCACTCCCTCGTGTCATTGTTAAGATTTGCATGGTTGAACTGAAATTTTCAAAATTTCCAAAACTTCATTTATAATGTCTTCCTTCTATCTGGACTTCAGGCCGCATATTAGTGACAGTGGGAGTTTTGACTTGGATGCAAGCGGGCTAGCTTTGTCAGTTAGCGCAAAACTTGGTGAGTTATGTAAATGAGTGCGTATTAACGAGTTTTTTTTTATTTTTTTTTTTTCGGTTAACATACCGCAAATTTCACACTCCTTCAAACTTTTCTCGATGGTTTGTTGCCATCGGCTGAGGTGTGCATCACTCGCATCATATGTCAAAGCCGTAGGCATCAAGATGGTGCTTGTACCAACTCTTTCAGGATCTCCTGAAAGGAAACTTCTCAGCCAAATTATTTCATTCTTGCCTAACTTTTTGTTTATATGTTCTCTTTTTCTGTTTAGGTCAGTTCTTTTTAAAATTTGCCACATTTACTGTACCTTTTCTGCAGAGTGATTTTTCTGTAAAGTGAAAGCAAGGACTCCTTCGCATTTTCAAGTGTATTTTTGCCTTTTCTTTTCAGGCGCAGATAGCACTGGTCACCCAACCATTGCCACATCCAGCTGCTCTAGTTCAGTAGGAGACGTGAATATCCATTTTCATGGTGGTGCAAGGTGACTGATTTCCTTCATTTTGCTCTTATGTTTTGATGTTAGGTAAATGAAGACATTTCACGTGCGGGGGAATCGTCGCATACGATGGCTTATGATTTCAAAGAAGACGAGGCTCCTTCACTGTGCAATAATACCATCACGACCCATACATAATCATGGTATTCATTAGTCGACCCGATCACATCACTAGTATTCTTTGACCGAAAACTGATAAATCAGCTCACCTACCCACGACATAAGGGGCACTTTTCGTCCCAACCGTTTTAGATTCGATATCCTTTCAAATAACATTCATATGAAATTAACCTTTCCTGTGCACAACTTGTACAGAAGCTCCTGACATGTACGATGGTCTGTAGATACTGGCGAAGAGGGAATGATTCGAAAGCATACAGTAGGTTTCCCTGTACTAAACCCGATCTTATGAGCACTGAATGATATCGGCCATCTGGTTTATCGGCCAACGAGTCAGTGATGCTTGTTAACAACTCCGACGGCTTATCGAGCAGAATTTTATGGAAAGAAAGTCCACAGTTTGACTATTTTAGGTTTCAATATTCTTTCTTCTTCCCAGTTGGCTTTACAACCTTTTTGACAGCTACGTAGCAGGAAAAATTAAAGATACTCTGCAAGATAAGGTTAGTAGTAGTCTTACTAAAGGTATGTTGTCCAAAAGTTGAAAACTCTGAAAAGAATAAGTGCCGTGTTTACAGTGGTTTTTTTTTTTGTTCAATGTTTTTCTGATACTTTGAACTAACCTTCAGCCGATTCGTTTAATTCTTTCGAAAGCTTTGCCAAGAAGTATCCGAGGTTATAAACAACAATGCCGAAAAGGAGCTTTCAACGTTTCCAGGTAACTCAAAAGAGGCAGTTTCTTGAATTTGCTTTGTCATGTTATCATGAAACCTCAGGAAACAACTTAATCATTGATCATAATTTACTATTGGGTTATGTCTTAAACATAGTAGAGTAAAAGCACTGGAAGAAATAAAATTGAAATTTTCCCTGAATTCTTACGTGTATGTGACCACCGTGGTTACCGCAACGTTTTCAATGGTTGCTAAATTTGGTTCTACTTGTGTATTTAGCTCAGGTAATTAAAAACCGATCAGTGGACAAGTCACATTTAATTACTTATTTTCCTTGTTGTATTTTGCAAAGTATAGTCTATTTTATTTAGAGTGAGATTAAACTTTCTTCGTTCATTAGCAAGTCAATAAAAAATGAGTTTTCAGTCAGGCGTTTGAGATAAAAGATGGCTATTGGGTGCTTTTATAATTAGTTGCCGTCTTTTGCAATATTTGAAGTGCCGTTAACTGGAAAGCCTCGATTTACACCAAACTTACTTAACACTGTTTTATTCATTCATAAGTCTTGTGTTCGAATGAAGTAAACGTTGTTCTCCTAAATTTACAGCTCTCTCACAGGCTAAGACATTGGATTCCAAGACCAAAGCTTTATCCTTGTTTCTTTTCACATTTCAGTAAAAAAGCAGATCGATCGATACGCTCTTATCAACTATTCTCTGGTTTCAAGTCCAGTCTTTAATGAGTCTTACCTGGACGTTTTCATTAAAGTAAGTGACATCTATGTCAGTTCAGAGTTAAATCGTCATTTTACATATCCTATGTTTCTTATTCTATGTAATCACTTGCGTTTTCATAAGAAGATTAGACGTGTTCTTTATTTTAGTCTTGTTCGTAAAGTTCTCGAATACTTCCCCTACCATTTCACAAAGAAACTGCTGAGGAATTGGCCAATAAGAGGCCACTAAAGCTGATTGCTCTGGAAGTGTTAACTCCGCCAAAATCATAAGTGTTTCCGTCAACAAATAAATTGCACGTTGCACTCCCTTACCACTCCTTCGACGGTAGAAAGTGCAAGAACATACCGAGGTTTTTTAAGAATTCAGGAGTTACCTGGGTAACAATGCATGTCCTGTTAATGTCGCTAAACATCTCTTCCATAAACCAGGTCGCTTAGCTTTTTTCAAATCAAAGTGCTCATTGATAAATAATTGAAAGCTCTAAGCACTTGATTTGGAAAATTAAAACGCCCAGGTTGTTTCAGTTTTTTCCTTCTCATCTTTATGTCCATTTTGATGTCTTAAGGGAGAGTTTCAGTCTGCAACAGACCCAAAAGAGGCTCCATTTTCGCCTGTAAGCCTCCCTACGGATTCAGAATCAGCAAAGATGGCCTACGTTTGGTTAACTGACTACGTTATTAACACAGCCGGGCTCGTTTATCAAGATGCTGGTTTTCTGAACGAAACTGTCACTCCGTCGATGGTAGGTGTAACTATCTTATTTTACGCATTGTGTACATGACAGGCGATTACCCTTCACTACAGACTGATGAGCTAGAGTTTATTTTCAAACTCATGAATGACTTGTTTTACGAATCTTCTCCAACCCCACTGAACGATGTTTTATATATATATTGATACACGGAGAGTCCTAGTGGCAAGCATCGCCCACGCGCTGCTTCTCCAGCTCTAATGTTTTTTTTTAACACAAAGGTAGTAAAATTATGCTTGGTTTTCGTTGCAGCTTCCTCCAAATTTTTCTTACCCTTTAAACACGTCGACATTTAAATTGATCATACCAAAGGTGAGTGATCGCTTATCCCATTTGATTATTTTGATGATCATGGTTTAGGGCTCATGGTCCAAGCTGATACACTTAGAATTAAGTCTTTGGTGTCATTTGCTTAAGAATTTCTCAGAATGACGACGTAACCGTTAAAAAATACAGGTATTCAACTTACATGCGGCAGCACCTTCGAGAGTTTAATGAAATATGTAGTCTGATCTGTTTTACTACTTTCAAGGCTTTCAAGTTCAATTACGCTAGAATTGACGATTCCGTCATATCTTTAAAAATTAATCAATCGACTGAACAATCTTACAACTTCGACTTTTTTTCAACTTTTTATAATTTAGTAGCTGTTACTATTTCTACAAGAAGTTCAGTTATTTTGTTGAATTCCTTTCACTGAAACAATGAAAGGTCGTCAAAGTGTTTTTCCACTTGTTTATTTATCAGTTATACCTGATGTACCCAAACCGTCCAATGAAGCTGGTTGCACACTCCACTCTGCGCCCTACCGTAACCACATCCTCATCAGGAATAGCCTTGACAATGACTGGTCGGGTGGAAACTTACGCGCAGTTAGAAAATGGTTCATTTGTGTACACCTTCACAATGGGACTGGTAAGAGAATCAGGCGTACGACTAATTGTTTCCAACTTGCTATTTTGCCCTTGTTTCAGATAGGTACTGGCTCATTATTAGATGCTATGACTTAAAAAAAATGTTTTTGTTTACAGCGCGATTCCCTTTGGAATTAAGGCAAAGATTGATAAAAAAAAAAAAGGGTCGCATCATTTTGTTTTTGTTTTTTTTTTTTATTATTTGACAAGGGTGGCTAATTTTTATCAATTGACTTATATGGTTTTCCATTTGTAGAACATTTCTGCCAACGTGAAGGTTGCAGTGAGACAATCAAACGTCACCGGTCATGTGGATTCAGTCAAGTATGTATACCTAGAAATATATTTAAATTTTCCTCCGCGATCAATTATACGTTGTCAAAGGAAAGTAATGGGTGATAAGGAGAAGGTAAGGTTGTTATTTGAATAAAGAGAAAGAAAGTTTGTAACGAATCCCTCCTTTAACGGAAGACATTTGAATTTAACGTCCAACGAGCCTTTTGGGTGGTAAAAGTTGTGGGTTTTTCATCTTATTTCTTAAAAAAAGGAAAAAAGCCATAAGTTTGTTTTATTAAGAATGCTTATGATAAAAGTTTCCTTTCCTTAAAGTTAGAGTTTGATTTTCAGTTGTGTCCATTTTTCAGAGTGAAAGTCAGTCTGATCAAGTCTGCCATTGGAGACATATCGGTAGGAAACTAAAAATGATGTATCCTCACTCTCATCAACCGCAGAACTGTAGAGTTTCTGTCTCCGAATACAATCATTAACTGATGATAATAAAATCCCTAGGGAACTGTTCTAGGTTACTGTCGGTGATAAAAAGAAATTTTAAAATACAATAAGGGGTGAACAGCGCATAACGAAATCAGCTTGGATGGGTCCATTACTCAGGGGGCGCAGAGGCCTTCTATTTTGTATGGCACAGTTATGACGGAAATGTTCTCCTCTTTAAGTTATTGTAACGAGGAAGCAAATGTGTAGAAAGGAAAAATTCAAAGTGCGTACAAAACTGTTACTTAGGACGAAAACTACTCTGAAAACGATGGCTCGCGGAAAGTCGTAAGAAGATTATGTTACTTTTTCCAAAAGTTAAATATTGCACTTTTCCATATACTCGGGACTTCATACCTATCAAACCTCTTTTTCAAGAAATGGTTTTAAAACCCTTGCTTCTAGCTTCTACAAAAGACACCATAAACCGATGGAATAAAGCGCATGATTTTGTTTTTCGAAGTAAAGGTTAATCGGAACATTCAAGGAAATTTTCGATGAGTCATTTCCTAGGAATCAACCAATCACGTAAGAAATTTATTTATTAAGGGTTTCATTTTGCTGAATTGCAGATCAACATGAAGCTTCTTCAATTCGCTTTGGATGCTTTTGCAGACCAGATAATTGCCAAGCAACTAAACAGTGAGAGAAATTTTCATGTCATCTACTAACTAGCGATAAACAGTCAATCAAAAAGTCTCTATGGTGTTTGCCGTCCAAGAAGTATTATTCTGTTTCAGTTTAGCTGGGAAAATGCTTAGCCATCGTTAGAGAGAAATTTTAAGACATTGCTGGCCTCCATCCTGAAAAATATGAGCGGTAACCAATCAAACCGAGCATTACTTAGTTGTAAAGTCATGACCCAACGTGCATATGTAGGCCATAGAAATAAATTTATAATGCTTACAATGCTTACTTATGTTTTATCTCATCAAGTTACACAGTTTACAGCTCCTTTTGAAAAGTAAGCATGCCGAGGAATGCTCAAACCTCCATGAAATAAATGTCTCAGTCTAAGTCAGAGGGAGCTTCCGACCAAACGAGAAAAGTTACTTCTGAATTCATTTTGAATGCTAAGGCTTCATTGGTTTTTTTTTTCTATTCTTAAATCTTCTGTGAGCGTAGTTTTTATTTAAATATTTTGGGAAAGTCTGAAGAAGGTTTGGAACCTTTCACCCTATGGATTTACCGTGGAAGCAAGTGAAAATAATAAGGAGTCGAGAGCGAATTATATGCGATTTTTATTAACCTGATTTACAGTTTTAAAATCAGGCTGTCCACAGTGTTAAAGTCAAATCCACTCTCTAAAATATACGCATCACGATGAGTTTCTCAAAGTCACCTGTAAACTACATACCCTGTCCAACGGGGGCTGACATCTAAGATCGTGATTGGTAGCCTTTACTTTCAAATTCAACCATACCTGTATATTACACTTTCAACTATTGCATCAAACTTTGTCAGGTTGGTGTTAACTTATTGCTTGTTTTCTTACCGTATAGAAATTGGCGACGTTGGCTTTCCTTTGCCAGTAGTGGACGGAGTTCAGCTGGTAAATGCTGAAGTAACGCCCGGAAAGGTAGGCTACTTTTTAGCATAATCACTGCCCAGTCCTCAGTAATTTCTAGAGAGGCAGGCCTCTTACCTCTCTTCCTATCTTTTTTGCTACTTCTCTTCTTTCTTCCGTTCCTTCCTTCCATCCTTCCTTCCTTCCTATCTTCTTTAATTAGATCATTCGTTTTTTTCACTGGCGTTGTCCGTTCCTGCCTACTTTGCATCTCTGCTTCGATCCCTTGATTCATCTGCGTTCCTCCTTTCCATTCTTCCGTTTCTTGCTTTTTCAGTTCGTTCCATCTTTGTTCTTCTTCTTTCTGACTTCTTTCTCATCCATTCTGTCATTCAGTGACTCGTGTGTTTGTTGAGTCATTCTATAATTATTTTTTCATTAATTTCAATTCGTAAAGTACGTATTTACTCGAAGCTCGCGCAGTCGAGCAGAATAGCGTGTGTAGGAGCTACGTCGTTCTCTAATATTTGCAACACATTTTGACAAGACCTGTGGTGCGCTATATCGTTGTATCTTATTTTTCTACCCACAGGGCTTCAACTTGATTGCAACAGATGTGAAATATTCTCCTGGTAAAAGTGATGCTACTGATAACCGTCCACGAGGAAGAAATAAGATAGTCATAGTTTAGTCTTCGACCAGTCGCTTGAAATTTAGCAGTTCTCCCAGAGTTAGTCAAATTGACGAGCCAAAATGGAATGGGTTTTAAATAGATGACCGCCGCTGATTGTGTCAAGATTCATAATTTAAATCAAAAGGCTGTAATAAGTAAAGCCACCATCCTTTAGTTGATGTGACCAATTGCCTGTTAATGTGGACCGATGGCTTTTGCTTCTAGCTGATAACAAACTAATGGTGAATATTCTAGTTCATTGTGAATAATCATGAATTAGTATCAACGAAAAACAATAAACGTTTATATGATATTAGGGACGTGTGTTTTAGTCAACTTCTTCAACATGTGGTCAGTTTTTGATTAAGCTGCTACATGAACAGATGAATCAGCACTTAAGGTTTAAATAATTTTATTGTCACCTTTACAGTTATTATTGCACAAAAGGATAAGAATCAATTCCCCATAAACCTTTTTTATTCGTTGGGAGCTCTATCTTAAGGCTGGACAAATAATAGAGGACTTAAGTGGTCAGACAGAACCTATACCTATAGTGTTTAGACATTTAATCGAAAGATTCATAGTCAAACACATCACATAGATGAAATAACGAACAAAGACAGTGGAAATTCTGCGAACGAAAAAAGTGGAAAAGGGCAGAGCCTGCCCAAATTCTAATTTCTAGACAACAGAGAACTATACACAACTTTATATTGTCGCAGGTAGCCAAAGAGTAAAACAAACACTCCAAAAAGGTGCACTTCTTACTGGAAAGTCTTAACAAGTTTTTTAAAAAGCAGTTCTGACATATTCAACAACTCGAAGTCATTTCATTGGTTTGTTCGATCGATCTTCAGGCTCTCACCCCTGCGAAGACCTGATTTCTAAAGCACCTGCCATTTAAATCAGCACAAAAACTAAATTCAGTTCTGAAATCCAAGATCCAGTTAAAAATCCTTCAATAAAAACTTAATTCATCGTCCATGGTGATTGCCACCGAGTTCGAAGAGCACATGCTCAAAACTAGTGCTCAGGCCCTATTTCCGTATCGCTACCTCCCGTTTTAATCCTTATGCAGATTTTAATTTGGGAATTGTAACAGTAGCTCTCCTCTTTAATGTGAAAAGAGGATGGACTTCTCCAGGAGGTCTTAACGTCGTCAGCAAGAGAATGAAGTTATGTCACCCACGTCCCTCAATTTTTGTGTCATTGAAGTCAGCAGTGTTCCTAGATTAAACAACAATAGAGGTAATCTTTTGCGAACAAGCCCAAAACTGGCTGAAAATCGTGGCTGCTTAGAATAGAGGTTCTAACTCACTAATCGTGTAAGCATTATGCAAGTGAAAAGTACCAGTATCTCATTACAAAAGGCAAGTTATAGATAACTACTTTAATTTCAAATTTGTTTCTTCTTCACCATTGCCAATACTCGCTCCTTTGTTTGCCTCTGATGCTTTCAGTTTTCCTTTGACAAGTATTGCATTATAATAATTGTAATAATTGGTGCTCCCTGGTAAGTTTTGAATTATTTCAACCTCTTTTCAATTGCGTTATACCGTATTATTCAAGCTAAACAAACGAAAAGCATTAAAATCGATAAATTTGAAACTACAATGAGTCGCCTTTTATGGCAGAGTCAAGTTCTAACCCACACTGGGTGTTATTTTGGAAGTTACTTTCGTGAAGGCCGGAGGCCAACATAGACAGTAAGTTTTTACTAAATAATGCATAGAAATTTTTAATTTTGGCTTCACCAATTGTTGGAATAATCGTTCAAATTGTTACGACGCTGCCTGAGATGGATTTCCCTTCTTATTACTAAGCGGATAGAACCCTTTGCTCTTTTTTGTGCTATTCCAAGCACTAACGTCTTTTGGACCTCCCGCAGGTTGATGTTGCTCGAGATTTCACCCATTGTTTCTGTATTTCTTTCTTTCTGTCTAATAACTTTATAAATATTCCAAAGATTAGCAGCGGCTGGACATGTTACCTTCTGGGTTGGGAGTCACTCCATCTTGATCAAATAAGACTTTCGTTTCTAAGCAAAAAGAACCCGGAACCTTTTAGTTTTTTTGTTGTTATATTCACGAAGATCTTGCTTCTGGACAAAAGTCACTTTGAGGCTAAATTATCCAAGAGAAAGGTGGTCTGTTTTCTTAAAGAAAATATGTGGTCTGAAGTGTTCAGCCGAATCTCGACTTTAAAAGTAATTGCTTTTCATTAGAGGGCGTGGGTCCCGATATTCTATGCTCAATGAAGCATCAGTTCAATGCAAATGAAAAATTGTGGTTGAAACTCAGGGGTTAAGGCTATATATGAGGAAATAACGAATCAAAGAAAACAAAAACAACAGGATAATCGCAAAAATGGTAAAAACATTTGAAACTCACGTGAAGTTTAATCAAAAGAGGTACGGTTATCACCACTTGTTACTGCTGAATAACAACATACAATGTTTTTAATTTCTCTTAAACTAATTGCTATCATTGTTGTATTTACCATCATCATTACATGAAGAATGGGGTAACATGGTCGCTGTAAGATCACCATTCGTGGGTCGCGAGAATCCTTCATAAGGGTTCTCTTCATATTTTGTCTTTCTATTTTGCACTCTGCTTTTTTCGCTTGGTTTGAATGACAGAACCTTTGAAGCGTCAAATGAATTGACAGGTTGATTGAGTCATCAAATAGCACTTAGGGGAGAGGTAGATAGTCTAAACAAAACAATCACCAGTCTCACTTTTATTATCACGGTCAAATGACTAATCGTTCTATTTTATTCCTCGATTTTGGACAGAAGTGACTCATAATATATTATTGACCATATGCCATAATTCCCTTTTCCTCCTGTCCTGGGAAATATTGATATGGTTTTACGAACACGACGCATCTGACCAGCTTTTCGATTCATGGTATCTCTTGTTTGGAAATTCGTATCTTGGATTGAAAAGGAAGCCATCACAGCAACAGATATGAATAATAATGAGTGAGAACAGGTATGGTTATTTGCTTGGTGAGCCTTAATGTCATTGTTATTACTGAGGAGACATGGACAGAAATATAATATAAAAAGACTCTATCGGTGTCTCTTATCTTAAAATTTTCTCACTAAGGGTTACAGAGTACATAGCTAAAACATTGATTTCAAAGATGACCAATGTTGTCGGGACCTCTTTCACCTAACGTAGTCTTTAAAATGAACTCCAGATGTAGAAAAACATTAATCGAGTAAATGACTGTCATTGAAATTTCCATGACAAGAGCTTGAATATTCAGCGCCATATGCATATACACACCTATTTACCCTGGTTGCCCACATAATTACAGCTATCTTTAAGGCGTTTTTTGCTCATCTTTACTTAAACTTCATTAAAACGCCATGATACAAAATCACTTCAAGTCTGCGCTAATATAAAAAAAAGACTTGCTTTTGTCTTACACTCATTAATTTCGATAGTTTTCATTTAGCAGGAGCATTTTACTCTTCTCTTACAGCGTTTCAATTCTGATGAACAAATGAATGAAAAGTTGTTGGTCCTGGTCCTTTCATTAACCTTGGTTCCTAACGCCTTTCACTTAGGTAAGATAATCCAAGAGTACTAAAAATATTAAAATATTTAAACTGGCCATAGCAAGTGAACTTTAGATACTTCAGTACAAATGATTATTCCAATCTTAAGCAGATAGCCAATTGATAGTGCATAACGTCATGTTTGTGTTACTTGTGTAGGCCTGAGTCACAAACACAAGACCAAACACCATGCGTTCAGGAAGGAAAGGAACTCAACTGATTTCGTCAAGCGAACGTCAGCTCACCTTCGAGACTCGAAAAGAATTGTTGAAATGGAGAAGAAAGATACATCTCGAAAGAGAAGATTATTTCCTCCTGCAAAAAAAGATGAAATTGCAAAGAATGAGATTTTAGTGAGGGAACTGGCTTTGTCATCTTTTGCTGGAGACGTTAAAAACTCTATGAAGAGTGTAACCGACAAGAAACACAAAATTACGAAGAAAATTTATCCAAAAACAAAAACAAGACTTGCTTTACGAGCTACATCAACAGCGAAAAGCACTCAGAAAAGAACTTCCATAATTTTGCCTTCAGCTACAGGAGATAGATCTCAGCCTGAACACGCACTTCCTATTTCTCGTACTCTCTTCACTGCATTGGGGCTGTTGTTGAACGAAAAGAATCATTTTGTTAAAGACTCCAATGCCTTGTCCCTGGCTAAAGTGCTTCTTGACAATGACAAGGCAGTAAGTCAAGAGCACAAAACTGTTGGTTCTGATCCTCAAAACTCTAAAGCTGAGTATCCTCAAGATTTTGGGAGCAAACTATTACGTCTTTTGAACGTTTCATCGTTTCGGAACAGTCCATCTGGTGAGCGGAAGTCTACTATACATACCGAGCTTATCAATCCTACAGAGTTGGGAATCTCAATATTGAGACTGTTGTTTGGGCGCAAGGCACACCTTGTAACCAAACCCACATACAAACCTTTGCTCCGGTATAATCCAACCGATTCAAGTTCACGAATAAAACTTTTACCTCAAACAAGACAGTTAGATAAAGGGAATGCAATGATAACGAATAGGAAACATCACAAAAAGTCATTTTCTTTTGCCCTAGCAAAAGCTGTTAGCGATCTTATCAAGTCTATGGCTAAGGAAGAACTAAAAAATTACTTGCGAAAAATGAATGATGATCCCAAATTTACAAAGGGTGCATCGTTTTCAAGGGTACCTGACAGTTTTTGGCCCTCGAAGAAAGTGGTGGACGTTCAAGGGAATCGGAAATCGTGGGTTCTTTTAAAAATTCCAAAATCAGGAGAATCAATGGTGCCTAATAAAGATTTTTCCGATGAACCTCTTCAAGAAAAAGAAACCGATGTGGACAATGAGACCGAATCTGAAAAAAAGCCGACAGGTATTGTGGATACTTTAGGGAAACTTAACGATGCTCAGCCTTTATCTCAGGAAAACCTCAATAAAGATGTAGGTGAACCCTCAAAAGACACAGCGAATGAAAACTTTGCGAGCGACACAAAAGTGCGGCCGACCACCAAGGCTGGTTACAGCGTGAGGATTCTACCCTCATTAAAAGGGACAGCTGAGAAACAAACTGATAAATACCACACAAATAGGAAGCCTCAGTCTGCCACACAAACTACAGCTGCATTCGCCGAAGCTGTCCAAAAGTTATTGCAAGCAGTACAATCCAGTATCAAAAGTCTCCAGGGCAAACACGTGATAAATTATCCTTCGGATCTAAGCCCAACAGAAGAGAATCAACATATAAACGTTCCGTCTACAAGAACTGGAAGTGTAAGAGCCATACAAAAAGACCCAGTTTCTGTACATTACGTTGAACCCACGATAAAGACTCAATTTATGCAAGATATTCCTGTCCATGGGAAAGCGAACTCCGTAGAACTGTCCGCTCTAATCAGAGAAGCTGGGCAAGAAGATCGGAAGCCTCAAAAGGATCGAGCAAATGCGCTCTTTGACCCATTGAAAGACCTAGAAATATCACCATCTGAACCAATTACAAAATCAAATTCCCCGACGAAAGCGCTCGGTCCATCTGACAATGTCCTTTTTGAGTCTGCCACAGAGATCGGAACTCCAAGAGACAAGCAAGAATTATCCACAGTACAGCACATCAAGGAAGGTAACGTTCAACCGTTTTTGCTCTTTTAATTTATGTTGTTATCATCCTTTGTCTTTTTGATATTGATGCTGTCGAGGTCTGGTTTAACCGCACTATTCTCTTGTTGACTAGATCTTGAAACTTTTGCTGAGAAGGGCCTTCAAACTCATAATCACTATCGTCAAGAACACCACTCTTCTAATCTTCGTTGGTCAGACGTACTTGCTACGCAAGCAGAAAAAATGGCATATGATATGGCCATGAGGGGAATCGTCGAACGCTCAGAATTAGCAACGTCGATGGGTTATGGAGAAAATGTGGCAAAAATCACAGGCGTCCCATTCAACGACGCTGGAGAAGTGGCAACTAATCTTTGGTACAGCGAATCACGTAATTATAGTTATTCGTATCCACGAGTAATTCCACAGACTGACGCATTCACTCAACTGGTCTGGAGAGGAACGAAAGAGATAGGCATGGGATGCGCCAAGGATGTTGCTACTAATGATTTGTATGTGGTGGCTTTGTATAAACCTCCAGGGAATGATCGGCGACGTTTACGAGATAATGTACTCAATAAAGGAACTATGACAGAGGACGTTTACGCCACAATATTTAAGAGGGCAAAAATGCTACCAAATACAACCCTTAATTGATATACCTTGTTTATTAAAAGCTTGAAAATAAATACTTTTATTTGTTTTCATGTTTGTTTATGGATGAAAGACTTGGTAACAGTGAGACGAATTTTTTCGAGAATGATACAGAAAAAGGCAAACGCAACGGTAATTAAGTTGTAACTGAAATGTAAAATAAACTTTTCCTCAATAACCAAAAAATGCATATTCTCATTGAAACACCTAATACAACTTATTTCCACGATATAATTGGAGCGCGTTCTTTGCATGTTTAGGTAAACTATTTTTATGATTGAGTTGAAAAATAACGACTGTAGAACCACCCTCTTTTCTTTTTAAATTCGTCACGTACAACGTTACATTCTGTCTTTCATTATAATATTATTCCAGGAGAGGCTTAGAGACACACTCTAAGGTAAACCTGTAGAGGAATACTCCGGAGATTCGGATGCTTTCTAAAACAATCAGACGGGCCTTTCTTTTCTGCGAGGTATTTTGGGATGTCTTTTTGTACATGCGGCGTTTTATTTACCCTCAGCGCCGATTATTTGTTGTAGCTCCGGTTCTACACTTGTCGAGGAATCGAGGGTTTGACGAAGATATTTTACGAGCCTTAAAAAAACCGTAAGACCGAATGTTACTCCCCGGACCGTAAATTTTTTTGACACGTAGTTATGTAATGAATAGAGCACCTGCCCAAAAGACTATCTCTATTACTAATTTAACCTGTTTTCTCGGTGAAAATCAGATCTTTTGCAATGGCCAAAAATAATGTATCTGCCGCTTAAAACAAACCTGGTATGTAACTGGTAAGTGAGTTATTGTGCTATTTTCATTATTTTATTATTAGGTTGTGTGCTCCGTTGTAAGATATGAATCTCACTGAATTTCCAAAAGCTTTACAGCCGAGCATATATGAACCGGAAGAAGGAAAATTGACAATCCTCGCTCGTCCAAGTCGAGATGCGAGAAATATTTTAGTGTTTACTACCAAACGACTAATGGATCAAGAAAGCATTTCAGCCATCGTAACCAATAACCACTTTACATGTTTATCAGACACAAACATCGACACATGATATCTTATTTTCATTTACCAAGAATCACAGAAGATAGGGACCTCTGAATCAAACATTTAAACAAGAGGATGACATTTACATTTATGCGACTTCTCGACTAGGAAGAAATTACCAGAGCATGTCATATCTGGACCCAAATACCGATGATTCTATATTCAGTTGGAGGGAGCCAAAATCGAGATCTTTTATTACTCAAAAGGGCTCGAAAAGTTTCCCATTCATGTCCCCGGTAAACTAAGTTGCCAACTCAGATGAATGTCGTAACACACGCGTTTGACCAAGTCCATTTCTATAATTCGTTTCACTCTTTTATTCTGGAATCATACTTACCTAGTTCAATCATTTTCACATTTCTATAAGGTATTTAATCTCGCTGATTTATTTGTTTGTTAACGGCATTTTATATGGTTTTAAAAGGAAATTACAGCCATGCTCTTGGTGGGCAGAATTGTTTGACAGCTGAGAAGATGACCAAGACTTCCATTCCCACGCTGTTAATACTAGCGTTCCTGTTACTTATAGTAAAAGGTATGTTTTGATGCATATTTTCCTGTCTTCTTTTCAAATCCAACTCAAGGACTGTTTGCAAACTTCTTTCCTCAGGTTCTCGGGAGAAGATAACCCGGAAAAAGCATGAAAGAAAAATACCTGCGCTGCCATTCGAGAAAATTGCACGATCAGCTCTTATCGGATTAAAACCAGAGGATGTTTTTAAAGTGACTAATGCAGGTTGGCAAGAAGTTTCTCTGTTGTATAATAAAATCATCGTCATAGACCTTTATAACGGTATTTTGTTATGTGCTAGGGTCAGATACCGAGGGCACAAGAAAAAATTATGTAAATTCTCTACAACAACTTCCAGCGATTAAAGGTAATTGTTTATTTATACGTTTTGTTATAAATTAAGTTTCATAACAGCGTTCCTTCAGATCACATTGAACCAAGTGCACATTAAAGCAAATATACCTTGTCTCCCAACAGTGACTAAGCAATTTACTTTATCATAAGACCCATTTGCCGGGATAAGAAGATAATTGTCTTTTTAACTCTGGGGTGATATGAGTATTTAATATCATACCTGCCCACCAGTAGTAGGGTCATACTTGTCCCTATTTTGACCTTTCATCTTTTCCTTTTTCCTTGGACTCAGAGGAACAAAGTTTGACAAACAGTGCCCTATTGTATTCTGGACAGCTGTCATCACTTGACCAACGATTGGTGAACCAATTTGACAAAGGTAATGTTTCATTAGTATTCAATGTAATTTAATCTAATAGAATAATCAAGGTTATAACATCACTCAGCTATTATTTTGAAATAAAACAACTAAAAATTTTCCTAGGACATACAAAATTATCCAGGTTATACTTCCTTACGTTAGCTTTAACTCTGTTTAGTGTGAGCTCTCAACGATGCTACGGGGAAAGCCGTGACCGCTTAATACAGGTCAACCGCCTTTTAAAGGTTCCACAGATCGTGGATACAATAAAAAAAAAACACAAAACAAGTCGTTTTATGCTATAATTTACCACATAATGCACAAAAGCACCCTTAAAAATAATTTTTACATTGATTTCGGGCGATAAAAATGAATTCAACTTTACTAAGAAAATAATTCTCAGTTTTATTTGAGTGATTCTACTTTATGTGACCGAAAATGCAAGTAAAAGTAAATACAAACAGGCCGTTAGGACACAGTAAACGGTGTCCACGACCGCTTCATAGAGGTGACCGCTTATTAGAGGTGTAAACCACGATGATTATTGAGATAAATTCGGGACTTTGATAACCAATCGCTCGATACAGGGTCACCGCTTAATACAATGCCGCCTAACGTTCGACTGTAGTTGGTTAATTTGGTGTAAATAATGACTAGGGCTCTGGTAGTATATTAATCCGAAGTTTCTTTTGTTCATCTTAACACTAATAAGGTTACACTTTTAAAATATTCAGGAAGGGTTACCCATCAAATTAACCTTGTTTTTTTCTTTCTCTATTTCTGTATTGGGTATCTAGTATTTTTTTGACAAAATAGTTTTCCCTCTTAAAAGAACTTACAGGAAATCATGAAGATTATTTACATGGCACAATGTCAAAGACTGAAGACGGTTATGTGATGGATCCTTCTCATAACAAGTCACCAAACGGTAACTTATTAGAAATTTAGAGTGGTGTGTAATTTTTAGACTTTTGAGGTCCAAGGAATTCGGAAAGAAACGTAGGAAAACTAAGAGAATACAATTGCCCCGCTTATGACAAAGCTATAGAGCAAAGAATAAACTCTTGGTGTTCACCATTGACTTCCAAATATTGTTAGAAAGAAATGGTTTCTTTTTTCCTGTGCATGTGCTTAAAGAGCCTATCCAGGATAGGTCCCTCGCGTCTTCAAAATATTGAAAACCATTTGGGTAACGCTAATTTCTTCTTCTTCAGATTTTAGTAAGAGTAGTAGGAACTTCGTTGAGAAGGTAACAAGAGATGAAATGGGGAGAACTGAAGATATGAGTAAGCACCCACTTCACTTCTGCACGTGCATGCGACGACCGAAAAAATGCACGTTTCATGTATAAGGTTCAGGTCTGTTGACCACCTGTTCTGGGGTCTAAAATGGTATCTGACTTTGCGACAAACGCAATGGTTTCCTTCTTTCCTCTTACAGCTGCAGTTTCTGTTTGAGAAGTATTGAGAAATAGGTTGAATTGTATCCAGCCTCTTTTCCCTCTTTGTTGCAACATTTGTAAGTGGATAAGGCGTCAAATTGGGTAAGAAGTTTTCAAACCGACAGGAACAAAACTGAACTGTCTGGAGGCCTTGCATAATCCGTACTCTCGTTTGCAGGTACTGTTCGTAATGGAGGGCTGGATAATGATTTCTATCGCCAAATAAGCCAGATAGACAACGATCAGCCACAAGCTTCTGATGCTGGTAAAGTCAGTAACATGTACAAAGATAACCCTTTACCTGAGTACAGCTACAAGGAGTCAGAATTCGAGAAAATGCCTGATTACAATTCTAAGTTTGGAAACAATCCGTTTGAAATGCCAAAGAATTATTATCAAGAACTTGATACCCAAGATAAAGAACTCTTTGAGGGCGTTAATACAAATCAAGAACACCCCAAAAACTCCCCATCTGATAACTCGGATCTTTTTTCTGCGATTGGTAAAAAGGTCATTCTTGACTTGCTGAACCATCGAAACGACTCAGATCACCAGAGCGAAGACCATCTTAAGCAAGACTTTCTCAAGAAAGTGATGGGAGAAAAAATTGAACAAAATGATGCGGCAATTGGCTCTTTGCTTGCAACTAAACAAGCAACAACTCTGTCACCTTTTAGCAGTCAAGTGAAAACACTGATGACGGCTAACCCTAATGTGATCAGTTATCATTTGCCTACATTACCATCGCAAGGAAACGTTTTAACGTCAGGGAAGATATCTTCGAAAAGCATAATGATCAATGAGCAACAACCACCAAGCACGACAAATGAAGACAACCTACATATTCAAGGACAAGTTTCTCGAGGTGGTCCTCGTACGCCATCTCGAATGATGAAAGATCAGTCCGCAGATATCCCAAATAGCAAAACACTATTTAGAAACGCTTTGCAATCTAAAGAAACAGACTCACCAAATGATAGTTATGTGACACTTAAAATATCTGGTGCTGGAAAACCTGTTAGTTTTAAAGCTGGAACTAGTAATGACGGATCACTAGTTCTTAAAATACCTGGCAATGTCACATTAACGGAATCGGATCCAAAAAAAACTATTAAAAGTGGAACGTTCCCCAAAATGAAAGAATATAACAACTATAAGCCACAAATAGCAACAGATGCTGACGAAATGAACCGTTATCTCTGGGAAAGCCAAACAGATCCAGGAAGAGAATTCTCTAAGAAAGGAAATATGATTAAAGGTTTTGATGACGATTTGACAACAAATATGCTTAGCTGGCAGATTCTGGGGAAAACGAATTCCAAATTAAATAACGGCAATGATTGGGAACATAATGAGGGTCTTTTTCACGAGGCAGATCTACCCTCTGTGAGCCCAACCAGAGGTCGCAACGTTGGCGAGAATCAAAGAAGTCCGACTGCAGTGCACGGTTTTAAACAAATATCTCCAACCAAATACAATGAACTAGACAGAATATCATTTGCCGGGGTAGGACAATCTCCCCCACCAGATATATTTCCTCTAAGCTCAAGACTGCGGGAAGGTGAAGAAAAGCACAAGTTTTTGTCCTTGAAAAGCTTTTTGAGGCCATCTAGGTTTTTCGAGGACCATCCTGAAAACAGGGCAAGACTCAGCTTTAGACCGGACCACGACTTAACGAGATCATCCACCAATAGGAAGTTGGAAAATGGTTAGAATAAAAAATATTAACTACCATCATGTAAATGTGCCGGCAAAAAATATCCAAGCTATTTTCATCAGAAAGTTGTAAGGTTTTGAAACGACTTAAGCTTCCAACTATGCCGGTAATCGGAAATTTTTTTAATTAATCAGCATGTTTGGAAAATTACTACTTCATCGGGGGCCACTTCTGTAATTTCTGCCGAAGCAAAATTAAAAGGTCAATCAAACCTAAAAAAATATACAAGGCGTCTTTGACAACTTAAGGGAAAAGGCGAAGACTGCTTTTGGTTTAAATTACACGGAAAAAATTCCTTTACTTTTAATAAAGTCCAGGAAAGTAGCCCTAGAAAACTGATATGGTCAAACTTTTGAACCATAGTGAAATACTTTAACTAGTACAGGTTTTGGTCACAGGCCACGATAGATAGGCTGTTTTCAATCGAAGGATGCTTAATTCTATACTTTCTGCACAGGTGTGAAGGATTCTTGGTCGCCATGTTCAGTGACCTGTGGTCAAGGTATTCAAGCTAGAGCTCAGTTCTGCCAGGGAAGACAGTGTAAGGGATACAGAACAGAAAGCAGGGCCTGTTTCGTGCACCCATGTCCCGGTAAGACTCACTTCCAGGGAAAAAGAGCAGGAAACCGGTAATGTCAAACTGCTCATAAGCATTTGGATTATACATCCTTTGCTAACATAATTATAAATATAAATTAGATTATAATGATAATGAGGTATACAAAATAAGACCGGATAAATTTAAAACTGATTCATTTTTCATCTCTGAAAAAACACCGTAATTTATCTCTCACTTCTTTGCTGTCAATCTTAGGCTTTATTTTCCTCGGTCGATTTAGACTGATATTACGCCATTTCGGAAGAAAGATGCGGCATGCGTGATATTTAATCTTAAATGCCATTTCTTGAATTTTGTTAGAGCAACTAGGGAGAGCTGGTCTTCGTTTACATAACAAGTTTAGAACATGGCACGGAAGTCCTCCTCTGAAGTGGTCCAAGCGTTTGGCCTCTAAGGCTCAGGAAATCGCTAAACATTTAGCAGATAATTCAATCCATTTAACGGACTTGAAAAAGGAGCATATCGGTATTAACGTGGCCCGCCTGTGGCACAGTTACGACATCGCTGCCGAGAAAGCTACCGCTGACTGGTATAGCGAAGTCAAGAGCTACAACTTCGACGATCCAATGATCGACAAGTCTACCAGGCACTTTACTCAACTTATATGGAGAGATTCGAAGTGGCTCGGAATTGGGGAAGCAAAAAGCTTGGATGGAAAGCACACTGTTGTGGTTGCACTTTATGATCCACCTGGAAACTTAAGACATAAGGAGAAAAGCAATATCCATATACCTGAATCACAGAGTTAGGAAAGCAGGGAAGCGCTGCTAATCATATTTGTCTGAGCTAGTCATATTTAAATAGATGTCCGCCAGTGGCTTTTTGCAGCTTACACGTTTGGATTAGGTGCTGCACATTGAAAATGCCGTTTACATGGACCCTAAAGGCTCTTTATAAGAGGAAATATATCACAGTTTCCATAAAGGAACTGAAAACGAGATCATATTCAGTTTGATAGAAGCGCGTGTGTTACTTTTTACATACCACTTGGAACTGACAGTTGAATTGAAAGTTGAAGATCCGTCGCAAAAAAATTGTTTCCTTATGTCTACAACACAAAACCAGTGTCTGAATACCTTAAACCTTACAAAATATCAGCGAAAAATCTTTTAAGCGCTTTTATGGCCACGTGCTCGTCCAAGTTTTCTTTAAACTCTGTCTAAGAAGAAACTTGCGACAAGAACACAAGATTGTTCTTTCTCTTAAAGTTGTTCTCCTCGCAGTTTACCAGGTACTCTATAAAACCGTCGTCAAAGGCAAACCATTAGTCAAAGTATTTTTCTTTTGGGTGGTCGTCGAATTTCTCGATTTCGTCAAATCGGGAGGGTTGTTTTAATTGGTCCCAAATGTTATCACTATTGCATTTTATAAGCATCAAAGCCAAGCGGCCTTGCGCTGACTCTACGTGTCAGTCACATCTTAAAAAATCTTAGCGTTACCCCTTTTCAAGAGGACGAAGCCTATCTCTGACCCCACTTACACGCCTCAGTGAGTAGCAGACGTGAAACAGGAAAAGAAGACGAGTCGAGAAGTGATGCGATGAAGAGGAAGTTAGTGGAGTGGGATTTTATTTCTTCACTTTCTTGTCCGTTTAATTTAACGTCTGCTACACAGCTTAAGGCTCGCTGAACAGTATCTCGAAACATAAGAAAAAAAAAGTGTCTAGGATACATTGGTTGGCAAGAATAAGGAAAATTAAGTATCTTGAAGAAATCAAGTAGTAATTAACTTTAATCAACCATTTGAAAATAAAATGTTACTTGCTGAAAGATTGACGTCTATGGTCATACCCTTGCAAGTCTAGACATATCAGTCCGGGCGAGTAACATCTCCAGTATCCTACCGGCCTTTTCAGGTATTGACACTTTTACAATACTCTTACCTGCCTAATTTTTTTCAGGTATTAGGCGTGCGAAATCACCTTAGAATTATTATTTCACATCAACCAAACACGGGATTTGAAATTGCCGCACGTCTGAAATGGCTGCATTAAAACTCTCTTGATTTACTCATATCCTACAGGGATGTTAACGACAGCCAATGTAATTACGTGCTCGTGTAATTGCAATTCCATCATAAGCAGTCCTCACCTCTTTAAAAATCATTTTCAAGCTTTAACATGTGGTTAAGGAAGTTACCGTTATATTTTGCAAAATTTAGGCAGTTCATCGTAACCTACAAAAGATCCCAGAGATCCGTGGGACTTCTAGCAGTGTGACAGCCATATCCATCGTTGTCATATAATTGGCCACAAAAATGTAATGCAATGCGATGATGTCTCTGCGAAAAACTAAAATAATTTTTCATACTGAAATCTGCATGCAAGCTGAAAAAGAGGCGTTCATGGAATAATATACCCGAATCATGTGTGCTTGACCTACTTTTCTGTTATAAGGGCGAAAATCCCATGAAGCATCCTTCATTTCAGCTATTCACATCTTTTAAAGGAAACCATGCGTTAAAGTGAATCAATTGGAAACCCGTAAAGGAATTGCCACCGTCAGGTGATTAAGCAAATTTAGATGAAATTCGTCAGGATGAGGTTCCCACGAATCGGTAAAATATATATACATACCATACAGTGTAAGTTCAAATACACATCCTCATAAAATGAAAGTGTAATTACAAATCTCCCTTTTCCACAAATTCTATCAACTATTCATCACTGGAACACTTTCAGGTATTCAAACTCTATCATCTGCGATTTAAACGTCGTTAATATCGAAACGCCTCAACACTTGAAAATGGGTTAGAGAATTAATTGCAAGACTGACAAAGGTAAGGATGTAAATAATTTGGGAAGTATTAATTTTATGTGTTCATGATGGGCAGCTGTATTTGTTTTTATGTCATATTAGATTTGGTAGTAGGGTTTGTTTACGTGTTTAGTTTAATTTTAAGTTCGAGGGGTCTCAAACCTTGAAGCCGTCGATATTTAACTGAAGGGTGTACACTTAAAAGCTTTATTTAACTGTACTGTTAAACCGTGTTCACTGTGCGAAATGTTTTACATGAAGCAACTGAACAGAGAGACCTTTATGTCGCCTAATTCCCTACTTTTTTGGTTATCGTTCATATCAACCTTCATTTTAACTAGCTGTAAATCGACAAGAAAAATTATTGAAATAAGTGTACAAGTTGCAGTTCCTCTGTATTACCCTAAAAGTCCTTCATCAGTATGCATATTTTCCAGACTGTTTTCTATAGTTTTTCAATGTTCCTAACAAGAAAAATTTAGGACATGAACTATGTTCGTTTGTCTCACGATTTCACGACTTCATGACTCAAGGTGAATTTGTTTAACACTCAAGAGCTGCTTTCGTAAGCGATTATTTCTTTTATGCTCATGACCTTAATGTTTGATTATAGATGCCTGCCACTTCTAGCCGTTAAAGGGTCTAGTTTGCAGTGCAATCGTAAACACAATTTTTTTGTGAGACCTACATAACTCTCAGTTCCCAGTTTCATGATGCATGTTAAATTCTCTCAACAGCATGGCTTACAAAACAATGTTAATGATTTTAGTATTTGCTGCTATCGGGCAGGACTACATACTGGGTAAGTAACATTTCGAAGTCGCCTTTTTGATATACCTTTATCGCGAAAATTGGAAACATCAACTACTGTTCTTTTCACACGACAAAATTACCTCGGCAGGTATAAAATTCGGTAGAAACAAGGTGGAAGTAATTCACAGGGGAAAACAATTACAAGGTAGGGACAAACCACCAATCAAACACATTTGATTTCAAGTGAATGAAGGGGGTAAGTTTCTAAAGAAACTGTGGTGCTGTGTCGGTTTGACGAAGGCTTAAAGTTCAAAACGTCAGATTTCAAACTCTTTACGGTGGCCAATTTACGGTATCAACTTAGTTGATAATGCAAAATTACCTTGTTACATTTGATTTTAACGTGGCATTTTGAAAAGATAAAAATATTTCTAACGCCGTTTACTTTTAAGCGGTTATAAATCTTGTGTATGTTGCATGTAGATCTGGTGATGCTCGACAGTCGCGTAGCTCCGCATGACCTTGACAACTTACACGCATTTGTGCGACCAAAACTGCTTGAGGACAGTAAAGATGAGGGAAGTAAGTAATGGTGTTCATAGGCTTAGACCTACAAGTATGTTAGAGTGGACGAACATGTGGGGCACATTACACACAGAGAGAAATCAAGTACAGTAAAGCAAAACCCTGGTCACTGGTGCTCATGTCAATGAGATCAAGTTAAACTGTGAGCACTTAGTCCTTTTTCCAGTAGTATGCCCATACCAAAGATCTCCTCTGATCTCTGTCCTCTTCGTTAGTGATGCTTCAGGAAAACGGAATTGAAGACTTCCGTCCGTTAGACGTTACTATTGAAACAGATGAAGGGCCACACAAAGAAAAAAAGCACCACAAAGAGAAGGACCAGATGTTAGTTTCCCATACTGGAGATAACGATGAAGGATACAACTTACAAGATATGCCCGAATATAAGATGGAAACCAAAGCAGACTTCGAAGAGAACCAAGAAGCAATTGATTGGCTAATGAAAGATCCTAACGAGTACAACGCAAAATCTTTTGAAGATAGCGATGCGTTAGAAGATACAAACAATTTCGGTTTAGATATGGACTTCCCCAATATGGAAGATCAACATCGGACAAATTTTCGTCAGAGAAAAAAGGGGAAAGAAAGACACAATGACATGTCTGGGAAGGGTAAAATTAAGCTTCCTGGTAACCCGCAGTTTCTTCAGGATAGTGACCAAATTGGAGATGATACAGACTTGTTATCGAGTGAAATGGACGCTGAAACTGGCATACATCGTGCTAAGTTAACAAAATCGACAGATAGTGACAAAAACTTCCAAAATTCCGAATATTCTGAAAATGATAACTTGGATCACAGTTACAAAACTTGGAATGGTAATAATAACGATGTGAATGACGGTACCACTGATAGATGGTTTGACGAATACGACAGCGATAAAGACGCATCTTCCAGGAAGAGTCTCCAAGAACGAATAAAAAATCAAGACGCAAAACTATTCCAAGAAATAGACAACTATAATAAAGGAGATAACTATGAAACTTCTGATTATATGGATAATTTTGATAACTATGGCGATGAATTAAAAAATACTATTGACCCTGAAAACAAAGAAATGGCAGATGATAATTCTGACGATGAGGAAGATACTGCCCGGGCAAACGACGGAAACTCTGATCGTTACCAGGACGATGATGCTCTTGAAAACAAGTATGCATGGAACAGTGAGGAAAGCTCACATGTAGGTGATAAAACCGACACCGAAAAGCTAGAGGACACAGATAATGGGGAGAACTCTGACGCTAGTGGCATTTTATCTGGCGATACAGACGATAGCCTACATGGTAAAATGGAGGATGAAAGTAGGGAAAACGCTAAAGCTACAAACAAAAATCAACAAGTTAAAAATAGAAACAGTCACAACGTAAATGGCGATAGTAAAGTACAAGAAGCAGAGGGAGAGGTGACAAATAACCAAAGCAATAATACTGTGATACCAACAACTCAGAGTATAGGTAATGGAGAGGACAATCATTTGGGCAGAAGTAAAGATGTGAAGATTATAAACAAAGGCCAACACACACAAGCTGTTAATTATAAAGAAAACGAAATGCCTGCCAACAACAAATTTTTACACCAAACAACAACTAATTCCAGCAGCGGCAAAGATCACCATTCGAAAACCGTGAATCCTGAAGAAGATAAAATTGGCACCACTGCTAAGAGTCTTTGGATACCTGCCAAAAGTGAAATCAAAGGTTTTCAACATTCAAATTCAAGTGAGCAAGTGGTGTCACTTTCAGACCCTGAAGTCATCGGTGAAATTAAAAAAGGTTCAAAAACTGAGCAGTCTCATGAAGAATCTCAGAGCCAAACAAAAAAACTTAAATCAAAACAAAGTGATGAACAATGGCTAATCCTTCAAAAAGTGAACGATCTCTTAAGAGAAGCAGAGGAAAGTCCTCACGCACAAATCAGTGCTGCTCTGACGAAACCAAAACTTGATCATAGAAAAGAATTTCCACATCATAACAGCCGAACGCGATCCCAAAGAAAAAGTAACAAGCCAACGTCAACTGGATTCCGAAGAAACTGGGAAAATTATCGTCCATCGCCGCCTAGGGGCTACTCAACACCAGACCTAAAAAAAATGGAACAAGTAATCTCCTTTTTGCGGGGAACAACATCCTCTTTATCGCTTCCTACAAGATCCTCAAGGCCATCTGATGTTTCACTGAAAAGTCTTTACTATTACCCACTTCATCCAACGCCTCAAGATCAGAATGATGGAACCTCTGCTGATACCAAAGGTAAGTTCCAAAAGTTAACATCAAATAAACTGAAATACAGATCGTGCATGTAACAAGTAATGAGGTAAAACTGCGTCTTTTGAAACTCAAAATTCTAAAACAAAAAATGTAGTGAAACTGCATTTTTTTAACCCAAAATTCTGTGAAATGGGGTGTTTAGCAGTATTACTGAATAATACGTACATGTTTGAATTGTGATTCCACTACAGCAACCCTCTTTCCCAGCGTCTATACATTTTATTAAGGAGTGCAGTGGGCAATCAATGAATATTCGTTTTCTTTAGATGCGACGTTCGGTGAATGGAATGACTGGTCCTCGTGTTCAGTAACTTGTGGTAAAGGAGTAACCGTTAGAGCCCGAGTGTGCCTCGTGAATGCATGTCCTCAAAAAGATTTGTTTCAATCGAAAAGTTGTCATGAGGATATCTGTGCAGGTACGTGGTGATAACAATTACTGTACGGCTACTTCTAGTGAATTTAGCATCATAATTGTCATTAATAATTTTATTATCATTAATCTTATGATTCCTAGATGAGGTGGAAAGGGAAGCCTTGAAGGAACACAATAGACTCAGAGCCAAACATTTCTCTCCTCCATTATCCTGGTCAGCTTCCCTGGCAAGGAAGGCTCGAAAAATTGCTCAGTCTCTCGCAGGCAAGGATTTCCTTACTCTGGATGATCTTCAGGAGCGACAAGGGGAGAGTATTGCTCAAATAGTCTACACCGGGGAAAGTACCATAACAAAGGCGATAGATAAATGGTACAAGGAAATGGGGTCGTACAGTTTTTCGTATCCAAAGATAAATAGCAAAACACGACATTTTGCGCAAATAACATGGAAAGGAACGAAGAAGATGGGACTCGCTATTACTAGAAGCGGCAGTGGAGAATACGCTTTTGTAGTTGCTCTTTATAATCCACCTGTTTCCAGTGAGAGACACTTACAGCAAAATATTCTTCCTCCTGGTCTCAGGCACGATTTGTACTCAACGTTTCGATGAAGTTAAAGTTCAGCTATAATTATGTTTGGGTTATTCAGATATGCCGTGTGGAACGCTCCCACTTTCGACCTGCGTTGGTTAAGAAAACGTTTGAAAATAGAATAGGAAAATGTTGCCAACTCGACTAGATTGCGCTGCAAGCTCCTTGTTTCCAGAAACCTTGAGATTATTTTGCGTGTGAAGAATCAATAGGATTCGTTAATGATTTATCCACACTCTTAAACCCTTGTGAGATGTCTTTGATGTCTTTGTTACATAGATTCTGTTAGAAGTGACTGACGTGCTTTGAAAATAAAGAAGTTCATGCATTTTAAACATACGTTTGACTGCATATCTTGCTTAATCTTTGTGGACTGTCGAACTTTCAAAACGCTGAATTCAAATTTTTGGAGAAGGCAAGAATTTCTTGAAATGCCTTCAAGTCAAATGAATATAAGGCGCGTAGTGTTTGAAGAACCTGGAAAACCAAAAATCTATAGAGATGACACTTCCTGAAAAACTATAGAAAAAGACATGCATTGTCACCTGCCATACAATGTGGAAGGCGGGGTGATATGTCCAAAACTAAAACCCGGCTGGTGCTCAAATAATGTAATGCAACTTCTTTGACAATCTTTGAAACTATTTCATTTGGAAAGTTGTTTGGACTCACAAAATTTGTAGACAGACGTCGACAGTTTTGAAGGGAAACCATTAGAATTATTTTGCAAAAGAAGAATATCATCTTGCTTAGAGATCCAAGCAGGTATTTTATTAAGTAAGCAGTTGGGAAAACGAGTAACATCTACTCCATCTAAGAAAATAACTTCAATAATCGTTCATCTGTGAATTACAACCTGTCGTTGGTCGTCTTGCTAATAACACCAAACCAAAAAGGTCATTTAATCGCTTCCCTACTGGCTTACAACTTGTTCTAATGCCATTTAACATACATTGATTTAGTGGCACCGAGAAGGTAAGATGATGTAATTTTAATCGGTCCACAATGAACAATAAACCAAGGACAGAAAGGAACTACGATGAGTGTGAACATTAGGGTAATTATGTGAATTTTTCAGATACACTTATACGAAATGAAACGTGAATCATCCTACCAAATAATTCAGAATTAAAAACTGATTCATAAAGGTTCCACAATTACCTACAAAAAGTAAATGTATACAGTACCAGAAGGATAACTAAGCATTCAGCCCTTGGCTAAACAAGGTGATTATAACATGTAAGTAAGAACATAGGTAACCAAGAAAATAACTGTGGTACGATTGTCGTCGACTTCCTACAACAACTATGTTTCAACTTTTCAGGTATCTCGGCAGGGAGGGTGAAGAGATGGAAGCGAGGCCGCTTTATTTAAAAGGGCTTAATCTCTTGTTGCTCATACCATTCCTGGTGCAAGCAAAAGGTGAGAGATTTAACCGAATTTTTTGAAAGTAAATTATGCGATGGTGTACACAAACTTTGAACGTGTAACAAATTCCTATATTGAAGAGATAAAAATATTGACAGACAAGTTAAACACACTCTAGACTCGACAGTTCCCGTCTTGGGAGCTTGCGCTTCAATGCAGTTGTGATTCCTTGAGCCTATAGTTATCACTTCTCGTTATCCACATCTTCGGGTCCAAATCATATCGATAGAAAACTGATACGGGTTTTTCGATTTGAGCAATTTAAAATATCCATTTTAAAATTAAACAAAAGAGCATGTAAGTCAAGGAAGTTGCATGCACTGCATGACTGTACAAACACTGTCGTGGGCGGATTTTTAAGATAATGGCTAGCTTAATTAAAGAAGAATACCAGTTGCAAACAAGAAAGTTTGGATCGGGATCGGCCGTTTGTGTAGCATTGGTCAAGCGAGTAATCTCCTCCTGTGCCTTTACGTAGGGGTTGGCTCAAACACAACAAAGATAAACCAAACTATGATAGCAAACGCAACAAAAAAGAGTTCTCACATTCTGATACATAAAGGAGTTGTTTCAGACCAAATGCCTCAATCTTCAAGTCAGTTGGTTGAACGGAGTGACAGGAGGCTCGAAGTTCAGCGACCGCTTGCAGAAGGTATAGGTTACACCATTAACCAATTTCATAACCTATCTAACATATCGTTGTACCCTATCAGATTTTTTTACAATTTGTGTCAGATGTATTCTTCTCGCGTAGCCCGTGACTTCATATATGGTACCGGGGCTTAAAATTGCTTCTTGCTCTTGCGGCGATACTAAGACAGTTGAAATGGGAAGTTCTCGTGAACGCCAAAGTTCTCGTAAGAGCGGTCTGCTTGATCTCGAGTCACAAATTTCGCTGATATCTGATGTGTTGCAGGACATATACTATGACCGCAATCCGCTTGAACAGGTCTTTATTTTCACGACTTTAATGAAAGTCAAGGTTTAGTCGAGCGAACGCTTGTTTCGACGCTATTCAAAGACTTAAATTTGACCTTAACAACTTTGAAAGACTATTCAGAAAGAACTCAGTAGTCCAGAACAAAAACAAATACCACTGCCGTGTATGTCATGCCTAACTACTCCATCGAAAAGCTTTTTTGAACACCATGTTTCAAACAAGCCAATAAGAAGACTTGAATGAATCCCGGCCAGACCGCTCATAAGGAGGCCCACTCTTAAAACAAACCTAGGCGTAGCCCTCAGCGCAGTATCTCTCAACAATATTAAGAAACTCTTGATCCCACGATAATTGGGCAACAACTGAAAATTTTTAATTAAGATGGAGTTAAGAAGTACGAAAGAGATTTTTGTCAAACGTTGGTTGATCCAGGATGCATCGAGATAAATTATGGTAAGGAATAACTTAGCCGAGAAAATTCACTGAAACTGCGACTAATACAGTATAAACGAGATACCTCATCCTTACAGATGGCACGGATGAAACACGAGAATACGAGGAAGAAGTAAGCGACTCGTCTCCTGCCACAGATATGTTGAGCGAAGTTGCAGGCAGGGAGAGAAACAAAGAAGAGGTGCTGGATGTTGTGCGCCCGTACAAATCTCAAGACGACGATAAGTTTGACATTCAAGATAGAAGACGACAAGGTAAATGAAATTTCCACGTCTGGAAAGTTTTAAAAAACTCTACTGGTTTTGAAAAAAGGTGAAAAGCCCTGGAAATATGGAACTCGGTATTGAATCAAACTGGTCGCTAGAAATTACGAGAGAAATTAAGGGGTCCCAGGTTCCAGCTTAACGCAGGTTTTACCAGATGTAATTTTCACATTTTACTAGCATCAGTAAATTTTATCCCTCGCAACTTTACTTTCCTTCACCGCAACCCAGCTGCGAATTCCTTTGGGTTTTAAAATTTTCATAGCCAGCCGGTGTAAGGGATATGGCATGTCTGTTTTTGTTTTTGTTGTTGTTGTTGTTGTTTTTTTTTTTCATAAAAGTTGGATGAGAGGTTCTAAATATGTCTCTATGTTCAAGGTGCCCAAATGTTAGGTAAGGAATTAAACAAGATGAAGAATAAAGGCTTAATGGCCGAGTCTGAAGATGAGTCAATTGCAGAAGGTGAGTTCAACATGAAATAACTGTTTCTGTGAAAACTGCTCAATCTCAATGCCTTTATTAAATGCGCAGATGATCTGCCTGACGAGCGCAAACTTTTCATCAAATGCATAGATTTTGGCCTTACGTTTGACACCTGTGTTGAATAAGTAATTAGTTGTACCTTAAAAACTTATTTTCCCTGCATGTGCATGATACCAATCTAAAGCCGCATCACGTAAAACCCTTGAGATCTATATTGCCGAGGAAGAAGTTGATCAGCAGAAAAGACATAATGACAACAGGAACATTCTGCATCCTCGAAATAAAAGCATGGTCACCGTTAAACACGGAGATAAGGCAAAGAGTAGTAATGGAATTGGAATTATCCGCAAAATGGCCGCCACCGCCACAACAGCAACCGGTGTAATATCAGCCGCTAACAGAAACGCGAATGAAAGTAGTAAGTACTTACTGTCAAAACGTGAATAAGAGGGACAGGAAGTTATCAGAGCTCGTAACTGTAAAAAGGTAAATGGTGTGGCAAAGAGTGTGATCTCTTCCATTTCGCGGACTGTGTCCAGACATGAAGAGACTATTTCCCATCCCAAGTATTAAAAACGCTATTTTGAAATAGTTTTGGGACTGAGACGAGTGAAATTCAGGGTGAAGTCGGGCGCGTAAATTCAATCTATGAGCACGATTACTCCTAAACGACGAGAGGTCCGATAACCAATTACTTGTGTCAATAACAAAATGCGAGGAACTCAGAAATGAAAAGTTGAATGTAAAAGCACAAACGTTTCTTACTGATATATATTTAGCTTAAGTTTAACTTCTTCAAGTCTAAATATTGTTTGTTGAACCTACCAGAAACAGTCGCTTAAACCCCAAATACAGGCTGTTAAGACACACTCATATTCAACCATTTTGTTATTGACACAGTTAAGTAGGAAATTACTTCCGTTGACGAATGTTTGTGCTTCTCCCACATTTCCAAAGTAAAAACGTCTTCCATTTAATCAGATGCAGTATTTCAAGAGGCTCTTGCAGCACATAACAAACTCAGAGCAATGCATCACGTGAATCCTCTTCAGTGGAACGTAACCCTCGCAGAACAAGCCCAGCAAACAGCAGAATCTGTGGCCAGCGACCCCTCCACCTTCCAAGGGGAGCCTCTCGGTGAGAACATCGCTCAAATATGGCACGACTTACCAAGAGCACCTCTGAAGGCGACAACTATATGGTACAGTGAGAAAAAGTCTTTCAGTTTCTCGTATCCAGAGCTGAACGATAAAGTAAAGCACTTCACGCAGATGATTTGGAGAGATACGTCTCAGTTGGGAATGGGTGCAGCACCAAGCCCCAGCGGCAAGTATGTCACAGTTGTTGCATTGTACAGACCCTTGGGAAATGACATTCATCGCATCAGGGACAACGTCCAAAGGCCGGGGCCCGTACAGGATGTGTATGCGACAATAAAAGAAAAAATTTCCAAACCAAATAAGTCAGTCTAGTTTCGAGCAATGAGCAATTTTGTCTTTTAAAGTTTTATACTAAACTATGACTTAAATGTTCCTCTAAAAGCAGAGAGTAAGACAGGAGAACCACACACATCTACCTTTTGTCATTAAAGTTGATTTGTAGTATGGGTCTGAACTGGTATAAAGCGTTCCGGTAAGACACAGTGACTGATAACGACAGGATTCTACCTGTCCAGCTCAACTCTGCTAAGTTCAGTTTGCTTTGTTAGAAAGATCGCTTGTATAGTATATGCTAGAGATCTCCTGCTTCAGAATGCTTGGCTTCCGGTCAATCAAGCTCGTTACATCAAAACTTGGTAATAATCTCATCTAATTTTAGTCTCAACAGGGAAAAATTTCAATAAGAATCGCCTTTACAAAAACTTAATCTTAAAGAAACTCGACAAAGGACGTTTGCCTTTTGTCCTCCTTTCAGATAATTGTCATCAACACCCGAAAACAAGATAAGTGAGTTAAAAATTCTGTATCAGATAATCATTTGTCAAATAAATTCATCCAATATTGACGTTCTCGTTTGTGTTTCGTCCTTCCCGTGGATGATGATGCCGTTATGGGATTTATCCTTTTCAAGAACACCGGCTTTGGTTCGTATCTGTGGTTCAGGAACACTTGAACTAGTTTCCGTAGACCGAAATTCCAATGTGCCAACAGTAACTGATTCTGGGATTATCTTATTTATAAGCCCGTTATCTGTACAGCCACACTGAACGTCCTCACATGTTTCCTTCACAATTGTTTCATTTATGAAACTATCCCTGCTTACGGAAGAATTAAGGCTTTCTCTGTGAAGAAAAAGGGATACAAAATATCAAGAACATCAAGACGCTGTAAACCTTCCAAATAACGACATCGCAAAAGGAATATCTTCAATTACATATACCTTCCATTTAGGGCAAAAATTTGCATGGATATTTGTCTGCAAACATAGTCTGTTCGGAGATGCGAAAATTTTTACAAGAGCGAAGCTCACAAAAAACTTTGAGCTACGATGAACAGAAATATACGAGCATGTTTTAGCACAAAATGGAGGCTATTGAGTTTATAATCCAATCAGATATTTTTGTGACGCACAGTAAAAAATGTCTACGAAAAGCTCTGCTGCATGGAATATTTACTTTTCAGTTTTCTCTGATACGACCGTGACTTTATGAACAAACAAACATGTCCCTTCTTCTGTAATAAAAATAACTAAATACTCTCTCATCTTAAAATAAATCTTAAACGAAGTCCTTTATCGTGGTGGACAGAAGTTTAGAAGTTGGTGGAATATCTTTTGGGGTATATTGAACGATTATTCCACGAGCGCGGAGATGATTCAAAGGCGCCCCAAAACATAGATTAATCTGCCCAACTTTATTTTATAAGAACAAACAGAATGTTACAATGTACAAAACCATTTCCAGTTTAACTCGTCATCATACACGAGCAAGGTAAAATGGCTCATAGGCCATGATGGCTAAGCCAATGAAAACTCTTAAACTGCATTATCCAATGATCCAGTTTTTAATAACAACGGATATTCCCCACTTTTAGCTGGGGCATATACGGTCACCTGATGCGTTTACATCAATGGTGCGCGAGTAAAAAAAAATGACGAATTCAGCCTTTACTGGGGATACGATCGTGTTATCTTTGCAAGACGACAAACGTTTTTACAAATCGATGAAAACTTGAGTTGTTTTGAACTAAATGGTTCGGAGTTGTATCATTGGCTGCTAGTTGTCATCACCATGAACGAATCAGATGAATGATCCACCCATCCACGACTCTTTGCCTAGCTAGTGCGTAGCCGAAAAATATTTTGACTGTTTCAACCGCCGGCTACAAATCATACTATTGTTTTCAAATTAATGCTTAACATAAACAACAACGACCCACTAAAGTAAGCGAGTCTCGCCCCAAAACTATAAAAAAGGTATTGAAAATATAAATGGTAAATTTTTAGCTAGAATAGAGGTCTTCATTTTATGCTTGATTGTAAATCATAAACGCACCTGCGAGAGATCCCTTTATAAGGTTCGTCCTCTACATGTAAACTCAATTTAGATTTGCGCTGCTCACGCGTGAATTCTCTTGACTGTCGTCTGCTGCGATCAGTTTCCTCCGGTTTGCTGAGGTTACTGTTCTAAAGTATAACGATATGACACCAGCTGATGACAAAAACCTTCTATTAAAGACAGAAGCGTATAATTTATTCTTCCTGTAAATATCAATTATTATTATTCAGCTTTCATACACTTATGAATTCCGATTTCCTGATTGGCTGATTTGCATCACGTGATACTGGGTTGTGACGAAACAACTTCTTTGACGTCATTATCGTGGTGAACTAGCCGTGGTATAAAGTTAACACACCACTGTCATTACATCATGGCTTCAGCTGACTCTAAGTTTGACGAATTGCCAGATGCAGACATTGATTCTCTTAATGATGATGCAATTCCTAAAAACACCAAGAAAGCAACTACTTGGGGAATATCTGTCTCGAAAGGTAAGGTTGCGAATTTCAAATTTTTCATTCAAGCTAGTAGAGGTGTTTTTGCGTGTTGTCAACAGGTTTCAACGCCGTGTTTCTTTGTCCAGTGTATTCAATTTGAATAATAAAAATGTTAACGCACTCATTGCTCGTGATTTATCGGGATTTACCTGTACTCGAAATTTTCAATACCGCAGGAGGCTTTGCCGAGTGCGGTATTGAAATTTCTTGTTTATTGTTAGTGAACTCGTACAGGTAAATCTCCATAATTCAATCACTGAGTGCGCTAAACTTTAAGTAGCTTTGTACCTTATGCAAAATTTCCTGTGCTGTTTGAAGCAGCTCTTCTGGGCTTAAAAAGTACATCGTGGTTTCCAATTTCTTTTTCGCCTTAAGTCTAAAATACATAAAACTTATAAACACACTGGCAAGTAAAAACAAAAACAAAAACAAAACAAGTATGATGGATTTTCTCGGTACCTTTTGCAGTGTTTAGTTGAGGATGAATCTTCAGGTTTAGTCTTCTTTACTCGATCTTCACCACTTGACGCGGACTGTATTAAAAATAGATATTGGAGATAGATAAGGGCTGAAAGCATTTACCTGTACTTTCATGAAGGCTGTATGTGAAATAAGGTAGCCATAGGAAACATGTCCCATCTGAGAGGGACAGGCAGTGATTTTTTCTTTTCGAGTCGTTTTACTTTAAAGTGGCGTCCAAATATTGAAAAGTAATTACTTTGGCCGATCTCATCGTCACGTTTTCTACATTGTTTGGTGGTATGGCATTAATCTGCATTGTAAATTTTCATTTACTTACTATTTTTTTTCGCCTTCAGTTCTTAGGAGTTGTCGTTCACAGAAACTATTTGGAAAATTTCAGATGTCAAAAAGACAGGGACCATTAAAGTCCACAAAGTTTAACAATTACTTACGTTTTTCTCTTTCTTGCACCGAAGTAATAAAGCGACTCCATGTTTACATCTCCCTTGCTTACTGGCCGGATCAGCACAAGTACAACTAGCTCGCACAACACCTGTCAGACAAAAGATAGGACGAAAGGTGAACCCTCCCTACATGTGATCAGAAGGGATAAGCACTCGACTGCTTTTACACTTTTTCGTCCTCTGCAACTTACTACATGCTTCGACATGCTATACAAAAAAAGCACAGTAAAGTCAAACCTTCTTTATTTATTAAATAGGAAAATCCTTTGAGCAAAGATGTAAATTATTCGACTTGCGCGACACTATTGGCCTTTCTTTGACCCAAGGTTTTCAGACGCTCATGAAAAAATGAGGTCCATTCAAAATATACTATTCTCTGGTAGGTTACCGTATAGCCCAGTTTTAAGCACATCGTTCGAATTGTTACATTGCTTTTGGACAAACAGAGATATCAAGTACCATGCAGTTCAGCTCTATTTGTCTACCTTTCTCATTAAGAACGACAGACACATCATAAAGCTGGTCCTGTGACCCAATACCTGAAATACAGAAAAAAACAATCATAACACAGACTTTACTCTCTGAAAACGTATACCCTGTATCCTTTATTTAGCACCTCCGGCGCTGGTTCGTTCCATTTTCAAGAAATTCAAACGAATTTAAGCAGTTGGGTGAGGAGCACTTTCAGTCAATCGGTCGGTCGGTTCCTGTAAACATCCGGGCTTTTTTAAGCGTAGTGGAATTAAACCACTGAATACGGTATGACCACCACGGACTAAAAAGTTTTTCCGGGAAGGCTAAGCTTTCGACCGGAAATCGACATTGACACGCTCGATCGATACTTGAACGATACACTGCAAAGTGATAATTCATTTTTACCGAGAAAATACCTAGTTTGGTGATGTTTTGAGATATTAGCGACAATAGGCACAAAGATACATATGCGGCACAGCTGGTTCCGTCGAGGTTAATTTTTTTAAAACAAAAACGTTCTCACTAACTCGGTGACATTTCTCACTCATTTATCGGCGATAAATGTCCGGTATAAATATGCAAATATATTACTGTGAAGTGACATGTACGGAAATTGAATAAAAAGCCGGGATTAAAAGAGCGGTGGTTGGTTACGGAAAAGTGTAATTCGTTTGGTGAAGAGCGAGGAACTAACGTCAAAATAGAGATTCCTCACGAGGAATCGAGTTGCAGACCCGCATATTTCGCGCTCCGATGCTCGTCATTGACCTTTGAAGCTCATAAAGCTTTGGACATCGCTGATTCTAGCTGCATGTGGAAAAATTGTCACATGTGAACTCAACATAAACCTGCCTCATCGTCGAGATCTCTGTGTGGAGACTCAAGCTCTTCCTTTGTCTCACGTTCTCCGAAAAAACAAGCCGCAAGTTCTTTCTCTACTTGTCGTATGGTTTTTCGATTAGAGAGGTATCACGACTTGAGCTTAGGACTTTCGGCGGGCCGCTATGTGTGGGGTCTGTTATCAGCCAAAATTTGATTACTTCTTTCTAAGAGACGTCAATTTTAGAAAGCTATGAAACCGAAGGGCACATTACATGTACTTACACTTCGCACTAAAAAGCACACCATCTTCAACTGTTTTACTCCTAACATTTCGGATTAGTCTTGTGCAACCTTCGCCTCGTCTGAAATGGCCCAGACTGAAGGCATGACTCTCAATCTTCTCATTAGTTAAGCTTTTGACCACAAAAGTCGGGCATATGGTGTCAGGAGCTAAGACAAAGTATACCAGTGTAAATAACATGCTGAAAACACAACTATCTTCTTTTGTGTTATAGCAGTGTGACTTTTCTAGTAAAATGAGTAGACAAAGGCCATATTTCTACATATCATATTTCTCCTATCACCTGTGCAGGTATTCAAAAGAGTAAAAGAAAGAAGTTACCTCCCGCGGGTCTAAAAACAATGGAGAAGAAAAAGACTGTCCGACTGGAAATAGTTGGCGGAAGTTTGTGAGAATAATTCATACAACTGTCTCAACTTACGTTTCCTTTCATCGATTTTACTGCGCACTGGAGATTTATGGAGCGGAACAACAGGTGTTCCAGGTGTACCAGAGAAACACATAGTATTGTCCTCACTTGATTGTTTTTCTGTCCTACGTGCACTCAGTTCAACAGGACACCCTTCATAGTTAAATAAATCACCAGACACAGACTCTGTCGGTATTGCAGCTTGTTTGTACTGCAAGTTGAATCTGTTAAGGAAGAAATATTGTTACAGAATGAGTGACATGCTCTGTTATTTCATCCCAACATTTGATTGTCCTTTTTCTTTTTTCGTGGGTGAAGTAAATGGTATTGGTGCATTAAGACACTATCTCTCATTACGCGCTACTGAAAAACACAACTGACACACATTTAAGTTATGAACGGCTAGACATAAGGGCCATAAATTTAACACAAACAGGTGTGACCATACAAACCTTTCTAGAGAAGCAAAATCTTCAAAGCATATACCATGAGTATAGGATTTATTTGTAACTGTAACACAATTTGAAGACACTTTGTTTTCACCGGTACGGTCATGGGAGGAGACAGCCTCATGAAAAAGAGGAATACGAGCTTCAGGTCTACCCTGGGAGTCAAGCCATGTCAGCTTCGCCTTACTAACGCACTCAGGAACCCGTGCAGCTACCCCACAATGCACTGTATCTATCTACCGAATAAATCAAACATGGACTGATGATAAGTGTTCATGTGTATTTAAGTTGGAGTTTATTTTTATTTTTACTCAGCGAGTCGTTAGTTATATTAATAAGAAGTTGTATAAAATAAGAAGTTATGACTAGGAGAGAACGAAATTTAAGGGTTTCAGTAATTTTAACATCTCACGTATGTTGTGGGTTCAGTCCTGAACATGTCTGTACAAAGGCGTGAACTGGACCATTATTACGAGAACGGCTTATTTTTTTTCCGATATTCGTGTTCTATGAATTGAGGCTACTTTTTCTTCTCTCTAAATGCTAAGAAAACTGCTACATAAAGCCTTCTTTTTATTTCGACGCCTCTCTTGCGATTTCGTTAATGAAATTTTACTTTCCTCAAAGCTTAAAGATTGAGCGTAGCTCCCTGTTTTTCTGGCAATGCAGCGCAAAGTGAAACTACTGCTTGCACAGAATGGCCTGGCGTCTGAGGTGAGTCACAAACAAACTACGATGCTATAAGTACGCGTTTGAGTTTTCTTGTCGCATCTTTCTTCCCGCTGGTACTGTACTGGCCAAATCTGTAATTTGCGAGTAAATTGCAGATCAGTTTTTAGGCTTACCATCGATGGATTTTGGAGAAGTTTATTTGCCTGTGAACCCAGAACAAAATCGGCAATTTTAGTCTTGAGAAACATAGAGTGCAGCTATAAGAGGAAAAAAAAGCGAATAATAGTTATTACTACTCGTGTGTATTTCACCTTGATACACTTCACTCCTGCTGCAGTGGCAGCCTGTGAATGATCATCACTTGAATGAATAAAGAATGTTGCCTACATGAATGACAGAAAAACAAAAAAATCACACCCCATTAACGTGCATCATTATATAATAGTAGTGATACCGTTGATATCTCAAGAATCACGCAATCCTAGTCATCTGTCCTCTGAAGAAGTTACCTTACATCTTGCATGTATATTTCAACCCTTACAATGACAAAGAAATTAAAATTGGAATAAGAGATAACAAACACAAGGCTTCTACACTGTAATAACTGCTGCCTCTAGATTTTTTTTCTTTTCAAACTGTTTATATCACAACCCCCCACCATTATAATGAGAATTAGCAGCTTTACTGAAATCTGGAATCACACAAAACAGATCAAGATAACTGAACCTTGTTTGACAAATCGATGTTGTGAAGTCTCTGAAGCCAAGCAAACAGACCTGGGTTGGGAGGTCTGCTGAACTCCCACAAATATGAACACAAATGCACCAAGAAGATTGGCATATTGACCTGCAACACAGAGGAAGGATGTTATCAGTGCATTGCTGATACTCTGAGAGGCTTCCTCAATTGTGTTGTTCAGTTAAATCTAATCTTCAATTATTTGAGGAAATTTTTCCATGAGGAAAGTGTCAATTCAAATATGCAAGTACCTACTCAAAACCTTTCAGGTGACAACTTCAACAGAAAACAATGTAAAAGAAACATAGAGGCATGCTGCTACATAACCACAAATTAGGTTAGCAGTGACTAAAATATGCCAGGAAATACATATTTATAAAATACTTCAATCTTTGTAATTGTTAATAATCATCTTAATATACCACACCATGCATTATAATATTATTTAAATGTTTTAGAATCCAGAATTTTCTGCCACTTCAAAATTTTGTCAGACATACCTGAGTCACTAATTCACAAGTTAATTGCTTCATTTTCTTCAGCCATTCACAGGTTTTCCCTCCTGTTGATTTCACAAAAGGACAAAACTCTTCAGCAGACACTTTTTGAGATTCAAGTTAAATGTTGTTACAAAGTGAATCTGACTTATTCATACCAAAAGTTCCCACAGGAATTCAATAGCAGATATTTTTCATAGAGTTTGATTTACCAAGTAATGAAACTCTAGTTAGCTATAATTTATACACTTGTAAAAAGAAGTTGATGGCTTTCTAAAAGGACAAGAACAATTAGCATGATTTAAAACTCATAGCAGGAAGGTATGTTTTTCATATAAAGTTAGAGGTACTTTCATCATTGTGCACTTTAGCAAAATAAATTTATACCATTATACACAGCTAAATTCTTAACGTATTTTAATAGTACATGTATGCAGTAAAGTTAATCAATTAAAGTGCCTTTTAAAAGAAGAAAAAGTTAAGTCAACAACTAGTTGCCTAAATTGAGCTTTATCAAACAGTCAAAAATCTAGGACATATTGTCACCTTCACAACTTTGCTTTTCACTAAGTTTGAGTAAAACAACTCTTCCCCACAGGTTGTTATGGCTCCACTTTTTCACAACATTAATTACTGCTTTGTGAATGTTTGTTTGCTCTTCTTGACACTGAAACAATCCCTCCCATTGGAAAAATAGAGCTGGAACCACAAACTGTAGAAAGCACAAAGATAAGGGAGATGTTTTACCAAGTCAATTTAGAGACAGAACAGGAAAGAGCAGTCCATGACCATTAACTAATTCATTTCACAGTAGGCAAAATAAAGGTAAATTACAGGTAAACCTCTCCACAAACACCATCCAGGGTAAAAGATAAGTGGCTGCACATTATAGCAAGGTTTGAAAAATGAGACAGAGGTGTTATTTTTTTCCACTTGTGAAGCAATAATTGTGAAAATGTACCAACATCAAATGTGAACAAAATTACACATGTAATGTTAAGTAAGTGCATGTGTAATGAAAAGTGAGTGTATCTAGTTGGAAAATTCCCTTTTTTGTATTGTATCCCCATAAGTAAATTAGCTGTAGAGGGGTGTCCACCTGAGTGAGTTATCACCATTTTGTCAAACTTTGGTTAATTAGCTGGTCACTGTCAAGAAGTTATTGTGGCAAATGTGCTTGTATGCCAACATAGGTTTAAAGTCTTCCAAAAAAATGCACAAATGAACAGTACTAATATTTATCTACACAGTCAGACATACTTTATAGGGTGTGTCACACACCAACTGAACATCAACCTTGTCTATTTTGTTGAACCCTTCTTCTTCACTTGGTGGTTCTGAATTAGAACAAGACAGTGTGTTTCTTGATGGATTATATTCATTTCGTAATTTTTTTTTTCTAAGGTTAAGAAATTGTTGGTTGTTCATGCAGAGTTCCAGACAACAAAAAAAGGTTTTTCTAGCAGTTGAATAATAGGTAGTTTGCACCATTAATTAACTGAAGGGAAGTAGACTTAAATACTACCATAAATGTAAATCTTGTTCTTACCAGTATTGTTCTGAAACCATTGTTCAACTTCCATATCAGAGAGTTTAATTAATGAAAGCTCAAACTGACAAGCCAGTTCCCACTCTCTGCCCCAATAACAGATAAAAAGGCCAGAAGAAGGTGCAATATGGAAATAAATCACTCTGAAGTTACACAGCCCAACCTGAAAATTAAAAACATAGTTATCCTAAGAGAAACCCAGAGGGATTCTGAGAATTAAAATAAAAGTCATGAATAAAGTAGGCAGATAGGTGGGTAGGTCAGTAACTAGATAGGTAATTAGCTTGTTAAGTGAGTAGTTACACAGTGGGTAATTACTTAATTTCAATTGGTATTTTCCAAGGTGGAAAGATAGGTAATTGGCTGCTTACACAAAGGTGGTGAAAAAAAAAAAAGGTATACTGGAAACAAGTCACAAGGCAGATCACCTTTAAAACATATCCCATATTGCTACACAAATAAAAGGGGTAAGTTTCTGAAGAAAGTGTAGGCTGCATCAATGGGAGAAGTATAACAAGGCAATCTGGTATTATCAACTGAGTTGATAAAGTAAATTAGCCATTGTCAAGAGTTGCAAAGCTGACATTTCAAGCATTAGCTGTTTATCAGAGCAAAAGACGAAGGGCTAATGCTCAAAACGTCAACTTTGAAACTCTTAACAGAGGCTAATTAATGTTATCAACTCACTTGATAATACCAATGAAATTACCTACAACTAAACACTTGACAGATCAGGACATGGTGGACTGTAGGGGGAGTGTATGTCTCATGTGTAAAGTAATTTGAGGTCTTTCATGCTTACTGAAAAATTTGTCTGTGTTTATTTCCAGTAAAAAACTCTTCTTTCTACTTAAATTAACCCTGCATGACACTTGTGCATGAAGACAATACTCCTTAATTTATATTGGAATGTCAACAATGCCAAAATCTATCTATAAAATGTGTCCTATTGAGGCCCTCATAATTATTTATTGGGATGTAAAAATAACTAAACCCTTTTGAGCCACCTTGAATACTGAACAAAGAAAAGCTTGTCATAGATCTGCAAGGACTGAGAGGTATTTCCAAATGAGAGACACATTGATACATAGCTATAATTATTGTAGTTAGGAGTCCAAATAGCTGTACCTTTTTCCTAATAATGGCCATGTATGATTTTCTCTTTGTTTTGCTGCTGTTTTCATCATCCACAACTACATTTTGGCCCTGAATTTTTTTAGAAGAGAAACCAACAGAAATTTCACACAGACAACTATCTTAGATTGAGACTAACTCAGTCAATATGCATTTTATCATATAACCACTAAGTGTATTCAACCTAAATAGCATGTGATAGATGAGCACACACAGACAACCACAATAAAGATTCTTAATTTTTCCTTGAATTTTTTGTAACAAATCTATGTGAGTTCAGGGCATGACAGCTTTTTCTGAACCAGCTTGTCTCAACCCATTTGGTTCTACACACAAGTCAGCTTTAACTATGGTTTATGATGGGATTGTACCTATACAGCCATATAATGACTATTAAACATGAACTTCATTCTCTGCACTTGTTGCTTAAAAAAAAACCCTAGTATGCAATGTGGACTATCAATAATTATATAATAAGCTCAGTTATGCACACATTCTGATTGGTTCTCAGACGTATAGATGACATCATCATTAACACTTTTTAATTCTTTATTATATAAAACAAATAGATTCCAAGTTGCTGTGCATCTGTTCAGTAATAGATCACACATGACACCAAAATGTGGTAAGAACATCAGTGACACACTCGGCTGCACCTTGTGTGCCACTTTTTTGTTCTTACCACATTTTGACAGTTTCACCAATAATTATTAGTATTGCAACACAAACCTCACTGAGTGTATTGACAACCTTCAGAATCACTTCTCTGTGGCTCAGAGAGGGATTAGCTTCAAACAGTTCTGCTGGGTTAATTTTCTTGTGAGTCTGGGAGAAGTGGTGTTTGAAAAACAAAGCTTTTCCCTTAAAGTAAATCAAAACAAATTTAATATGTATTGTCTATCAGCCTGGGAGAAATATCAGAATCTCCTTTCCAGAATGCCTACCCCTGCACTCTCTGCTAACAAATTTGCGCACCTAGGATAGGTTTTCATGCATACATGAGGTCTCACTCAAACACTGGCTGGTGGCCCGTCCAGCCTTCAATCTTTCACCAGAGACAAGAGATATCATCATCAGCCTGGGACGGAACGACTCGACACCAAGTCAGCGGGCCTAGTGTACCGACTCTACTGAATTCTATATCTTGGAAAACACACGGTACCACTTGAACAAGATAAATTACTTCATAAGTTACATGGGCTGATTATTTCAAGGTGATTGAGAACAAAAAACAGGGTTCACAAGTTAAACTAAGTTAAACAGGCTGTTAAAAAATAACACGTTAGAGTCATGGTAAAATTCTAGAAATGTAATCAGCTAAAAACCTCACCGAAAAGGGAGGACCATAAAAAAACACAACCTCTGGCTTCTTTGTCATTCCAGCTGTCGAACCAGATTACTAGGTCTACCACGAGCGGTCACGAACGGATACTTCAGTCTCGTGACTGTCCGCGGCGAATTCACGGTCCACGCCAGACGCAAAACCAGCGGTTGTGTTCATACTTACTTTTCTAGTCATGTATGTCCAACTTGGCGTTATCGGTTGGACTAATGACGGAGAGTGTTGGATCGCCGATATTGCGTTCATTGTTCTTCCGAAATTTCATCGGATTTTCGTGCGAAAGCTCGTGAGAAGATTCTCACCTGCACTTCGCGCCATGTCGCTAGAGCAAAGAGCGATTATTCTTCGAATTTTCGTTTCCGAACGAAAATTCGCGATGAGAAAAGCTTGGAGAACACAAAACAATTCTCCGCGCAACACAATCGATCTACCTGTCATGTAATGAGCACAAAGCATGAAATTAAAATATCTTGGCGCGATAAGTTTCGAACTGCGTTCGTTGTGTTTTGATCAGAGTTACGTTGCGTTTGACAAAATAACATTTTGAATTACAGGAAAAGGAGAATTCGAGCAAATATCTGGAAAGTACATGTGACAGAGCGTCCAAAAAATTCAGGAAAGCGTATAACAGAAGGAAAATCGTCACAAAGTGCCTTTATTATCGTCCGAGTTATACCATATCGCGAGTAAAGTTCGAGTCCTAGTTAAGTTTGAGTTACGAGTCAAGTACGATTCAATTTAAATCGTTCCCTTTTTTTTTCGCTTTTAGTTTTTTTTCTCTTTTTTTGTTTTGATTTCTGTGTTAAAATGATGTACCAGGGGTACAAGAACACCTAGTCCAAGCTAAAAACGTTTTTCACGGCCGTTAGCGAGGGTTAATTTTGCTCTGATTCACAGCTGCGTTCATAAAAAAAAGGGCAAGGTATCTACGAGTTTCCCCCAAATTTTCTGACTTCTTTTTGATAACACACACCTGAGGCAGAAGTCCTTATTCGACGAAAAACGACTCTGAGTATAAAACTGACTTCTGGTACTCGACCGCCATGTTACATCCACAGGGAGAACATATATTACTTCACAGGAAAACGTTTGTTACATCAAAATGATCATATTTGACTTTTCTTGTTCTCTCCGTGATATACGGGTTTCACATGTTCAAACTTTCCAAGCGAACCATGATACATAATGAGTGGAATACATAACGTTTGATATGCGCTGAATCGTATGCATGATCAAGAAGTTGACAGTTAACGAGTTCAATTTTTCAGTAGTCAGAGCATCAGTTGTGGTTATCACCAGGGATTTAACATGTCTCAACGGACAACAACAGCCTTTAAAACGTTTTGTGAACTTTGTGAAATTCTGTAAGATGGAGAGAGGTCTGTGGTGAAATCAAACGATGAAGTAAGTTGTTTCAACTGAAGTAAGAGGTAAAAATTTATTTAAACGATCAGGTTTGATTTTTTGTCATTTTTGGTGGCTAAAACAATAGTATATTGCCTTATGACGTTAAGTAAGGAGAATGAGAAACGAAGATATTGGAAATTCGTTTACTACCGTATTTGACAGTCAACCTGTATTAATTTGTCAGATGGCTATTCCATCATTTAATGCATGGGTAGGTTTATTAAAGAATTTTACTTTTTGTCATTTTTCAACCCAAGGATTTCAGGCGAGGAAATTCAGGATGCCACTGAAGCTCTACATTGTGGAATTTTAGAGCATCTCAAGTCCAAAATCTCACTGCCCACTGTCATTTCTTTTAAACAAACACATTTTAGTTTTCTTTTTAAAAATAAAGGGAAGAAAAGCAATGACAGTGGGCACATCCTTCTAGAAAAGGAAGATTTTTCAAGATGCCACTTCCCAAACCAGTGGGACATGATTGTTGATGAGTTAGGTGATGGGGTAAAAATTTACTTTCCTGTTAAAGTAAGACTGTTTTTATCTTGGAGTCCAAAAAATCATACCATGGCAGGAGAGTCAGTTGTTCCTCTCCCTCGGTACAGGCCCAAGAAATTGAGCCTTTCATTTTGCAAAGGAGCATGTAGCTTGTCCTGAGAAATGATTGAAATGCACATCTGATTTCGTCTATTTTTATATAATATGTATTTACAAGTCTGCCAAATGTGTACATATGTTTGTTGATGATACTGGAGATGGAGTAGAAATTGATTTCCCTTTTTGGTTATTTTTATCATGATAGTATATTATTTTGTAAATGAGTTTAATTATTTTTCACCCTCTTTTCTTTGTTTCTCTTTGATTTCTGTCTCCCAGTAAGCATCATATTTCTTGGTATATTTCCATTTAGAACGTTCCCTCTCACGCAGCTGCCATTGTCGAAATTCCAATTGTAAGATATCAGCAGCAGGAGTTCTCTTGTTCGACTTGTGGAGAACAACATTTCTGGCCATTTCATTGTTTTTTTCCACCCCTTGACCAGTAAATGGTTTGACTGATGTGTACTTTTTCATGAAAAGTGGAACATGATAGACAAGTGCATGCATATATGGAGTAACATTTGCCTTTTCATAACCAATTAACTTGTCTCGTAGAGATGTAAATAAATTGATCCACGCTTAAGCTTTATCAAAACAAGTGAGGTATGTTGGGATAGAGGGGTTTTTGCTTGTGATTATTTGATAAAGTTCATGAAAGTCTTTCCATATTTTTATAACCATTTGACTTATTTCAGGGTGAATACAATTTGACAATTTTTCTGGTAACTCAGCGAGAAGTTTCTTTTTATCAGCTCCAAGTAGGCTAGTGAAATCGTACATTCCTGACCCTTTACCATCTGCATTTGTCTTTTCCCATATTTGAAATGAAATACCACAGGATCTAATGCTTGTTTGCAGATTTTTCAAATGGGTGTCATTTTGGTTAGCTTTTCTCTTGTTGAAATTTTCCTTTTTGTCCCATTCAACTGTTTCTCTCACTAAGTTGTTAATTAGAACATCCATTATATGTAAAAGTAAGTGCAGTTCATCCAAAACTACATGGTCTAGGTCTACTTTTAAAAGTGGTTCATGTTCACATGAGTATTTTTCTGTATTTCCTTTCTTCCTGCCTAATGTAATGACTTCCTGTAGTGTTCTCTGAAGTGGAGATTTATTGTAGTGCTCCAGGTCAAATTCCATATTCCATCTGTTGGTTTTTACTATCTTGCACCACAGGCATGCATAAATAGATGTGGCACCTTTCATACCAAGCATCAACAACAGAAACTTGTAATCACCACCAAGGAAAACTCAAGATTAAATGAAGAATTATTTATAGTTAATGGTTGCTTGTCTTGTATTAATTCATTTATTTCATTGAATACTGTTGCAAATGATTCTTGCAAAGTCTGATAGCATTCAGATCCCTTAACAATGGCAACAGTGTGATAACCACCAGCAGACATTACATCATCCTCAGTTTGTGGTAGTGAAAATGAAAGCAAAATGAATGAGGAGTTCCTCATCATTCTAGCTCCATCTCCAGAAATTTTAACTTGTATTGGTTTGTCTGCCCAGTTTTTTCCTTCATCTCTGTTCATCATGTCTGCAACTCGTTCTTTCAAGAGATCAGTAAATGACATTTGAGCACCCTCAGCATTTCCTGGTGTTGGGCTGATGTGGCAAATGTAATTTAGTTGATCTCTCTGTTGCTTGACCAGGTATGATATGAATTTCTTGGCGAAGCTCCTGCACTGACTCAGTCTGTCCTTCAAATATGTGAAATCTCTTCTTTTTTGAGTTGAGTTCCTCTTTCCTCCTTGTCCCTTTGGCCTTTGCATATTCACTTTGTACTTTTCCACAAATTTTTCTTAAAGATTCATTAACTACTAGTCTAATTTTTTCATCACTGCTAATTGCAAATGCATTTCCCGGAACAGAGTAATCAAACAGATCAACATAAGTATAAGATAATTTGATGTTTGACTCATGCATGTGCAAATTTGATGGGGTTGAACAAGATGGTTCTCCATTGCCATAGGTGTGATTTCTATCATTTTTCTGTGTCTTGATAAAATCATGCCACAATTTCAGCAAAGGGTAGGGTACGTCCACAGCTAAGATGATATTCCTTGTCACTGTCTTGGCAGCATAGGCTGAAGAGGGACTTTCAATCCCCAACTTCCATTTTAAAAATGAATCAAATGGAGGTGTATCAGACATTTTGCAGCGCTGATAACTTCTTTATTATTTTCTTTCCGAGATATTGCTTGAGAAGCTATTAAAATCTTGTCCAAGTAAGAAGCTTACTATTTTGTTTTTCAAGTCAAATTATTTGCGCGCCAATGCTGCAATCTATGTTAATCTTTGAGCCTTCAGTAGCTGCCCTGTAGCGGTATTGTCCATAGTAGGCTAGGTTACTATGTTTTTACAAAATGGCGATGGAAGAGTTGTTTGATATGTTTTCAGATCTTATAATTTTAGTTTTTGAGTCAACGTCTCTACTGGGAACAAGACCCATAAGAAAAAAATTTTTTTTGGACTTTTGGAAGTCGTTTGGCAGCGTGGATTCACACTTTTATGACTTCAAATAGCCTTCAATTAGAAGGTCGCCTTTCGAAGAGATCGAACAGACGTGGGCAATTGATAAAACAACCCTTGTTGTGGCTGCAGGAGAAGCTTTAGCTGACCAACATAAGCCATTTGAAGACACTTAGGGCACCAAAAAGGTTAAAAGTTTCTTCGACTGGGGAAGATCGTAGCGAAATCGTAAGAGTTTGAGAACGGAGGTGAGTGATCTGGACACTCTTCTAATACATTTCAGACGAGGGCATTTTTAGTACACGCTTCCAGAAAATTACTGTGTCTGATTTTCAAAATTTTCCCACAGAAAGCCTTATGCAGCCGCCATATTTAAACTCCGTAATTTGTCTTTTATGCGCATGCTTAGCCGCCATGATGTCTTCGATTTCTAGCCATGATTTAAATTGACTTGAACTTGTATCGTGACTCGAACTTGACCTGCATTGACCCGAACTTTACTTGGGTTCGAAGTTGAATCGTGAAATGCTATAACTATTATCGTCCAGGGACTTCCCAAAATCACAGTGTGTAGCTAAGAATTGGCAACAGCGTTCAGACGAATTGAGATAAGCATTGACCACATCATCCGGCCACAGTCCTCATATATTCTTACGATAATCGTTTACCCCAACAGGAAAGAGGAAACTGCAAAGGACTGTCAGCAGCATTGAAAAAGAAATAAAATGGCATGCCTCAAAGAATAATTTGTTATAAAAGATAGTGATCGTAATTTCACATTTTGCATTTCTCAAGTTCTTTGTTTACCTTGAGTGACATTTAAATAAAACCAAGTGCTGTAAGGACATGTCTTCCTGACTATCAAAGTTAGAGATGTTTACTCTATATCTGAATCTCCTTTGTAATTAAGATTAGTAGATTACTATTGATTCGATCAATATTGTATACATTGTGTGCATCAAAATTTGTGTACATTACAATTTCACGGAAAACGGGTTTGTTGGGTGACGGTTTGGTTAGGGTCAGTCGCTGAAATAAAAAGAATTTTTGAGTCTCTACAAATATTTTATCGATCCAGAACTGAGCTCATTTGTAAGAAGTTGTAGACGGTTATCCTTCTTTTTCCTCCAATTTGATTGGTTATTCAAAACAAGCCTTGAAATCTACTTTGTAGATCTTTGTTTGTTTCTCATTAGCTGCATGGGAAAAGGATGCGATTAGAGCAAAAAAATTGGTGCGATTCAGTGATAAATCGCACTTGATGAGAGGCAATCAGATTGCAAGAACCACAGGTGATTTCAAAATTAAATATATAGAACTAGTTCTGGCGTGCTGGTTAGCTGTTACTGTCCTTGACTAAAGAGATTGTCCTCAAAATTTCACGTTTGCCCTCGAAGCTTGGCCTCGCCGCCAAATATCAGTTCATTTTTCGGACACGTGCACTCTCTTAACCGTAGACACTATCATCCGACTTACTAGCCACCTGAAGGGGTTTGCGCCAAATGGAGGCTATTGTTTCCCTCTCGTCTGGGAACCAAGCCCCTGCGCGTGCAATGAACGCGTGCTCTGAGTCCGCCTTTTGAATTACGTTTGCATCATACTTAAACGGACAATAATTTCATCAAAACATAGATTCGTCTGCGGCAAATTTAACAAGGGTGATTTCTATTATAAATTGTTTCCAAGTGAGTCGTAGTCCAATTATCGTAACTTATTTTCCACGGCTGAGGTAAAGAACCAGGAAATGGAAAAATTGAATGAGTCAGCAACTGAGAGGGAGGAAGGATGGCGCAACCTAACTAACGAGCAGGTCATGTTACATATATTCAAAATTAACTTATTTATCAGCAAGATTGTTGCTGAAATCGAAGTTAAATTGGAACTTCTTACCGTCAAATCATCAGCCCACGACTGGTGCAATTTGGTTTCACGTCTCCGCAGAGAACTTGGAAAGCTCATCGATTGCTTTCCCCCATATTCCTCAGTGAATTACAACTCGTCGGAGGAAAGGCAAACTAAATATATTCTGGAAGACTTTAAGGAGTTTAACAAAAGAAAAAACTATCAAGAAGAATATTTGAAACTAAGAGCGCAGATTTTGGCCTCTGAAAAATTCCTTGTCGAGAATGCTCCCTCAAAAAGAGAAAACGAAGAATTGAAAAACCAGGTTCACCACCTAAGAGCTCAGATCGATTTCTACCAGTCGCGTATTAAGGAACTAAAGACTTCTATCAGATGTGTCACTAGCGAAATAGTCAGAGAGAAGAAAGCCGTGCAGCGCGAGGAATCACTTATGGAAACCCAAAAGGCGAACGCAATACAGAGGTTGGAGGAACTGCGTCTCACTTTGCGTAAGAAAGAGGAACTGTTGAAGGAAACTGCCGAGCAGAGACAAAGTGATAAGTGCGCTTTACAAAATGAGAAAAAAGAAAATGAAAGGCTAGTTCGCACTTTAAATTTTCACATAGAAGAACAAAGAGTTCTTAAAGATAAAGTTGGAAAAGGTGTTAAAGGAATCATGTAACCAAATATATGAAATTATGCGGTTGGACTTTCCATTTGTTTTAGATATTGCCTTCTTTTCAATAAACAGCGACACCTTTCTTACTCTTGCAAAAGAGTTTTTCTTCCTCCTGAAAATTGTTCTTGCGTACACGTTAAAGTGATAACACGTAGCTAACGGAAGATAACCACCTCTTTGATCAAACCAGCCCCAAGGCGCATATCATTACATACGCAGACGTTACACAACCTTCCCTAAATGACGAAACTTCTTCAAGACCTATTTCTTTTATAAGTAGGTTTCAGATGGAAAAAAGACTGCTAAAGTTAATCTCAATATCCGTTGCGTTCCAAAGTAGAGATTTAGATGGTAAAGTTTAAAACGGATTGGTAAACGAAAAGTATTTAAAAAATATGGATGTCGACGGCAAATATACAGCATTAAAAAAACTGGGGTTTTAAGGCCAAGAACCAAAATCATTTTACCAGGTGTAGGTGATCGATAACCTGTGTTAGCTGCTGAGACCATTTGAGCTGTGATTTAACCGTACACCAAATACTTAAAATTACTCGTTCCCAGACCAATATAGAACAACAGGTACCGACAAAATAGAAGTTCATCAGACAAACAATAACACCAGCCATGCACTGTCAATTTCTCTTCTCAGCAAACCCTATCATATTTATTACAGAAAACCGGGTAATAGCACACATCCAAAACTATTTTTAAATATACTATTTAACCTTTATATGAAATTATGAACTTTAATAATACTATAACGGTCAGCCTCGCAGTAACCAACTTCTGTGAATATCCTCATATAAACCAAGTATATTTAAACAAATAAAAAACCAAAACCATAAATTCAAAAGTCTTCACGTTAAAAAAGGGATGAACACTTGAGTTTAGTTCCTTCTGAAGGCAATACAAAATTTTCTGGAGAAATAAATATACAAATTAACGGTATCTCTGCTGAAATGTGCACAGGGAACATCTACGCAAAAGGAATTTCGATGTGACTCTTCAGTTACCGATTATTCTACTGGCCTAAATTAACTTAATTTTCCAAGCTGTGCTTTTTTAAATAATTCACTTGCAGTGAATATCATGGAATCAATAATTCCTGCCACGGTAAAAGTTCCTCCCACGATAGCACAAACCTGAAAAGAACCAAACAGAGTCGTTTGGAATAAACTATGGTGAACAAAAATACTGAACGAATACATGTACGTGCAAGCTGAGGGGAGGCTTGTTCTAAAAATTCTACGACATACAGCTGTAGTGGGAAGGGGATGACACACCTCGGTACCTGGAAAGTTGTAAACTGGTCCTGTTGTGCCAATTTAAGCCATTGCGTTCACATATATATGTACGACTCTGTACAAAAAGCGTGTTTCACCTCAATTTCCGAGGCGCGGAGAGGGGGGTACAGAGGGAGGTGGTTAGGGAATTGATCTCTTCACTTACATTGTAGTGTGCTCCTAATTTTCAAGAAGTACTATACAAAAGAGGACAGGCGAATACCTACGATAGCCCTAATTCAATATGGACGCTACATAACTGCACATAAAGTGAATGAGAAGGTGAATTAAAGAGAACAAAGGTACGCTAACAGGAGAGCAACTGATTAACCACATATAAGGCATAACTTTACCAATACAAATTTCTGAATGATATTAGCTAGAAGTGCCAGAGAAGAGATGACGAGCGACAACTGTTTAACCATACCGTAGTGATAAAATGATAAAGCGGTTTGCGTCTCTCCACGTATTTGACAGTAATTGGGCTTAAATCATAGCGAAACCAAATTGCTGAAATGATATGAAAACGAGAAAACTATTTATTAATCTTGGAAGATAAAACTTCGCTGCACAAAATGCTAATTGAAACCAATGAATAAAAGGAGTAAGTTTCCAAAGAAACAGTGGTGTTGCGTCTCTGGGAGAGTATAGCAAGGTAATTTAGTGTTATCAACTAAGTTGATAACGTAAATTGGCCACCTTAATGAGTTTAAATGCTGATGTTTCGAGAAAACCGTCGATCCTTACAAGGACAAGCCCTGTTTACGCTAACAACCAAATACATAACTAATATCCTACCTGGCAAAATCCGGCCGCCATGTCCATAAGCTACATAATCCTAAAGAAAAATAATACAAATAGTAACATTTCACACCAATTATCAGGAAAAAAAAAAAGTAGACTGAAGTTACGAGAAAATAACCTTATAAGCCCAGGTATATTGATATGTGAAGGTCGTAGTTCCATCCAGTTTCTCGAAAATTGTAGGTACAATCTTCAATACATAGTCATGCGAAGACAAACCTGTAAAACAACGGCATCTATTTTACTACATGTATGTGTGTACCCTACAACGTAAGAGTGAAACTGCTCTGAGCCATCTTGCTAAGACAAGTTTGGCAACTAAACTTTGGGAAAAAAAAGTTTTTGAAAAGAGATTGAAAAAAATCCCAAGTAGAGTCTCGAGAAAGTTGCTTTATTATGGTATGATCGCTTTTACTCACTATTGACATCTTCTTTATTTCGTCCTCTAAGAGCCACAAAAGCACCAGGAAGTTTATCCTGTGTTGGAAAATACATACAAGTCAGATAAAGACTAGCAATTGCAACAGCAATTTGCTTTTTATTCCTCATAAGCACTGTACAAAAACTATTACAGCAGTGAACCTCAGTATTACCTTAATTTCTGATCCAAAATTAAGAGAGTTGATATGATGCGCCATGTCTGGATTATCTGGCTGTGAAAGACACAATAGAAATCATTTTATAAAATTTGCTTCAGTCAGGGTATAAGGCAGTCTCTTTCACAGCCGTTGTTTGGTCTCATCAGGCACCATGCTCTTTTCCCTGATTGGGGAGAGAGCATGCTGTGTACAAGTTAACAAGGATTTAAGAAGAATAACTAATGAGAACCAAAGCAGTCACCTGTGCACCTGCTCCATGGGTGGACACATGGAAATTACCAGGAACCTTGAGGAAAGAAAAATCCCGAGTTAGAAAGGATTGTCACACTGCCCTCTTACCCCAAGATCTGTACTATGCAAGTCATGTTTTGAGAGTAACCCCATGCTGATACCAATCAATACTGATAATTGTTCATTAGTTTGAGTTACAAATCCTTTATGTTTTGAGGTTATCTGCTTGAAAGCAATAGAGTCTATCATACCTTGTTTATGTTGAACTTGCAGGAGAAAACACATCCTTCTGAAACCCAAGTTTCACAATATCACTGTATGTATGTGGGAATCGTTTTTACAAAAGCCTTACATTGGTGGATGAGCAAAAATATCTGTTGCAGGAAAACATGGATAAACTATACACAATGTGATGCAAGTAGTGTCTGTAAGTACAAACAAGTGTATTGTGCATGTACCTCCGTGATTCATTTCTTCAGTGTGGGTATTCTCCTGAAAACCAACCTCATGCCTGTTGATAAATATTACAATAATTTACAGCCATGACCAACACGCTACTTGTGCTTAATATATAGAGAATAATACATGGGCAGGTGTAGATATGGAATTTCTCTTCAAGTGTTTGACTCAATAGCTCATGCGTGAGCACAGCAAATGAGTGAGATGTCGAGTTGAACATGAGAAGAAAAATTCCATATCTATAAGCAACCATGTATTGTTTGTTTATCATATAAACACAATAGCCCTTTAGTGACAAGAAAAGCTGACTTGACATTAATGAATGAATGAAAATAAATGCATCGACAATTGCAGAATAACAATCATAGAGTAAGTTGACACTAACTCTTAAGATGGAAAAATGCATCAAATCATGATTACAAAAACAACAATGTTGGTAATTTTCAATTCACAAAATTCTCATTTATTGACTTTGTTCTTATCAACAGTAGAAGTCTTTCAGGTAAACGGCCAAAAATCGGCCAGTGGCAAATCTTCCAATTGTCGATTTTCATTCTCAGCCAAGAGAAATGCAAACACCAAAGCCACTGAATACATAACTTTCAGTTTTTCTTTTATTGTATTGGTTTTCTTCCCCTTCTAGGAAAGTTGGAACCTCACTGTCTGTCAGCAATATGAGATTTTTAATGTTTTAGCCGCCATAATTCGAGAAAGTTCGGACAAACAACTAGTATTGAGAATCATGAAGGCTTTGTTGTTCATTCATCAACCTGACCCAGTAATGCCAAAGGCAAGTGACGTGTCAGCAGCTGATTGGCTATATTAACATACGTGAAAAAAAATACCACATTTTTTCATGTGTTGTTATGGCTTTTCTCAGGGCCAGAAATCCCTGTATAACACCACAGTTTATGTGATAAATAAAGTTCATGACCATTATTTTGCAACCTCTATAGTATTAAGATAATGCAGTAACTAAAACTGTTGTTATCAAAATTATCATTATTATTTTAATTATCATTTTTATTATCATCAATATCCTTATTATTTTGTCTAACATACCGTCCCATTTCATCCTGGATATCGAGACCAAGATCTGAAAAATGGATGTCAAAGTTTGCATAATTTTAAAGTAACAATAATGAAATGAATGATTAACAATTATTCATCAAAATGGAGGTAAATATCCACCACTTTTAATGACACTGAGGTTACCTGTTCTGGTATACATCACACACATGGCAAAAAAATTAGTTTATGTCTCTCAATATACTGCATAATGAGCAGACATTTAACTCTTGACACCCTATTTTGTCTCATCAACTGCTGGGGATGAATAGTACTTGCTCTTTACTTACAAATTTGCCAATCAACACACACAAAAAGCCCATTCAATTGAGTGGTATATACCAATTGATTATATCCTGGACCAAAAATTGAAAATAAACACAAGAGCATAAATCTTTGTTATTATTAACCGTAGTTATTCGGTTATAAGGCGTACTCGGCTATAAGACGCACCCCCAATTCAGCAACTTCATTATTGCATGTTTTCAAACTAAGAAAATTGCTAAAATACTTGGTTATAAGGCGCACCGTTGTTTGGGGAGTAAAGATCGGTCAAGTTTATTGTAAATTCTTTCATAAACTTACAAAAAAGCGAAAAAGTCGCGTATTGATTTTAGTTTACCGTTAATCAACAAAAGCAGAATTGTCGCACACGCGACCAGGCACACAAACAAAAGCCTTGATTAAACAAGATGTACCGCCGAGAATGTAGGTCTCAGTGCACTACAAAGGCTGAAAGGATGAAGAAGGTATTTACCTCTTCACTTGTTTATTTTCGTTTCGTTTTGTGATGTATCAAATTACTAAGCACATGCTCTCGAGCACGTATCACATCTATGCAAATTTGACTTCGCTTGTCTTTTCAGAACCACCATATTCATAAAAGTCAATGTGTGTGTGTCATTTTATTTGCTTGAAATCGTACCAGTAACTGTGATCAAAAAAAATTGTTTCGGGAAAATAATTTTGGTGGTAATTTTTAGTAGAAATTAGGAATTTCTTGAAAAAAACGGTGCGCCTTATAACCGAATAACTACGGTAGTTGGCAAAATTTCCATATACAGGAGGAAGGTGCATTTCCCTTTCAACAATTTTAACCATTGGCTTCCACTTTTGAAATAAATATCAATTTGATTGATTATTAGTCATTAAATTTTTATCTAGAAATGCAGTAAAAGGCCACAATCAGGAGGTTTTTCTTGTTTCATAAGCCTTTTCCATCTGGGAAGTAGGTAGACTATCTGTCTTTTTCTCTTTTCCTCTCCCTTCCCCTCCCCTTACTATTCACTTTAACCCAAAATCTAACATGGCCACCTGATCACAAATGGTGAGCTTATAATGGCAGCAGGTGGATAAACCAAAGGTCTAAGCCTAAAATGCTGACTTGCCCTCTCTAATGAGATGCCTACATTTTGTTATTTTAACATTTAGTCAATATCTCAAAAAGAAAAAGCATTAATAAGTGTCACATCAGGGGAGGCTGGCAGAGGGTTTATACATGATGCATGATTCAACCCAAAATCAACATGTGAATAGTAAAGAAAGGCAAGGTAAGGTGAGATTTGAAGATTTCTCTTATAAATACAAAACAGTATATAGTCACTAAAATATATTAGGTGACAACCCAAAGTACTCACGTTCACACTTCATCCTTGGCAAAGTTATGTTCAATTTCACATCCAATCGGTCATTTTCTGTTGGGTTATCTACAAACAACTCACTAACACTGGAGAAAAACAAGAAAAAATCCCCCTTGAAAATTAAAAGAATTTTATGCAAAGCAACATGTAAAAGCTGTAGTAATGGTAAACTGCAGCTAATTAAGGAAAATACCAGATAAAAGATCAAGGATACCTGATCTACTATCCCTTCAATGCATGCACTATTATCTTTTTTAAGCCTGATTTGAAATGCATTTTTTCTTTTAAAATCATTTTCAAGGATATACAAATCAATAATAAAGAAAAATCAAGATGACAAATTTCCATAAATAACAACTCAGTAAGGTATGACTTCAACTGTTTTACTGTCATCTAATTATTAATTGAAAAAATTAAAATTTTTCATTGGCACTTACATTTCTGTGTTGATAAAGCTGTAAAATTCTGATAACAACAAAAATACTATAAACAGACAACTGCATATTGAGACTGTTGAGTAAAAAATAGTAGAAGGGTTAGGCTGCTGCAGCTATAACAGCAGTAAAAAGAAACTATTCATCTTGAATACTCAACATAATTCATATTACTTTCAAGCTGTCAACACCTTGGCCACAGTCAAATTTTGAAGATAATCTACATGTACATTTCTGAATGTGCTCTGTTCAACTTTCTAGAAATTTCACACAATATTGTTCTCAGTTTTGTTCCTCCAGTAAGTCTTTCTCTAGTAAGTTCATTTTAACTCAGCGTGCTTTTGAATTAGAACATCTTATCTCCAAGGGACACTAGTCAATGACTTAATCATCAACTGAAAAAATTGTGTACATATTTGTTCTTTCCAATGTTAAAAAACTAAGAAAATCGTGCCACTGTACAGTATATTCCAAATGAGTTGTTGATATTTAACATAAGAAGAGAGATCTGACAGCATGAGACCTAAATATTTTCATTTGTTTCTGAATACATACAGTACATTGATAGTGCAAATGCGCAAAGAGAGTCGTGTTAAAGTGTAACTCATGATGACATTCCTTAGCATAATTCTTGAAACAGTTCCATTTCAGACCCCCTCCCCTCCCCATCTATGTTGAAGGGAGCTGAGTATTCTAGTATGAGTATTGGAAAAAAAAAAACTTACTGACTGCCCCTGTCAATGTGGGTTCTGTTAAATCCTTGGGAACTTTTCTATAAACATCAAACCTGTAAGAAACAAAAACACCAGCTAGGAAATAACACACTGTTTCATGTACATGTGACCTTCCTGTAACACCTGGCTTAGAGGACCCTCTCCTTGGCCCTGAAGACAAACTAACCAAATTTTTCTTGCCTTTATTGTCAGACCCCACATGACTGCTAAAGGGCTCTTGGCTTTCAAGCTTTCATTATAAAATATTTACATCTGTATTTATGTACTTCTGATTAAATATGACTGTCAAACCTTAAAACAAAGAGAAAATAGGACACTAAGAATTTTATTCAAAATCATTTCCGAATGTAATAAGCTGAGAATGATCTATGTTTATTTCATTCAAAATAAGTACTAAACAAAGCCCTTGCCTGTCTAATTTTAAGATTGCAAATATAGCACAGTACTGGCCAAATTACTCTGTTCTTCTTTTTTACTGAGGGAATCCTCATATTCGACGCGGAAGCTTTGAAAATGGACTTACAATAAGGCAGACAAACCATCTTTAATCTTTTATAATAAATTAATATCAAACATTCTGAATTAAATTTTTTATGTCTCAAATAACTGAATGTTAAAATGAGGAAAACCAGGTCAATGGAATCAGATATCCTGTTTCTGTATCTGACGCAAGGCGAGTTTAGCTTCCCGATTAATTTTGAGGGTACACGGTCCTGGTTTTCTTTCCTCAGCCGCCAAAAGTACACCAGCAAACGTGTTTTGACACGTGTGCATCACTTTATAGTTGTGAAGAATTTTTTATTTTACCAATCGAAACTATCAAGTATACAGATCAAGCTTATCACTCATTAGAACTTCTTACCTTCTAACATCAAACTGCATATTTCCCCGGTGAAATTAGACCACTCAATCGTAAAAATCGCCACACACGGAATCGTGAACGACGGTTAATCGATAATATTTACCCCAGTGGCAATTTTTTGCCGCCATTTATAGTTTTCTACGTGGTGAATATTGATTGGCTGAAAACATATACTTACCAACCTTCCGCTCTTGCGCGTTTGAAATGATAGTATTTGGCTTGGTAACTAGTGCTCTTCGTTTGCGTGGCAAGCCGCCGAAAAAAAATTCTTATCATTTAATTTTCCGCAATAAGAGGAAGAGTATGAGACTATTATAGTGAATATTTTCATTCGATGAAAAATATTTTTTTTAGTAGAAAAATATTTCACTCGATTGATAAAATCACGTGGCAGGCTAAGGACTGGTCAAACAGCACAGACAATGGCGACGGAAGAGTTCTGGAGAGAAGACCGAAGAGTCGACTGAGGTTACGTTAGTTTTTCACAGCCGTTTCCCATCAGCTTGACATGTGCGAGTACAATGGTTCGAAGGTTAACTCGGATTAGATCAAGCCACTGTACTCACACATGTCAAGCTGATGAGCAATAGCTGGGAAAACCTAACAAAGCACCGGTCGACTCTTTGGTGTGCTCTTCCGTCGTCATGTTTGTGCTTAGCGACCAGGCCTAAGCCAAGCACTTATAAAATTTTATAGAATAAGGATTTTTTTTAACGCATGAATAAATTTTTTAGCGAATAAGAATATATTTTTATTAAATTTTGCTACATTTCGGCCACGACGACATGCCCCTAAACAAAAGAACAAAAGCGGTTCTAGAAATTTGTAAATGCATTATTAATTCTCCACACACAAGTGACTGGCAGTAATTGAACTAGATAAAATTAAAATTTCAGTGTGGGAAAATACCGTAACAAGGCTTTTTAAAGATACTTTTGGTAACAAACAGTTCCTGCGGGATTTTTTCGAAGTATTTAAAAATCTCGGGAATAGTTTCATTCACTGAAAATGCAAAGAAAACATTTTCTCGATGATGCCCGCACCGGCATTCGTCCTTTGACAAATCGTGTAATCGTCAAGAAACTTGAGACAGTTCAGGACAAGAGTGAGGAGTCAGTCGATCTTTCAATTCTTTCTCTGATAGAAAAGTCGCGATAATGGTCCCCAATAAAAGCCTTTAAAGAAGACTCCTTCATTGGTTTCCAAGGTTTCTGGTCTACGTTTTCAAGCATGCTGTCCAGAAACGCTGGATGCTGAGTGAGTTCTCACTATATCGTAGGAGGCTGTTTAGCTCAGAAGATGCCCAAAAAACGTTGACATCGAGAGCTATTTCTGGCGTGCAGCTGCCTATCATAGACTATCAGCGGATGCCATAACCCTTGACGCTTTAACTAAAGCGGAATAAGAAAGAAAATGTTAATTCCGAGAAATTCGAGACAAATGCCACAATTTCCATTCTTTGTGACGGTTACTTTACTTAAAGAAAAGTTGAACATTGGTTGCTCTCAAGAGATTCCATCGTGATCTCTTGATGCTCTTGATAATTAATGTCAAATAGATGGTCTTTGCACTGCGAAAAATTATAAATGGTCAATGGAAATTACAATACAAGCAATAGTAGGATTTTCCTCATAATTTATTCAAACATATTTGGGCGCCATTCATCTGTGTTTGGTCAAGTACCTTATAATATATGATTAATATAACTTACATCTTTTCAAATTTACATCTTCTAATTTTTAAATTCATAAATAAATATATCGTACACATCTTTCAAGTATTTCTTCTTTTAAGTCTGTTTTTGACAAAATTCGGCTTACTTATATTCTTGCCACCATAAAGTATAAGCCTGTTTTATTTTATCTACTACCTGGGTAATATGAAACAAACTGTTTTTTCATTAATGCATAAGTACAAAAATATTCGTCATCAAAGTGGAAGAGAAAACGGTTTATTATTTTGTTTAATATTATTCTTTCCACTTCAATTTCGTCCTAGGCTTTATTTTTTAAAGCGTACAGTGACGATAATTTTACCACATGCAATTCATGAGATAAACTATTGTGTAAACCATAAATAATTAGACTGTGGAGAAAACGATGCGTCCTGTGAGAAAAGAGCATAGCGGTTTTTTTTTGGCTGATATAATGGATATGGGTACATTTAATATAATTCAGATACAAAGAATTTGTCGCTTTTGACTTCTTGCCTCTAATGCTACTGAGCTACATGGGTGAAGTCACGAGCCCAGGTGAATTCTGTTTGTTACCAGAGGTAGTCATTTCGGATCCACATGGCAACGGAGAAAAACTGAAAAATCCAAAGGGAGTGGTGGGTGTGTGTGTGCTCGATACTCTATTTGTAAGCTGAGTCTCTGATTCCCAGTTAAGCAGTTGCCCCATGAAGTTAAAGTTTGGTGATATAACTGAACGGCGCTTCTTAACGTACTCATAAGCTTCGTCCAACCTGAGTTGATGTCTACTTATAAGATAGGCAAGGCAAATGGTGGCTGATCTTGAGATCCCAGCCTGGCAATGTACTAGTACCCGTCCTTTCGATTTCTTCACTGAATCTGAAATGAGAGGACAAAAGGGAGAACTAGGTGAATTAAAATACATTTAAAGACTAGACGAGCTAAGTCTTAATGCATTGATTGAAGAAAATCTTCTTATGAATAACATTGATTAAAGGAAATCTTCTTATGAATAACATTGATTGAAGGAAATCTTACCATGGATATTGGCTGTCAATAATTTCATTATTCAAAAGCTTATCAATTGACAAGCTCCGAGATCGCTTTAAGAGATCGATTTTTTATATTGTCTTAATATAAAGAAAGTTCCAGTGATTCTTGTTTTGACCTCTAAAAGACCAGCTCGAACTTTCAGGAGCATGTTAATATTTGTTTAATAAATTTTTTTTGGGAAAGCGTGGATCTTAGAGCCATGAAGTTTCTTTTTATCGATTATACTCACTTTGCGTTTTAAAGAATCTCTTACCTATAAACATCGCTGCCTCCTCAAACCATCGGCCGATATCTGCGGTGTAAGTATCGTCAACCGGAATAGACTTGTAGTCAAATGTATCCTCAAAAAAGTTCGGAATATTACTTGAAACATTGACTATGGCAGTGATACCCAAGTGTTGAAGGAGCTCCTTTTGAGACGAGTGGAATTCGCTTCCAAGATACAGATGTGGTAAGATTTCAACAGGCTCATTTGGCTTGGCTGACACATTTGGGCGCGACTCGGCATAATCCCTGACAGGATCGATCTCGTTTCTCGGGCTGAATCTTTTAAAATCTTTCGTTTTGAGCTTTAATCCGAGAGGACTGGAGCATGCTTGTGATGCCGCATGAGGATTTGCAAAGTAGCACATGGAGGGGAAAGACGACGCGAATTTTTCAAATCCTCCTACGAAAAAAAAGGGAAGACAGCAGTCAATAAAATTGGTGCTATAGAAAGCGATCAAAATTTTTTAATGAAATAAAATTAGTTTGCCTGAAGATGAAAATCAAGTAAAGCAATGATCCTCGTAGGTAAGCAATTTCTGTCGAAGCCTAAATTTTATCAGGCTCCTTTCAGTCTGTTACTGCCTGAATTGCAGCTCATTGCTTTACTCAATATTGTAAACATCATAAAACATGCTAGGAATCACGATTCTTCATGCATCGATGACGTTTCTTCGTGTAATTCTCCATCAACGGTCGTCCTAGGGATTAGACCAAATCAATCTTCACCGAAAGCGGTGACGGTGAAATATCCTCTATCTGCAAATTAGGAGGCCGAACATGACGCACTATCTAGACAGAAAACGTTAAGTTTAGAGTCTAGGAAGATTTGAAAATGTGCTCGTCAGGACTGAAAGATCTGGTATTCGCCTACATTATTTAAACACAGAAAAAACTTGGGAAGGAAAAGAAATCAGCTGAGTGTACTGAGTGTGCCGTCACAGCTCGTCAAAGAAAACATGTTTGTGCGTGCTTTTAAATACTTTTGAACATCAAATTTTAACTGAAGGAGATACTAACCAATAAGCCCAACATTGCAAGGAAAAATTACCCATTCTATAAAGGAAAACCGCAATGATGTTCGACCTCTTTATCACAAACTCGATTTAAGACTGTTTTCAATTCATAATTTTTTCTATAGGGACCAGCGAGTCACTCTACTAGTCATACGTGATGTCATTACGTTCATTCATTTACTTTTATTTCAATAACAAAGAAACTCGCTCATTCATGAATTCATGATAAGCAGCACACGTAAACAAGTAGTACACATTAATGACGCTTCGCCTTTGTAGTGGTTCATCATCACAACATTCCCTCGCTTTCATTCAAGCGCGAAATAATCGATATTTCCACTTCCATCGCCCTTCAGTGGGATTGTTCAAAAATAAATAACTCTTTTTGACCTCTCAACCTAAACACCAAGAGCAACAATCAAGTGATAACAGCACATTGACTTTAGGAACACGTGGCTGGCCTAACAATAGTTATCAGAGGCCTTTCAACTGAGTTACAAGAAAGTTCTGAACTATACGCTGACTTAACTTACCTTTAATGAAATATAGAGTCTTGTCTACTCTCTCTCTTCTCAAAAGCATGTGGAGTATCTTCATCGTATTGTCCTTCTCCAAGTCAATCCAATCCTGAGTTCCTTCCCCGTACAAAATTAAAGTCTCTGCGTCCGCAACCCTTCGTTTCAACTCAGGAGATTTGAGTAGACAATCTAACGTTGATGATCCACGATGAAATCTTCTTTTTAAGATAGGAGGGCAGTGAACGTTAAGCGATCCTTTAATGTGGGCGACGTTAAATGATAAGAAGGAACGACAGTCAATAACTATACATTTCTGACTCAGAGAACTGGTCATGTTTACAAAAGTGAGTGGGGCAAGGGGCCATACAGAGTCATTCTCATCCATTGCAACCATACTCTTTGACGCCGCAATGATTGATTAATAAGCTCCTTAATTCTTCTTTCCTGAAATCAAACCAGATACGAACTGTTACTTGACGATGAAAACCTTACTGATGTTTTCCCTTGCGGGGCTTCAGTATCACATGAACCTTTTTCAGGTTCACGCTTTATATTCTCTCAATTCCGCGCACCCTGTTCCCGAATTGCTAATTGCTATTTTTAACCCAGGTGACGTCATTTCAAGGTGTTTTGTTAACGTCGTGTCGCGCCTCACGAGTTTTGTCTAAGCCTATTATATATCGTCTTTAGTCGAAGAAACCAATACAATGCTGACAGGTAAACAATACCAAAACAATAGTTATTTCATTCCAGTGATGTCAGAAATGTTATTAGGGTCTCAGGAAATTGCAAAGATCTACGTATGCCAATTTTTTTACCCAACTGGTGTTTTGATTGAAGAGGAGCAGGAGAGATTAAGAGGGTGATTCTGTGTTTTTCATCTAGTCCAATTGATACTTGAATATTCTCTCTCTGACTCGGGGTAAGGTGAAAAAAATCGTTAGTTGTAAGTCAAAATTATTTGGGAGTAGGTATGCCTGATGACGTCTTCCACCAAACCTTTTCTCATCGCTATCGCATTTCACGTCTAAACTCATTTGAATTTTGTTATCACATTTCAGGTCCAAACATGGCTGTTAAAAACAAAACAAACCAGTATTTTAACGAATGTCATGTCTTTTCATATCAGGAGCATTTGTAAATCCGCAGTAATCCGCTTTGCGAATCAAAGAGCCATTTGAGTGAACTTGAAGAAAACTGATCAGTGTCACCATTTCTTAATTCGAAAAGGCGAAAAGAAGAAAAGGTGAAAACGAGAAAACAGTTTAATGCGAGAATGTTATTTGAACCAAGAATACGTAGAAATCATGCACCACTTCAAATATTCTACTAACCACCAAGCCTCGCCCTAATTCCAGACAACATAGTTTGGTGGGAAACTATATTTGTAACCGGCTGTGAATGTCCGCCCAAAGCGTTCCGGATAATATTTGATTTGTTTTCTTAAATTTCACTTGCGATTTCCCCGGACGGCAAACACCGGCAAATAAGAACATTTTGATCGCAATTAATGAGCCAACTGAGAGTCATTGCTTCCTCGAGACCTAAGACTTACTTACTCATCGATGTGGAAGGTTCCATCCTAGAAAACATGTCTTTCTTTCAGTTTGCACGCAGCTTCAACCAGTTTTAAAATAGACACTTGAGCGAACCCTTGTCAACATCGCGTGACTGATTCAAGGATATGGTTCACTAGCTGTTACACCCCACTTCCGATCAAGCCAAAAATATTTCTAACATCACTTCATGCCAGCAATTTCTGTCGATCCCTTAGAGATTTTACACAAAGGATGATATCACTGCAGAAACGAGAGTCCATATACGGCTTTTAACAAACAACACACTTTCTCAGTCGATTTTTCTAAGGATTCCTCTCAGTTGAAAGTTCAGTATGTCATAAGTAAAATTGAAAATCTGTTCGCGCACTGATTACAGGTCAATGTCTGTGGCTCGTAAAGTGAAAACTGATATTGCTTTTGTTTTTAGTATGAAACTTTAACGCAAATAGCGGACTCATTCATTAATTAATTATGTCATTCATAAACTAAGAGCAGTTCTCGTGGGCAGAACTTCGCAAACTCCTCTTGTGTCACAGCAAATAAAGTACACTTGAGCTTTTTCACCGCTCGTCTCAAAATAAAATATTAACAGTCCTGAAATTAACTGAACAACAGCATTTCCCGGTAAATGGGACGGTAAATCTCTTAGTCTACGGCAAAAACTGATTCGAATATGGTTGGTGATTTGAACCTGCACGAGATCGATCTACTTTCTGCAGATCACAACTGAAATGTGGCACGTAATTCGGGATAATTTCTTCTTTCGATGGGTGCTGTGAGAACCACCGAGGGACCAGAAGTTTTTGGATCTTGAACAAAAGTTTCTTCTTCTCCGCTGCGTAAGACGTTAAAGCTGGTCTATGAGTATAAATAATCTGATTAGGGGCATTTAATATCTTTATTTTTGTCACACCTTGACAGTTGCGACGATTTCAACAAAAATTTAGACCTCAAGGGCGCACTAGACAAATTTTTGTTTATTTTGTGAAAAAAAAAAATCTGTCGCCAGTTTAGCCAGACGAGAGCGCCCAGTAATTTTTTTATCCTATCAAATTTTGTCAAGCCTTACCAATCTTCAAAGGCGCCTTCGTCCTGCCTCGGAGCTGGAAAAATTTTCGTCAGGCGTGAAAACTGACAGATTTTCAATTTACAAGCTACAATTTAAAGAAATACTTCAATCAAGAAAATTTGATTTTGCTTCAAGCAGAAGACCGCCAAAATATTTAATATTTACGCGGCAATCAAACAGTCAAGATGGAACTTGCGCCCGGGACCTTGGCAAGTTTTTACTCGCTTTTGCCACCGTAGATCACTGAATTCAAAAAATTAGAAAGCTGAGGAAGGGCTCAATTGGCCCCCCGGTCATTAGGGATGCATTTTGCAACAAGAGGCATTTGGTGGGAAGAAAAAAAAACAAAAAAAGAAAGAAAGAAAGAGCCAAATACTCCAAATTGGGTGCAGGCTTAGACCAAATACCGGAATTCGAATAAGTCTGTGAGAAAATTGTGCAATTTAGAAAGGCAAATCAATAAGGTCACCTTACCACCAAAGAGGACTACTTTTCCTGGATTGAGTGTTACAAATCCAGCTTTGTTTCGAAAAAAATACTCGTTTTTGACGATTTTTCACCAAAAACAATTAGGTCTAGCCATACTTACTACTGTAATAAATTTCCATGCAAATTCAATTTATATTTTCTTCACGAAAACGAATGGTACATGCATGTGCCTGTTTGTACAAGTTTAACTTAATTTCCTATGGCAAAGCTGCCATCTGAGCAGACTGAAGTAGACTTCCGGCTGTTTAGTCTGTGCACAAAGATAAACTTTTTCCTTAGATGTTTTCAATTTGACCTAAGGCACAGCTGCATTTCATTACGATTCGATTTGTTTGCGCACCTATGGGATTTCTTGGGTCATCTAGTAATTGCTTACATAAGGAGAAATATGTATCTATCAGTTCCGTTGTGGAACTAATCCAAGCCCTTATGACCACAAACTCAGCTAGAAATACACAACTACATAAAAATAATTGGTGGTGCAACAGCACCTCTTGCTAACTTAATTGTCAAGAGTACATTCAATAATTAACGTACATCATCGTGTTTAAGGCTCAGATTTTGAGAGGAGTTGCATCCGTTGAAGCTAAAAATAGTTTTTGATGGCCGGTGCAGTAGTCTGCAGTTGTTAGCTGACCGAACATTTGAATTTCCGAAAGCTAAAGGCTTGGTTATTTTTCCGCAGCAGGTGCGATTCAAACGTCCTCTGAAAAAAAGGCAGAGCTTTCTAAAGAGGGAGTACACATATCCCTTGAGTCATTTAGATTTTAAAATGGAGTAAGTCAATTAGTCCTATTCAGTGTCCAAATACCGACCGAGTGGATTTGAAATTTTAACAAGTCCTAACTGTAACTCTTCTGTTAAAAGAATCGTTTTGATTCTGAAAAGAGCAGTTTTTACTTATTGCAATTTATTACTTTGGATACATTACAATTGGAAAGGCAAATTGCTGAATGACCTTGAAAAAAGAGTTAGGTTTTGGTCAAGCTACAATGGAAACGTAGTAAATAACATAATTATGATATTATGACATTGAACACATTGCGGTGTTTATTCGTCTACGGATCCTCGCCGCTGTAATATGCTAGAAAACATTCTGATAGCGTTATGCTTATTAGTGGCGTAACTATTGGATACAGGCTTCAGAATTTATAAGTCGCTTTATTGTTACAGCACCGTTTCGTATGGGTGACCGTCAACCACATTGATCAGTTAACATTACCCAATTCATACCATACTCTCTTCCATCGTTTCTTGTAACCGTAACGTTAGTTCGATTGGTGTATTGAGGTCCACCCAATATCTTACCGCTGATGTAGAATGGAGAGAGTGCACTGAACAGTCAGTAGCAAATAACACAACAAAATCTGGAACCAGTGAAACATTCCCGCGTTTTTAGCTGTCTTATTTACGACCACGCATTCATTCATTCATTCATTTACTTGTAACACGTGGGAGCCCAATCCAAGCCTGTTTCCATGTTATGCTTCATAATATGAACTCAGAAAAACAAGAGAGACCAAGTAATGTTTTAACCTTCCAATAATTTCACTGAATCCTACAATAACCAGTTTTTAATCTCTGTTCTGTTAGAGAGCCACTTGAATACGTATTTGAATCTTTTCGCTTAGCTTCTCAAAGAATTAGAGACAATTCGTACTGATAGTTCAAATGTAAGTCTATAAGTGTTGTAAGAATATTGCAAAAGAAGCGCTCATTTGACCACTAAGTGACAAGACTTGACAGCTGTATGAAAACTTACCTTTCCGCTCTAGATACTCAAATCACTAAACATCATATCCCTTGTGTAGACTGAGGTTCACGCATACACCAAACTGGGACTACAACTAATCACCGGAAGTAGATTTAGCGACTGACCGATACCAGCACAGAGGGAACAAAAGATCACAGGTCCTATCATAAATCACACTGTCCTAATATATTATTCAAGCATTTCAGACTTCAAGGTTTTCAGAGATAATATTTAAAGAAGACACTTTACCTCTGGGTGTCATTTGATGTTTATACATTTTTCTGTGAAATTTAGGCCGTAATGTACTTGTTGGTTCACAAAGAGGCTGTTTTTAATGACTTCATTTTGGAATTTGGATCAACAAGCTATTGGCTGGTACCCGCTGTATAAGTCAAAGAAAGAAGATCATTTGGTGTAAGAATAGCTAACCAGTTATAACATTAGAACTAAAAGGAGGACTATGATAAATATAGATCTGATGATATTCTTTTTAATCTCTATAATAATTTTTGCATCCGGTTTGGAGCACAAGCAGTGATAGTATTGATAATTTGGCGCTGGAGTTTCACGAACCGGTAATTTGCAGGTATCTCCAGATGTTCCTTCATTTCAAAAGCAACGTTGACTATTCAGTGACTATTGGCCAAAGGAGATAGCAATAACAGTTCTCAAGTCAGGCCTCCAAAATCGTGACCCACTCTGTTCTGCACAGAATACCTCCTTTGTTTCCTCTAGGCCCACGCCTCTTTTCCCACGCGACCGCCATGCTTTGGTTAATTGGCTTTTCCTTTGAAGCGGGGGGGGCGGCTATGTAACGCAAAACTGTGGAACTTTTGATGTTTTAAGGGGGTAGAAATTTAACTACAAGTCTGTTGCCTAGAACGCATAAAGGCACAGTTCAGTGATTTCCCGGGAACTTTGTGCCGGCCGCGGTCGGGCGTCAAACATGGCGGGAAAAACAACCTTGTTGAAACGTAAAATAACTGTCTCCACAAAATTATCAAAATTATTTCTTCCCATTGACATAGCTTTTGCTACTAGTATAGCTGCTCTGGAAGGCGATAAGAAGTCGCAAATGCTGTTTTTAATTGCGACTACTCAGTATGGTTTCTCCCCCCGTCCCCAAACTTCGAGTTGCAAGCGGTCTGCTTGTACCATTTGTTGAGGGCTAACACAACAATCAAATGTCTGCGCACATACGAACGAACGAATCATAACCAAGTTGCTCTACACGAGCTACAAACAACCACACAAGCCAATAAGTCACAATGTTTTAAATACGTTGACTTGCATGATGTCGCTTCATTAACTGTAGCCTCAACGGCAGAATTTATTTTAAACTAAATACAAAATATGGGGAAACCAAAGTTTAAATGAAGGTGACACAACATTCATGGAAATTTAAAGCACTGCAAACATTATTTCTTGCGAATTCAATCATTTGAATGCAATTATCACTGATGTAAAATCAAAATTCAGTCTAATCAAAGTGTATCTTAGAAACCAACCTGCGAGCATGGCGGGTTTAGATAGGACTGGAAAAGGAGAAAGTTCAATTCGAGCTCAAAATGCGATCGTTGTCATAGGGAAATTCCCCCTCCCCTTCTTTCCCAGCCTTTAGCAGTCGAACTGAGTCAACCACCCTTCCCGTCTAGAATTAAATACTCCCACTCTCTCTATTCCGTACTATCCCTCCGTCTCGTAGAGACAATGTCCCTGCTTTCTCCAAATGATTTTAAAGAGGAAATATATTCAATAATATTATTTTAAGAAGTGGCGAAACCCATTCGACCTATTAAATTAACGTCGGAAAAACCGTAACCGACTTCTTCTCCGAACTAACGCCTCAATGTCGTCCAAATCCTGTTCACGTATATGTTCGTACGTTGTCTCTAGTTGTTTCCCCCTTTGTTCGTTTGCTTTAAGGAAGGCGCTTGCTTCATCTGCAACAGAAACAAAATCATTTATCTTCTTTTCGCTACTGGCACTGATTACTGGCTACTCTAGAAGAGAAACTCAACATTCGAATTGGACCTTAACGCTAGTTAAGTTTAGACTTCAAGCCAAATTTTCCAGCCCTCGATTCCACCCTCATTAAAAGATAGGAACATAAAAATATGTTTTTGATTTTGTTTACACTGACAACATTACAATCCTTCTTTTTTAAGCGGTCAATTATCAGTAAAAACCACTGTGCTAAATATAATCTTGCGGTAAATGACCACTGAACTGGTCTGTGCACAGGTGACTTTTTGTGAAGGGTTTAAGGACACAAGTTTGGGCGGGATGGTCTGAAGAAATTCTTTTAGAAGTTCATTTGAATACTTTAGTCACACGATTTTGACTGCGAAAGAAAAGAATGAAATTTGATAAAGAAATGGCAAGAAAATAAGCTATTTTTTATGGCTGCCCCCACTCCTTTCAAGGCAGTTCGTGGGCCGATTTACATAACAAAAGCTGAGAAAGTAAAGTAAAGAAATACTTTCTTACTTGATTGTCGTCCTCTGAAGAGTATGTCGTTGAGCGCAAATTCATTCACCGGCGCTGGGGTCACAGGCTTTTGAGGTGAATTTTTACTCGTTGTCTTAATCGTTTGTGGCTCGGGCCTGGTTTGCCTTGACACAGTGTTTGGCATTTTTTCCTCCGATTCAGTAGTCGGACTTTTTCCAGTATCTGTCCGTGGAGGACTTATTTCGGCGCATTGAACGAGACAGTTCAAAGCAAGTATAAATGCAATACACCACAACATTTGGCTAGAAGTTGACATAGAGAAATAGTGTATCAGAGAAAGTGAAGAGATTCAAATTTTCATGAATATCTTTAGACCACCAGGCTTGTCTCCTGTTTGTTGAACATTAAGTGGGTCTAAATCTTCCCTGAAACGGTTAGTGGGCCGGTAATTGAGAGAATCCACGTAAGGTTTCTATGCATCAAATAACTCAATAATATACCAAGACAAATTCACAATAAACGGTCTTACTTACTCTCAGTTGTTGATTTCCGTTTTATCATTTCCATTTAACTCTGAACTTAGAGTCACTAACAGATAACAAAAAAGGGAAAACTTACTTTATGGTTGAGATAGATTCTTTTGCGTCCCTGAAGTACTTAGTAACGGTGAACCATGCTGGCTTCAATTAATCAACACAAAATCTATGGTGGGATGATGGGCAGCAGCTGTGAGGACTATTTGGCTTTCTTGGCGCCGCTGTGATAGGACACAGTGGTTTGATGCAGCAGATAGTAAATGGCCGCCGATTGAACAAATGCTAACACTTCTAAAGCCTGTGATTCATAGAAGTGCTAAGAAGGCAGAGATTGATTGTTGCGATGGATACCTGAAACGAAAAGGTATTTTAGCCGCGACAAGTCGACCGTAAAAAGGACAAAAAATTTATTAATTCTCACAAGAATAGAAATAATTGCACAACTTTTTGCTAAACTGCTACGAGTGTGATAAAAATTCAAGTTTTCATCACACGATGCGTCAAATAAAGTTGATAAAACTTGTCCTGTTTTCATACAATACATGTGATATTTTCGACCGTTGTCCGCAAGATCTGAACCACCTTACGAAGAACGACAAAGAGCTTCATTAGGCCGAGAGGAGTATTTTGTAATTAATTAGACGCTTGTTCGTTTGAATGTAGGAGACTAAGTTTTCCTGAGATTCCCTTTGGATACTTTATCAACAATATTATAATAAAAGGCTTTTCAATAAAGGAAAGTCAATGTAAACAAACCGAATGGCGGATTCAATTTGTCATGCCGGCTACTTAAACTTGCATATATTGAAATGAATAAGAGTTTCAGAATGTTCTCCTATTAAAAAGAGTCTTCAACTCCATGACTCTCAGGGCAAGTGCTCGCAGCTGACTACATATCCTCGTTATTTCAACTATGTTTTGTTGTGATTTGCGACCATATCTTACTTTCATTCTATCACTGTAAAATCAAGCAGCAAAACACGGTGTGGCTGAATAGTTGCGAAATAACTCAGAAGCTGATTGAAAACATCACGAGGCAGAAATAATATATTTCTCGACCAGTCAGCAAAAACTTAAGCGACTACTTCTGGCTCAAAAAAATTTCTCATGCCACTCGTTTCCTCATTGCCTACGAAAGTGTTCAATGTTTGTGTCGGAGATGTTTTAAGGCTAACTGAGTATGATTAAATCCTTCAGCTCGAATTTATCTTTTATAGACTTACCTGTAAAGACGCCCCTTCGTTTTCTTCTCGTAGTGCAGAGTTTTTAGCTCTTTAATTCATTAGGAAATCTCCACTGCTACTCGAGTATGTTTCTCTCAACCGTAACACGCAAGCACAGGGATAAAAGTTGACAAATAATGAGGTCAATTTATGCATGTATGGTGATGTTCACGTGCTTCTAACGAGCCCTTTTTCTCGAAAAGTAAATATTTGTCTTAATAGGTAAACAGCTACAGTGCCAAATTGCGGACTTTTGTTCCCTACCCCTAGCAACCTACGAGAGAGGAAGGAATTATCCCTTAAATTGCTTTCAAATTGATTTTTTTGTGCATTCACTGAAGCAGTTCGTTTGGAATTCTTATATAGTAATAAATAAAAAGGCATCAACTCGGTCTCTTTTTTTCAGGGAAACGTAAAAAACACAAATGATTTTAAATTTGGAATGCCATGAACTGGAAATTTAACAATAGGAACCCATAAGTAATGAAAATGGCGCGCAAAGCAAGCGCTATAATAAAAGAGGTTTGAAAGGGATTTTTTAGAACACATGCCGTATTTGCTCGAATAAGCGCTCGAGCACTTATTCAAACTTTCGGCTTAAAGGAGGAGCGGTTACCGGGAGGAGGGAGCTTAATCCTGGGGGCTTCTTAAGGACAATATCAATAGGACGACAAATACACCTATGAAAGGACAGATAACACACATTAAGGAATTCCAGAAGCACCTGCAGATAGGAAAAGAAACTATCCTCTTGTATTGATTCTGCTGCAGTTAAAGCTGAAAAGTTGTCAATAAATTGACAACATGAACAGTTTTTCCTTGTATCGCGAACTATTTTAGAAAGTGAAAGAGGAGGAGTGGGCCCTTTCGAGAGGGGCCCGTCAGGTTTGACATTAGAGAACTTAGAGTGATTTAGCAAGAGGACGGGAACTTTGTAAAATCATGACGACAACGAGTAGTGCTGAAATCTAGTGGCACGAAACGAAATGACAGCGCGACAAATCGCAGAAAAAATATTTAATGGGCTCTAGAATATGATAGATGAATCAACAGACACGAAACTTTACTGGAATGAAATAATTTAAAGTTTAATCGCCCGTGCGGATTCATACAAGCAACTGACTTGCCATATCTATAATTATTAAATGTACTTGCGGTTTTTTTCTTACGCACTCTCTAATTGACAGGTGTCAGATTGTGACATGCAGATACTTGTAAAAATAATGCTTAAAAGTTTGTCGGAAGCCTTTTGAATCACCTTTATCATTCGGCGCAAATGAAAGTGTTTCGGTGAATCCTCTCTCTTTAATTTATACGTTACCTCTATTTAAAATACTCAAAAATTGTTCAGTTTATGGAAGATCTTGCCGTAATTACAGCCCTAAATTAATCGGGTTCTTTTGGAAAGAATTTTGTTGAGTTTAAGGAAAAAAATAAATATGTTATTCACCAGCCTTAGTCGGTCCGTATTGAGAAAAACTGTGCCCTCTCCCGGCTGGCGAATCACATAAATCTATCCTCTGTTTGCACTTTTTACATAAATCTCAGAGGAGATAATCTCGTTGTCTTTAGAGTGGTCTTTGAAACCGAAAATTAAAAGGTGATGGTGATCCTTAAAGAACCGAGGTTAGGATATTCAAGGACAAATATAACGCTGACGTCTCGTTGCAACCTTCAGCTGCTAAGTCACTTCTGAAACACAATGGGGCGACGTTCGCAACACAGTTTCTTACCGTTATTTTTGGTGCGTCCACCGTTGTCAACTGACGTTCTCGTCCTCTTGCTAAATCACCATATTATGGACAAGGGATGGGCGCTTATTCGGGGAAGGGCGCTCACAAAAGGCGGGGGAGGGCACTTATCACAGGGCGCTCACTCGCGGAAATAGGGTATTTAGCCATGTTTGGTTTTATTATAAATAACACAACTCAGGGAAAAAAATGGTTAGATATTCATCTTTTGCATGTTTATGTTTTGCAAGAGTCTTTATGTCAGTTTCTGACATAATCGATTTAATTTAATCCATGCAGATCAAAGGCTGTTGGTGTAACTCCTGCTGAAGCTCTTCACGTCGTTCAAGTTTAATTTTCAGTTTCAATTTTTTAATCATGCAGATATTTCCATCACATTAATAGAATAAGAGTTGCATGGTTCGAGTAACTCCTTTGCGATAATTTAAACTAATGAAGTTCAGCTTGGCTGTAACAATTGCAATGTGTATTGGAGACTAAATTACTTGATAAGCTAATTTTTCAGTTAAGTTTATTATTTTAGAGAAAAAACGCGGAAACATAGAAATGAAGCCGTCTTTAAGAATATTTATAATTTTTCTAAGCTACATGTTACCAAGCTATCTTAAACTATTTTTTCTTGCTCAGTTGAAAGTCTAGTTTTAATAAATTTCTGAGCAATGCTCTGATTGTAGCTTTGTAGTGATGTTTAATTTAGTCGTTTTCATGCATGAAGCGTTCGCATAGAGTTCAGTTTCACAGAGTCCATGCGAGGAATTAAGCTTGTGGAGTGAATAACCTCAAATACTCAGTGCTTCGAGTCTTACACCCTTCAGCCCTTGTCATGTGACTGAACGTCACATCGTAAGGTCAAAGCATGGGAAAAGCGAACAAATAAAACTAATATAACTTCTATGAAGAAAATAACAAGCTTATATTGCTTCGTTTTGCAATATTTCGCGCAGAGTTATTGTTGCGCGGAATTTCAAGCTAAACGAAAGTGAAGTGAAAAGAAGAGACGTTTGATTCGAGATTGTTTCATGTTCGGTGGAATTGCAGTCAGCGGTTGCGTGACTATTTTCGTCCATTATCACTGTGCCAAATACTTTTTGCTAACGAATATCCACAAAATGCCGCACCAAAATGCATCCAAAGCTTCAAAATAAGATGTCATGCCCTAGGAAAAACAAAGATGGTGACATTTATTCGTCCCACTGGCAACGAGTGACGATGATACTCAGGTAGGCGAGGTTCATTTCCGGCTATGCGCAGGCTCAGGTTGATGTCGCTTAACCGGTCGTTCGATCGAAGATTCAGCGCCTATGCAGGGCTAAATTTGCGTTATGTCGCCAAGGGTTTTAACAGATGTAAAAGTTGTCGATATCCAGAAACGAAAGGTTCCGAGCAAACATTATGTAAGTTAACAGTGATATATTTATGATTGCATCTAACTGTGGGTCGTTTATCAGCTAGTAACTTGTGATCTTATATGAGACCACCGATATACAAACTATTATCCTCAATATTCACGCAGTCAACTCATAAAATACAACACTAATTCTGTTGTTGTGCAAATGACAAGTGAATCCGCTACTAACTTTCAAACAGAAGCTGAGTGAGTTAGTCAAAGGAATGATCAGACAAACACGATATTGTATTATTTTGATATCTGTAAAGTCGCTCTCCAGTATCATGGGATTTCCCTATCGATTGAATCAACTTACTGGTGTTGTGTGCTTAAAGTGTAAAGAGAATTCTCAGTTTCGAAAACTCAGCTAGGTACATATGCTTCTGATTTACAGCTGTTGTAACAAAAATGGGGCTGTTTGCCATAGAAATGACCACTACATTCCCTTGTGAAGTTTATTGAACACGCTTGTTCCCTCTCATGGTTGAGTCTTTTTCATGTGGTATCAACAATGACAAAGGAGGGTGGAGAGGGGGGAAATGTTTCATTAATTATGACATTATAGCTAGCCAAGTGCATTGTTTGAAACATTAAAAATCTCAATAACCTGTGTCCTGTCCAAGACTATGGTGTAATTACCAATTCACGGCTTGAGACTGGGCTTGTTGTCCTATATCATTCTGCAGTGCTAATAGCAGTTACTCTTGACTACTAATCTCTATTGATGTGGATCCTTCAGAAACTTGTAACCAGGAGATAGCATTGGTCACTGATGAAAGTGTCTGTTTAACCATTCTACATTGGATTAAAAAAAAAATACAGTATTTAAAAAATTCTGTCTCATGATAAGCATACCTTTTTACAGGTTTATGTGATAAATGTCACTTGGTCAGATGGTAGTGTTAATGTTGTCTACAGGAGATACAGCAAATTCTTTGACCTTCAGGTATGTTAATTTTCTATTATATGAAGACAGAAATGTAAATGCCTCTTGACTTGAATTTAATAATTCTTCCTGTGAATATTTTTTTCTTGTCTTTGGTAAGCTCATTCTTGTCAGCCTTGCTTTATCACATAATGGTAACAATGCTTTCAAAATCCTTTGCCCTTGAATTCTCCTAGTTATGTTATCCTAATTTGAAATATTTGGATAATAAATTTTTTAGTTGTTATTGCTTAACAGACTAAACTTTTGGAGGAGTTTCCTCATGAAAGTGGTGTAAAAGATCCTTCGAAGAGGATTTTGCCATTTTTGCCAGGTTTGCTACAGCATTCATGTAATTTGGATGATGCCAGTAAAGAAGTTATCACCATATTTTAATCTGTCATTTTGTTGTTGATGTTGAAGACTTGGTCTATAGTCTCCATGTTTTTATGTGGTTCTCATAGCAAACAGGAAGTTATGAGAATATGGGAAAAGTGTATCAGTTACAGGATGTTTAATTGAAAGACACTGGTAAATTTCAAATGCTCTCCAAACTACTCAAATGCACCTGCACTATTGGAAATAAGATTTGAAACAATGTGTGCCAATCAGAGTTTTTGGTGGTTTGGAATGACAGTGTGCAAAACCTATGAATAATTTTCATATACATATTATTATTATAATGATACATATCATTATATATTATAACAATTATACATGTTATTATGTATTATAATGATTATACATGTATATATTTGTAAGAAGGGAGTTTCCTTAAGCTCTTGTATTTGTATGAACTTCAGGTTAATTATGGACTATCCAAATGTGTGTGATGAATTGTGTGATTTGTATGCAGGTAAAATTATATTTGGAAGAAGTCATGTGCGAGATGTAGCATTACGTAGAAAGGAACCCATTGGTGAATATTGTAAGGTGGGACAAATTTCAGGAGTGATCTGAGTTCTCTTTAGAAACCTTCTGTTTTTACCTATGAATTCCCAGCCTCCTGTTTTCACTATTATTCTCTTACTTATTGTTAAATACCTCTGACAAAGGTGTACAATGGTTAGTTTGTGTCACCATGCAGTCTTTTTTATCTGTACATGTACTTTGTCAACCTTGTGCAGTATGTGGGCCTTTTTTTCCTTGGAACACTTGGCATGAAGCTTGTCATTAATTGATTATTATAATGTTAACATATTTCAGGAGCTAATCTCGCTACCACCCAAGATATCCACTAGTGGCACTGTATTGAAGTTCTTTGAGCCACAACCAGAGGACATAGACCTTCCATCTAAGGAGTAAGTTTGTTTTACGTTGGTTACTTAGGTCCAGTAATTTCATTGCCATTTCTTTTTTAAGTATATTTTAGATGAAAAAGGAAGAAATTTCCTAATATAGTATTTATTTTCAATGGACAGCTTTTTAGTCAAAGAAAATTGCAGGAAGATTATAATGAAATTTGAAAATTTTATATTGACCAGTAATGAGATTAGACTTAACACATACTAAGTTTAAGAAGGGGAATGGGTAGATGGTTTTTCAAGCAAAATTTATCAAGAGATTTGGAGATTGAAACCAATAATCCCCTGTCAAATGGGTATGGATACTTTTTGAAAAAGTGGTAAAAGCTATTTCATTTAAAGTAATTTTAAACTAATTCCTCTTATAGGAAAGACAAGAAAAGAAAGGAAAAGGATTCAGGTACTTTTCTAGTTCAAGCATTTTTGTTTGAATGTAAACTTGGTTATGAGAGTGCAAGTTTTCATTTTTCTTGATGACATTAAGACTAGTAATTGTATGAGGACTGAGTGGAGTAAAATTCAGGGAGTAATTGGGTGAGTTATTTTAAATTGGCTGAGAACATAGTGTGAGGCCATTTGGAAATTACTTGCAAAATTACCCCTGAATTGTATGATATAAAGTGCAATTACCAATTAATTCTATCAATAACAAAAATGCAAGAAACTCTGCATTGAAAAATGTCATATACAATCCAGCTTTTATCTGGAAAGAAATCTTGCACACCAGACATGAGATCTGAGTGGTACTTATAAATACACCACAGACTTACTCAGTGTAAGATCCTCTTAAAAGCAGAGGTCATGATTAAAATTGTTTGTTTTCTTTTCATAAACAGCTGACCACATAAGTGGGCCAGTTATGTTGGAACAGTATGTGGCCATTGCAGATTACATAAAGCAGAATAGAAATGAAGTTAACATGGTTGCAGGAGATATTGTAGAAGTTATTGACAAGAATGAAAATGGTATGGAACTATAGTAACCCTTAAATTGCAGTGTAAAAAGGGAGATGTGATTTGAGGCTGTACACACGAAATCTTTACACATGGAATCTTCAAACAACTCTCCATTCCAACTTTATCTTATTTGAAATTATTTCTTGGAAAAATTATGATGAGTCATTGTAATATCTGTTTTTATGTGCTTGACTGACAGTTGACCTTTATCATTAGTTTTTCAAAGCTGGTGCTTTTTTTAGTTGTTTTACGGTCTGAGATAGCTGTTCCAAATGAGGTAGAGTAAATATCTGCTTGTCAAGTGACCAATAGCTACATATTAACATTTCTACAATGCTTGTCATAAAATAGTAGTGATACTTGTCGAAACCTGTTGAAAACACCTCTTGGTTAACAATTTTGTGCTAGAAGAGGAATGAATATTAGCTAACAATCCTAATCCTAGGGTAGGAGTATTGTTTGTCATGTTTTAAATCTAGGAAATATTAATTTTGCCATTACTCTCACTCCCTGGTTATTGTGGAGAACAGCTCTCTGAAAAGACCTGTCCACCAACTTTCAGCCAACTGTTGGCTGACAGATAACTAAGAGGCCACTGACAGGTTACTAGTTGGCCAGTACAAAAATTTCAGTTGTATATTTCTAACAATATACCCACTCTTGTGACCTAATCATTCTTTGATAAGCTGGGTAATAGCTGCCAGGTGATATTCCCTGATTTAAAATTCCAGTAAGATGATATTCTTTGTTTAAATTTTACTCTAAGAATTTAGATGCTTTTGCTGTTGTTTAGGGAGAAAATGTTTTTGGTTTGTAATGGCGAATTTTGGAAAGTCAAAAAGTAATTTGCAGGGGTCCCAAAATACATCTTGATCAAAGCTCAATTGAAAGTACCACCCAACAATTATCTAGGTAACTGCTTGATAGAGGTTTGATTGCATTATAATAACCGTGCAGACGATTGTGGCAAGATGAAGTTTAAGCTTCAACCAATTAAATGGCACACTTCTCTCTTCTCTTTATAACTTTCATTTCTCTCTTGTCTGTGTAACCTTCTGTACAGTCAAGCTGTCAAAATTAACATTAAGGGGTTTTTCAGCAGGCTATACATTGCTATGGTAGCTTTAAACTTGGGAAGTTGATCATTGCTTTTAACTCATAACAAGTGGTCCATAAATTGCCTTAAACCAAAGTAAAAGCAGCTATAAAGGTCTATTTTTTTTCAAAGCTAGAATACTTTTGGCTTTTGTGAGATTTACCTCAATTTAATGTGATTATTTATCAGGTTGGTGGTTTGTTAATGTAGATGAAGAGCAGGGTTGGGTTCCAGCAGCTTATCTTGAGCGTGAGGATGGCAGCTTAGATGAGTCTGCCAATCAATTAGCGACTGAATCAGGAGGTAAGTTACCTTGTTGTACCAAGCAAGTGACCAACCTCGATTCTAATGGTGTATAATGGTATTTTATAAACACTAGCCACTTTCGGCTGGAAATTATGCTGAGATATTTGTCCGCCAAGACTATCTACCTGAGAATTTCTGTGAGTGAAGCTCAAAGAAACAGGTACATGTAATGTAAATTTACTAACATATTTTCAAGCCGTATGGAGACTTACGTGTTTATTATTCTTCAAATTGTTTTGGAATGGATAGAGAAAACTGGATACCACTAACAACAGATGTTGACATCTCAGAGCGACTTAAATAACAAACAAGTTTGTCTTTATTGTAGTAGCAACCACAAAACACTCTTCCAGATTATGTCAACTTTAAAAGGAAGACATTCGTGGCCTTGGACGTAAAGTTCGAAAATTGGGGTGCAACATGTGAGGATTATCACTGGATTTTACCAGTTTAAGATGAGGCATTTGGGGCTACGGGGCGCACCCAAGACAATCACGCTCGAACAAAACTCTTTGATGGAACATTAGATATATGTCTGCAGGTCTGAACGTCTTTCTTTCAACAATAACAAACACCTCCTCAATAATAACAACAGCTTTCATAGCCTTTACTGTGTCATCTTTAGCAACAACCACAATCACAGTACCAGATACCCTCAATACCAGTTATGATCTCCGTGCTCGTCGTACCCATGAGACTTGTTCGATCCTATTTGAGTCTTCCCTTCTTCGCTACTTATCTTTATTTTTTTTTAAGAGAGAATGATTACAACAACAACCTACAAAGCAGAACTCGATGATGAAATTTCATTTGAGGTTGGCGTTTTAGTGACCGTGATAGAGAAGAATTTTGATGGATGGTGGCTTATTCGGTGAGTACTCTCCATGAGTACTCTCCATAATATTTACATCAATTGAATTGTCGTCAAAGCCTGAAATGGATCAAGCAATATACGTTGTAACTGTTAGTTATTAAACGGTACAGAGGAAAATTGAAGAAAGGTGTGCTCTGTTTGTAGGAGTGATAATATGTGAATGGTCAAGGCACAATTTTCATAACGCCCTCTTATGCTTTTTCTTAACACTCTTTAAGGTATCAGAATCGCGAGGGTTGGGCACCAGCCATGTACCTCAAGAAAACTGATCCCTCTCAGCTTGAAGCCATACGACATGGTTCAGAGTCTTTAGCGAGAGAGAAAACTGCAAGCGTGGCGAGTGGTGTACAGAGTGCTTCTAGACTTCATGGTATGGATTGCTTTTCAACTTCAACAACCGTCCTGTTAAAAGAAAAATGAATATCATTATATGTGAACTGCAGTTTAAGAAATGAATATGACAGCGATCTTCGCAGTAATAAACACTACTTAAGCAGTAGTGAAAGTAAGGCCTGAAAAAAATTCAGGCCTTTGTGGGTTTATGGTTGGCTCAGGCCTTATTGTCACTACTGCTTCAGTTGTGTTAATTTCTGCGAAGATCGCTTTCAACTTCATTTCTTAAACCGAAGTTCACAAATATGATTTTAGTATATTCACAGTCACTAAATCATAACTTCACGGGTTTATTTGGTAAGAATTAATATAATGACCAGCTCCCAGATGCCAGGCTTGTTATTTCAATTGGTAGAGCATTGCACCGGTATCGCAGAGGTCATGGGTTCAAATCCTGTGCAGGCTTGAATTTTTTTCATTCATCCTTTTCAAGTGTTGGAATTTTCCAATTCGTTCTTTGACGTGCATCGTTACCAAGCTTCATTTCGGGTGTTTGCTTTTTTGTAATTTTGCATTCTCTAAACAGGCTCCGACAAAACTGGAACGAAAGGTCGGAAAGTGCCTCCAAGGAAGGCTTCGGTAAGTCTTTAGCAAAAAGACTCTTTTAATAATATTAGAGAACACAATCTATTGTAGACTATAGTGTGCGGCGAAACGAAATTTCCATGTCTATCTCTGTTTTCTCATTGAGTTCGAATAATTCACAAGAAGAATTTCTGGGATTAAATTTGTTACAGATAAATTTCTTTTTTTTTTTTTGAAGAGTTGACTTAGCCTGACCGATAAAACTCCTTCGATTTAGTCTCTGAGTGTTCGAAGGCCGAAGTCTTAAAGCCAGTCCTTCATTTTTTTTCACGTTCCAAAAAAAGTTGTTCGGTTTCGATTCACTGGGTTCTTTTCATTCCTTGCAAGACTTGCATCTTATAAAGGTGACTCGGTCACCTTCGTTTCCAGGGCCTTTCTCCTGTTACGTGCGTTTTCTTGGCCGTCATGATTGTTCACACGCTATTAGGACACTCTTATCTGGGAATAATTATATTGAGATAAGTAAACTAACACACATACATTGTGCTTGATCTCCAGGTCAAAAGGTCCAAAAAGTTGCCAGTTCACATCACAAACATGTCGTACGAGAAAACTATGGCTATATGCGATTCGCCTACTCCAAAGTCTCCTGAAGTAGAATATTTTACCGTTGGCGACTTTCGTTCATTGGGTGTAGAGGGAGCGTTAAACTTTACAGAAGGAATGTCTGTGGAAGTTGTCGAGAAAGCTCCAAATGGATGGTGGCTGGGAAAAATCGGTGGAGTAGAGGGTTGGATACCATCCTCATACCTGGGTAAAAGATTGCTGGAGAAACAACAAGCCAATGGAGCAGAATCTTCAAATGCCTCAATAAACATTCCTAAACCCTCCCCTCGTATTCCAGAAAAAATTCCAGAGGGTAACGCTACATTTTTCACGTTAGCAGATTATAATGACACTTTTGAAGGTGGCATTTCCTTCAAAGAAGGGCAAGCAGCGCAGTTAATCGAACAAAATCCGGATGGATGGTCATATGTTAGAATCCAAGGCAAAGAGGGTTGGGCACCAACAAGCTATCTTGTTTCAAGCACGGAAAAAAAGTCTGCAGCTCCTCCTCGACCAGTCGCCCCTGTAAGCGCAAAGCCGATTGCAAAACAAATGCCGAACATCGCGTCATCTCAGTCTGGAAAAGGTGTAAGTTATGCTCAGTCGCAGCAAAGGAAGCCGTTACCAGTTCCTGTAAAGAATACCACCAAAATGGCTGTCTCTTCACTGAATTCAGTTCCTAAGAAACCTGATCTTCCGGCCAAACCTCAAGTAAAACCTCGTTCGAAGATCTGGCCTCCAGAAGTCTCAGTGAAATCATCGATTACGAAACCAACTCGTGTTCCTGTGAAACAGAACATCTTCTGCAAAGCCTTAGAGTCTTTCTCCTCTGAAAATGGTGAAGGTTTATCGTTTTGTACTGGAGACGAATTTGAGTTTGTAGAAGACTCCAATAATGGGTGGTGGTTGGTCAAGACAAAGGGTGGAAAGGAAGGTTGGGTACCAGCATCTTACTTAGAGAGGGTGAATATTAAACCAGTAGCGCCCAAAAGACCAGCAAAACCAAACCCTCCAAAGAAGGCGCAACACCAAGATACGAAAACTGTTTATATAGCTATGGCAGAATACGCTGACGAAGGGGATCAAGATTGTATCAGCTTTAAAAAAGGCGATCGCATGGAAGTGCTTGAAATGGATGAGGGAGGTTGGTGGTTAGTTACGATTGGAGGAAAGTCCGGTTGGGCGCCATCAAATTTTTTGAAACCTTTGGAATGAACTGAATTCAGAGTAAGAATGATTCAAAAATGAGTGACAGCCAAGGTTGAAGGACTTCTTAATTTCTCAGGCAGCATTAGAGCCCCGTCCACACGCATCCGGATATTTTTGATTCTGCAACTTTTTCGTTGCGTATTGGTCTTCCCTCCACACTTACCTGGTGAATACGGTTGATGAATCAGCAACTTTTTGAAACACTTCTCAGAGTGCAATACGCGTTAACGATTGAATCCGTCTATTTTAGAATACAGGGTAATTTAGTATTATCAACTGAGTTGATAACGTAAATTGGCCACCATGAAGAGTTTCAAAGCTCGCGTTTCGAGCGTTTGCCCTTCGTCCGAGCGAATAAGGAGGGCTAACGTTGTCGACATTTTTGATGGTTTTGGCCGCTCTGCTCATCGTGATTTTAACCAATAACTCGACCTCATGATTTGTCCAAATAAAGGACTCTCTTTTACATGTCTTTTGTTTGATTGTGACATCTTTTCTCGTACTTAGCCAGTCTTCCAAGCGACACGTGTTGAAACTTCAAGTATAAAAAAAATAGGTTGCTAATATTTATCGCAGCCTCAAGTCTCTTGATAGAGTGCATGCTCTGTTGGAGAAAGCGTTGAGATATCCGGATGCGTATCGAATTCATGTGAACGGACTAAAATGATTCGAATGTGGTACGTGTGGACGCGAATTTTCATTAGACCCGCATCGAGAAAGTTGGGAATCAAAAAATATTCGAAGAAGTTTGGAAACTGTTTCTGACTCCCTTAAGCAAAGGGAGCTGACTTATCTGTTGGCGTTAAACTAGTGAGGGGTGAAACAGTGGCTTTTTCATACTATTAGATCATTTCTTCTCATTAAGAGATCCTATTAGTATGTCGGTGTGGGTTTGAAATAAACTGGTGACATAATGCTTCCTCTTTTTAAAATTTTGCCGAATTATTGACTTCTTATCAGTTTAACTCAAATTGGAACAGGGTTAACATCAATAACTCTTTTGTTAAAGATGGCGCTACGGTTAGAAAAATATTTTCGGCTGCGCCTCGTGTGCCACTTTTTTGTTCTTACCACATTTTGACGTCATCTGTGATCTATTACTGAACAGACGCACGGCAACTTGGAATCTATTCGTTTTATATAATAAAGAATTTAAAAAGTTTTAATGATGACGTCATGTATACGTCTGTCCTCCAATAGATCATAAATGAGAACCAATCAGAATGCATGCATAACTGAACTTATTATATAAACTCTCATGAAGCACGCTACAATAAGCCAATCAGAATCCCTGTTAGAATGGTTCAAATAAACTGATTGGCTGTACAAGACTAAAGCTGTCAAACCATCAAAGTTCATATTCTGCAATAGTTTACAAACTAAAATAGCTCGGCATGTCAGATTTAACACTTTTGCCTGAAGTTTTTAGTTTGTAATACAGGATCTGAAAGTGAAATGTTCAGTGAAATTCGGCCCAATCGTGGCTCAAAAATACGTAAGTTATTTCACATGACAAGTAGAAAACAAACTGTTCAAGGCGAGTGTATTATGAATGGACAACAGCCGAATTCACTAAGACAAAAAGATCGCTCGGAATGACAGCGCCGTAAAACTCGGTTGCAGTGACTGACCTGGCCTTCCACTTAACGCATCGGAAAGGTAATCAGGGCAAGCTCTTATTTTTTCACTCGAAGGGTAGTCGATTTAGTTCCTGAGGCTTGCTCCACTGCGAGGACCGAAGATCGCCATGATTAGCTAGCCGCGATAGACCTTAAGTCGCTCTGACACCGTCATGATTAGTATGAATTTTAACAGTCAGCCAGGTTATATTTTTCATCATTCCTGTTTTTTTCTATTTGAAATCGAAACTTGATATACTATACAAATGTTAGCTGTGTTTAATTTTTATTACCGTACGTAAACTCGCAATCTAACTGAGCGTGAAAACCGTTAAAAAAACTCGGACAGTCTATCTTGTTTTATCTTTGAGGATTTTGTCTCTGCTCATATTAGAGTAACGTAAATTACTGCGCCTGGCATTTTTGCAAACCTTTGCTCGCTTGTTCCAAAATTTCACTTTTGATTAACTAAAGAAAAGCTAGAAAGGAGTCCCGGAAAAGGTCGGACATAGTACGATTTGGCAGATGGCGTGACAGCTTTAGCTCAGTTCTATGCTCTATACTCTCATAGAGCACGCTCTTTCAACCAATGACAGTACGTGTTATATCCGAGCTTTATTATAATCATTGATAGAATTTAGCTTTAGTTAGTGGGAGATCAAACTAGTTTATAAAACTCATGTCATGTTACCAGCTGTTAATTAAGGTGAACAACCACCAAACTTATAATAAACACTGAGCTTTGGGGCGAAGACTGCGAGTCTGCCAAGCTTAGTAGACCTTACTTAATGCGCAAAAGACCTTCTCTTCTCGGCCAGCACTCGGTCCAACTTTAGTGAACCTTTAGTCTAAGGGAGTTTTCAAAACATCCAATCGAGAAATCAATTGTTTACTGCGTTTCGAACAACCCGTAAGAACGTCTTTTGTTGCTCATCTGTTATACCTGAGTTATAATTTTTTCGGTCATCGATGTTTTTCTTTCGGTAGCTGCCATAAGGAGCCCATATATCTGATGATCGTTTGTATGTCATTGTCCAGTTGAACACTCCGTTATACTTAGAGGGCTCGGGTGTTGTATAATGAGAATTTTCCTGAATAACATAAACCCAGCGCTGATTGGTTGATCGTTGTCTAGGTAATTCACTTAGCATGTCTCTTCCATGCAAAATGACGGTGTCACTTTGACGCAATAACTGTGTGTCGATAGTTAGGTTACACCAGGGAACTTTACACTTTTGAAGAGATTCCGCCGGCCATATTGTGGTCGGCTGGACACCGAATATCCTAGTGTAGAATAGGGATTACTTTCCACTTTTCAGATTCATTGTAATTTCCCAAATCCCCATGAATTAAAACAATAATCAGTGTTAATGCCAAAACAGTAAAAATGAGTGAAAGTAACAGAATTGTGTCGCATTTCAAGATCCTGCCCCGCCTAACGGTAAACAGCGTAACTTTCAGGTCAGAACTGTCATTACGAAATTCCAAGCTCATCGCAATTCAATCTCTGTATATTCAAATTTTGTTTTCCCCTACACAAACAGGTGCCATATCATGTTGTGAGTCTCGGAATATTGTATTGAACTGTCATCGTAGCTAAGCAAGGCTAACTTGAACTTCTTTGTTTACAGCTCAAGACACGCGTTAATGTACAGTCACCCTAAAACACATAATGAAAGTTTTTGGAGCCACCAAGGAAACTTTTTGCTCGGAACCAGGGAAGGAGAGCTAAAATTTTCCAAGGAACAGATGGTTTTTGTTATAAGACTCTAATGGTCTTTTGATTGATGGTCTCTTTCCTGGCGATTTTTTAATTCTGTGATATTTCGAGACCATTGTGCGATGTCAATTTTACAACTGTTAAACCTTACGCAAGATGAGAGGTTTATCGGTAGATTTTATTACATATTTTATGGTTAATCACACAAAAACGCATGCTTCCCCCTCATCATCATGACATAAATCCATCTGGAATAATATGGTGGCGGAAAAGCGACGATCTCTCATCAAAATCGTGTATTTTTACGTCGAAACAACTTTGCGCCAACACAATGATCCGGTTACTAGCAACTCAATCATGGTTAAGTGATACGGAAAATGTTAAACATTCCAAGCATTTTAAGAGTGTGTCGACTTGCGTCGACGACGAATAGGAAACGCCGGACAAACCTTACCGTGGACCTGCCACAGGTATCTCACGGAAAAAGCGACTAGCCCAAGCTGCTTAGCGCAAAATGCGCCACAATACCCGACAAAGTGAAAATAATCCCTATTGGCTGATTACGAAGGTACTCCCACTGGGCTTGTAAGATTCTGAAGATGAAAAGTTTATAAACCGCCGCCACTTTGAATAAAGCTCTTCTGGCAAAATGATATATTCAAATATCTTCAAATTTTCAAAAAAACCAAAGTTTGACCGAAGATTGACATTTAAAAAGAAACACACATATTTATCAGCTATAGATTAGTTTTGGAACTTAATTTAAATCCGATATTTCATCCTTTAGAGTAATCGTCCGCCTAAGGAAGTTTTATCTAAGATTGAATGTGGTCGACTCTGACGTTTGCCAGATATGCTTGATATGATTTTATAAGATCTCATGCAAATAATTGTAAGCTGTGTGCAAGTCCATATTAGTAATGATAATGGGACTATTACTCGGTCTGAGTGATAACAAAATAGGACGACTGCGCAGCGGGAGTCCGATTTGTCTATCACAAGTATGATTACAGAACTAATAATATACATGGAAAAATTATTCAGTTCTGATTGGTTAAGATAAATGCTGTTTTCAGGTAATTCAGTGCAGAAGAGGGTTAATTCAGTGCAAAGAAAGAAACAAATCAGACATTCTGATTGGTCAATAATCAAAGAAACTCATAGATAGCCAATAAAATGCGAACCTTGGATGGCGCAACAAAATTTGAAAATTTGGGAGCGAAACAATGGCCGGCGTTTTAAGTAGGTTTTCCTTCGCCGCCGCAGCTGAAAAACAGCTTAAACAACGAAAACACTATAAAAAGCACTGCTTTTTGGTTGTCAGTTTGGAAAAAGTGGTGTTTAGAGAGGGGAATTGCCAAGGAAATCGAAAATTACGAGCCGACCCAGCTTAACACTTTGCTCGAGCGATCCAACGCCGAAATTAAAAACAGTCATAGTTAAACCTCGGAAACGACGATTCCTGACTGAACTATTCCTTGAACTGTTCAGTCGGACTTTGAACTTTCTAGCACCTTAAAGATGTGAAGATATCATTGCCTATTATTGTTTTGATCCTACGCGGTTGTTTTGACCGAACGCACGGTTTGAATAAATTATTTTTGCAGTTGATGCGCGCGCTTTTCTTATATTTAATTATGATAGGCCATCTCGTATTTTTCCATGTAAATTATCAACACGTAATCACATGATTTTTCTCGTGCAATTTGGAATAAACAAGCACTTGTTAATTTTTTCAAAGACCACAAATTGCACTCGCCCTACGGGCTCGTGCAATTTTGTTAGTCTTTAAAAAAATTTACTCGTGCTTATTTATTCCAAATTGCACTCGAAATCATGTGATTACCTATACGAACTGGACGACACGAAATCTTAAAATTCCGAGAAAAGACGAATTGCCAAGTTATGAAAGAAAGGGAAAACCAAGGTTGTGATTGGTTGACTTAAACTACAACTTTGAATGTGATTGGTTAATTTAAACAACAATTTTGGATGCGATTGGCTTATTGAACCAGCTGATAACAAACTTGGAAAGTAAATTAAAGGAAAAACAGGAGCTGTTTTGAACCAATCACAATCGGGAAAATTTGTAATTTTTATGATTAGTCCAGTTACACAATTCCCTACTGAGAGCATTATGTTGATGGGCAGAATTACCTCGAAAATGAAAGGGGAAACTTAAGGGCATACAGGAAATTTACACAGTAACAAAAACAAAGGAAAAGAAAAGAAAACCATGGGAGTATCTTCATTACTTTACTTGGCTGGTGAAACAGTAAGAGCTCAGAGCTCATGTAGATAACCACTGTAAAGAAGTCTAATCGTCTAACCATTATCATATCAAAAGGTATTCCAACAAACATCTCCCGTGAACCATTTATTATGCTCCGAAGAGGGTCGTGAAATGTAATTTTAAACTGAATACGTTATGCTTTTATTCATTCTCTAGAGAGCGAGTGAGAGTGTTGGTGTCGACAAAGACAGCTTCTTCAATTTCAGCGACATATCACAATGGAAAATTTCATTTTACATCATTGGGATAATCAAACAAATACAGTCGCGAGGTTTAGGACCTGTTTGCTTGCCAACTGCGTTGTTAATGCTATCGGTCTGTTTATTGCAAGTTTTGGAAACGCCGTCATCCTTCTTTCTATTTGGCGGACCAAGTCTCTGCATTCACCGTCCAACACTTTGTTGTTCGCTCTTTCATTAACTGATTTATTAGTTGGAACCGTGACACAACCACTGTACATTATAACACGGGTGTACTTTCTTGTCACCGGCAAAGATGGGCCACTGGCTCTGATGTCCGCTTTTGATGTCATTTCAGGCAGTCTGTCGGGAGTGTCATTTATCACCGCAACTTTAATTAGCGTGGACAGGTACCTTGTACTTTTATTACACTTGAGATATAGATGCCTGGTAACAAACAGAAGAATTTGTGTGTTTATCCTCGGCTCTTGGTTGTTGTCAGGGACATGGGGATTCATCTGGACGCAAGACATTCGATTATTTTACTTTCTTGGGTTTGGTTCCTCAACGACATGTTTCTCTATCATACTTTTAATGTATTACAAGATTTATCAAGTAATCAGACGACATCGTCGAGAAATCAACAATCAAGAAAACCTCAAACAAAGTTCTCACTCAATTGCCAGCAGAATCAGCTTTCCGAGTTACACTAGATCGGTGGTAAATACGTTCATTGTTTGTGTCCTTCTCTTTCTCTGTTATTTCCCTTATCTTTGTACGGCAGCTGTCATACAACTTGGTGGACTCAGTACGACCAAGAAGATATCTTTGGAAGTTTCTGGAACGATAATCTTCGTAAATTCTTCTCTGAACCCGTTCGTATATTTTTGGCGTGTAAAAGAGTTTCGAAGTGCTATTAAAAGTACCCTGCGGCGATTGACAAACACTCGGATGCAACCACCAAGTAGTTAACACTCCACAAAGAGATTTTAGCATTGCAACTAACCTTTTTGCCATGCAAAACACTGTAAAAGTACATATGTGACGTTCGTTAAAAAGATCATTGTGGTGAGAATATTTTGAAAAAAGTGACCTCCAATTTTATGTTCAATTGGCGCTCAATACCAGAAAATGTACAGGGCCTAACAACAATTTACCGAAGCTCCTAGGAATCACGGAACAGATAATGTCTGCGGACAAATATCCAAGCATCTCTTCGCGCCAAACGGAGGCTATTGTTTATATATCATAAACTTGATATTTAAACTAGACCTAAATCTAATTCAAATAAATTTTACATAAGAAATAAAAGTAATCAAGTCTAATAAGTTACACGTGTATCCTTTAATTTATTGGAAAAAAAAATAGCACGGAAACAAAATATGACCCTCTGTAAGAGAACCTGCCACACATAATTCTATCCCTTAGTAATTTGCTACATAATTCAAGCAGTTCATACAATAAACACTTTTGTGACACAAACCCTGCTCTGAGGGGACACATCAAGGGGGTATATACATTTTTCTTTTCAGTCGTAAGCCCGTAAAAATTTACATGTTTAAAATTCTTTTGAGCCATGTCCTATCACAAATTTTTTCTCCAGCCATAACTAGAACCTGTAATGAATGATACTAAACCTACAAAAGCCTAGAGGGTGTCTGCTTTTAATCGTGAAATCACCGCCTTCAAATCACTTTAGCATTCATAGTATAATTGATTTAAAAAGCTAGTAGCTGAACGTCATGTTTTGTAAAGCACCATCTGTGTAGTTAAATCGAGTGGACAAGAGCTCTTTTGGTAATTGACCGATTCTCAAATTTTCCGTAAATCTAAGTCAGTTTCGCATCTGATTGAGGTATTTGGTACATGAATAGAGAATAAATCAATTTGGTAATAGCAGTGTAGTCGTGAAAACAAACTGGCGCCGTACAACCCTAAATATTTAGACGGTAATTCAATATATGCACAAGTTATCAGGTTAACTTATTTTAACTAAAAGGCTACTTAGTCTACAAGAATCATGTACAAGAGTTTGTAATTTTATACTTCAGATCACGATTCACTGGCAACCACTCTAATCTTGAACAAGTTGCTGGTTGTGAAACGAAACTGATCAAAAAGGAACTAGAGTCTTTGGCTCATAATGTTATTTTCCCCTTGACCATCTTCATGTCCAGCATACAAATGTTCCTTCCTCCATTTAATTCTTCTGTTCTGGAACCAAATCTTGACCTGAGTCTGGGAGAGATTTAACTCCCTGGCAAGACGCTCTCTCTCTGTACCGACAAGATACTGCTGACGATCAAAAGCTGATTCTAGCCGGTTTAACTGATCTGAAGTGAAAATGGTTCGTTTACGACGCTTCTTTATCTCCGGTTTGTCTCTTAGTCCAATAACCAGGTTACCTGACAAAAAGAGGACGTCAACAGCTCTATTGAAATATACTTAAAAATAATAGCTCTAATTTTGGTTAATTGTTGAATTTTTGTTTTTTTTTTTGATCATATTGCTAACGAACAGAAAAGATTCAAGTACATAAGTGCATACCCAGTTGCAGACTGAAGATGGAAGCCTTAATGATAATTATGCTCTCGGTTTTGTCTATGGTTTATCAATTTGACCTTAAATCTCTTGAATAATGACTTCAATTAAGCGAAAACGTTTTGTTCCATCTATTTGCCATATACACAATTTGCAATTGGTCTGTAATTCTTTCAAATTACAGACCTTTTTTTGTCTTTGATAAAAAAAAACTTGTAAATGTATATTAGCTTTTCACCACAATTGACCTGAAAATTATCATCTTATGTGTGATAGATTGTCAAAAATGATGTTCCAAGCCTTCCCTAAGGTCCTTGGGTCCTTTACTGCTTTTACACTTTCTCTTGAGCTGATTTTCCATCAAAACACCCAGTAACGTGACGGTGCACGTGGTTTAAAGAAAACGTTGTTGAGTTTTATGGACCAGGCTCAAGGCACAACCAATTCGAAGATCGCCCGCCTAAGAAGCAACTGGAACTGAGTCAATCCAGAGAAAGCATAGGGTCTTGTACTTATGAACAGAAAAGCTGTGTCTTTCCTCGCCCCCTAAAAACTGTGTTAATAGGTCTGGATTCGAGTTTGTTATTTTACTTTCTCTTCCTGAGTATTGTGCTTTTGTTTCTGTCTAAAACAACTTATTATGACTTCTTTTGTCTAAATATGAATACATTACAAAATAATTGCTATGATAGTTTTTGAAAAGTGTACGCCAAGAACAAAAAGGACCAACACAGAATTCAAACTGTTCGGGAAATCGCAAATTCATTGTTTATTTACCGCGCCACGCAACAGTACAATATCACTAAATCTGAGCTTGAAGTTTCAACATTGTACATCGTAAAGATGATAATGAAAACAACAATACTTACGTTAATAAAAGAGGTACATGTAAATTCAGAATAAAGAAACGAAGAATTCAAGAAAAAGAATGTTTTAAATAAAGTTACTTACCATGCTGTCTGCTGTGAGATGTTTGACTGAATGGAAAAATTATCTGTTGGCTGGAGAGATTACAGTGAGCCGAGGGAACATAAAATCGAGAGGGTCTCGAAATAATGCCGAATGCAGATGGAATGAAGGCCGAGGGATCTGCTTTGGAGTAAACGCCTGAGTCCCGTTCCATCTGTAGCTGTAGTGAACTGGCTTGTAATCGCAGGTGAGATTCGCTTGAGTTTTGGCACGAAAGAGGTACTTGGCACCCACGGCCACTGTCCCGCTCCTCTAGGCAGCTTGGGTGTGGACAAGAGCAAAACGAACGATACGAAGACTGATACATACTGAGTGGCTGCTTCTTGAACATGGACGAATACTTTCAACCTCAATGTCCGAGAAAATTAATACTTGCTTGATTATCGCCAGCCAATGCGTCTATGAAGATCTAAGCGGAAAGTAATTCAGTAGCTGTATTTATGACAAACTGTTGCCAGACAACTTAAAACCTCTTGCAAACACGTTAGCAACTAAATCCAGCAATGAAGGAAATGCGCCAAATAACATTATTATAGAGCATTTACTTGATGAAAGATGTATGATGAAAACCAAGAATGCATCCTTAAAAGTACATCTGCATTTATCTAGGCGCTTTTTAAGTACTTCAGTGTTTTGGAATGATGATCTGTGGCTTTGAGCAGAGCCAATTCGTAGTCCCGTTTGCCTGCAGTTCTCTCGCCAGGTTCGTTCTTATTTTAATAGTTGTCCATACATTTGTAACTTATTTAATATTTTTGTAATGATCCATAAACGTGTAACCTCCTCTGATAAGGACATCATTTCATCTGAACACCAAACCAAAATTTAATATGGAATGATACGAAATCTAACTCTTTCACGAGATTTTCCTATTCCTGTAGTTTAAGAAACCGTAACCTGTGTTTCCCAGTTCTGGGAAAGGGCTCCATATTGTCGAAACATTGATTTTAACTCAGGAAACTGTAATAATTAAGAAAAAAGGATCAACAAATAATTCAGCAATCACGAATTTGACGATTCTCGCAACGAGATCACCTTCAGGATTCACATGTTCGTGATGTCACCTGACCTGAGTGGTACTTCTGGTCTTAAGACGGCTTAATTACGTTCCCTTTTGTTCTCCTCTTTAAAAGAACGATCACTCCGTTCAGAAAATACATCTGGGGCGACAAAAGTAAAGTTCTCCTCCTATTTGAAAACGCACGGATCGTAAACGTTTGAACTAGTTTGTTTTCAGTGAAGAAATGAACATTTTTGTTGAAATTAGTATGACTGGTCCTGTTTGGAGGAGAGGCACATGTTGTTAATCTAAATTGTATTTGCACATTTCGTACGCACTACATGTGTCAACTTTTCTTTGAGTCCCAAATGAATAAACAAAAAAAGTTTCATTGATAACAGAAAATTGTACTTTTTTTATTTTTGATCCCGCTTATTCATGCAACTAACATACTTTATTAATTCTTTTAGTTTACCTAAAAATAATTTTTTTTCACATTGTTATAAATTCCCTCTTTGGTGGCTAAATGTTCAAAACGAATTGGAGATTTCTTTTATTATTCCTAATATTGAACATAAAGAATGGGTAATTGGCAAACAAATTAAAAATGTAGTCTTATTCCAAAATCGAGAGATACACTTGTCTTAAAGCGCTGTAAATGTAATACCATATCTACATACCTCTCATGAGTTAAATAGCTTTTGAAGTAAGTGAAAAGGATAGAAAGAAGAAAAACAAGAAGCGCTTCTCTGACCTAAGATAAACAGACAGGATGACGGTTGCCCTGGAGAAGCATTTCTTTTGCAAGAATGTCCCATTGTGTTCGACTTAATGCTGCTAAATGCTTCAATTACACTGTTCAAAATTTGTCTCTTTATTCTAATCATTACGGCTCAAACGTCCTCACAGTCAAGGCCGCGAATGTTTTGCATTGAATGGCATGGACTCAAAGGAGCCTCTATAAAAAACACGAACAAAGCTATCATACCATGTTCACGGCCAAGCATAACAAAAGCAAGCAATTATCAATTTACTTGTTACTGCGATCAGAGGTGGGGAGCTTGTAAGCAATAAAAACAAATTGCAAAACACCTTTACCGACAAGAAAAGATCAGAGGTGTTTGGTGAGTCGAAAAAAACATTCTCGTCATCAAGTACCTTTCATTATGATCACTAAACTCAAATATTTCGTGAAATTAACGAAAATTTTGGAACATCAGACGCACTAAAAATAGCGTACTTTCACATAACTTTAGATTAAATCATGAAGACATAAATTGCCTGAAATATGGAATCCACAAACAGTGTTCCAACTCAATAAAGCAAACTCCAATTATAGCGCGTTTATCACTCTAACATGTTAAACCAACTCAATACAGTGTAAATAGTTGAGAATAAATATTTCAAGGGAACATGCAGTCATTGTAATAATTCTTCGTTACTTGTTCACAAATTTCAAATTGTCTTAACACATACAAGATGAAAGTTCGCGTTCAGATAAACCCTCTCACACACAAAAAAAACTTGCAACACGTCTACACTGGCGTCATGATGCATCATGCTTGTCTTCACTTTCAATTAATAGTCTATTCTGATATACAATGTAGGAAAAGTTCTCCCTTTTTATTCCACGTCAGTGTTCAGTTTACCTTCAGAAATCAAGGCAATACAAAAGAAACAAAACCACTAATCATGTTTCGTTGAAAACCTCCTGGTGCGAGATACCCCCTACTTTGCCATCAAATCTTTCATTAAATTTTGCTTTCATACGCGCAGGAAGAACAAGAAGCTTTTACGAGTTTTTGTCTCTTTTCTTTATTATTTTAAACTCGATATTAATAACAAGCAAGGGTAATTGATCTACAGTAGAAACTGCAGAGGTTTCTGACAAACTCGTCAAAATGAGTGAAAAATTGAAGTGTCCCGCAACAGAAGGCTACAGTTCTACAGATACTACAGTAGTTTGATCAAACTTTGTGTTTCATTTTCGACATTATCCATTCAGGAAACCTAATTGAACAAGAAGCCTTCACCTTTTTACTTGCTTAATATCGGACGTGAAAGTTTCTCCTCCTTTATCGGACGGCACACAAAGAAAGTTTCTACACTTGTCCGAATATGTAATGAATCCTAAAACATAACAAACAAACAAAGATCTGAATTCTCACTCCTCCAATCAGAGGGCATTTAATTAATGGGTATTGGCTATGTGAATTAAACATACAGTAGAATACACTTTTACCATAATTTATCATGAAGAATCTTATTTCAAATGGAGAACCACGGCTCCATCAAATTTGCAGTGCAACCAACAAGTGTTCCTCAGGAGTTACCATCCAGGCCTTCCTTTGCCAGTATTACGTTTTTGCAAAACCTTCCACGTCGTTAACACAGAAAGCTTTAAACAGCAAGCAGCCGTTCCCTGCTTTACTCGAGTCACTAGGCGCAACAGCTTCATACCCTTACAATCGACCGACCACCTGAACAGGTTTTCTAACAATCCATTGTCCTTCACCAAATGTCCGCCTTATTTTCATCTTCTTTGTTCATGAGGTAGCCATGGCAACTGTTACAAACTAGTACTGTCTCTTCATAAGCTGCCGGTGCTATTTATGAAGATCGAAAAAATACAAATCAGCTGAGTTAACCAATAAGCTGTTCTTATCATCATACAACATACGTAATTTTATTCCCTTCAAAGTTTGTTATTCCTGGAAACATTATAAACCTAATTTTCGCGTAATAAAATAAATGATGGCAAACGAAAGTCAGGGCCCGCTTTATGCAACACATCAGGTTTGCACAAAACCAGGGGTCCTAGATATAATTTATTTTTTATTCTCTTAATGCCTCTTCAATTCTACATTTATTGTTTCAGCCACTTGGGACCATCAGTTACACAGTTGAAATGCACGTACAAAAAACTTGACAATGAAAAGTCTTGTTCAACGACAACAACAACAAGTTTAAAGAACTGACAGGTGTGTGGAAAGGAGGGGGGAAGGGAGTGGAGGAGGAGACGAAGTTCTGACTTCCATTGGTATTTCATGGCTGTTTTCTCCATGAGGAACGACAAAGGGTAATTTCGAGAAAGATTTTTTTCGCTCACCAGTTGCTCCAAATACAGCTCTTTTTACACGCTTACAGCAACAGCGAGAGCAAAAGCTATCTCCGCAATGCCGGCAGTATTGCTACAAAAAGACACATCAGTAACTAGATGTCGCAATCATAAAGCATGAAAGCACAAAAATTCACTGAATTTTGAAGTATAGATAACTAAGAGTTATAAACATATATCCACTAGCTTTCTTTCAAATATGCTATAATCTGATTGGCTATTGCTACTCGCAATCGATTCCGTGATAGACAGCGAGTGCCTAACAGAGTGAGGGAGTAAACTTAATAGTATAAAAAACATGAGCTGATCTTCTTGTTTAGTTTTGAAATACTTACTTGATTTATTCCAAAATAATTACATTATATGCTCTCGATTTCTATACTTGATACCTGATGCAGGCTACTATGGTACAGTGTGAGCAAGCCGTTCAGCCAGGCGTGTCACACATTGTACAAAGTACATTTCAACAGCACACTGACTGACACAATGTAATAAATTTGCTACCAAAAAGCTTTCTTTACTTACCCTTTTCTTTAACAGAGAAGAAAATGTAACATCGCATGAAGCACAGTTTACTGAGAGAAGAATAATAAGCAACATGACCGGAAAATTACAGTAACTAATAAAAACGGGAAGTACTAGTATAAATAATTTAATTCTTTTTTTACACCAACTAATAAAGAGTAATGCGTTCGAGAAAACTGCCGATCTAACAAAGCGAAAGCGACACGAAAGAAGCAAAATAAACATTCCGTGATTGTTATTATTCAAGCCAGCAGCAATTAGAAGAAGTTAACGAATACACTGTCAAGTTCTTGATCTCATTAATAAATGACGTTTGGTTAAGTTTCACTGTTTGTTTACAAACATAATAATCAGAAGTAATCTTCACATCCATATTACCACTATTTACGCGCTTTTTTTTCCTGCGGTAGTCGCTGAAATGGGTCACCACAGACAATCCAGAGAAACGCTCTGAGAAAATAATTAATAGAATTAGAGAAAGAATGTAAAATTCTTCACTCCTCATTCTCAATTGATGGCAAAGGCGACGAATACATTTCTTTCAAGTTAAATCACAAACTTACTTGCACTTCTCCTTGTTAACGGGGTATCCTGTGAATTACCAAAAAATATCAGTCATGAATCATATATTTTTACGTCTTACTTACAGCCATGAGCCAAAAGTTGTATACTAAAATATACAAAACGGTTTCCTCACGTTTAATTTCACACCGAACACTTACGATTCGATTTAATTATACATCATGATAAGAACTAGGATGGGCAAGACTCCGGTGGGCACTGGCGATGACCAAGTTTTACATTTTACCATAAACATTGATCTAATTTTCGGGTAGTCCAGCGGAAAGTTCGGGTTATGTTACTGATTAGTTCCTGCTTAGTCATAGTTACAGTGATCTTCCGAAACAGCTTTGAAGGAAACGCTACAAGGATACGAATTGAAATGACTTCAACTATCACAGGTTCCCGCAGATACAATATTATGCAAGCTTCAGAAGCAGTATACAAAACTCAAGAGGCCCACAAGCACATGACGATTTTCAAACTAAAACAGTGATTGCCTGAGATTTTAAATGAATACAGCATTGAAAAATATTGTTCGTTTCGTTGTGTCTTGTACCTCTTGCTCGTAATTCTCATCCTCGGAGAGAGATATCTCCTGTTCTTGTGCATCATACTGAAAAGAAAGAGGAGAAAATCAAAATAACTTATAACAGAAGCATATCACCTTGCAACGTCTAAATTCCGTCAGGTTGTTTAAAAACACGTTGGGTTATTAGCCGAACAATCAGAAGCAACGCTGCATTTTTGCCCAAATATGGGATTCGAGGTTCAAGCAGTGTTTCCTTCATAAAAACTCACAGCCGATTACCTAAGAGGCCGTGAAACCCACAAGAACCAAATTTTAAGTCAAAATCTTTATTGACCGAGAAACGTTTGGTAAGTTACGGTAATTATTCTGAAGTGAGACTGAAAGAAAATTCCAAGAAATTTGGTATCCACTCGTTTCGTACCCAATGTCAATCAATTCGTACTCATTTTGAGTCAGTTCGTATGTAAACCCCTAGTCTAATCGTACCCGTCCCAATATACATTCTCTCAAAATACCTCGAGCGCTGGAAGCGCGAGCGTGTCAAGAGAGTTCGATTGTTGTTTATAAAATAATTCAAATAGTACGCGCGCTCTGATTGACCATAAAACCATTTTACATGAGCGTTTAGACTTTCGAATCTGAGGTGTTTCGAAAGCATCTTTGTTCGAGGTGTTAGAATCATCTTCTTTGTCGTGGAAAAAGGCCTTCCGTTAAACACGGCGAAGGAATTTTTCAACGTCTTGCTTAACTGAAAATTCGTCGGGTTTTTGGAAATGGGAAAACATTTAAGCCCCTACTGAGAGCGGATTTCTCGGAGTAGGAAAGTGGAAAATTTTCTGGAATGGTAACTACGGTTTTGAGGTTTTCAGGTCATGAGTCACTAGCAATTTGAGGACCGATACGTTGTTCAAGGTCGAGATAATTTGGTTTTATCAACTGCGTTGATAATGTAAATTGGCCACCGTAAAGATTTTCAAAGCTAGCGTTTCGAGTGTAAGCTCTTTGTCCGAGCGAACAAAGGCCTACGAATCGACCTAGCTGAGTACGAAACGACTGGTAACCACCCCAGCTCTCGTATACACCTAGATGCGTGTTTCTGGGTTAAAAAAGGTGCATCCTTTCCCTTACAAGGTTAAATCACGTACAAAATCTTGGAAACAAGAATATGACACAGTAATACAATAGAAAATCCACTCCTCACCCATTCATCATCGTAATCATTTTCTGTTACTTCTAGGTTAGTTTGAGTTTTTGAAGGGATTTCCAACCAAGGATTTACCAGACCATTCCAAAAGTTCTGTGATAAAATATTCTTCTTTACTCGCTGTAGTCTAAGCCAGAATTTCCCTTGAGCCTCCCTGCAAACTATCAAGTTATAAAACTATTGATGAGAGTTCACAGTGCATCCACCAACAAGTGAGACATTTATTGCATAACCCTTTTATCACTGTTTCACCCACTACTCTAACAATGCATTAACTGGTTCTGGCACACGACATGGATAAAAGATGAAAAATGAAATTAAATATTAAAAGATTAAAAGATAATGAAATAGAGGATCTATCCCTCTATCAATCAAGAAAAGATTAACCAATCATGCAAACCACAATAAGTATAAAATTGTTCATTATTTCTTTTAAGTCCTGCGTTAGCAAAAACAGTGGAAGAGACACCTCATCCAAATATTAAGGTGCGCAAGTGATTTGCAAACCTTTACATTTCATGAAAACAAAGAAATCTAAGCCAAAAGCATATCATGTCACACCTTTTCTAATTTTTCATACACTTCTTGGCTTCACTCTAAATGCCACAGGTCATAACTGGCAAGGTCCACTCTAAGTTTATCTCAATCATCCATAAAATTAAGGTTTTTAGGAATGTAAAGGAAAAAAATCAGTGACAAAAATTGTGCAATGATGACTGCGTTCAGGCAAAAATGTGCAATCTGCACTTTATCCAACTTGTTTAACTTATCCAAAGAAGACTTTTATTAACCATGAATCAAAGTCATGCATAAGTGTGTGTTTTATAAAGACTACCTTCTTTAAAGCCTGAGTTGCCTAGAAATGTGAGTATGAGGCCAAAAGTCACCAGGTATCTTCCAGGGAGAAAAAATAAAATGCATGCTGACAACAAGAGAGAAAGAAAGCACCTAAAGGTAAAGATAAAAATGTTCTTTTAACAATGATGTTTATCACCAGAAAGGAAAGTCTGTCTCAGAATATTGTTGACTGCCTTTACGGCTTGATTTGAAGTAAGATACACGAAACAGGAGGGGAAATTCACCAGCACTGACTTAAGCAAGTTCAAAACTTGAGTCAGATTTTAAGGGTTGAAGGGCCTGTATTATTAGACACAAACACCACTAAGATAATAATTAACTGGACTGTTCAGACAGACAGTATAGAGTACATCCAAAATTCACAATACCTACAGTGAAGATTGGAGCAAACAAGAATTTCTACAACTAAGGTTTCAATATAAATATCTTAGGAAAGTATGTGTTGAAAATGTGATTATAGTAGAATAATGCTTCAACACACAAACATTTCTTATTCCTATCCTATGCAGTATCATTTGACTTGAAGTTTTTTCACTGTACTCGTTGTATGGTTCAAGTTCTTTATCTTTGTTATGTACTTACATGTAAGATAATTATTTAATTAATTAATTCTTTATCTCTGAAAAAGAAAGAAAGAAAGAAAGAAAGAAAGAAAGAAAGAAAGAAAACGACAACATACCTCTTTGAAACAGAGGGATCTTCCCATCTGGCAATGCTGTTTATAACAATTCAAAAGCAAAATAAGAATTTAAATAAATGAATAAATAAAAGATGAAACGAATATCAAAAGAGTCAGTGGAAAAGATGCAACAAACAGAGTATCTCTGATACTGGCAAACAAATATAGCAGTTGGATTTTTGTTAAAGGTCTTTTGGATGTCATTCCTACTAGGTTTACCTGTAAGCAGCAAACCATATTTTCAAGTCTCTGAGGGTACTGACAGGGAAGTCTTTATTTTGATTTACACCTGACACCTTTTCCCAAATCATCCTCACTTATAAATCTTATACTGATCTCATAACTAAATGTACATGTACTTTCACAATTCTATGGTAAATTAAAAGTTGGGATAGTGTAGTGCCTGACTGGAGGAGAACCAAGGTTCATGTACTAATTGAAGAACATACCGGTAATAGTCATTGTACAGTGGTGAGAAAACTTCCCACTCAGATAGTGCTGGTGTTAAACAATACAAATTCATAAAAGAGAGATGATTTCAGTCAGCTGAAAAGGTTCCCACTTATCATTTCCAGAGCAGCATTTTGGAAATAACACAGTTACTGGCAGGCTGTACTCTCCATTGGAAGTTTGACTGTTTCGGCACAATAAAAAATGATGTATCTCAGTTGGATTTACAAGAATGTACAGCTGTCACAATTGTTACCTGTAAAACTGTTCGAGGCATTCACACAAGGTTTCCTCTACCATCTGTATTTGCACAGAGCTGGAAAAACATTTTTAAAAAAAACTAGTGGGTCAACTCTATTTCATAATGTGATAAGAACTAGGCATTCTCCCAAGAAAAAAAAGTGTCTGTAAAAGACTTAAAACATGAGAAATTTTTGTACTAGTATATTTGATATTCTGGAAAATTGAGATTCCTACACTCAATGTTGAAAATATTATTCTAAAACTCAAAGACTATAAAACTAAATCAAATTGATCAAACTGTATGTTTCCCACCACTCTTAAGTAAAAAAGTTTTCTATTCATTTATTTATTTAATTATTTCCTTTAATTTCCTTAACTTCTGTTATTTAGTTACTTTTGTTTCTTCATCTACAAGTAATGCAATAATTAAATGGATCTTGGGCAGTTGATTGACCCGCTTCAACTAACAAATCTGCTAACAGTGGGTCAACTTATTCTTAAATTTTGCAATGAAATTAATTTCTGAAGATATGTCTTTATTAAATACACAAAGCAAATGTAATACACAATGTTAACTCAGCATACATACATCTTAATGTACTCTTTTAGATGATCATGTGCTTCCTTAATGGCTGCCAGTTTAACATCCTAAGAAAACAAATGAAATAAGTTATTATCTCTGATAAGAAATCAGAGGGCCCAACAGGTCTTCAAATAACATTACATTTGATTGCCTTTTCCGCATTAATTTTTGAGGGGACAGGGCACAGTTAGCCACATGTAAGCAAAGTGATTAATTGAAATTCCAAAACACATGACTGCAAACCAAGACCTATGAAACCAAGAGTTGTAGTCTGTCCTGTGAGTAGTTTAAGTATGCTGAGAGATCAAAAGCTGTCAGTGCAAAATACTGTCTATATAAAAAATGGAGTCTGGAGTCGGCTTTTTTGGTCTTGATCAACCTCAATTAATGGTTATTAATAAAGTTAAAATGTTATCAGGCTTAGAATTCATTCTTTATTGCTCTCAGTCTACATTTTGTGCTGACTGTAAAAATGTACCTGAAAGATATTATTATAGCATAAATTTAGGTATTTCCAACAGTATGACTCATGTTCCTTTAACATATAATACAGCATAGAATAAAGAAATGTTACAGAGCCAATTTCATAGAATCATTATCAATACCACCACATTCACTACCACTTGCAGATGTACATTTGAACTGTCTTCCTCAAGGAGATGATCCATCACTTAATAATCCATCTATCATGAACAGAGGAAATCCACCCAAAAGCAAAATGATGCAAGTAAAAGACAGAACCACAGGTCTTTCACTCCACTTTTACTCCATCAGAGCACAATCCACTGCTCTATTTCAGGATTCCAGCAGGGCCTTCATGGTTACTAAAGCAGCCACAGAGTATAGCATATATGATATTACCCCTTTACTTCACTGAACTGATCTTTACCTCTTCTGAGAAGTTACCAAAAGGTGCCAATGCAGAGATTAATGGGTTAATGTGACAGCAACTGAAATGTTCCCTTTTCTATATTGTACAAATAGAGGGGATTTGTATATCTAGCATTAAATTTGTTCATGTACTTACTAAATTCAAATCATCATCATCTTTCCTGCAAACTTTTTTTCTTTGCAAGAGATTACTGACTTTTGAAGTTTTTCTTCCCAGCCTTCTTATCCCAGATAAGCCAAATATAACTGACACATACACCAGTGGTATATGGACAACATACGCTGCAAGCAAAATACTGTGTGACTATAAACGTAAGAATTGTCATGTAGTTGTTTACTCAGACAACTTAAATGAACAAGAGTGTAATTTCTCCTTTGAGACACTCAGGGGGTGCTGACTTTTTTTGAGACATTTATATGTACAGGGGTTTCAATAAAAGCCAGTCACCAGCAGTCTACCACCACCTATAGGTCTTCTCACTGCCAGCTGTCAGTTGAGCCTGTGCACAGTCTCTCATGTTTGGCTTCACTTTGGGGCACAGCTGTCCAGCTATTGCACCATCATTAGTTGCTTATGGAAAAAGTTACTGAAACCTCTATATGTATAGCATTACATGGGTGTAATCTATGCATGAGTTACAAAATGTCCTTCTCCAAAGGATTGCAAGTTCAGGGTGCACATGCCCATCTAAGGAAAACAGTTAATTAGGGTCTTAAATGCCATCGCACATCCTGGATTAAATTTAACTTTTCCATTTTAGCATTTTTTTTGTCTTGTTCTCATCCTGCAAGATACCTTTACATCTATTAGAGTAACTCTACTGTATATTTCTGTCTTCAGTGTACTGTACCTAAAAACCATCCCCATTTATCTGCAGAAATTATATTTTCTTAATGGTCATATGATTGTCACAGCCCCTCTTATTAAGCTGACTATGATTCACATGAATTCTCATAAGTCACTGTCAAAGTGAAAAAAAGATTCCCTAGATAGTACCAACAGACTTAACATGTAAAGATCAGAAAAGACAAGAAATTTTACAGAAGCTAATTGATAGGAGAATACTTGTAAGGACTGAGGTGATCTGATGGTGAATCGATTCTACATGAAGAGAGGATGTCAGCATCCATCGAACAAATTTGAAATATTGTGGCAAGTCAGCCAAAATTCATTTTCACTTCTACTTCAATATTTTGTAGCCCAATATGTTCCAATAGTTGTGGTGTAGTTTTTTTTGTGAAAATATATTTTAGTTTTCGAGAAATGACTCTTTTTGTTTGACTGCTCAAATATGAACACTAAATACGAAAACTAAAATGTATTTTCACAAAAAAATTACACCACAATTATTAGAACATATTGGGCTACAAAATATGAAAGTAGGAGTGAAAGGAAATTTTGGGTGACTTGCCACCATTTGTCTGATGCATGCTGACATAAGCTCTTAAGTGTAATTAATCATTCAGAGAACTTTCTTTGAACAATTATCTATACAGGTCTGCCCCATAAAAGGCAAAAATCTGATGAATAAAATAGCTCTATAAATAATCTAACATTCCTCTCCCTCTATGAGAAAAGTGACTCAGCTTTTGTGCACTTAGCACAGCTGAATGAAAAAATGAAGATATCAAAATTTAATGCAATATATAGACAACTTCACTATAGAAATGTGCAATTTAATACTAAATGAAGTTAAATCACTGAGTACTATCACATGTCTATCTATCAGCAGGAGCTGACCACTGTTAATTCTCCACTCATGGAGTTAAAGGGTTGAGTCAACCCTTTAACTCCATGAGTGACCAAGACAGAATTTCTCCTTACAATATCAATGCAATATAAACCAGATAAGTGATGAGAATAAAGAAAAATATCAATTTGGGGATAATTGGTTGATCTGCTACTAAATTCTCTGAACTAAAATTAGAAGAACTGTATGATTTACAGTAAGGAGAACTAAAAATTTGATCTGGGAGTTAAAGGGTTAAAATATCTAGACAGACTTAAATGGTTAATTCATTTACATTTTAACTAAGTTTACCTGGATAACTGATAGACAAGTAAATTGTAACCAACATGATGACAAAAGTAATTCGCCAAGACTGCCACCTAAAAAATATCAATAAATTTTTATATGGTATAAATAATGATATTATTAATGATTTTATATGGTATTTTACTCTGTAATACCATATAATTATACCTGTTGAAATGTAAACATTGTATAACTAACTTACAGGACCCTTTTTGATACTAGTGTCATTACACTGGTGAGGTTATCTTGTGTAAAAATGTACATTACAAAATTGCACACTTCTGATTGGCTGACAATGTGTGCATTCCCATGTAACACAAGTGCAAAGCTGTAACACAAGTGCAAAGTTGTAACAAGGGTGCAAAGTTGTAACATGAGTGCAAATTACAAATAGCATAAACACCCTCTCAAAATTTCATCTGTCTTGACTTTCTGTGATGTATTTTCATGCATATTATTAACAAGTAATAAGTTAAACATGATTTGGAATACCATTTGGTGTTAATAGGCAGTTGTAAATTTTTCAAAGACTACAAGTTGCACTTGCCCTACCTATACAAATATTGTTATTATTTCTGTTATTAAGATCAGTTCAACCTCAATTAAACCATCATATTTTAAGAGGTCACCCTTTATCAACCAGTTACCAATCAAATTCCCTGAAATAATTTTCCATCAAGAGATCATGAGTTGAGAAGATGCTATTTATAGAAGTTGGACAGTAATAGAGCTCATGGAGAATTATACATGAAAGTGTAATAATAATGTCATTGATAAGCAATAATCTTTAAAAAATTAGTTTTAAACTAATTGAGGAGTTACCAATTCAGAGAATGGCATTGACTCCATTTTTAAAGGCATTAAACATTAGTGCCACTTTAGCCATATGAAGCTACAAGCATGACCACATGCTGAAAAAACTCACATCTTTGGAATTCCTTTGGCCAGTAAGTCCTACAAGCAGTACGTTTCTTATAAAATACAGAAGGGATTAAGGCTAAATCCACTCAGGAGATGAAGAATCATCTTGTCTATCTGAAACCCATCCAGTACAACCTAACATAACTCAGCTGTGAAAACCCAGATCCTTAAGTGACTGATTCACTACATCAAAAGAGAAAAGAGAAAAGGAGGGTGAAGAGGATTGCACTCAGGCTGTTAAACTTTATATTGTTAATATCACCCACAACTCTTCTTGTGGTGTTTTAAGGTCAGCCCTCACCTAAACAATATCACTTATTGAGCAAGTAATCATTCTACATTCTTCTATTATAAGAGCTATGCAGGTGATATTTTTTGTGGGAGTTATAACAAGACATTGTCTGATTTGAGTTTATATGTAGTGTATTAAGTAATAACATAATTTTAATTGCAATTTAGTCTTAATAAGCATGAGTAAATCCCATAGAGCCAATTGAAAGCAATTTGTAGTCTGAAAAATTTACAAGTGCCTACTAACACCAAATTGCACTCAACATTACATTGTTACTTATTAATAATTAACATGAAAAAACCATTACAAAACATCAAGGCTGACAAAATTTTGACAATTTAGGCATGCTATTTGTAATTTGCACTTATATGTTACAACTTTGCTCTGACATGTTACATAAAAAATGCTTTCCTTTTGAGCCAATCAGAATCAAGTACTTTTTTCCTGTGTATTATTAGTATCTAGGTAACAACATGAGTTGATCACATAAATTGGCTACCCTAAAGAGTTTCAAAGCTGACATTTCTAGTGTTAGCCCCTTTTCAGAGGAAATGGAGGAATTGTGGGTTGTGTGTGTGTTGATATGCAGAAAATGGAGCTACACTATTGGTGGGAACATGGTGACAAGAAAAAAATGATAAATCAGTTAAATGGAAAGCACTCTTTAGTGCCGATATCAAAGATAAATTTCTGTTCTAGAGTTTTGCAGCTTTCCTAGCTACCTAAATATATGGAAAGGCCACAAACTGCCATATGCTGCTTTGAACAATTACTAGGGAGATTAAAGTGTCTAGCGACTGGTTTGGATGTGTTTTGAGCGTTAGCCCTTAATGTCAGAACAAACACTAATGCTCGAAGGTCTCCTTTTCAACCCTTTATGGTGGCCAATTTATGTTATCAACTCAGTTGATAAAACTAAATTACCCTGTTATACTCTCCCACTGATGCACCACCACAGTTTCTTTAGAAACTTACCCCTTCACAACTTTATTTGCACCTGTTTTCAGCCATCCAGACACACATAATTTTTTCATGTACATTATTACATGAAAATGCACTTGTTTACAAGCAATCAGACTTGCATTATTTTTTCATGTATATTATTACTAACAGTAGAAATACAGAGAGCTTTAGAAAATGATAGTTTTGAGAATCACAGTAACAAACATAATTTTTGGGTACAGCGATAGATGGAAAAATGAATCTTGGGGAATATTCTCAATTAAGTTTGGGAACATGGAAAACAGGCATTGATATCATTTCTGTGGTCATGACAGTTACCCAATGTAACATATTAGCACATGATAATTATCACCTATTGTAAGTTATATTGTGTATATGCATATTCAAGTAAGTCAGCACATTATGCAAAAGCACACAGAACACACACACGTGGTGTGCAAGAGTCGAATGCAAGAAAGTCTTCAATGTTATATACATCGCATGGTAGCAGCAGTTTACAAGGATAATTTCTAAAGTTAAATCAAGAACTAGAGAGGCCAACAAAAGCAAATCATGACAGCAGCAACATCTCTTGCTATGCCACAGATTGACTGGGACACTCCTGATCCAATAACTGCATTCTCAAGGTTCAAACAAAAATGTCAGCCTATATTTTCGAGCATTCTCAAAGACACAGGCGACAAAGAAAAAGTAAGCTATATTCTACTCTGGTTGGGAGAAGAAGACCTGGATATATACAACAGCTGGACATTCACAAAGAAGGAGGACAGAAAAAAGCCTGCCATTATCTTCAAATAGTTCAAGAATCAACTGGAACCAAAGACAAGTCATCAAATTCACAGATGTATAATACAAAGAATATGACAAGAACAAGGCGAGCCAGTGGACGATTTTATTTCAAAACTAAAAATTCTAACAGCAAAATGTCAATTTCGCGATAATGCTGCAGTCAAAGATAGAGTTTTGGATCACCTTATTTGGGGGTCAAGAAATCCTGATATTCAAAAATCACTTATAAGCCAAGATTAATCACTGACCTGTGCAGCCGCTATTGAGATTGCAAGGAGCTACAAGGCGACAAGTAAACACATGAAAAAACTAGCAGGAAGTAGTAAAAGCTATCAAGAGGACAGGAATATTGATGCCATTCATACAGGAAAAGAAAGGGAATTCTGTAACAACTGCAGAAAACAACACCCAAGGAACAAATGTCCAGCTTACAGTACATCATGTTGAAAAATGTGGCAAAGCTAATCATTGGCAATCTGTCTGCTGGACTAGCAAATAGAAACAATTCAAACAAAGAACAAAGCCAGTCTTCAAGGAAGTGATTCACACATCAAGGACAGGGCAACAATGATGATGATGAAATCCTGACAATCAGTACCATCGAGGTCAATGCCATGGAAGACACACAACACTCGATACACAATACATGTGATGAAGCCTTTGCAACACTTGAGATAACTCAGCCAGACAAGAAGCAGAAAATTAATCCCCAGAGCAAGGTAGACACAGGTACACACAGCAATGTTTTGCCTATCAGACTACTTTGCATAATCCCCTCAGAGAAGTTTAACAACAAAGGAAATCCCAAACCAGAAACACTGAAAAAGAATGAAGCTGTCCTTTCAGCATAAGGCAGCTCTATAATCAAGCAGCTTGGCACCATAAATATCCCTTGCAAGTACAAAGAGAAGAGGATCAACTGCATTTTCTATGTTACAGACCCTTCAGGGCTAGCTATTCTCGTTCTAAAAGCATGCACTGCACTGAAACTAGTCTCCCTACACTGTATACTCAGAGCAAATCAACTAGACCAGGCCTATCCAACTAACAGCTTCAATGTTTCAGCTCAAAATTGAGATACTAGCAAGAAAAGCCCAAATTACATTGGAAGCCATGCACCACTGAAAGAACGGCCACCAATCAGAAATAAACAAGAACTGATGGCATTGTTGGATGCTTTGACGACTATATGTATGACATCACACTAGATCCCTAAGTATCATCAGTGGTCCACGCACCCCACAAGGTACCCATAGAGTTGAAAGACAAACTACAAGTCAAACTAAGTGAGATGGAAAGCCAAAATATCATTGCAAAAGTAACATAACCCACAGATTGGGTAAACTCCTTGGTTATTAGAGAAAAAGAAAATGGGTGACTTCGTTTATGTCTTGATCCTAAGGACCTGAATAAGGTGATCAAAAGAGAGCATCATCCTATACCCAGTTTAGAGGAAATAACACCCAAATTAGCAGGAGCAAAGCTCTTAAGCAAGCCTGATGCTCACAATGGCTATTGGAATGTCAAATTAGTAGAAGAATCTTCATACCTAACAACTTTTAATACACCATTTGGTCAATACCGTTTCCTTAGGATGCTGTTTGGCTTACAAATGAGCCAAGATATCGTTTAATTCAAGATCAATGAGAAATATCGTGATTGCCAGGGAGCCATTGGCATTGCAGATGACATTACAATTTACAGAAAAAATGACAAAGAGCACGATATACACAAACATGACACCATAGAACATACCAGAAAAGCTGGCATCAGGCTCAATGACAAGAAGTCTTTGGTATGCTTTACACACCAGACAGTGTTAAGCCCAGCCCAGACAAGGTCAGAGCCATAGAACAGAACAGATAGAACAGATTCACAAAAAGAATCTGATGCAAGCACCTCCACATCTTCAAAGAATGATGTTACATCTACAACCCTATGACTGCATTGTTAAATATCTTCTAGGAAGAGAAATGGTCACAGCTGACACCCTGTCACACCTTTCACCATTAGATGAATTTGAAGTACCAGATATGAATGTGAAAATTCACCACCTAATTAGAATCACCCCAGCTAAAATGGAAGAGTTCAAAGAAGAAACTGCAAAAGATGAAACCTTACAGCTTCTATCTCATCAGGATATACAAGGTTGGCCCAATAGAAAGAGGAAAATTGACCTGCACTAAAACCATACTGGCCCCCTATGAGATGACATTTCAGTAGAAGATGGGCTGATACTTCTTGGAAGCCGTGTTTTAGAACCTGAGTCCTTGAGAGCAAATCCACAGAGGGCACTTTGGTATAGAAAAAAACAAGCTACGAGCCAAATCCTGTGTTAACTGGCCAGGCATATACAAAGAAATAGAAAATCTCATGAACTCATGTAGCACTTGCCAGAAATATCACAATTCCCAACAAAAGGAGCCCACGATGCCATCAGAGATCCCTTCAAGACAATGGAAAACAGTGAACGCAGATCTGTTCTATGAACAACAGTCATGGTTCCTCATAGTTGTCAACTGCTACTCAAGTTCCCATTAGAGCTAATGAGAGAAAAATGCTATTCACAGAAAATGGAATCCCAAAATCTCTTCAATGTGACAACAGTACTCAATTTACATGCGGCGTGTTCCAACAACTGGCAAGCCAATATGGTTTTGAAATTGTGACATCATCCCCCCACTACCCGCGTGGCCATGGGTTCATTGAACACCAAGTCCAGATGGTTAAGAAGATGATCCTGAAATGCAGAGAGACTAAAGAAGACATAGATTTAGCTCTGTTGGCTCTACAAACAACACCCCTCAGCTCCAATATACCATCACCATCTGAATTGCTGAATGTTTAAATCCACACTTCCTGGTAAGATTCAGCCATCAAAGAACCAAGAAGAAGTTAGAAATCAGCTCAAAGTGAGACAAGTTAACCAGTGCTACTATTACAACAAGCACACTAAGGAACTCCCTGAACTACACGGGAACCAAGCCATGTATGCACAAGATCCCATGAGAAAGATATGGAATCCTGCTAGAGTCGTAGGTCAGGGAGATATGCCCCGCTCATATATTATAGAAACTGAAACTGGTGCTCAGCTACAAAGAAATAGGATCCATCTTAGACCAAACAATGCTTCCAAAAACCTAGTAAACAATTTGTTGAGTTGCATTTCTCAAGGAAAGGAAAAATCCTCAAGTGCCAATCCACAATGTTCCACCTTAACAGAAACTGGATCCAAGAAGGGTCCAGGAAAATCTCACTCGGGACGTGAAATTCGAGCACCGGAAAGACTTAACCTCTGACTCTCGCACTAGTAGTATGATTTTTATATTATATAGTCATAGTTGTATGATTAGTATCTTGTAAATGTATACAAGATACTTATACCTTATACACTGGCTCGAACATATGTTTTTTTTTTTTGTTTTCGTTTGTTTCCGGTTCAATTAACATAATTTAAGAGAAGGGGATGTAACATAGCACGTGATAATAAGCACCATTGTAAGTTCCATCGGGTGTACGCATATTTAAGTAAGGCGGTACATCATGCAAAAGCACACAGAGCACACGTATGCGGTGTGCAAGAGTCGAATGCAATAAAGTCTTCGATGTTATATACATCGCACTTACCTGATCACAAATTGTAAACTTTCGTACCACTTTATCAATGGTATCACCAGCTGACACAGTTTTCTGTGGTTAAGGACAAAAGTACCTATATCGAAATGCTCTACGCTTCTCTCTTCCTCCATGGGTTCTTCCATGCAGGCCTCCATGAAGAATTTTATATTTTCGTGGTACTCTTAGTGGCCCGTAGACATTTACTGTGTAGTTTGCCGTATGGGCTGTCGTTTGGTGTTTGTCTAAACGCCTACTCGCATTATGAACAGCGGTAACCTGTAACCTTCTTTTACCCTTTTGTGTACCCCCATCCCTCGATCATCACTGTAAGATGGCGTGATGGTCTACGATGGAGTGTCGCCGAAAGTCATGTCGCCAGGAACCTGGGTCACATCGCCCGAAATTTTAAAACCGCTGAGGGCACCGATCCATCGAAACACCCTCCAGGTGTATTTACTTCCGTCAATCCTTCAGTATTGAAATGTCACTATAAATGCGACCCGATTCAGATATTCTCAACCAACACACACGATGTTTATTTAATTCAACGTACGATCTGAAATAGCCTTGCGAAAGCGTTTAACTAGTCATTACAAGAGCTCTCAGCCGCAAGAATTTGGTCCGATGGGTTTCAGGCCGCGACCGCATAAGTAACACATCGCTATTCTACTCGTCCTCTTATGGAGGCCAAACGGTATGTTGTTCGGTCCATACCAGCCTCTCAGGTACGATTCTGCCAAAGACCACAATCGTCCAATTGGAGGACTTGTTGGCGCGATCTAACTTCATTGTCACACTCGACACAAGGATGATTGTTCATTTTGATTAGTTCATTGATTTTATATTTTAGCTAGCTTTTTTAGAATGATATGGGCGCTTTAAATTTATCTTCTCTATATGTTCTTTAATCTGATCAAGACATACATGCGACCGCTAGACGGAACGGAGCACGACTACATAATTCATGCCTATTCTGACCCTAAGGAAAATGATGATATCAGACCACTATCGTTAAAAAAGTCACAAGCATAAACAGTAGACTGTTATCTTTAAAATATCACACTTACCTTGCACAAGGCGCTCAGTAATTTGTTATTGAGAAAGATGTGTTTCGTCTTGTCACGAGCGTGGGACAAAGAAAAGATTCTGAGTCCCCTTGAGGAATCGAACCTCAGACCTTCGGATTCCGCGCTATTGTTATTGTTAAAAAGTTCAGATAAAGATAAAACATGACCTTTTTTGTATGTTACTCGCTTGACTATTGACAAACTTGTCGAACGCGACAATCGACATCTCTTTACCGGTTTTTTTTATTTGTTATTGTTAGGAAGTCCGCAAATAGACTCAAGGGAACTTTAATTGAATGTTACTCGCTTGAGAACAAACCGATTCACAGCGGGTACGAATAGACAGGCTACGAACCGTCCGTGGGTACGAAACGAATGATTATCAAGCAGACAGTGCAACGCTGCATTTTGTTGTTATAGAAAGAACAATGCTCACTGTGTTTATGGAAACGAACACCGCTTTAGAGTCGTTACTCAAACGTATTTCAATTCTGACTATATGATCGTTTTTAAAAGTCTTCATGGTGTTGCTAGAAAGCAACACGGCTTTAGTTTGATTTAGTGGTAAAGTTTCTCAAGTTTACGAAACGTCCGTGGGTACAAAAGGGGTGAATACCAAACAAACAACCTTTGATTTCGTGGTTAGAAACGAACAACGCTTTTGGAGTCGTTACTCGAACATACTTCGATCATCATCCCTATGGTGTTTTCGAAAACAAATAACGTCTTTGTGATAAAAATTTCTCAGCCTAACAGCCTATTTACAGCTATAAGTCTGACCTTTGAGGTATTTGTTTCTTCAGGCGACTTGACCTTTTATTTCCGGCAACTTGACTAAACGTTTGGGTGACATGACTTTGGGCGATTTGACCGGTTAGCGACGTGACGAGCGAAAAAGCCTCTCACCGTGAACGATGTCAGTTATATTAGGGGAGACATAATTTTATGGGTGCTTGATGGGGCAAGTAGCTGGGTTTCGGTCTTGCATAATCGTAGCCCGTGCCAGGCTGAAATGGAAGGCGAACGAAAGAAAAAAGAGAAGGCTGGGAATGAAAAGGGGCGCAAATTTTTTTTCTCCAGGAACGCAAAAACGCCTGTACTCAGTTTTACGTTCCTTGTCCCCAAACCAGAATGGGAAATCTTCAAGGCCAAGAACAAAAATTACCGAAATATATTTGTCTTTAAATAGAAATCATATTCAAAATTTTCTTTTTGAGGAAGATTTAGCGAACTCACTTGCCAAGTTGTTACCGGTTAGTTCAATAAGCCAATCACATTCAAAGTTGTGGCTTAAATCAACCAATCACATTCAAAGTTGTAGTTTAAAGCAAATTTTCCATTTCTTTCATAACTTGGCTGTTCTTCTAAACTCGTGATAAACAAACCGGACTCCCACTACGTGGTCGTCCGATTTGGATATCACTCGGCGTATGATTACAGACCGAATTGGACTCCACTTAGTCCTGTTTCCATCACTGACAAGAATCCCTTGGAACTCTAATTAAGTCGTCAGGGCCGAATGGCGTACGGTCAAAATTGGACAGAACAGTCCAAACTCAGTAGGAACCCCGGACACACTTCCTCACTCGGCCTTAGCGCGTATTTGTGGGATCTTGAGTCCTGGATAAGTCAATAGTTCGTCAGCTGGAAAATCACTTAAAGACCCCCCGAGCCGACTGACTCTCCTTCGAATGAATAGGCATTTTTTTGTCTATGACGAAATCAGGTGGGATGGTCCGGAAAAGGAGTGAGCGTCCGAAACCGGGTGGAACTGTTATGGGAATAATTTTAGTTGCTACCAAAATTCTTTTTCTACGTGTGAGTTCAGTCTATATTAGCCCGCTTAGCTGGCAATTTCTCGTGCGCTCAATGAAAACGAATGCGGCGGGTTGGCGACGAAACCGTGAAAAAGGGAACCCAGAAAGTTTTTCCGTTCCGAACATCTCGCCACTTCGCAGCTCAACGCTTCAAAGTACAGGGAAGCCATTCATTGAATGGATAATTTTACCTATCGTCATTAGGAGAATAAATATCAACCATATTTGACAGGCCGCTGATATGTCTCTTAGAGGAACATTTCCGTCACAAAATTTATTTTTAACTTTGAGCTCTAGGATTCCCAGAAGTATCCTTCTTGAAATAAAAAAGGTCAGCCAATTACAGACTGTTGCTCGACGTTTCCCTACAAGGTAAGTCCCAGTAAGCTTTCACCTCTCCTTGCATCTCCTCTGATTTATCGCGGGCTCTAGATGGTAATTTATGCATAAAAAATGGCCACCCGAGAGATACGTAATAAATTAGATGAGCAGAGGCAGTATCGCAAAGACCGCGGCCGACACGACCGCGATGCGAGAGAGCATTGTTCTTCGGTAAGAAAGAAAAGAAGAATGAACCCTGATTTTGTGGAGAAATGGGACGCTGCTGCCTTAAAGGTAATGTAACAGAAGAGTTGTTTTAGACAGTTTTGCGCGGACTGTGGCAACTGAAAAAGTTATAAGTTTAACTGAACCCCATATTTTATCGGCACGCTGTAAGCGTAAGCAGGAATCTTGTTATTCTCTTATAATCATGAAATGTGTAATAAAAAGAGTAGTGGTGAGGTGATTATCCAAGATTGTTGCATGGTGGATTTGTCAAATTCAAGCTTGTAAGCGGACTGTTGCCCGTTCAGGTCGAATAAACACATCAGAATAATCACGGCTTCAAACTCGCGTGACACTATTTCAGGTCTCAAGGGACGGCTAAACATTCGCCTTCACAAAAGGAACACGACTTATCACAACATATCGAAAGTGATAACCTACCTCATCGGGAACTTGTTAATTTTTTTTTTCTTCTGTATCAAGGTGAATTGATTTAGAATCTGGCAGCGATTTCTTCTCAGCTTTTAACACTTGAAATACATTGTGCAAGCTCTTTACGAACAAGTGGACGATACAATGTTTGAGGTTGTATGTGTACAGAGAAATACATACACACGTCTTTCTTGCCACAAGTTAAGATATTTGGATTTAAGCCATGTTGGTGGTTAATAAAATCGCACTGTAAATTAAAACATTTTCACCCAATTTCCTGTGTAATTAAAACTCTCATCGACTTCGTATATATTATAGCATCACCTGAAATGCTCACGGTATCAATTAGACTTAAAGCAGAATTGGTACTGCTCGCGATTAGGTTCTTCTGGCAGAACCCATCGTTTCTTTCTTTGTCATTGATGTCAAAATTACTAATGTAGAGTAATTTGAAGGAAGTCGAAACCGCTTTAAAAAAGAAGACGTTTCTGCCTCGCTCTTACTTGTTTATGTATTGTCCATGTTATCTTCAGCTGTTGTATTGTTGGTCTGAGTGCGCTGCTCCACGTTAAAGGCATGACAGGTTCACCATTGCTTCTCGTTCAGACCCTCTAATTTATAGTCTATCAGCTGTAGGCAAATCGTTTTGCTTTCGATACCCTTGTCTAGGCATTAAAACGAATTCGTGAGGTAAATAATTCAACTAATACACCCAGCGGCAATACAGCTCTCTAAGATTGTTGTTAAATATATCAAGCTTGTTTTATTCCACAAACTACTTAGCTTCCGTGTTACGGTTCCTCGTTCCAAAGCAAAACAAAATTAGTTTACATGTAGCTTTCAGCTTTTTTGTGATATCTTTCTGTAAATGATATTACTGTTGAAACTAAAACTTTGCCGAATAGTAAGACAGTGCGTGTTTCAGCTTATATTGGAAACCTTCCGGTTTCGTCGAGTTGCCGTTGAGCGTTTTTTCCATATTTGGCCAACTTAGTGAAGTTGCTTTGATTGAAAAAAAAGAAAGTGTAAGTTTTGATTGCCTGTGGTGACCAGTGCAGGGTTGTAAACATATTTGAGTTGTTTGTTCTGATTCACTTATAAACTACTGAATCACATAAATTTTTAGCTTTTGCAACCAACATTATCAATTTAGCTATAATTATTTATAATCTGTTAATTTTACATGCCCTCCAGCGTAACAATATTTTGATAAATCATTTCCTAATTATTTCAAGGGTAGGTTTACTTTGGGTGGTTTGTGTGCCTAAATTATCTAAATTGTCAGATAAAGATGTCATGTTCATGTTCCTTATTTAGGAACAAGTGAATTTTTTAAGTCATGTGGAAAAAAGACTATTTAAAGTTGATAATGCATTAGTTCAATATAAAAGCTGTCCTGTGGTTAAGGAAATTACATTTGCATTTGAGTACCCACCACACACTTGTTCTGAAAGCACTTTTTGTGTATTCAGATCAGCCAACTTGTATAAGAATAGCAAATTACTGTTTACCCAAAAATGCAACTGAGGAGCTACAATCAAAATGGTGTCCTGTATCACCTCAGTTACCGGAAAGAGAATCAATAAATAAACTGCCATTTAGAAAATAACAAAATGGCAAGTTATTGTTTCTAACCCCAGGTTTTGTGGTTAAATATCACTTACAATGCCTTGGTTGCATAGCGTGTTCAGCACTTTGAATTAAGAGTTAAAATAAAAGCACTTGATGTTCAACAACATGTTTTCAACAAGATTCCAAAGCTTAAGAATTGTCTGTAAATGGAGAGGTGTTACATAGAGAATTGAAACTATTGCCTATAGGAGTTCTCCTTATTGGCAAGAAATATAGGAAGAGAAGAATTTGAATAATAAGATATTGTTTACCCAAATTTCAACGCTGTATTGCATGCACCAATTTGGTATTCGACCATTTCACAGTAAATGTCAGAAATGAGGTTACTTACTTAATCTCATTATATGAAATTGTGCTGGATTCCTAAACAAATGATTGCCACAGTAATTAAGACACTTGATTCTCACAAAGCCTCTTTCCACCAAGGAGTAAAGATGGATACTAGCAGACTGTCCGGGAAAGTCCTGAGAAAATGCTAAGGGTTAACCCTGTGATGGACTAGCACTCTATTTGTTTGGAGTGCCACTACCCCTTGTTATTTTCTTCATGCTGCTGAAGCCAGCAAATGTCCCAGTGCTCTGGCAGTATTGGTCTTCTGGCTGATTCATAAAGCTGATTCTGTTCATCCACACCTTACCTTACATGCCCTAGTTGTGTTTACCCAGTAGAATTGTTTTCACTAATTCTTATATATTTAATTGTTGTCAGTGATGATTTTTCTCCATTTAAAGATTATGGGAAGTGCTTCAAATATATAAATATCTTTAGATCTTTAACTTTCTTCTCCAAGGAATTAGATGACTCAGCAATTCAGGAAAAGATTGACCATGAGGCACGCATACGAGATGGTATTGTCAGGTTGTTGGCTGCCTGCCATGAAGAGGTTCAAGCACTGGAAACATCCAAAAATCTTCTTACAATAAATGCTCGTATCCTGGCACTGATGGGACTGCTGCAAAGACACAGAGCAAAATCTGTGATGCTGAGAAAAGGATCCAGGTACCTTCAATAAAATTTGGAACAATTAATATAACAAACAGTGTACCATTTAGTTGCACCATAAAAACAAAGATGTTCCTCTCTTTGATTGTCTGTGACTGGGTTTTCATCCAGGCTTATTTCTTTGCCTGATCTGATCTCCCAGGCCTTGAGTGAATCTTTCAGTCTTCCATATAGATTGGCAAACCATCAAGTTAAAAGTACATTTTAATAAGTATGTCACGATTTAAGATTACGTTCAAAATCCATATTTAAGATTATAATTTTCTTAGATTTTTAAGTGTTATTGCCACAGTATAATAACTACTGAAAACAAAAAATTTCAGGGGCATAAATGCTACCTTAAATTTAATTCCCAATTCTGCAAACCATGTACTCTTACCATTGAGGATCACTTTGGAACTAGCTGTAACTTGACACCTCAGACTAGGAATATGCCTTCCACACATAATAGTTTGGATATAGATATGGTTTCAGAGAGGTGTATGGGACCTTGCATTAATGGTTGAGTGAACCTAGAAAAGCTAACCAAAGTCTTCCTTGTCTGGGGACTTTTCACAGATTTTATAAGAAAGTGATGAGGTTGGTTGTTAAGTGGAAAAATATAAATGCCCTGGGCATGTGGACTGTGCCTTTTGTGTCCTACTGAGTTTGCAATGGATATGTAAGCAGTGGCTAATTTTACCTGTTTGTGATCTCTAGTTCATCATTTCCTTTTGACTTGGATGATAATGCATCACCTTGCAAAGGAATACTTTCTCTCTCAGGTAATATTTTTTTTAAATTCATGTGTTAGTTATCTTGAGAGGGATACACTATAGACCTGGCTTTTGCCTAAAATGCATGAGTATTTAATCTGGATTTAAGCTGGATTTTGGAAATGTTACCTGGACCTGAGCCTGTACCAATCCTCCACACGTTATGTATTTATATGCTAATACAATGTGGTATCTTTCTCTCTCTGTATCGTGGATCATTGATACTAACAAATGATGGGGGGAGATAAGAATTGTTTCTTTTAGCAAAAGATGCAGTACTTAGCAAATCAGAGTCAGTTAACAATATGTGATGACTATAATAATGACAAGCTAAGCTGCATGTACAGCTAGATAATTAGGTTTTTTCAACTGAGTTGATGATGTAAATTAGCCACCGCACAGAGTTTCTAAGCTGACATTTCAAGTGCTAGCCCTTCATCAAAGCAAGTGGAGGAATGTGGGTGGGGAGTGTGTTTGTATGCAGAAAATTGAGCTATGTTATTGGTGGGAACACTGAAACAAGAAAAACAAGAATAAATTAGTTCTAGTGAAAAGCATAACATGTACAGCTGTATTGGTAGTGTCCTATTCCCATTGTCCATTGTGTTTGTTTGATCTAAATAGTGGGCTCCCAGGGAATCAATTTTGTAATTTTGGGTACATTTACTTGTTTGATTCCTCAGACATTCGTGTGCCTCTCATGTGGACTCAAGAAGATCACAATAAAACAAAAGCAGGTACTTACATGTTTACCCCCTTTCCCTTTGAAATTCCATGCAAATCCTGTTTGTGTTGATATCTATTATTATAATTATAATTATTTTGATTATTATTATTTTTGCTATTATTCTCAAATCGTTTCTACAGTTTTTCTGGTATGATCGAAGTTTCAATTTGTCACATTTTATCACTTTAGATACTTTTACATACATATCATCTTAGACTGAGTTGCACTTAGTCCCGCAGCATAAAAATTGTTTTCATGAGCACTGAAGAAAACTTTCTTCACTATGAGGGAAATCAAAATCTTCAAAAGTGAAGGAAGTTGAAATTGCTCAACCTCCCTGAGTAAGGGTAAGGAAAAAAACTGCTTTAAGTTTTAAAATGTGTAAATCATTCTTTCAAAGACCATAAAATGGAATGGGTATGTAAATTAACTCAAATGGTTCATCATTTCCTACTATTTTTGTGCAAGATTATCTCTGAAGTTTCCTGAATTTCAACATTTTCTTTCCTAGAGTGATCATGATGTTTTGGTCAATGATTACATATTTATAATCCTTAGAACAACATCTCTATTATGTGTTCTGCCTACTGAAGCTTGATGGTCAAGTTTTGGACACAGCTCTTATGGAAACAGATGAGTCAGAGACAGACATTCCATTTGACAACATTATTGTCTTGTAAGTTCTGTTCTATTATAATCCCTCCTCTTTGACTCTGCCTTGCAGAATTTACCAGAGTTTTCAGACAATTATCCTGACCCTGTCTTCAAAATTAAGCTGTCTGACTACCTGCTTGAGTTGTTTGTCACAGTTAATAGATTAAGTTAATAGATTACTTACTTAGATTAATACAGTTAATAGATTAAGCATACTGAGTGGGCCATGACTCACATGTACACTGCACTCAACCTGTCAACTTTTACCTCTTCACTTTCTCAAACCAAAGTCTCACAATTAAGGAAGACAAGAATCTTTGTATTCTCATGGAGGAATATTTTTAATTACATGCAGTCATCTTGATGCATTGCAATATCTCTATTTTACTTCTTAAAGTTGAATGTTGTACAGTAGAATTTGATCACTTTCCATTTTGTTTAGAGTTCAATTCACCATTTTCAAGTGGTGGTCTACCTGTTCCTTGAGTTATGTGTGATGATGGTATCAGATTAAAACCAGTGTCTGAATTGTAATTTTTTTTGTCCAATCTTAGTGAAAATGTGAGCCATGACTTCAAGCTGGATATAGAAATTTACTACACTGTTTCATCAGATAATGCAGCAAACAGAGCTTCAGGAGTGAAAAGGCCATTACGAAGAACTCAAGCGGGCCACGAGGTCCCCAAATTTATACTTGCAGGGCATACACAACTGACAGTGGATCACCTTCATCAGAGGATCAAATCACATGACCTCAAAACAGGTACAATTTATATGTAGGTAATTTAGTGTTAACAACTAAGTTAAAAACGTACGTTGACCACCGTAAAGAGTTTAAACGCTGACGTTTCAAGCGTTAGCCCTTCGTCAGAGCGATTGACAATCGCTCTGTTGAAGAGCTAACGCTCGAAACGTCGGCCTTTAAACTCTTTACGGTAGTCAATTTACGTTTTGAACTTAGTTGTTAACACTGAATTACTTGTCATACTCTCCCACCGACGCAGCACCACAGTTTCTTGAGAAACTTACCCCTTTATACAGTAGTATGGTTAGCATTATTGTCAGGCTTGCACAGCTACCATATAGTTTTGTAAGAAATTTTGGCAGTAGCGGTTTTTGTAACACATCTCTGACCCAGACTGGACCCCCAAAAATCAATGAAAATTGGGCTCATTATACTTTCGTGTTATCCATTTGTTTGGTGAATTTCCTAGATTTACACTGAGTGTGTGTGTGTGTGTTGCAGATAATATAACTGTGATGAGCGATTGGGTGATTTGGTTTATGCCGTAATGTTACGCGAGTTAAGCGTGGCAGTTTTGGCCTTCTACTCTCTTCAAAAACTATCAGCTCGTGTTTCAATGATTAATAATAATAATAATAATAATAATAATAATAATAATAACAATAATAAGCTTTATTTCAACTGATAAGACTAATCAGCAATCTAATAGATTGGCTGGTATGAACTAGTGATCAGCATGATAAATAGTATCAATCAAAATCAAAGGAGAAACCCTATAAAGAACTAAATTATGAATTAAAATAACATAAAATATATAGAAAAGCTAATACTTATTTTAAACTACATAAATGATTAGATTTATCGTGTTCTAAAAAATATTCAAAAAGTATCGCCTTAAATTTAGATAAAGACTGTATCTCTCGAATGTCCTTTGGTAAAAGATTCCACTCCCTAGCAGCAGTACATTTAAATGACGTTTGACCCATTTTGGTCTTTGTAGCAACAATGTTCAATAAGGTAGAGTCTCTAAAATCTCTGGTATGAAAGGCTGATCTCTTAAGGAGATAGTTCTCTTATTGCTGTGGGCAATTTATATTATGTATAATCTTAAAAACAAGATTAAGTCTTAGGAATCTACGTCTACTCTCCAATGATAATAAGGAAAGCTTACTACGCATTTCTTGAGAACATGTATTACGATTTGTAGAGAGGATAGTACGCATGGCCTGATTTTGTAACCTTTCTAAACGCTGTGAGTTGTTCTTTCCACAGTCCCCCCATACGATACAGCCATAGTCTACTATGAGTAATATCGTTTATTTATAGATATTTAAAAGCACCCTTTGCCTAAGAAAGGGTGCAATTCTATTTAACATCTTAAGCTTGGGATATATCCTAGAGGCTAAATATGTAATATGCTTGTTCCAGCTAAGAGTATTATCTATATAAACACCTAAATATTTTAAGTCTTCACACTGTTTCAGTAGCCTCCCATCCATAATGATTTGTAAGTCTGGGGCATTTTTCACTGCGTGTTTTGATCCAATCAGGATTGCTTCGGATTTCTTATGATTGCAGATAAGACCATCAGTACTGAGCCGATCGGTAACTCTTCCAAGATCTTCATTTACATACTGTCCAGCAATTTTAACATCTTTATAGCTGGTGTGAATTCCTGTATCGTCGGCGTACAATACAATATCACAGCTATCACAAACGTCTGAAATGCTATCTATATGAATATTAAATAGAGTCGGGCCTAGCACAGAACCCTGCAGTATTCCATAAGTAATCGTCAATTGTTCGGAATCAGTTCCATCACATGAGACAAACTGGAGTCTTCCAGACAGATAGCTTTCAAACCACTCATGTTCCTTGCCAGTCACACCATGTTGAGCAAGGTTCTGTAGCAAGACATTATGGTCTACAACGTCGAAGGCTTTCTTTAAATCCAAAAACGCACATACTACTTTTTCCGATCTGTCAATAGCCATTTTCCATGAATCTACAGCTCGAATTAGGGCAACCATAGTTGATGAATGTTTCTTAAAGGCGAATTGGTGTTGCTTTATCAGACCAGCTTCTTGTGCATAATTAACAAGGGCCTTATTTGTAAGAGATTCATGTATCTTAGAAATACACGGAAGCACAGATATTAGTCTGTAATTATCGCATTCTGCCTTTGACCCCCCCTTAAAAACAGGACTTACTTTTGCGATCTTCCATGCAGATGGGTATCGGCCACAATTGTACGATTGGTTAAATATCTTGGTTAAAGTTCCACTAATGTGGGGTGCAGCGATCTTCAAATACTTAGCCGAGATGTTGTGTTGCCATATACACATCTGAATCCAATAAAGGTTTAGGTAGTAGGTAATACCAGACTGACGTTCTATTTCGCTTTAAGGTTTGGTTGGAGCAAGCCCTTTAGCATCCACTGTATCTACTGAGGATTCAAACATGCCAAGACTAGCTTTATGGGGCCAGATTTGTTGTCGTCTTGCTGCCAGACCTGCTTGTGTTGAACAAGTCCGTATGGATGGTTTTCTTGAACTACAGGTACGGTCGAGTAATTAGAGCCTGACACCTTAGTACTCAGTCAAATATAAAGCTGCTGTCGCTGTAATTAGGGTTTCAAAAGAACCAAAGAAATTAATCATGTATATCTTTATATGATTTGTATATATGATTTATTTATATGATTTGTCTTTATATGATTTATATGATTTACATGTATATCTTTATATGAGAGTAATTCTTCTTGATTATCGGTGCAAATACGTTGTAAGTATAAAAGCCTCACCACAAGTTTAGTTGAAAAACCCCTGCTAGTACATTAAAAGAAATTTTACTCGTGGCAGGTTCTGTTTAGATAAACACCACAATTCTATGTTGAATATTTTCAGAGAATGACTTGCAGTCAGTTTTCATGGTGTCGGCTCTGGTGTGTTTTGAGACATGCGACAATCAAGTGCTGGGACTGTAAAGAAGACTCCAATCACAGAGATCCCGTAGAATGCATAGAAATAAAACCTGTAAGATGCGGTATCGCTACATATACATATTTAGTAAACGATTCTGTACGTGTCATCAGTGACTGTATTTATCGAGCCCTAGACTGGTGGATGTAGGTTACCGGATACCCTCAGGTGTCTTACGCCAAGACATATCTCTTCTTCTCATCTTCCGTTTAGCGCATAGAAATAAAAGCAAGCTCTGCATTTTGCTTGGTTCTCAAAATGCTAGTCAAGAAACAGAACCTTCTTTTATGATATGGAGTGGAAGAAACTGTCTGATCCTTCAAAAACGTGAAACACGTCAGGAGGCGTCAGCTTGCAAGCTATTTTTTGCTGATCGTGCGTTTTCACACAATCAACCTCCGAGACTAAAACCATCAATACAGCGGACATTTCAGCGATTGTAAATTTTTTAGGCTAACATTATAAGGTTACCCACGACAAGACAAAATTATACATAAAAATGATAAAACGGCAGTGAATTCAAACGTACAAGAAAACTGAAAATATATCTGTCGTTTTAATAATCATTTATGTCAATGTCCGTCGCCAGAGTTATTTTTGTAGAGTAAAGTTCTCCAGATGCTATTTATTGATTTGTTTGTTGTTTTTATTCAGAAAATGGATATTACAGACACAGTGAGTCCCACCTTCCATCGTCGCCACATCCTAATACTTACAAGTCAAACACCCGAGAAGGAGCCAGTGTTGGCGTGTAATTCGGACGAAGAGTATGTCCGCTGGAGAGATGCCTTACAGCAGGCTATTCTGGATGTGACAGCTTGGAAAGTTTCCTGCAAACAAGACATGACTATTGTTTACCCCTCAGTGCATAAACTTCCTCCTGTGGAGACAAAAACTTTGTACGACTCGATACAGGTCACACTGTCATCAACTGTTGGTTAGTTTTACCTGTGAGAAGATTCTCTTTAGACGGAAATTTTATTATTTTAGTACTATTTGGTAACTTCCTGGTACGCATGCGACTGTGAATAATCAATGATTATGGAAAATTTAATAAGTTTAACCCTTTAACTCCCATGAGTGACCAGGACAGAATTTCTCCTTACAATATCAAAACAATATAAGGCAGAAAAGTGATGAGAAAAAAAGAAAAATATCAATTAGGGGATTAGTTGATCCAATACCAAATTCTCCAAACCAACATCACGAGAATTGTATGATAGACAGTAAGGAGAACTACCAATGACATCTTAAGAGTTAAAGGTTTAATCAGGAAAACGTCAACGGGACAAAACATTCGATCAAGGTTTCAGTCGAAACACATCCCGCGCTAAGTACATTCAAATTTGCATGAGGCCTCTTGGTTTTGTCAATGTACACAGTTTGTATGGCTGAAATTTAGTCCAAATTGTTGCTAAATCTTTTCTCAGCTTGCACTCGGCAGTTTGAAAACATGGTCAGTTATTTTCCATGTATTAACGTTCTTCTTGATGAGTAGAGCTCTAACTAATTTTTTGCTTAGAATACGTAGTGCTCGTTAGCCTTCATTTTCTGAAACAAAAAAAGAAAATTTCAGTGAATATTATACGATTTTATGCACCAATCGCGACCAGACAGCCATAGAAAATTTGTTTTGCACTGTAATAGACTGCGTGCGTCATCAATGTTTCCCTCAACAGAACCTTGGAAAGCAGTTGACAAACGAGTCCCTCTAGAGGAACTGAAATCAGTACCTGCGGATTCACCAAGCATCGAATGTACGTATGACATCTGGCAAAGAAGAGTCCCTGAAAATAGAAGCTTCAGAAAGGGAAAGAAAAAAGGTGTGGACGAGAATGTGTTGAACTATGAAACCACAATTTGAATCTGAAGACCTCTGCTGGACGTAAAAACTCCTGATTGTTTCGTGGATCAAAAGAACCCGCGGCTTCAACCCACCTGTTTTACTTTCTTTGTTATTATTAGCTGAGAATATTTGCAGCGCTCAGGAATGAAATTTTAAAAATATTACAGCTTGGAAGATTCCTGATTGAGCTCCTGAGTGCTGCCTTTTGTTCTTTTCGTTAACAATGTATGTTGTTTTATCAACAAAGAAATGAACCATATTGTGTTCTGGTTATTTGTATAAAAGTAGCTAAGTGTAATGGAGATAATTGTTTTTGGATTTGAATATAAATGTAAACATAATTATATAAAATATATATATTTAAATAGTTAAAAAATTGGCTGAATGTTTCTCTGACTGGACATCAACTAACTTGATGGTGGAGTTTGGCCGCTCGTTACGTGGGAAATGATGGCTTTACTGGTACCAATGAAAAAACGTTAAGTTACATGACGATCCAAGCTATAATTTTTTTTACTTTTTGTGACCAATCAGATAATAAAGATTTTTGTTACAAAGTCTTGAAAGATTATGAGCCCGAGGTGGAATTCTGTGCCTTTTTTTAAACTTATTTTCAAGTTTGTTTCTTAGAGCAGGGTAGTGAGAGAAAGTAAAGTCATTTATTGCTGACCAAACTTAGATTTTAAAAAACTCCTACGTATATGAAGTCACTCTCGCTCTCGATCCAACTCCCTCAATAGAACTCGACTAGAACACGGTCTAGTAATGGCGGACATTTAAAAACGACATATCGTGGGTAATAACTCGGCCTACAGCTTCTTTGAGATCCATTGGTTTTTTTGCCAAAAATGAGATCGGACGAACGAGAACGAACAAACGAATAACATTGATAAAAAAGAGTGTTTTTATCGCGCTTGTGATGACAACTTTTTTTTAACGTTACTCGTGAGACAAACGATTAAAATAATTTGTCTTACGAGTAACTCTCGATTTTTCGTATCAACCTATCCATCGCTATTTTGACTGTACAGTGACCGTCCTGTGAAGAACGATTAAACGAGAATCACAGTTTTGTGTCAGAGAGTTACACGTTATAGAAGCAAGTACCAGCCATGGTCAAATACATTTTCTTGCTTTCCTGTTACTCTCATCCGACTTCATGTTGTTACAACCTTTATCATATAGGAGTCGTTTGCAGTTTTTTTCCTATCTTTCACAGGAGAAGTAGTTTTAAGTCGTTTTAAAGCCGCCATAAACAGACATTGAGTGTTGTCGTATCCCTTGTCATGAACGAAAAGTAATTTAATAAACGGGAACTCATACCGGATATAAATGTATTTTTGACATTTTGTACCGTCTAGCACCTTCACTAAGGGAAATAAAACGGGGAGAGCTAAGAAGAACGGGGAATAACCAACGACGAAATTCAACAATAACTTTTAAGGTGGACATTGAGTGCGATGTAAGGCTCTGAAAACTGGTTATGCTATCAAAAGACTAGTCTCTTTAAATGGGAAGCAAGAAGTGCCCGTCAAGCCAGCCTGGGGTTAAAAAAGTTAGACCTCTTCCGTAACTGTAGAAATTCACTTAGTTACCAAACGGATGACATCAGTTCTCATCAGTAATTCAGTTGGAGGCGGTTTTGGTTTCCAGCTGATAGAACTCGCACATTTGAAACTGAAAGAAAGAACAGGTCATTCCCCTTCTAAGATACAAGTCATTTTTGTCTTTTGCTGGGGGAAGTCAAGTCAAAACATATTCCGTTTTCAAGCTCTCTGCATATATTGTCTGAAATTAACAGTTTTGGTCGAGGCTCTCCTTAAGTGGTCTCTTGTCGTGCATTTTACGGCAATGAAATAAAAAATGTTATCCTTTAGAGTTTTTGCCAGGAATAACCGGCCGTACTGAAAGAAGATTTTCTTTTTCTTTAGAGAGTCAAGAAGGTGAAAGTTATCTTTAGAGGTGACTGAAGCTTATTTTTATAACACACTGAACTCCCCACTACAGTTTGGGCTTAAGTCTCCTCGGGGACGAACTCATACATTTGAGAGAGAAAAAGAAAGCTTTGAGATGGAAAACTATTCACTCTTAGAGCCTTTGCCGGGAGTTACCCAGTAGTATCATATAGGGGGGGCTTTTTTAAAAGTGAAAGTTAGGAAGGTGAAAGTTGCCTTCAAAGGCAAAAATTAATTTTGGAACAAATCGAACTTAATTTCCATATAAATTCCCTTTTAGGAGTATTTATATGGTGTGTTTATGTTAACGCTAACTTTTGAAAGTGAAAGTTAGGAAAGCGAAAGTTGCCTTCAAAAGCAAAAGTTAATTTTGGAATAAATCGAACGTAATTTCCATATAAATCCCCTTTCAGGAGCATTTATATGGTGCGCTTAAGTCAACCTCAACACTTACTTAATTGTCGACCGTCAGTAAGTAAGCTGATCATGACAATTCCAGAAGCAACTTGGATCGATCTCCTTGATGAAAGAACACCACATTTAATCGAGGAAGTCGCACCAACTAAGCTGCTACACTATTTGAATTTACCAAAATGGGATAAAGAGAAAATCACTCGCGAGGAACGGTATGAAGGACCCGCTTACGCGACAGCGACTCTTCTCGACAAATTAAAGAAACAGAATGGACCAGAGGGCCAAAAGATATTTGACGCGCTCGTTAGAGCTCTTAGAAAAATCGGAAATCAACAATCAGCACTACTGCTTGACCCACACTTTAAAGGTAATGAATATACTATGTGGAAATTAAAAGGTTATCATCTTTGAAGTAAAAAGTTGCTTATCAAATCACCTTTAAATGACGCCAGCTCAAGGTATTCCAACTAAATTGCAATATACAAATTATCCTTCTAGTTCCTTCTGCTTTAGAGGAAATCGAAGGTGAAAATTGCTCTCGACTCGGAATTTTGGGTACAGCAGCAGGTATGTAAAAGATGTAATAAGGTTCACCTCTGTTAAAAGTTACGAGCCAAGTTACAGTTAGCCCTTTTATTGGTATAAAACTTTCAGTTAGCCGCTCTGTGGGAAACTCACACAAAGAGAACACGCCGTTGTGCTAAGCTTCCATAGTAGACATGGTAATCTGTTTTAAAATACTCAGACGGGAATTTTTATTCCATTTTTTAACAATACAGAAATTGGCGTCAGAATCCGTCTAATGAACGAAGAAACAAAAAAGTATTGCGAGAAACTGGAGAACGAAATCTGGATAAAGTTTCAAGACATCAGATCGGAAAGCACCCTTCAACTGCGTAATCAGTTGCATGCGGTAGGAAACGTTCATAATTGTAAAAAGAATATTTGAAAGATGACAAGGTACATGACAGTTGTTCAGGAGTTTGATATCATCGAAGTATTTTACGCTGCCGTTGAATCTGACACATTACTTAAATAAGGCGCCCTTACAAATGTTCCTCGAGTTCAAAAAAGTTTCTGAAATAATTTTTAGGCAAACTAGGTATAAAATGTTTATTTCTAAGGAATTGCTTTGCACTTGCGAGTTGTTTTTAAACAAAGACTGGCGAATTCACTTGGACCACACTGAGTGTAACGCGTGGAGGCCCTAAAGTGACCTTTAGCGGTCCTGGCGGCAACGCTGAGGAAGACGTCGATGAAGAGGTATTCATATTTTTGGTTAGAATTCCGCGAATGATTGGATGTGTTTACCGTCCCTCACAACGCCACACTTCAACTTCAACACAACGTATGTTAGAAGCGTTTAGCTCCAGGTGTAAATTCAAAGAATCTACCGTCGGGGTTTCTGTTCTCAGTCCACGCCCGAGCTGATCTACTGTTCATTAGAACCTCAGCTTCTAGTAATTTCCTTTGCTAAATCGAAACGGAGATATAGATTGGAGAAGTGATTTAAGCCTTACCGTTTAATAGCTTTTGGGGAAATGGGCACAGAATCGACTGTTAAACATGTTCGACACCGTTACACGTTGTTGTAGAACATGAAAATATCAATCTATAGCTTTGGTTTCTGACGCGAACGCCCCATATTTTTTGAGTGAACGTAAATTGATTTGTACGTAAAACGCGGAAAGTGCCACTGCTTTAGCGTGAATCAAAATGAAAATCGGTACTGGGGATTATGATTAATTTTTCCTTCCTTCATGAGTTTCCTTTGGTAAGCCCAGGCTTGTTTCCTCACCACGGGTGCCTTCCATTCGACAAAAATCATCGCCGGTTTTAATATCTCGGACTATCTGATAAACTGTTCCGGAACTTCTTCTCGGTTCCTTTCCATTTCAGACCATAAATCACGAAACTTTTGGCTTAATGTAAATCCCCATGTGTTATAGTGTAACCACGACATTGACGTTGCTCAGAATTGTCTAATCGATATCTATTGATTTTAAATCAATATTTATTTTGATTCATCATGTGATGTGTTCCTTTTTTTTAATTGGGAAAAACTTCAGCTGCTTATCTACCTAACAAACTTACGGGACTCACCACAGTTCAAGATTAATTAATTTCATTAATTTCATTGATACAACAAATGATCCGTATCAAATTTGTTTACACAGATAAGCACCACTATTTTACCCATGTGATGTATCTTACCAACGCAGTCTCAATTTCCTTATTCCAGGATTTACCAGAAGGCGCAGCTTTCTCAGCAGTAATTCAAGAAACGAAAGATAAGTTGCCAGCTTGCAAACTTCGAGTGTCTCAGAAGTCAGCCGCTGATCAAATTTGGGAAGATTATGGCAATGGAAAGCTGAGGGCAATTTTGAAAGAAAAATTGCTTCATGGAATAGGTGCTGATAACAATCATCTTAAAATGAGTATTCATATCATGGCGGAGGAATATGAATGGGCGTGTAAAACTTTGGCAGGTAGAATCTTTTTTCCATTTCTTTGGTCATTTCAATGTGATTTTTGAAACTTCTGCTTGCTTTCTGGAACTTGAAGAAGGTGTCATATATTAAGTTGATAACACTTGGACACGACAGTAATCTCAGAATTCATTGAAGTTGTTAGCAGTGGTATGAAATACTGTCTGTAAACTATCGAGACGCGAGATCAAGCAAAGCGCATTGCTCCAGCAGAGTTTCTTTATCGCGCCAAAGAGAGGCGTTTAAATTTGCATTATGTGATCACTCGTTCAAGTTGGTCAAATTTCTTTTTTTCAGGTAGTAATTCAACTGAGCTTTCAGACGAAACGCAAAAAATGCAAAAAGTACGCATTCCTCCAGGTATGGTGATACTCCTGTATTCTAATCTCTGATTGTTTTTGTTTTTTTTTCGCCTGAATATGTTAATCTAATGTTAAGTTTCTGATTACCCTTCACATTCAACGTTTCCTTTTGTTTTCATCTCACGACTCAAAGATAAAATTTTCTCAGTTTGACATTTCCCTTACAGTTTTTCTCGACAAAAGCGCAAGTCGGAAACTTGAACTCCGTTCATACCAACAAGAGCTTTCAATCCCTGCGTTGAAAGGGAACAACTGCATCATTTGCGCGCCAACAAACAGTGGAAAGACTTACGTAGCACTTGCAATAGCTATAGCACACTTGGCAGAGCTGAGAGCCAAAGTCGCAGAGAACAAGTGTAGGACACCGGTATCTACTTCTATACCTCGTAAAAAGGTTTTGTTCATTGTGAACAAAGTTAATCTGGTTCTACAACAGAGGCAGCGATTTGACTACTACTTGTCCAACAGGTAACATGTCTTCATGCTGTGTAGTAATTTTTGTTACGTTACGTTTGAACTAGGAAGGAGTGGGGAGCAATATGTCATTAGATAGAAAGGCAGGCAGTCTGTCAATCAGTCATTGAGTCAGTCAGTCTGTTAGTCAGTCAGACAGACAGGCAGACAGATTGTCCGTCACTGAGTGTGCAAGTGTTTAGAATTTCAATGCATTCCAACCTATAACTAGTTCCTCAATCTATTGCCTGGTGGAAAGACTTTAAAGATTAAATTACCTACAACGCAAACGATATAAAAGCTTAGGTCCCTTTCCCTTGGCATTTCTCTCTTGACGAGGAACCATCACAAGATTATTCCCTTGCAATAACTTAGGACATATTCTCGTGGTTAGTTGATAGTATTTGTCATAGACAGGTTGATTTTGAGAGTAAATTTTAAAAGTCACACATGTTATTCATTTTGCTAGAGTTGACGGCCATGATGTCACAGACATATCAGGAGCTAATGCTCAGGACAAACAACTTGACGAAATCACTGAAGAAAATGACGTCATAGTTCTTACCGCCCAGATCCTGGTTGATGCTCTTAAATCCAGAAGAGTCAGTATCACCGATTACTCTTTACTCATATTTGACGAGTGTCATCACACAGATAAGGGCCATCCGTACAACGACATCATGCTCAAATACCTGGGGATCAAGTATGGTTCTCGAGGTGCTCAGGAACTGACTCAAGAGAGACAAAACCTTCCACAGATCATTGGGCTGACGGCTTCCTTAGGTGTTGGAAAAGCAAAGAGCAGGATTGAGGCCCAAGATCACATTCTCCAGTTGTGTTCAAACCTTGACTGCTCCGCAATTGTTACTGTAGAGAAACATAAGAAAGATCTCCAAGGTTTGTCCACCGTAATGGACGAAAAGTTACTAATATAATGAAAGAGTTATCATCAGTGTAAGGCCATAACACCATGCAGTACTTGAAGAGAATCAAATGATGTCCGAACTCTTTTACCTGAGCGGTAGAAAATGGGTCTTCTATTGACTTGATGAGGGATAATACAAGACATGAATAAGGGTTTCAATCGTGATATGTTATGATACCATTCAAATAACAGCACCAATACGCACACCTTTGTTTACCTAATTGATGTCTTTTACGGGGTTTAGTATTTTATCTCCCCAAAATCCACAGTGTTAGTCACCAGTTTCGAATAATTTTTAAATACCTATGTGTCTCCACCGAAATCTATGACGGCATACTACTCGCCTCCACAGCTTAGTCACGTCGAAAATCTTGAGGCGAGGTTGATCTGCTACTTAGTTTTGTTGTGACATGGTAACCATAGTGTTTGATTCTAAAAACGATTGACAAGGGATTCTTCCTTTAGCTTCAGAGTCAACATAGTAAATAGCCTCTTAGTCACGTTTTATCTGTATCACGAATACTGCGATTCTAATTGCTTGACTGTATATTCTGTTCCAGGATTTACCGGGAGGTGCATACGTACTTGCCACGAAATAGCGAATGGTGAAACGGATTACTTCGATGAAATCATGAACGCGGTTATGATAAACATTGAACAAATGTTGCCAAGGTTATCTCGACGAAATGGTACTCCTAACGACAGGGGAGGGCAGCAGTATCAGCAATGGCTAAAGGAACTAGATCGAGACTCTGTCACCCACAAAAGCCGTGAACAGTGTACTTTGGTTCAACACTTACAGGTGTATAATACTGCTCTGGCTATCAAGAAATGCTGCCGTGTCAAAGATGCACTGAAATACATTACGGAATTTCATGACAGACAAAGGGAAGACAAATTTAAAGATACTGATCGAAATTTAAGGGCTTTGTACCAAAAGGTAAGATTCTATTGCTTCACCTGTAGCTACGGTTCATTTTCATGGCAAACAACTTGCACTTTTGTGAAAATCGCAAAGAAAGCTATTGCTGTTTCATTAAGAACCTTTAGTTGGCTTGGACTACACGTTACTTTACTCTCACTTCAGCTTGCTTGGAAACGCTGTTTTGTATGAATATTTCTTCTTTTTAATCTAACATCAAAAGAATTGTAATGATCACCTAAACTTCATAACAGCTAAATCTTTGTTCTAGTAAGAAGCTGTTCCCCACTTTCCTAACCAAACAATTTCTTTAATTCTTCTTACGAGTATTGGTATTGCTTGTTACGGGTGTGTCGTATCGAAACTGGTGGGATTGAATTATTGCCTACCCATGGTACAATTTCGGATCAACTCGTTTATAAAATTAAGTTATGATGTCCTTGAAAAGGTGAATTTGACAAATGTTTCCAAATTCCTGTTTAGGCCAGGGAGGATCTCGACCTCAAGATAAAAGAGAAAGGAGAACTTAGAAACCCAAAACTTGAGGCTGTTGCCTCATTATTGAAACAAAAGTACCAAGCATGCGTGGAGGAAGGAGGTCAACAAACAGCCAAAGGAATGCTCTTCACTAAAACCCGTGAAAGTACCAAAGCACTGAAGGCCTGGCTTGATGAGAACCCCGATCTAAGATTTATTAGGGCTGAACGCCTTGTTGGTACTGGGAAAGGAGAGGGTCCGTAACTCTTCCCATACATTTATCTTTTATTTATCAGTTTTCGGTAAATTAACCAAGCGGACATTGTATTAATAACCCTCGATCGAGGAATGTACCTAGACAATTATGCTTAACATCTATTCGAGAATGAGATAATTATGACACGTGCATTATACGAGACCTGTACGAGATTTGAACCCATAACCTCTACGATACTAGAGCAGTGCTCTACCAACTGAGTTAACAAGCTAAATGGGAGGCCTTTCAGGTCTTATGTTCACAACTGCTTAAGTAGTGTTCATCACTGCGAACATCGCTTTCATATTCAATTTTTTTAAATCGCAGTTCTTTTATATGATTTGCATATATTCACAGTCATCGATTCATGACTTCACGAATTTATTACAAACCAGCACAATGACCTACTCCCAGTTGGCTTGTCAGCTCAGTTGGTAGAGCACTGCATTGGTATTGCAGAGGTCATGGGTTCAAATCTCGCACAGACCTGAATTTTTTCGGGCCCCATTTTCACTACTGCTTTGTGAGTTTTCAGTACTTCGAAGATCGCTTTCATATTAGTTCTTAAACCGCAGTTCACATGTACGATTTTCATATATTCACAGTCATTAATGATTTTCCACGAGCAAAATAAATATAAGGTAAATGAAACCAAATATGAAGTGAAACCACTCATTGGCTCATTGAATGAACAGTTTTCCTTGATGTTTGCAGAATCATTACAACTTAGGAACCAGTTTAGGGATTGGTTTAGGGATGGTTAGACAGGTCTAACAGACAATAGAATTCTCCTTTAAAATGGACCAGTCTGAGCACCTAGTTCCGACTGTGGTAAGCACCCCATGAAAAAATAACTATCTTAGATTACTTACATTGAGGTCAGTGGAAATAAAACTTTATTTATACAAATTGTTTCTTTCCCGTACAGATGGAATGACCCAGTGTCAACAGGAGGAAGTCATCGCAAATTTCCGCAGCGGCCGGGTAAACCTTTTAGTATCTACTACAGTCGGTGAGGAGGGAATCGATATACCTGACTGCAAATTCGTCATACGTTATGACGTCAGAGGTAACGAAATAGCAAGTGTTCAGTCCCGTGGGCGCGTGCGTGACAGAGAAGGACAATATGAAGTCGTGGCAGGAAAAGAAACTGGTGTTATCGAGAAGGAAAATCTAAATGTGATCAGAGAGGAGATGATGGAGGATGCAATTAGGGAGGTCAAGGCAATGAATGTTGACGAATACAAGGAAAAGGTACATCCCTTTTAAATTATCAATGAAAAACGGTCTTAACATCAGTAAATGTTGCTTAATTGAAAGGAGCTGTCCCTTGTAAAAGGAAGTCAGGATGAAACAAATAGGTAATGAAAAATATTCATAAATTAGGGAAGAAAAGAAACCTGATTTTGTTATGGGCGTGCATGGTCCGTGTCTCGCTCGTCACATTTCTTACGATATTTCTCCAAGAGAAGAATCGTAATCGTTCGATAACTCGGATCTTTGTAGGTAAGTGTGATGCTTTACTAAGAAAGTCGTAAAAAACGTCTCCCCTTTGAAGTTTACTGCTGGATTAGGAAAGATATTCTTCTGCCCTTTCAAAGATTTTAGATCTTCAAAGGAGAACCATCAGCCAACGACAAAGAAAAGAAACGATCAAGAAATATGAGAAAAGCAAGAGGCATCAAGAAAAAGTAAAATTATTTTGCCGGAAGTGTCAAGTGTTTGCTTGCAGTGGAATTAGTATCCGGTGTATAAAGGAAGCCCACCATGTGGTTATTGACCAAGACTTTCCTTCGAAGTTTTATTTTAAGAAATCCAAGTCTCCCCGGAAGATCAATGACATTGAACTGACAGGTTGGTAAACTTTGTATCTGAGAAGCTGTTCTGTCCTTTTCCTTTTCAAAGGAATTGATCCTTTTCCTTTTCAAAGGAAAAGGACAGACCATTTGTATTCATAGATAGAAGGAACAAACAAGGTAAAAAAAGTGGGATCCTTAGGCCGAGACCCCTTGAATGATAACTCTATCGCTGATAAATTGAGGTAAATTGAGACTGATTTATCAGAATTTAAAGCTTTACAATTCCAACGTTTGAATTCAGTTTGAGTATGACTGACACCTTATCTCGACTCCTGTCCCAATTCATCATCCAAAATCTCCACTGAGCCCAAGTAAATATTTGTTCTCCACTGAACAATAAGGGACCTCAGTAAAGAAAGGCTTTGAGGTTGTCAGGGTGATATTTCTACCATTTTCTAGCCAATGTAACATACTTGCGATACAGCCCTGCTGGAGAACCATACATGATAATACGCTTAAAGAGCAGCACCTGCATCTTCCAGTATAAAGTATGCTCCAGTCATACCTTTCTAACGAACCTATGGTTTCCTTAGGGCCTTTGCACTGCCAAGACTGTGATGCAGAGTGGGGTGTGATGCTCAAGTACAAAAGTAAAGAATTACCTTGTATAAAAGCATCCTGCTTTGGATTTGAATTTGAGGAAGAAGATGGTGGTACGAAAACGTTCTCCTTTAGAAAGTGGAAAGATGTCCTCTTCAATGTAAAGGGCTTCGATCCCAGTGAAACACAGACTGAATTTGTTAGTTTAGATATTCCAGAACTCAGTTTAGATTAGAAAGGTTTTTTTCTGAAAACCAAAAACTTAATGAGTAAGCGACTGCTTTCACTGTTATTTTTATCGTTTTTACTTTGTGCTTTCCAAATTGGGAACCAATTAAGACCATCTTTTTTACATTTGGAATGGCACTTTATCATTTTCTGGAAGACGACCAAGCTGAGGTCACTCAGATAGACAGAGGTATTCATTCTCTATAATTTTCAAATTCTCAATGATCTTGAAGCCGTAAGCTGAGGCTGTAGACTTTTTGTGTCAGTTACTTTGAATTCGAGCAAAACCCTAATGTTAAACAGGAGTCCTCTTAATGCACGTGACTGCACTGGAGAATATATAATTTTCTTAATCTTAAACTTTGCTCTGCTACCAGCTAATTTGGTCTTTAAAAAAGTAGTGGCCGAAAAAATAATGTAGGCCGGAAAAAAGAGGTCCTCTGCCCTGCATGTTCTTAATATCAAATGTATACTTACACTCTTTATAGAGCTTTGAATTTCCGTGATTGAAAAAGGCTAACGTCAGTCGGATATTTTTATCCTATACGGACAGTTTCTCGTTGTTATGCTGCATGGAAAATTTATCACCATTCTGGTGACCTGGTATAGAGAAGAAAGAAGAGAAAGCTAAAATTGAAGCCCTTTATAGCGGTATCAAGAGTAAAAATAGACCTGGAAAACAACTCGTCCACTTTTCTCAAGGAAAATACTTTTCATCAAAAAGCAAAAATGTACTCCAAAAGCAAAATTAAAGAATAAGTGGGTAGTGACGGAGTTCTCATGACAGGTATTTTTGTACCATACTATTGCTGGCCATCGGTTTATTACACAAGAGAATGATGTTGTACACATCAGTTGTTCTCTTTTTGAGTAAATAATTTTAACCAGATTGCTGAATCTTTGCTGGGTCCCAAACAAACACCAATTATTGGCCCAGTTCGTTCACACCTTTGATCCACAACACTGCCCGAGGCCTGATGGCTACCAGTAAACAAGCAGTCTCTTAGCTGAGATCCTGCATTAGACTCGGATTTGTGACGACCTTTGCGTACAAGCTTGCAAGGTTTACGAAAGGCTCTTCTATAACAGCGATTAAGGAAAGTGTAAATAACTGGATTCAGACATGAGCTTGTGTACTCCATCCACTTGATAACGTTAAACAGTGAGCTTGGTACTGGACATGACTGATCGTAAGCAAAGCAAAGAATGATGGCGAAAAATGGTCCCCCACAAATGAAAAACAAACCAATCAAAAGAGCGATTTTCTTGGCGACTTTCACATCTCTTGCATAGCTCCTGACTCTTCTTAAAAGGAGGACTTGTTTTCGCGCAACGAGGTAAATCTTTACATACATGACGATCATTATAAACAAGGGCAAGAAGAAGCTAGAAAGGACGATGAAAAGCATATAGCTTGACTAAGTAGGCCAACTCGCTAACCGCAGTCCTGAGACTAGTAAGGAGTATAGCCAAACAAAAACAATCATGCCGATTGCTTGCACGGAAGTCATAACATTTTGGTAGGAAAAGGGATCTCAAATAGCTGCATGTCGGTCGATTGAAACAGCTGTAAGGTTCATAATTGAAGCGCTCTCGCACAAAATATCCATACAGTTCCATAAAATTCTCAACTCCTGACTAAATAACCATTGATTTGCAGTGACCTGCGGAGCACACCAGAAAGGCATAGCTACCAAAGTAACCAAGATGTCCGCTGCACTGAGACTTATGACGAAATAGTGGCACACAGTTCTGAGTTCCTTAAACAAGTAAAAGTTTATGCACAAGAGAGAATTCTCAATTAACGTGCTGATTATTAGAAGACGTCCCAAGATAGCAGCCAAAATATTTCCATAACTGGGCTGCACGGCTGCATCTGATTGGTTGCTAGGGTAAACAGACTCGTTCATTTCCCACCTCTGATTTTACACCTGCAAAATATATCATTTTTGTCATAGTGTCGTTTCCGGTGATGAAAACGATTCTAGTTACTGCATGAAATGCCGAATTGATTCAGCGATCGTGCACTACAGAAAGACCGTTCGCAAGCTATAGGGAAACATAGCCGATTTAAACGATATGAATTCCCATTTATCGGTTTGTTCACCTCACACAATGGGATGTACAGAACCTTGGCCTTACACAGCTGACTCGTTTCTTTTTGAATAAAGTGACGGCAACTTGTATATTTAGTTAACGTGTTGTTACTTTTCTACTAAACACTGCTGTAGCTGACACATGCGTGTCAGGATGAACTTTCCGCCATCTTAAGCTTGGAAAGGAGAATCTATCAAATAATCAAACCAGCTTAAACGGTTGAACTGAACAAAATGCACAAACTGAATTACCTGGCTAATATGTTCAGACTAGCAGAAAAAAGTTGAAATAAACAATATGCACTAACTAACTGAATTGATCAATTAGTTAAAATGGTCAAACTAGCGAAAACAGTTAGACTGAAGAAGCTGATTAGGTTCAACTGGTTAAAAGGTCAAACTACGTAAACCAAATGAACTGCACAAAATGCGCAGACTAGCTGAACTGGTTAAACTGGTTAAGACAACCAATCTAGCTGAAACGGTTATACTGAGTAAAATGCACAAACTTACCGAATTGGTTAAACTGGGTCAAATAGTAAAACTAGCTGAAATTATGGTGGCCCATAGATATGGCGGCCCTTAGGGGACACCCTATCCACTTTTCAAATTCAATTTTATCGCGCAATGAACTCAAAATATCACGCGATTAATTGAAATTATCGCGCGATAAATGAAAAATTATCGCGCGATGACTAATATATTATCTCGCGATAAATGATAAATTATCGCGCGATTAATGGGAAACTTACTACGTCCTACGTGATCGGTTGTCATGCACATTGTTTCTGTGGGCGAGACGACAGTTTCGTAATTTTTTTTAAAATTTGAATTAAAAGAAATGGATAGCGTGTACCCTATGGGCCACCGTTTAAAACAGTGAAGCTGGACAAAATTCTTAAATTGGTTCAATTGGTTAAAATGGTCACTTCAATTAAAACGGTTAAACCGGAAAAAAATGCACAGACTAATTGAATTAGTTTAACTTGTTGAAATGGTCAAACTAACTAAAATGGTTAAACTGCAGAAAAAGCAAAATCTACCTCATTGGTTTGACTCGTTAAACGGGCCAAACTAGCTAAAAAGGGGTAAACTGCATAAAATGCACAAACTAGCTGAGTTGGTTTAATTTATTAAAATCAAACTAAAGTAGTTAAAGCGGTGAAAATAAACGAAATGCACAAACTAGTTAAAATAGTGAACTACTTCATATGGTAAAACTGGTATTATGCTTCAACTAGACAAAATGTATAAAGTAGGTGAATTGCTTCAACTAGGTTAAAACTTATTAAGCTGATTAAAATGTTTAAACTAGCTAAAGCAGTTAAACTGAAAAAATGGACAAACTTACTAATTTGAGTAAAGTGGTAAAAACGTTCAAACAAGTTAAATCAAGTAAACTTCATTAAATCCTCAAACTAGTTGAATTGGTTAAAACGGTGAAACTACCCACTAAGCTTAACTGGACAAAATCCATAAACTAGCTGAGTAGCTTTAATTTGTTAAAATAGTCAAACTCGCTAAAACAATAAAAATGAACTAAATGAATAAACTAGCTCAATTAGTTCAACTGATCAAAATGGTTAAAATAGCTAAAAAAGGGGAAACTGCACAAAACGTACGAGCTAGCGGAATTGGTTCAACTAGTTAAGATGGACAAAATAGCTTTAAGGGCTACATTGGAAACAAATGCACAAACTTACTGAATTACCTCAACTGGTTGAAATGATCAAATAAAGTGCTGGTAACCTACACAAAATGCACAAACTAGCTGAATTGTTTCAACTCATTAAAATGGCCAAAACTAGCTGATATGTTTTAGCTGGGCAAAATCCACATCTACGTCAATTGGGTTAATTGGTTAAAATAGTCAGTCTTGCTAAAACAGTTAAAATTAACATAGGCACAAACTAGCGGAATTGGTGAAAATAATCAAACTAGTTTAAGCGGTTAAAGTAAACAAAATGAACAAAGAAGCTCGATTGTTTCAACTGGTTATATTGGTCAAGTTGGCTCAAACGGTTAAACTGAACAAAATGCACAAAGTAGCTGAATTGAATCAATTGGTCAGACAGTCAGAAAGAAGATTATAATCCTACAAACTTAGACAACTACTTTACTAAGCAACGTGTAATATTTTAAATAAGAGGCGATTCCTTAAGGCAGTACAGTAGTTATCCTCAATAAACTTACTTAAGCCCACCACAGTCTATATTGTAGCTCACCACTGACATAATCTACAGTTTTCTTCAAAGTTCCTTAAATGGACAATCTTCCACAGTGGCTCCCTCTCGGTATAGCTTACCAAACAGTAGGTCACTCCCGGTAGCAACAACTGCTAGTACACGGTTGAGTCCTCATATACATTTACAAAATATTATAGAACTTACCAGAAGCTTACAACACGAATAAAAAACATGAATGAAGACAAGGGGTTTGTGATCACTATAGACAACAACAGGCAGACTTGAAGAACTAACATAAACTTCGAAATGTTGTAGTGCTTACAACACACCTTCATTATTCTCTTCATAGAGGAGCACTCTGTAACATGGCTTTCAATTCCTCGAACGCCTTTTCACAGCGGTCACTTCAAATAAATTTTTCTTTCTTACTGAGTAACTGTGTCAATGGTTCTATAACAGTGGCGAAATTAGAACAAAACCGTCTGTAATAATTAGCCATACCAAGAAAACGCATGAGCTGTTTCTTGTTCAGCGGAAGTGGCAAGTTTACTATAGCTTTAACCTTCGCATTACCCAGTTTTACTTGACCATGTTCAACTACATGCTTCAAATGTGACTTGCGCTTAGCCAAACACAATTTTGGAAAGATTGATGGTCAGCATAGGTCTGCTCAACTTCTTGAAGAATTCACGGATAGTCCTTAAGTGTTTGTCTCATGTGTCACCGTAGATAATCACATCATCCTTATGCGCCTCATAATCCTCAAGATCTGTGACGACTTTGTTGATCAGGCGCTGAGTTGTTATAAAATGGGGTTTTTGGCGCATTTTGAAATCAACCTTGATTTTTAAGGCTACTCATGAAATCAACCTTATAATAAACCTTGATTTCAACTCACCCTTGATTTAAAAAAGAAATTGTTCTGGCAAATTTTAAAGGCAACTTAAAATTTTCGCGGTGAATTATTTCACACCGTCTTCAAAACGTCTCACTTGTGAGTTCTGAAGAGGTTTTGAGTATTATCATCTTGAATGATTCGTGGATATTTTAGTCTGAGTGAAATTTTACTGTTTTGTGTTGCTTGATTGTTCAATCCTGATTGATCGAAAGCAGTAACACAAAATTTATTTTGATGACATAATTCACTGTTTGAGCTATGGTCTGTGTGATACCAGCATGATGCTTTTTCTCTGATGAATGTCTTAATGATGAGAATTATGGAGGTATATTTTGACGAATAAATGAATAAATCAATTGTTTCTATTTTTTATCCACACACTTCTTAGTCCCTACGTCTTCGTGTTCAGTTAAATTGGCAAGATTGACAATCTTTTCATTGTTCATATCTTCGTCATTCCTTGAACTGATTCACCAGGATTGCTTGGGTCTATTGGAAAACTCATTTTTATTAGTTTTTTTTTTCTCAAAATCAACAAATTACATTAGGAGGCAACTCAATTCCAGGAGGAACAATCGGAAGCTTTTCTGGGACGAAATCACACTTTGGTCTATCTTTCAAATAGTAAAGAACAAGCTCACCTTCATTCACAAGTATGCTATCGATATTATAGACCTTTAGAGATCAGATTGGATCTGTTGCTCTTTTTTTACCACCTTCTAGCTCACCAGCGGTATAGAGATATCTCACATTCTTTGAAGAGTCGAGTCTCTTTTTCTTCAAGCCAACAGGTCTTGAATAAGTGGTTGAACTCTTCACGTCAACCACCTTCTCTTCGTTTATATCAACAGATTTCTTTCGTGTTAATCTTTCATTTCACCATTCAAAGCCAATTCAACTTCCAGAGGCCTCTTCACCCTCTCGGTTGATCTCTTTCCCTCTTTGAAGTTCATTTCTTGACTGTATTGGAAAGTCAAGAGACGCTCACCTAAAGTTCGATTGAATCACTCAACAAATCCCGTATGCCTATGAACGTTCACATTTCCTCTTCTTATCCTTACATTACGCTTTGCCATCTCTTTGGTTACAACACCCATGAATTCACGCCCAGGATCAACCTGAAGAACTTTTTGCAAGAGACAATTCGACTTCGTCATGGCAGACAAGTCAAAAGGCTTCACGCAAGCTGGGACGGCGAGACTGAATCAGTCGATTGAAGCATTCGTTTACTGCATTCTCGGTGCACAAGTTAATGTCAGATCATCAATCTTGGGTTCATCAGGAAGCGCTAAGGAAGCCCAACGTGAGTTCCTCGCATTGGTTGAGAATGCAATCAGAAAGCCAGACATCTCAAAGAGCGTTCAGAGGTTTAGGCTCGCGATTGATGAGGCAAAAGTCAGGCTTGATCTTGCAGTCTCACTAGGCACTTGGCTCGTGCCCTCAAATGTTCTGAACACTCAGAGTACTGCTGGGTATATTGAAAGCACGAAGAAGGCAAGTTCTGACGTGAAGCTCGGAATCAACAAATGAGCGAATTTGGAGATGAAATCAGTCGGAGTAAGGCACATGAATGGGGGCTCATGAAAAATCAACAGACGGACCTCTCATCTGTTGAATAAATTTAATGCTACTTCAACTGAAGTGCAGGTGAAGACAAAATCATCAACAGATGAGACAAGTCATAACGTGGTAAGTGTAGCGCTTGCGGCGACCAAAAATTCTAATTCATAAGATTCCAAGCGGTGTCGCTCCAAGACGCGGTAACGAGGTGTTTGGGCTATTTGGCTGGAAATATAAAGACCAAAGTTGACCGTTTACACGAATCTTTAATCTTGCACGCAATCCACAAAAAACAATCAAAATCACGATCAATCTCACAATCAATTCATCGATCGTAAGCTGAAACAATAACACAACGAAGTTCTATCAATCTAATGAAAAACTGGGCCTTAACGCCGATAACGAGATAAAATGGCAATGAACAATACAAATAAACCAATACAAACTACGTTAAAGTACAAAAAAGAATTTGGTAGCTGGTTAACAGCCTATCGTCCTTATCTAACTGGTGGGCGTTCACTTGCATTTGAAGCAATTTTGGCCTTTAAATCTCGAATCAATTGAAATACGTCATTACAAGAAATATCTGTTTTTATACTTTCACCCAATGTTGGAAAACTAAATTAGAAAAACAAAGTTACAAAGGTACTCGCATATCGGTCCCGCTTGTGTCAAAGGTTTAAGAAACGAAAAGACGAAAGTTCACTACGACTACTAAAAAACTCTCGAAGAACTGATTACAGTGACGCTAAACTCGCTTTTATATGCGCGTGGTAACGCTGAAATGTCTGATTACAAAAACAATAGAAATATAAACAAACAGATAACCATTGTAACTATGTTCGTATCTAGAATCATTCTGAAATAATTAGACTCTAAGCAATTAAAGAAAAATGAGCCCTCCGGCTTATGTCCTTACCAGCAATGGTCAGATTGATTTCTGCAGGTCTGGTCTCGGTTTTTCTTGATTCATTGATTCTTCCTCTAAAAGCGCTCAACCAAGAATATGGCGACTCCCATTATCAGAAGTCATGACCGAGGAAGCTGGTTACTGATCCAGCAGTCTTGAAAATGAAGCCGACTATTGAACTGATCAGACGTGGGAGAATTCCCCTGATCTTATTTCCAAGAGTCTTGAAACCATTTCCAATTCCTTTGGCAGCACACTTCAGGCGTCTTGTCAATGCGCTCACAATCACTCCAATCGTTGTTCCAACTGCCAGGACAACAGCTGAGACTGTGAACCATACTTCTTGAAAATGTTTCTCACTCTTTCTCTTAGTAAAGTGTCCTCTTAAAGTTCTCCTGTCTCATTCTCAAGTGCATCAATCCGCTCTTAATTTTCTATTAACCTTTCTCGTGCTCTTCCTCTTATAGCTTGTTCTTCATTCTCATCATTGGCAATCTCCCGATCCTCCCCTGAGGTTTTTATTTGTTTTGGGAGTGATGGATTCAACATTTGCTTTTTTGGACACCTTTCCTTACTATACAAGGGATGTGCCTTCTTGCCCTGACAAAACATCTTAACCTGCAACCTTCCTATTTTACTATAGGAAACCTCAAAGTCTGAAACTTTTGCTGGGATAAATTCTGGAAAGCGATTCCCAGCCTTCTCATTTGAAGTGATGACTCGCGAATAAGTGGTATCACCTCCAATGAAAGATATTTCAGCTGTTTTTGACCCTTTCTCTTGTCCCTGTTCATTGTCGTCATTGGAGTTTCTTCATCTGATGGCCCTGAGGTTGAATTATAATCAGGCTGAAAAGGTGTTGTTGTATTTCCTTCATCTTCATCATCATCATCACCGTCATTGTGTTCAAAAAGAGGACCAAAATCTCCAAAATCATCCATTTTTTCCTTTTTTTAAATGGAATTCAGTGAAAAAAACCAATTCAAATGTTGAAAAAAGACGTCACACGCCCTCAAGGCTGACCGCGTAACTAACAATTAACATTTAACCTTAATAGGTTATCTCCACGTGAAGTCCTTAGAGTCCTAGTTCCAATGCTTGATGACGGAGTTGTCCTTGTGCCAGGATCTCTTTCACTCATCTTTAACTTGGCAGTTAGTGGTCACGCAAAAAATTATATTGTGAACAATGTCCCAAGGGCTCTTTTTGACAGATTGACTGTAAAATTCGCAGGAGAGATCGGGCTGGACACTGATGGTTATAATCTATTCAACCTCTATGAGGACCTCTTGTTGACTGAATGTCACATCTTAGTTTTTTCATATGCTCAGCTCAACATCATCAACCGTGAGCTTAAATGCGTGACTTATTAATGACGTATGTATCATTTACAAAAACACAATTTTGACAGAAGAACAAACTAAGGTACACCACGACTTCTTTGCAGAAAAAGATACAACATTCACACAAAAAATCAACACCATTTCAGCGACGCCGATGGCGTTACAAGAAGATCGTTCAAGATGATAATATTCATCCTCTTCGAAACTCGCGAGTGAGACATTGTGAAGACGGTGTGAAATTACTCACCTGTGAATAATTCAAGTTGCCTTTCAAATGTGCCAGAATTTTTTTTTTTAAATCAAGGTTGATTTCAAGTTTGATTTCATGAGTTGCCGTAAATATCAAGTTTGATTTCAAAATGCGCCAGAAACCTCATTTTATACCTACTCGCTGGAAAATAGCAGGTAAGTTTTTCATACCAAAGGGCATGACGTAATATTGGTACAATCCTTCTGGTGTTACAAAGGCTTAAATCTCCTTGTTGTAATCTGTCAACGGAACTTGCCAGAGTTCTTTGAGAAGGTCGAATTTCGTCGCATACTTGGTATAGGAAAGGTGTCTGCCTTGAGCACGCTATTCACTTTTGTATAATTTTTACACGTGCGGTAACTTCCATCTGGCTTAGTGGCAAGTATACATGGAGAACTCCGACTACTGCTACTTGGTTCAGTGAACGCATTCGCAAATTATATCCTCTTTGAGGTATTGTTGTTTACTTGAATTTAGCCTGTACAAGAGTTGTTCTACAGGAACAACATCACCCACATTCACATCATTGTAAATCCGATTTGTCCTGGTAGGGATATCAAGAAACAGGTCTTTATGCTCTTGCAGTAGCATCTCCAGGTTCTGGAGTTGACCATCTTCCAGGTGTTACAGCACAGAGTCTACGTTCCGTCGGTGGGACTAAGATGACTACAATTAAGCTCATTACTTAATTTTTTGGTCTCAGAAACAACTGCGTTAACATTTGCAGGCTCTAACTAAAATATTACTTCTCTCTACATAAGGCTTCAACATATTAACGTGGCATAACTTCGTCTGTTAGTGACTATTATATAATTAAGGTATTTTAACTTCTCAATGACACAAGGTCCCAAACATCTAGAATGCAGTGTGTTACCGGGCACCGGCAACAAAGCAAGATCCCTTTGAACTGACTATAAGTCATGTTCTACATCATACTTCTCTTTCATGGATTTCTGAGACTAACTAAGATTAACTCTATCTAACTTACAAGTTATAAAGATTTATGTGAAAATCTGAAACATACTGCAAAAGATTAACAGGCTGAGTACTGCTGAGGTCCGCCTAAGAAGTCCTTTCATAGTGTGCCCAAAGACAAGCTCAGACAGACTGAATCTCAGAGACTCCTGGAACAACTCGTGTGCAGTAAACAACAGTAGATGGATACCCTTGTCTAGTCTTTCTCAGTTTCCAAGCAGTAGATCCTCATCATGTTCTTTGGTGTTTGAAGCCATCTCTCGAGAGCTCCTTGACTTTAAGAGTGGTATGCAAATGACCCACACTGCCTTCTCCCAAGCTAGTGCATCACTTGCTGAAATACGCCAGACATACAATTGGAACCTTGGTCAGACTGGATAGAGCTTGGAAGACCCACTCGTGTAAAGAACTTGTTTAACTCTTTGACGATAACCTTAACTTCGATGTTTCTCAAGGGCACGGCTTCAAGAAATCTGGTAAATCCACACATGAAGGTTGGCAAATACTGGTCCCCTGACCCCGTCTATGATAATAGCCCAACACAATCAGCCATGAATCTTGTTGAATGGCTCTTGAACGAATGGTAGTGGCCCTTTTGGAGTGGTCTGATTAACAATAACAACAGTCTACATCTTCGCTCACCACTGACACAACCTCACAGTTTTCTCCATAGTTCCTTGAAATGAACGATGGCTCTCTCTCGGTGTAGCTTTCCAAACAGTCGGTCACTCCTGACAACAACAACTACTTCTAATACACGGTTAATCCTTATGTACATTTACAATTTATTCTTAATCATTCTGGAAGCTTATAGCACGGCTATTTTAGCAGTATTACGTCATGATTTCGTGAACGATTAGAATGTTCTAGAAAGTTCCATGTTATGCATGTAAACGTGACTACGCATTCTTACTAGAACTTTCTAGATACTTATTTCTACAGTCACTACCCATCACAGGTGAAACTAGATGAGACAGTTGCACTAAAAATATGCAGAAACCAGCTAAACTGGTTCAACTCGTTACATAGTTAAACAAGCTAAAACGGTTAAACTGAACAAACTGAGCAAACTTACTGATTGAGTCAACTGGTTAAAATGGACCATCTAGCTGAAAAGTGATTTTAGATATATGAAATTCATATAAGTGCACTGCGGTGAAGAAACGAATATAAGAGATCCTCGCAGCTAAAAACACTATTGAACTAGTAGTTGAAATAAGACCTGAAAAAAATTCGGGCCCGTATTCAGTATACTAACATAATAATACCCAAACTAACACCCAACCCTATTGACCAGCTCTCAGTTGGCTTGTTAGCTCAATCGGAAGAGCGCTACACCGGTATCGTAGAGGTCATGGGTTCAAATCCCGTTCGTGCCTGGTATCACAGAAGTCTTAGGTCAAATCCTGTAGGGGCTTGAATTTTTTTCAGGTCTTATTTCAACTACTAGTTCAGTAGTGTTCCTTGCTGAAAAGGTTAAGCTGCACAAAATGCACAAACTAGCTAAATTAGTTCAACTGATCAAATTGGGCAAACTTGCTAAAAGAGGTTGAACCGAAAAAAATGCCAATATTAGTTCAACTGGTTAAATTGTTGAATTTACCGAAAATCTGTTTAACCGAATAAAAAGGACAAACTAGCTGAATTGGTTCAACTGGTTAAATTGCTCAAACAAGCTGAAAGCTTTTAACTGTACATAATGCTCAATTTACCTCAATTGGTTTTTAAAATTTCTTAAAATGATCAAGTTGGCACAAATGGTTCAACAAAAACAGTTAATCTGAACAAAATCCATTAACTAGCTTAACCAGTTGAAATGGGCAAATTAGCTAAAACGGTTAGAATTAACCAAATGTACAAACTACCTCAATTGGATCAACTGGTTGAAACGATTAAACTAGCCAAAATTCATTGGAACGTTTATTTGAACGAAATGCAGAGATTAACTAAACTGTCATAACTAGTTTAAATTGTCTAACAATCTGGTATGCTTAAAAAGGACAAACTAGCAAGAAGGGTGAAATGGCATAAGATGCGTTGTTCCAATCACTCTGATGAAGGGCTAGGCTCAAACCTAAGCTTTAAAACGTTTAACCACACAAAATGCACAAAGTAGCTGAGTTAGTTACACTGCTTAAATTGCTAAACTTGCTAAATTGGCCCAGCTGGACAAAATGCACAAAGTAGCTAAATAAGGTCAACTGGATAAGGTTATTAAACTAGCTAAAATGGTGAAACTGTACTATATCAACAAAGTAGCTAACTTAGTTTAACTGGTTATACTAGCTGAATCGTTTAAACTGGACAAAATGGACGAACCACCTGAACTGGTTCATTTGGTTAAAATGGTCAAGTTAGCTTAAATTGGTTTAACTAACAAAAACGGTTAAAATGAACAAACTATACAAACTACTTGTTTCAACAGTAAACGGTTAAACTAGCTAAAGCGCTCAATTTGAACCAAATGCACAGATTAGCTAGTATAGCTCAAATTGGATGCGATGTACTGTTGCAGCTGGTCGACGCGCCACCGTCGCCTTTGTTCGCATCATAGGTGATATCTAAGTTTTCTTCAATGTGCGGTGCCGCGAGACCACTTGATTAAAACCTACCTATATCGTTCAAGTTTTTAACGATTTCGAACCTAATGTTGTGTTAAACACTGTAAACGCTTGGTGTGAGTTTTCTTAACGCCTTCCTGAAGGATTTCAGATCGGAGGTTTTGATTTTTCATGGTTAATCAGCGTTCGCGACAACTCGACCTCAGGGATGTTTATCGACGGATTGGGGTTTAACAACTAGTTTAAACAGTTAAACTGCACAAAATGCACAATTGCCGCCTGCATTGCTTCAACTAGTTAAAATTGTTAAACCAGCTTAAACGGTTAAACTGCACAAAATGCCCAAACTAAATGAATTTTTCAATTCGTTAAAATGGTCAAACTAGCTGAGGTGGGTAAACTGCACAAAACACACAAAACTAGCTAAATTGGTTGAAAGGGTCTAACTACCTAGGTAGTTAGAAATGGGGCATTTTGGCGCATTTTGAAAACAACCTTGATTTTTAAAGCTATTCATGAAATTTAATCTTGATTACAAGGCAACTTGAATTTTTTACAGGTGAATAATATTCACAATGTCTCACTCGTGAGTTCTGAATAGGGTGTGCATATTGTCCTTTTTAACGATTCTCTTAAGCGATCTTCTTAAACGATTCTCTTGTCGCGCTATCAGGGTGTTGATTGTTTTTGAGAAGTTTTTAATGTGGTATCTTCTCTCAAAGAAGTTGTGGTGTGCCTTGATTTGTCTCCTGTCATAAGAGTGTCTTTGTTAATGAGAAGAGAATGATAGTCTGAGTTCAGTCCTCCATGGAAACGATCTCCAAATATTTCTGTGTAATTCCCCCACACACGAATTCTCCTTCTGTTGCAGGAGTTTCAGAGAAGTTAATACGTTTTTTACCATTGAACCATAAAGAAGAAGCATTGACGCTTGAATCGCTGTCAATTTCTTTTGCCCAATGATGGCTGATCATTTTCCATCTCCCAGGAGCTGTCGGGTATTTTTTTTGATCAATGTCTATTATTTTTAAATCATAACTTACTACTCCTTCAACATGATAAATCCAAAACTCCTCTCTTTTTTGTGTTCTGGTTTTGCTCCACCAATCATTGACTGATCTGTTTCTCTTAGCAGAGAAATCACCAGGTCCCATTTCCGATCAAAGAGTATCTCACTTTGTCATTTGCTAGTTTCAAGGGCAAATCTGTTTTGATTCAGGAGTTGCGATCCAATCGAGAAGCTTTGTTCGATTTTCTTGATACTTTTCATAGGCCGCTTGGTACTTCTCCACAGTGAGATCATGCCTCTTTTTCTCTTTTTCAGCACTATTCTGGTCTCCGCTCAAATACTATGCGAGATTAACTAACAAAGGAGGTCGTATTGTTGGGCGTTCCTCCAATCATTATTGCTATTGCTTGCCATTTTATTTATCTTAAACATTAATTTTGAAAATTGACAACAAGTATTCACCATGAAACTTTTGACGATGTTCTGCCTCTTCAATGCTTGCCCCCTCGAGACCTGCCGCTCCGCGGCTTGGTCACTCTTTTCTTTTATAGTACAGTCCAGCCAGTGAGAGAACGACACATACTACTGAAAGAATTTGAGTGAGTGAGAATGATAATGATGTTTCTGGTTCTGGTTCTGGTTGTAATTCTGCCCCTCTGGGGCTCGAGTCCTTCAGATCTTCGGATTGCTTTGCACCAATCATTTCCTTCGTTTTACCACTTGCAACGAGAAAAGCTAGTTTCTCTCGATGTTCTGAATCCCTTGCTGGTTCAGCTTTGATCACTCAGCCTCATAAGAAAGTTGATACCGCTCCAGTCGAGCTGCTCAGATTGTGCTTTGAGAATCTTTGTTATTCTTTAAGGGTCTTCTCGGCTAGGCCGTGAAGCTGTATGTCGTAAAATCTTTGAGAATATTCTCAGTGAGAAATTTCCTAATGTCAAGCCCTCGTGGCTTATGAATCATCAGACAGGATTTTTGCTTGAAATAGATGATTTTTGTGATACACTTATATTAGCTTTTGAATCGGACGGGATTCAACATTATGAATATCCAAAACCATTTCATCAAACATACAAGCAATTCCAAAGGCAGTGGGGGGAGAATAGATGAAGAATTATAAGTGTACAATATATGGAATGACTCTCATAAGAATGAAATATGACGTTCAGAATCTTGAAGATTACATAAGGCATTAACTGAGAAAGAAACATTTCATTTAAGTCTTGTTTCTGATGCTTCAGATATCTTTCAAATTAATTCTTTCAGCCATCAAGAAAAACTTCTCTGATGCATCAGACAAGTTTGATCTTTGAATTAAGCAGGTGTGAAGTGAATTTACATATTGGCTTTAAGAATTTCATTTTCAATAGAACATTTGCCTCTCCTAAAGCTTGAATTACCTTAAAAACGACTTCTTGAATTTCTCATGCATTGTGGCGGAGAAAGCATAAAAACGACAGAGTGAAACAACAAGATCCAATTTTTCATAACTGAAAATACAACTCTCAGAGGAAGCCGTTTTTTGTTGTGTGAAAACCAAAACAACAAAAAAAGCCAACTTTTCGACCAAATGGTTTTATTATTAACAAAAAATAAACCAATCGTAGCCTTTGAAATAATCAGCCGATACCCTAATTATTTCATAAGCGTTTGTTGGCTATTAAACACTTAGCTGTGTTGAATTTGCATATCCTTTGTAAAAATAATATTCAACCCACTCGTTTTCCTTTCAAATTCAAATCCTATTTCGTTATGTTTACGAGTCATCCGAGTTTCTGTCGGTGATCTTGTTTGATTTGTTACTTTATAACCTCAGTCAACCTCAGATGAGCGTCTTGCATTATTTCTCAACTACTTTTTTCGGGGAACTTCCCAACACTAAATGCTGTTGATACAAAATCCCAGAAAGCCGGCTGAACCAGCCATGGGTACTCCAGCTATCAACCTAATTCCACTCAGAGGAACTGCCATACCGCTTGTTGACAATTCAACCGACGTCACTCCTGTCACAGTGCATGATGTGTGACAAACGGATCTAATTTTCTTTTATTTGTCAAGGACATGTCGGTAATGAGTAATTTCATTCTCAAGGTCCTTCTAACATACACAAATCATCTTCCTGGGATCCTTTGGGACGCTTAGGCCACTTGGGACGCTTGGGCCGCTTCGTGGTCTCTTGCATGAGTTGCTTAGTGGCCCAAAGATCCGAAGGTAGTAGGTGAATGATGTAAATCTTTTGATTAAGTTGGTGGTTTTCAAACGTCGTATAATTCCAGCCAGATCCTTGCCAAGAAGGATATGCATATTTTGAGGATTGCAGATTTCCAAAACTCCTTTGGAGTATTCATTTAAACCTTCACTCCTTCACTCTTCAATGTATTTTGAGGAGCTCGGCCAAGGCTTTTGAGTAAATAATTACCTTCTGAAATTCTCTTTACAGTTGAAGGGCCTTGCACATTGAATTCAGAGATTTCTCCTGTTCGCTTCAAATTAAACCGGTCTTGGATCTGTGTCATATGTTGGTCTAGAAGCAAATCATTCAATAGTTTATCCTACAGTTCAGCGATGAGGGCGGAAAAGCCATCAAGGAAATCTTATTTATTTCATAAGGAATTATAATGCGAAAGTTGAGAGGCAATTCGACCTCTTCATGGCAGACAAGTCAGAAGGTCTGACGCAAGCTGGGATGGCGAGACCAAATCTGTCCATTGAGGCATTCGTCTATTGCATCCTCGGTGCACAAGTCAATGTTACATCATCAACCTTGGGTTCACCAGGAAGCGCTAAGGAAGCTCAACGTGAGTTCCTCGTGTTGGTTGAGGATGCAATCAGAAAGCAAGAAGTTTCGAAAAGCGTTCAGAGGTTTCAGCTCGCGATTAATGAAGCTGAGGTCACACTTGATCTTACACTCTCACCAGGCACTTGGCTTACGCACTTAAATCTTCTTGTGAACACTCAGAGTACAGTATAATAACAGCCTCAACAAGGCAAAGTCTGACATGAAGTTCGAGTCAACAAATCAGTCAATTGGAGATGACATCATGAAGAGCTTCGCAGCCTACGCTCGAGCGACATTGAGACAAATTATAACATGATAGAGGTCGGATTGATTTCAGCTGGACTGGTATCAGCATTCTTGATTGATCGCCTGTTCTTCTGAAAGCGCTCAACCATGAATATGGCGACTCCCATAGTCAGAGGCCATACATTTTGAGCGAGGAAGCTCATCACTGATCCAGCAGTCTTGAAAATGAAGCCGACTATTGAACCGATAAGACCGGGTAGAATAGAAATCAAAAATTATGACATTTCTACAAACAATGACACAGAAGTCATAAAAAATTATGGTTTCGATCCGACTATGGAAAATACACCAACTCCAAGATTTTAAAAAGATGATTGTACAAAAGAGCAACAAAGTCTTATAAATAGATTTCATAAATACCAGATATATCAAAAGTTATATGTCCAGTTGACGTTTTGAAAGAGAAATGGGCACTATTTGATATTAAAACATTAGCTCCACTTGTGACAAATCCTACTGTTTTACAATTATTATTATTATACCATTTACCAAGGTTATTACAGTAACACTTTCAGTTTTATCATCAAATACATTCTTTGTAACAGGATTATAATCATTAAACGCATCTGGTATTTTCAACTCTTTGGTAATTTCAACATGTGTGATGAAATTGAGAGTATCACTAGTTATTTCATATTTTTTATCCCACACACTGAGTGGAAAATCATGCACAATGTGATACACTGAGATCCCATAGACTACAATATGAACAACTAAATCCTGTGCATAACCCGACTTGTTCTTTAATACCAAATCCACCATTAGATAGTTAGGTGTTAAATTATTGTACTTATGAATATGAAGTATACTTCTGCTGTGATCACTAAACAAATTACTTGATATTCCTGAAAATTTCTCAACACTACTGGTAGCTGATATGTCAACAGATGAATGGTCAATAGATGCTGAAGGAAAACATACTTCAAATACTACTCTATATTCACCAGTTCATACGTGTTTAACCCAACACGAGATGAATGATACCCTTTTGCGCCATCCAAATGGAGTTTCATTCCGTAGGTTTTTTAATTGAACTGATGAAAGTCTTGATCACTGAATTTAACCCTTGTACTGTCACCTTCATCACTGAGCTGTCCACTTTTATTCATGATATATGCAAATATGTTTTTTCAAATCTGTACTACCAATAGAATGATATAATCTGTCATTAACATACTTCTGATAATTGGTGGTAAGGAGTGCACCACTGTCCTTAATAGTTGTATCGACAAAATTAACATTAGCAGCATGTGTACTTTCACGTGATTGTACCTGTTTGACATTAATTATACTTCTGCTGTTCATATTCAAATTACCAGTCATTATTCTTGTACCATCAGTTTTCAAATAATTGCTTGATTTTGTATCAACATACCTTGTATTCCTTCCATCTGTTGAACTTGTTAAGTCTGCTACATTAATCACCTTATTGCCTTTCATATCAAGACCTTTTAATATATCTAGAGTAAAGGTTGTACTGTCAACATATTTCCTATTAACCACATCCTTATAACTGTTATCACCATTGTCATAATTTGGTGTTAATAACCTGCATTTTAATGTTTGGGGTAACAGATTATCCATATCTATTTTCTTATCCTTGGTGTGTGACGATAAGTGTTCGCGCTCTACACTGGACTTCACGGGAACGTACACAACGGGGGGAAATTTAACTCGGTAGAGACCACTCGGCTTGCGAGACCGGAAACTCGTCACGATTTCCTGTCACACGTAGATCTACTTCGAGTGAGCTTGTACGAACGTCAAGGATGAGACAGCGTTTTGGTTCCACAGCAGACTTTTATTCGAAGAGCACTCTAGCATACCTCATGCTAGAGTCGAAACTTAAACTGTAATCATCACGCGGTCGTCTGGTGTAATCGGCACGCCGTAATGTATGTAATCTGTACGCCGTCGTGGATGTAATCGAAAAAGCGTAACAAAGTACTTGCTTAAATATGAACTGGTGTGAGGTTCCATTGTTACACAAATCACAATATTTGAATAAGGACACAACGGAGCGGAAAAAAAGTATCTTTGAAGTTAAACGAAAACTACTTAGATATTTCATCTGTTTCTATGACGGAAAGAATTTCAAAATTAAAAGGACGGATACAATAAAATCGAGGCCAGTAAAATAGGAAACTTAGGTGCGAATTCACAGCTCTGATATAGAAAATATACCTATCTTAATTACAGCAGAGCAGCTTAGGAAATAAAAACGGAAAAGCAATTAAAAGTTTCTGCTTATCTATGCAAGGTTGGTGTGGAAACTGTCGTATGAAAGGAAATTAAGGTTACGAGTATAAACTCAACTGCTTACTGCCGTGAAAACTAATTTTTCCAGAAAGACCACTAACACATATTTACGTAAAAAAAACCAGAAATAAATAACAAAAGGACCGACAAACAGGTGCATATAATGAAAGCGAGTAACAAACAAAAATCTATTTCAAAAACTACTGTGGTTTTTATACATTTTTTTGATTTACTGAAATTAATGGACTGGAAATGGTTAAAAGTGAAAAGTTTACGACTAAATATGTTCCGAATAACAACCACACGGAAAATTCAGTAAATTTTCCTGTAACAGATGTCTTTCATCTGCCTCAAGGTTACAGCCTCATCATTATATTGTGCTCTACTGAGGTCATAAATGGTCTTACCATAAGCATCCCATCTACCACCACTTCCTAATTTGAATTAGTTATCATCTCTTTTCTTCCAATTTGTTGTCTCACAAAATGATTTATTAACAGCATCATTATTTGAAGTAGGTGTAAGCAAGTTCTTAATACAGTTGTTATGCATGTTTGTATCACCTTGGAAATTCTCGGAGCCACTCACTATGTTATTTGCAATGGTGTCAACATACTTTTTATTTGTGAAAAGAGGGAGGGGCCGCAGCCAGGATAAAACATCTTATGAAATTAAAAAAAAACAATCTGTGGCTAAAACTTTTAAAAATACGAGCTTTCGGCTGTTTGCGCTAAGGCTGTGGCGCAAAGATATAGCGCAGATGTAGGTAATAAAAAGTATTTATGAAATTTAAAAAACGATCTCTGGCTAAAACTTTTAAAAATACGAGCTTTCGGCTGTTTGCGCCAAGGCTGTAGCGCAAACAGCCGAAAGCTCGTATTTTTAAAAGTTTTAGCCAGAGATCGTTTTTTAAATTTCATAAATACTTTTTATTACCTACATCTGCGCTACATCTTTGCGCCACAGCCTTAGCGCAAACAGTCGAAAGCTCGTATTTTTAAAAGTTTTAGCCAGTGATCGTTTTTTAAATTTCATAAATACTTTTTATTACCTAAATCTGTTGCACCTGATGGGTCTCCCAGGTTAAGCACCTTTCTACTGTTCATATCCAAACTAACTGTCATTTTCGGACTTCCATCTAATAACAACACAGTAGAAAGGTCTACAGGACCACCACCACTACCAAATGGTCCTTGTGGACCCTGTGGACCAGTATCCCCCTTAGGTCCCTGTGCTGCAGTATTACCTTTATCATCTTTCAGACCGCTAACACCAATGTTACCTTTATCACCCCTAGGACCTTGAGGCCTGTATCTCCTTTGTCACCTTTTGGACCCTGAGGACCAGCATCTCCTTTGGTCCTTGTGCTCCAGTTTCTCCTTTATCACCCTTAGGACTCTGAGACCCAGTACCACCACTACCAGGTGGCCCTTATGCACCAGTATCTCCTTTATTGGCCTTGTCTCCCTTAACTCCCTGTGCACCAGTATCTCCTTTTAGACCTCTATAACCCTTGTCTCCCTTTAGACCATTATCACCCTTATCACCTTTTGGTCCTGGTGGCACTGTTGGTCCTTCAACACCTTCCACAGTTGTAACTATCTTGCCATGAGTTTCAGCAAATATAGCCATTATAATATATGCTTATATAAATATAATATATATATAATATAATATATATATAATTTATAATATAAAGTACTGTTTTATGAATTTTTCATTATAAGTATAATCAGCACGGGAAAACACTCTTACAACATAATATGTCTTTCTCCTGCTGCACTAATCCATATAGTACAAACAAATGTAGCCACATAATACGCTTAACAAATCCTGATACTGTGTGCTGTTATACACATAGTTGACATTCAATCTATTGGATACATTTATAACCTGTTCCGGGCAATTGAGACCAAAACTGTCAAAACATTCAATGATATCTTTTCTGATATTCATAACCACCAAATGTGTACCACTACCCACACTATCATCAAAATAAATAACATAGGACCCTGTCTTATGTTTGTCACTTATTTTATCCCTGGAAAATACACCCATAAACTGCTTTATCCCTGTACACTTAACCCAGTTAATTATATGATAATTGGACAACGCTTTATTTACAAAATTGCACCTACTAGAGAGATGCTGTTGAATGGTGAGTTTTTGCCCGACAGTAGTGCTTTCCCTTTGGTAGTCTTTTTTTTTACGAGCTTTCATTAGTACCAGCACCTATGGTACCTGTGTTATTAGGCTAGCAACCAATAAATGATGGTGGTGCTTGAGGATATATTTCTCACCCTTGTGATGTTACTTTTGGTCGTGGTGACAGAGGTGGTGATTGATATCTGCTATAACTCTGAATGTCATTGCCTGTTGATGCTTTCAATGAAAGAGGAGCACCAAGACTCGAAAGCAATGTACCAAGGAAACCAACACTTTGTTTCTTTGTTTCTTTGTTTCTTTGATAATAAAAGGACTTCCTAACCTAATAGCTTCTGCTAGTTTATTATACGTGGTAAGCATATTTTGATAGAGTACAAGTTGTACTATTTTATCAATGGGTATCATATAACCACCTGTTTGTTCTCTACCTCTCTTTAACATCTTAACCATAGCAAAACCACCCAAACTACCGAGAGCATCAGTTGCAAGACCAGGCAGTATCTTCTTTGCCACTGTAACGAGTACGCTTACATGAAGCATTGAGCTTCCTGCGGCCGCATGGCATCTTAGGAACAGCTTCCTCGTGTGTCGGCCATGTTGTTAGCATAGTAAATTGTAGCTCTGTTCTTGGGTTAAATATAAGTTGATGTTTTGGTACCTGACCGCCTGTTTAGCTATCGTTACAGCCACCACTAGTAGTAATCTAGCACCCAAAATAAGGAGTGTACTGAATAAAGAACCCCCATGCTGTATGACATGTCTGATGTGTTTTGCTTATTTTTATGTTAACACCAACACCTAATGCCATTGCTTTTAGTATCTGTTTGGGTTGTGTTTTTGTTAACATCAGTTCATCATTGCCAGTTGGTTCACCTTTTGACAAAGATAGAGTAATGCCTGACTTGTCCTGTATGCTTTTGCTAATTTAACCTTTTTGATGGTCACTCAATGTGACTCCATAAGAAAGATATCTATTAGTCGTATACAGTGGCAGATCCTTTGTAGTCTGAATATTAGTGGGAAGAAAGTTCTTACTAGGGGCAGCATGCCCTCCGATGACTGATGAGTCCAATTCTGGATTTACATATTCTTGAGCAAGTGGGGCAGGGGAGGGTCTCATCACTGCAGGACGTTGCTTGATTGGCCAATTCCTTTAATGCTTGTGTCTCTCCTTAACAGTGTTCAATCTCAAGTCCTCAAACTGCTGAGCTGCGTGTTTGGTGGTTCACCTCCATTCAACCCTGTCTGATGTGAGTGTCTGCCAGTCTTTGTGGTCAACACCAGCCCGTGCCAGCTGTTGCTTCAGCTGGTCTTTGTAGCGCCTGCATGGAGCACCTCTGTCATGCTTGCCTTTGCCGAGTTCACCAAAGAACATAGCTTTGGGCATCCTGGTGTCCTTAATGTGCAAGACATGGCCAGCCCACCGGAGATGTTGATGTAGCAGCATAGCCTTTATAGTTGCCAGTTCAGCCTTCTAGAACCTCGACGTTGGTGACGTAGTCTTGCCAGTGTATTCTCATGATAAAGCGCAGGCACCTCTGGTGGAAGCATTCCAGCAGCCATATGTGCTTTTGGTACAGCACCCAGGTTTCCGTGGCATTTCTGTAACATTCGGCTGTATCTCATGAATGCACGATATATCATTGCAACCTCCTTATCAGGTTCCATTCATTCCTGTGGATAAAAGATACCATTACTCAATTCTAACTGTGCACTGGTGATTTTGCATTGGAGCCAGTTAGATCATATGTACTGAACAAAAACATATTCTGTGTCTGAGAAGATAGTTAACCAATGTTAAGTGCCCAGAGAAACACGTCTTGGTTTTCTTATACTAGATGTCAGTTTGAAAGTACCTGCATGCTGTTGTGTAGTTGGACTGATTTCAACACTGTCCCTCAAATAAAACCAAGCATGTAGTTTCAAGTAGTTCTGATAAAACATCTGTTCACCTATTGCATTGAACATCATCTTTGGTACCCACAAGACAAACTTGGTAACAATGTACCTTCCAGGATCTGCACCAGGTCCGAAAATAACATTATCATCACTATCCAATGTGATATAAATACTGACTTTACCATTAGGGGCTTTTTATTCTGAAAAAACCAAATCTATCGAGTGCTATGATAAAATTAACAAGAGCAGCGGCAGTTGATGGCTGTAATATCTTCTGTCTTTTAGCAAATCCTTGATTGTAATTTACATTGTCTACAGCCCTTATATCATTACCTTGAGCTGGAGTGGCAGCATTTGCATATTTATGTAACTCAGCGTTAGTACTTGCATCCACATAATGCAACATGGTTGGTTCAACTTTATCACTGTAATCCTTTGAAAACTCCAAAAGGTTTTTCACATTAATAGCATGATTGATACTAGAAGTGTCAATACAGTTAGTACCATCAAACTCTACCTTTAATTCTATTTCGTCACCGGTCTATGTCACAAGGAAATCACGTGAGATATACGTGCGCACCTCCGCATTCAGTTGCTTCCTAACTTCCCTAGCCACTTCAGCAAAACCCAACGACACGTTGGCATCAACGCTTCTGAAGCTGAACGACAACATGTTGTGAGTTACGCAATCGATGAACTCTATGCAACAAGCCATAGTACGGCTTGCTGATAGCCAGAGACTGCCAAAAAGGGAGGGAATTGACGACTTGTCTGACTCAAGCAATGAATCAAATAACGAATCTTTTGCATCTCCGGATGAGGACAGCGACTCGCTGCTCGAAAACGCAACAAAGACACACGAGATGATCTCCATCAACAGCTTAACAATATCAAAGCTTCGAATAAAATCTCGCAAATGCAAACAAATCACAGAGGAGTGGCTACAAAGGAACCAAAAGTGACAGTGGAAAGAATAGGCCCTCAGACCAGTATTACAAAAGGCCCTTACATTCACAGAGCTACCAGCGAAATCATGAGGACAAGTCAAAAAACTCAAAATTCCCCCTCTACAAAAAGGAAGGGGAAAGAACTATCTACCATTGTTAATGGACTGGCAAATCTGGAAACCGTGCAGATCAGAAATTTTGAGTCTAGTGTTAAGAGAATTAAACAATTATTGTCATTTAAGATTCTATGCTTTAAGGCTGGTGGCAAAAGTAAATTTTATTCCAAATAGCTAGAATTAACCTCAGACCCTAAGGTCCTTAACACTGTCGAGGCCAATTCCTTGCAGAAAAGAAATTCAGTGCAGAAGAAAGCAATATTATCCAGTGTGAGATAAACAAATTACTTCAGAAGAAAGTTATCCATTCAACTAATTATGAACAAGGGTAATTTATATCTACCATATTTCTTACGCCAAAGCCAGATGGCACACACCGCATGATCCTAAACTTGAAAAAACTTAATACGTTAGTGGTGTGAACACTTTAAAATGGATACAGTCTGGACAGAGATTAGAATGATGAAACAAGTCTGTTACATGGCATCTATTGACATCAAAGATGCTTATTAGTCAGTTCCTATTGCTGATACTGGCCAAAAATATCTTATGTTTGAATGGAGGGGAATACAGTAAATTTATATGTTTCCCTGACTGTAGTGTACAGTGATGCCCATGTGTGGAAATGAATGCAAGTGTTGTAATACGCTCAAGACCTACGGATTTGCATGTATACATAATTTATTCAATTTATTCTGAGAGTTCTTTTTCGGTTAAGAGTAAGTGTGTAACGGACGTGAATAAAAGGTTTTAACTTAACCACAGTGTACTACATTGGCGACGAGAATTTTGAGGATTTCAAGGTTTCGTCGAGGGTTTCAGGAGTTTTGTCCAGGATTTCATAGGTGGTTTCGCTAGGGATTTATTTATTTCAGAGATGCCGGAACGCGATGGATCAGGCGAAACTGACACGACAAGCAGTGGTGTTGGCGGTTCTTTTGGTGGTTCTTGAGTGGCTTCAGTTGTTTTAGATGTCAGTGGATTGGAACTATTCAATCGGAAGTGAGAGGCACATAATTTAAGTCAGCGGTGGAAGAGATGGAAGAGGGCGTTTAATTAGTACATGACAGGAAAAGGCGTTTCGAACAACGCTGAAAAGCGAGCTCTTCTGTCGGATGTTATTGGTATGGACGTTCAATAAATTTATTTCTTAATAGCCGGGGTGAGTTTTGAGGGGACACTTCAGGTGCTTGATAATTATTTTGTTACCAAGTCGAACATTCCTCTTGAGAAACATTTGTTTAGACAAATTTCACAAGAGAGCGGAGAGTCTGTGGACCAGTTTTTGTATAGATTATGTCAGCAAGCAGCGACTTGTAAGTTTGGCGTTGACGAGGACAACTATATCCGCGATCAACTCATAGACAAGTGTTACTCCAGACATTTGTGCCGGAAGTTCCTGGAAAAGGGAGGGACCGTTACATTGGATGATTTGTTACAGGTTGCGAGATCCCAAGAAGCAGTTGATCGACAACTGAAGCAATAGAATACGGACCAGGCAGATTAGGTCAATGCAGTGAGTGGAAAAGTGGATGTGAACAAAAATCCCAAGAAGTTGAAGACTTTAGTTGTGGACAGGAAGGAATCTTTAGTCAGGATAGGAGGTACCCGGCACGAGGTCAGGCTTGCAGGAACTGTGGTACGATAGGCCATTTCAAAGTGAAATGCTCTCAACTCTATCAGCGAGGCAGTGCTCAGTTGGGATTCAAAGGAACAAGGAATAGCAGAGGTGTACATGGTAGGAATAGCAGAGGCGCTGGTGGATTTGGTCGAGATGGACGTGGATATGGACGCGGAGGACTAGGGCGAGAGGCAAACCTTGTGACTGGTGGACCTGGCCCTGGAGAAGAAGACAGTGGAGATTTTGCAACACCAGGTCATCAGCTAAGACCCGTTATGCTTTTTCAGTGGAAAAGTTGGATGATCACAAGGAAGAAAGAAGTGTGTTGGTAACGCTGGTCATCGGTGGTGTGGACGTACCTGATGTTCTTATTGATTCGGGAGCTTCGCGTTATGGGACAGCGGACCTGGGAATGACTAAAGCAGAAGAGGATCAAGTGTGAATCTCGCAAGTATGCAAAAGAACTTTTGCTTATGGTGGTGTAGAACCTTCAATGACCCTAGGAACTTTACGGCAGATGTCACACAAGCTGGGTTTAAAGATGGATGCAACGCTGACTTCGGAATGGTTGAAGGAGATGATCGTACACTGTTGGGTCGCGAAACTGCCGAGGAGCTTAACCTGCCATGCGTTGGTCCTTTTCAGGCAAACAGTGTTGACGGTGGACGACCGGACGGTGATATTAGAGAGAAATACAAGCACTTGATAAGTGGTGTTGGTCTTTTGAAGGGTTACAAATTAAAACTGCATGTTGATGAGTCGATGAAGCCTGTGGCGCAACATGTACACAGGTTGCAAAAGAAGGTATATGCAAAGCTTGATGAACTTCTGAAACTCGAAATTAAAGAAGAAGTGTCGGAAAGGCTGTCGGCATGGATTTCGCCATTGGTGGTTGCTTCCAAAGGTGACGGTGAAGTAAGGGTCTGTGTTAACATGCGCCAAGTGAATGGAGCAATCGCCAGGGAGCGGCATCCAATTCCAACCGTAGAGGAGCTGTTACACGACTTGAATGGAAGTACCATATTTAGCAAGATAGATTTCAAATGGGGTTTTCACCAGATTCTACTAAGTGAGGAAAGTCGCCACATCTCTTCTTTTGTCAAGCACAAAGGGCTGCATCGGTATAAGCGGTTGATGTTTGGAGTGACATCGGCACCAGAGAAATATCAGCAGATTATCAGAGACTTGTTAAGGGATTGTGCTTGGGTTGCCAGTATAGCGGACGATCTTACCGTTCACGAGTGTGGTGTGGGGGAATATGACGAGCGTCTTTTTGCTGTGTTGGATAGGCTGAATGAAGTGGGGTTGACGGTGAATGGAGACGAGTGCGAGTTTAGGTTGTCGAAGCTTATGTTCCTTGGCCATCAGTTGACTGGTGACGGCATAAATCCATGCAAAGAGAAGATAGCTGCTATTAGAGATGCAAGACCTCCCAAAGACGCAAGTGAAGTACGATCGTTTATGGGTCTTGTCCAGTACTCCTCCAAGTTCATGCTAGACGTAGCGTTTGTGGCCAAGCCTGTTCAAGATTTGACCAGAAAGGGCGTCGTGTTTCATTGGGGTAAAAAGCAGCAAACAGCTTTTGAGGAACTAAAGCGCCCAATCACCCAGGTAGAGACGCTGGCTTATTTAAAGATCGGCTGCAGAATGCGAATCATTGCTGATGCATCTCCAGTTGGCTTAGGGGCAGTTTTCACCCAGCAGCAGGGAGGTATGTGGAGAGTTGTCTCGTGCGCATCAAGAAGCTTAACTGACGTGGAACGGCGCTACAGCCAAACGGAAAAGGAGGCACTGGCCTTGGTTTGAGCATGTGAACGATTCAACATGTATGTTTCCGGACAGGAGTTGGAGACCGATTACAAGCCTCTCGAGCATATCTACTCCAGTACTTCGAAACCTTGCGCCAGGATAGACAGATGGGTCTTAAAGGCTTCAAGGGTACGAGATTAAAGTATTGTTCTGCCCAGGAAAGATTAATATAGCCAACACGTTGTCCCACTTGAACTCGGATCACGTGGACCATGTAGAGGAGTACTACTTTGTTAGAGCAGTTGTTGTGGACAGTGTACCCATTGCTATATCACCTAGAGAAATTGAAAAGGCTTCCTATAATGAAGAGGAATTGACCCGGGTGAAGGAATGTGTTAAGACAGGGAAATTGGACCGGTGAATACTCCCATCGTATGCACAGGTCAAGGATGAGTTATGTGCGGTTAGCCCAGGAAGAGCACCAAGGTATCTTCAAAACGAAGTATCGTATTCGCGGTAAAGTTTGGTGGCCGGAAATGAACAAGGACGTTGAGAAGTTTCGTAGAGTTTGTCATGGCTGCCAGGTCACTTCTGGATTTGACCCCCAAGAGCCGATGTTCCGCGTTTTTCCTCCAAGTGCTCCTTGGCGGACTCTGGAGCAGATCTACTAGGACCCCTACCCACAGGAGAGAGAGTATTTTGGTGGTGATCAATAACTACATTAGATTCCTCGAGGTTGCTTTTATGAAGTCCACGATAAGTGCCAAGATCATTGAGACAATTACGCCCATGTTTGCCAGATTCGGTTTTCCATTTTCTTTAAGGACAGATAATGGCCCCCAATTCGTATCCGAAGAGTTTGAAGCCTTTTTACGTACGAATGGTATCCAGCACCAGAAATCGACACCGTTGTAGCCTCAGGCCAATGGAGAAGTGGAGCGACAAAATCGCTCATTGCTGAAGTGTCTACAGATAGCACATTTGGAGGGAAAGAACTGGAGAACTGAGTTGCTTGAATGGTTGATGACGTACAGATCCACTCAGCAAACGACGAAGGGGACTACACCCTGTTATATGTTTGGCCGCGAAGTTAGATCCAAACTGCCAGAGCTAAAAAGAGAAACAGTTGGTGTGCCAGGTAAAGAAGTGCGAGAGCGTGATTGGTCAAGTAAATTAAAGGGAAAAGCTTATGCAGATCTCAAGAGTGATGCTAGCCTAAGAGCTTACGTGTTGGCAACACAGTTCTTTTGAAAGCAGAAAAAACTAACAAGTTGTCTACCAATTTCAACCCTGATCCCTTTAAGGTTGTTCATAAGACAGGGTCAGAGGTAACACTTAGGAACAGGGCTAGTATTGAACTGAAAAGGAACACTGTTTAAAAGAAGTACAATGAGCGCAGAGATGTAACCAATGGCGACGAAGACCAAGTGGTACAGGCAGGTTCTGTGGTACAGGTGGATTAGCCAGGGGAAAGAAAAATCCCGGAGACGATGCCAAAAGAAGTTCCAGGAACGTCTGAAGTATCTGAAAATTCTCAAGTACAACCTAGGCATTTCCCTGATAGGGAGGATACCGGAGCGGGAAGGCCTGTTCAGAGGTCGACCGCACTGTAAGACCGCCTGATCGTCATAAAGCCATATAGGGACTTTGAACTAGATGTCTCGAGTTTCTTTTCCTTTTACCGAGGAAAGGAGGAAATGTAGTGTATAGTGATGCCCACGTGTGGAAATGAATGCACGTGATTTAATACACTCGGGACCTACGGATTTGCATATATATATAAAGCGTGTATTTTATTTATTCTGAGAGTTCTTTTTCGGTTAAGAGTAAGTGTGTAACAGACGTGAATAAACGGTTTATATTAGTGTACTACACTAATTTGTTTGGCATTGTGACCTAGTAAGTTCACAAAACTGCTCAAGCCAGTGTACTGTTACCTGAGAACGAAAGGACACCTTTCTTCTGGTTATATATTGGATTCGCCCCTTTTCGAGCTCTTTCTTGAGCCGATCGCACTCTTTGATCGCTGTGAGAATTTCATTCGAAAGCCACGATGGTTTCTTCAGAGATATAACTCTGACTGAGTTAAGTGGAGCGTGTCGATCTACCACATCGAGTACAAGGGCTTCCCAAGTTGATAACATTTCGTCTGGGTCATCGTCAAAGGTGTCAAGGACGGTCCAAGGTACTTCATTTAAATCTTTAATGAGGCTGTTAACATTCAGATTCTTTAAAGAGCGGTATATGACAGTAAAGTAAGCTTTCTTGGCAGATTTCAAACTCTTACTTTGTTTGCGAACCAAATTAGTAGGGTTGTGATCACTGAGCCCAAAAGCTGGTGATGTTATACTTAAGACGTGCTCAGGATGAGAGCAGTAATGATGATCAATAAGAGTACTAGAGTTTTCAGTGATGCGAGTTGGAATCTCAACCATTCGCTGGAAACCTTGATATTCCATTAAATAAAGTATTTGCTTCGATTTGCTTGTAGATTTCTTGATCAGGTCAACGTTAAAACCACCGACAATGTGAACTTCTTGGTTTTCAGCGGCAATAGAGTCCACAATATTTGGGATGCTATCGAAAAAAGAGACAGTAGAGCCAGGGGGACGATAGAAACGAGATAGTAGTATCGGAGCACATCGGAATTGTTTAAATTCTATACTGATTTGTTCAACTTGCTCGGATTCTAAGTCACTCCCTCTTTCAGCCGAAAGTGAGGTGTTGATGTAAACAATAATTCCACCACCTGGAGCTGTTTTCCGATCTGTGCGAAAGAGATTGCATCCTGTGATGACAAGTTCATTATCTGTCCAGGAATTATCTAACCAGCTCTCCGTGATAGCCAAGATGTCGATAGATTACTTGTGCATCATCAATCTGATCTGGTCTAATCTGTTTGTGATTGATCTTGTATTAAGCAGTACAATTTTCAGTCCTTTTTTTGGGAGATTGAACGCTGTGATCGGATCGAAATCATCGTCCATTGCTAACGTTGTACTCGCTCAGGAGCCATTTGTAGTGTTTCTAAAGTGGCAATGAGCAGCGTGATTTCCAGTTAAGGGCTGTAGTGACAGTTCCAAATGGTAGATAATTGGATTAAATGTCGCAATAGAAGTAGGAGTAAAGGCAAGTCTCCTTCGAAGATACTTCTCTTTCAAAATCAATTTCACTTCCATAGTTTTGATAATGTATCAGCAACTCACGCTCGAAGCTTTGGCGAGTCTGTTGGCTTGAGCAGAAAACGAGTGGCTGTTTTCGGTGTTCTAGGCGTCAGAGGAAGTTTGACGATCTTCATGCCTAAACATCGTCGTTTTATCCAAAACGTTGCCAACTGGGTTTGTAAAATTGGGCGAGAGTAAAACTTAGAATCCATATCTACAAATCGAGAGAGCGAGCAAGGTTTCACCCGCCATTATGCAAATCCCTACAATTTCAGGGAACTCGCATCCTTAACAACATGGGAACTAGTCACTCCTGGGAGCTTAATGGGCTTGGTGTATTCACAGAGGAATATGGCTGACTTTAGCCCGTATTCCTGGAAAAAACAACGTAGTCGCTGACAAGGAATCTAGGCAACAACGCAGAGAACTTGAGTGGACTCTTAATCATGAGTTATATGGTACCTAATATTGACCTGTTTGCCTCTAGGCTTAACTATAGGCTTAAACCCTATGTATCATACAAGCCTGACCCAGGCACTGTAGCTGTAGATGCTTTTACGGTACAACGGTCACAACATGTTTTTTATGCTTTTCCACCCATTAGTGGGATTATGAGAACCCTTCAAAAGATACAGCATTTATCACGAGGGACTCAGTTACAGTGCTTTAAACACTGCAAGGAGTGCATTGTCGAGTGTCATTGTACTACAAGGAAACAAGTCCTTTGGTAACCACCAACTTGTTTCTCGGTTTTTGAAGGGAACATTTATGACGAGACCAGCCCTGCCAAAATAAAAAGAAGTAAGGGATGTGAACATAGTTCTTGAACATTTAGAACCTTTACAACTTGCTGAGAGTTTATCTTCAAAGCTTTTGACATTAAAATTAGTTATGATAATGGTCATATTGTCAGACCAACGTTGCCGGACCATTCATGCCTTATCTACTAGGGACATGCAAGTCTCAGACAGCCAAGTTGTGCTTAGTGTTAATGAATTGTTAAAAAACTACGAAACCTGGAAATACCCTACTAAGCTAGAATTTCTATCCTTTAACGCAAATCCTTGTCTCTGTGCGGTAAGGTATCTTTCCGAATACCTGACAAGGACCACGGACATGAGACATGATCACCATAAGTTGCTGGTTGGTTATCAGAAACCACACGGGCCAGTCTCCAAGGACACCGTCGGTAGATGGTTGAAACACGAATTGAAGCTTGCAGGCATATATACTTCTACCTTCAGTGCCCACAGCACAAGAGCTGCGTCATACTCAGCTAGGTGATCCTCAGAGAATACCTTCACAAAATACTACAACAAAGCTATTTCCAAACCGAAAGATAACTTTGGGAAACAGCTGCTAAATGCTTTGCAGAATTAAACAACTGTAAAGATGCTACAAACTTTAACTACAACTGTCATATGATTGTGACGGTTACAGAGAGTTATGGTTAATATTAAACCAGGTTGATCTGTATTACATGATCTTTTGTTATGATCGATTTCTTCTGGTCACATGCTTTCAAGTCTCACGTTATTTCCTTGTGACATAGACTGGTGACGAAATAGAATTGTAAAATTAAACGACACTTGCCTGTAAGTTGAAGTTAGATTAGGATTCTACGAGTCACCGGTCGGGAACAAGGGAGTCACGTGCCCACCTTTATGGTTATGTATTTTATCTTATGCATGTTTGCTAGTAGGGAAATGATTTTTTTCCATTGCCCTACCCTGGTTGTGTGACCGGTATGTCATTTCTGAATGCGGAGGTGCGCACGCATATCTCATGTGACTCCCTTGTTCCCGACCGGTGACTCATAGAATCTTAATCAAACTTCAACTTACAGGTAGGTCTTGTTTAATTTTACAATTGATCGATAATTGAATGACTGCCATTAATTGTAGCAATGGCATTTGCTTGATCATATCTGATATTATCTGCTGTTTTACTGAGGTATAAATCAATATCAAAGAACGCATTATACCTGTGTGAATGACACTTCCCATTATGGTCATGCTATATGGTTCAATGAACGCTTCTTGAATGTGATTGAATCGATAGAAAGGAAACCCGAAAATAAACCTTTACAAAACCTTACATGGTGTCAGGAGTGGGATTATCTGTTCTCAACGACTACAAGTCATGGCTTGGATTCCAAAAAACCTGGTGAAACCTGGCCCAAATTAATGCGATGGTCTGCGCGGTGGGTGGAAATGCTAATGAGATTCTGAAAAGGTTTAATCTCTCAGACGACAGAGTAAAATCATGCTTTTAAACACACTTTGTGGGCCATACGAGTATTATTTTTGAACAAGCACGATTCAAAGTACAAGGTGTGAAAGAATAAGATTGATTTATTGAAAACCTCTATGAACTCAAAGAGAATTGTCAGTTTGGTTCACTTACAGAAGATTTGATACGTGACTGTATTGTTGTTGAAATTAGTAACACCTTGTTGTCTCAGAAGCTTATGCAAGATGACAGACTCACGCTGGATAAAGCTGTCAAAGAAGCCTGGTCCTCTGAGCTTGTCAAAGAGCAGCAAAAAATCTTAAAAGCAGATGAAAACGGAAAACTAAGAGAAAAAGTAAATCGCACTATAGTAGAATGAAAAGCCGCCCAAAACCCAGAAACATGAAAGAAATTGAGCGCTTGGAGGAACAAAAACCACACAGAAAATTTTCTGCCAAAACATTTTATTGTTGTGGTAAATCGCCCTTACACAAGCACGATAAATACTCAGCAGCTAAAGCGACATGCCCAAAGTGTTCAAAACAAGGAAATTACGCTACAGTGTGTAAATGCAAGGTTGTTCATTCAGTTGAAGAGGAAATATAGGGTAAAACCAGTGATTCAGATGATTGCCATTTTCCCGGATCGATCAGCGGCAACAAAAGCCAAACGAAATGGACTGTAAATTCATTACTCAGACAAGCAAACGCAAAGTTCAAAATCGATACTGGCGCCAACGTTACTATTATTCCTGAGTCCACGTACTTACAAACGGGATTAGGCAAACTTCAAAAGGCCTCACAAGAATTATTTGGTCCTGGTCATGAAAAACTTTCAGTTAGAAGAATTGTCAAAGGAAATTTAACGACTGCAAATTCCAAAGAAACTAAGCAAGAAATTTACACCGTGAAAAACCTCAAAGAGCTGTTTCTAGGACGAGCAGCAATCGATGCCCTAAACTTGGTGGAAAAAGTGGAAACAAT